TTAGAAATTCGATAAAATGTGTGTTCTGAGGCAAGATGAGAGCGGGATACTTGATACTGATCAGTCTGCGATAGCCCTAAAGAACTTTTTTCAGATTTCAGAACGCCGACTAGTGGTAACTTACAGAGTTATTCCTTTTTCGATAACAGTAATAACCACCATAACGTATTTTTTGTCGACATCGAATTGTACACTAATTTCGCCGTGGTTCATCTCCGAACAAATGCAAAGTCTGAAAATATTGATCGAAACTGCTAGGCGATCAAGTGCTCACCGTGTCTCAATTCTCTTTGCCTTCCATCCATCAGCGGTTTGTTTGAATGTCTCAATAAGTGCTTCCAAAGAGACATCTGCAGTTCTAGTTTCGAATCGGAACCCAATTTGACGTTGTTGCTCACGCCAAACCTGAAAAAAAAAACCCAAGCTTCATAGATTACAAGGATTTCCGAATACTCTTGCAAAATAAAGAAACATTTGAGGTGAGAAATTGTTGCCCGATTTCAAAGTGATAACATTTGCGTGTAGATTTGTCAACACATTCAGCTCGTTGGCTTCAAGCCAATTTATCTCGATTTCTCTGACACTTCGGACCTGAAATTATTATTTTTCACCGATTTTCGTGTGGGCGTAACAAACCAAAGGATCTGCGAACAGTTCAGGGTTGAGGTGACTGGAGTACATGAAAACGTTTTCAAAATTTCTAATATTCCGGGCAAAGTTAGTGACGGTGCGGTCCAGAGCATGAAATTGAAGGTTTAGTTTGTGCACTGTCATGGAGTTTTTCAACGGGAAAACGTCCGGCGCGTTCCCCTGAATCCCATCAATAGGAGAACTGTTTCAGAAGTTCTCAAAGCTAACCACAATCAGAAGATAGTCAATTATCGTGTTAGTTTTGTCCAAATATTTACTAAACAACTCTTTCCACGTGCCTTGTTTGCTTCCAGTCGCCGGGAACATTGTGAACCACATCTCACCCCGTGTCACTACTTCTCTGGACACAAAACCATCATACAACTTCCATTTTTCTGTGTATTCTTCTTCTCCGGACGAGCTAACAACTGTGAAACGGTCGGGTTCTTCTCCTTTCTCACAACAAATCGCAACAAAAGTGAAATGGTGAGAAGCGAATTGGTCGGCTGCTTTGAGTTCTGGTACATTCCGAGCTAGTTCCTCTCTATAAAAAATTAAGTTTTTAGCAGAGTTTTGAAGCTATCGAAGTCCATAGGAGACTCGATTCTCACCTTTTTCGAATAGAAGTGAATTGTAAGATAGCCTGGAGATTTGGAAATGAGACACGAGAGTTCATGATGATCTTAAACATGGATCACTAGACAGACGTTTTGAAACCACGCGCGACAGTTTTTTTGTGAAAAAGCGGCAACATCTTCCTACCTAAAAGCGCTAAATGTGCAATCTATTCTTTCTAAGCGCAATAACTTTGTTCAGACAACCGATTCGGCTAAAATAAGGTCTCTCTCAATTTGGTCAGATACTCAATATGGATCCAAAAGTATAGGCCTCCAAAAATTTCGTCCAAATGCAAAATTTCGGTTTGCTGACAGAAGACCTCATAAAAATGGAGTGTAAATGCAGAATAGAGTTTTCCCGTTTTATCTTGTGCAACTTAATTGTTGTTGATAGGGGATGTGTGCGCCTTATCTATTCCTAATTTTATAAAAGTTTTTCGAACACTCAAATAATGAGTTTAAACGAGTAAATAAACAAAACTATTTTTACCTGAACAACCGCTCTCAGGCACCTTCAAAAGTAGTGTCTCAAAAAGACCAGAACGCGAGAGTTTCGCAGGTATAATAATAATAATGAAGGACGAAGAGAGAAGAAGCTATCTAACGTTGCGTAGAAAGGGGGGCGTGTCATACATTTTTGGATTCAAAGCCAAGTAAAACGTCGTCAAGGCAACGAGTTTGTGCGGTTGAAAGGTACCCTAAAAGGGCATAGCGTGGCCAAGAGCCGACAACAATAATCATGTGCCGATCCGCGACGATGATGATGATGATGATGTTCATGAGTAATCAGTTGGCCTCTCGAAAGCGTAAATGTCGAATTGGAAGGAGCATATCTTGCTTACGTCAATGGGAACGAGTTAATGACACTTGTGGTTATTGTTTCTTTATTCGGAACAGATATCATGCAAACGAAAAAAAGATAAGCCTACTTGCTTCTTAAATTTCGTTTAAAATAACTCCAACAAACTTAAGCAATTCACTTTTTCCAGGAATGAGGACTGACTGAATATAATTTTCCAATTGTTCAAAATTATTTGATAACAGCGAGTTTGAAGCCAACCCATATGTTTTTCAATGATTTTCTCCATTTTCCCGACTAAAAAGTCGGTTCTGATCGGATTTACGCTACAAAATTTGACAAGCTGGACTGGGAACGGATAATATTATTCTGAACAATGCCTTATTTTCAACTGAAAGCGTAAAATTCCAGATCCAGTGTCTAGCGCGGAAGAACTTTGCTCTGTCTGAGATTCTTCAGTGAGAACTGCATACCCTCGCATGAATGCATTATTTCAACCCCTCTTTATGTATCTGGCACAACTAAGCCCCTTTCGAAGGAATCGCCGTCATTGCCCTGAGCATTTCTGACACTTGAAAACTTGTTATTCGTGAGGATCGAGCTCCACTTCTCGTATCTTTTTTGCGACAACTGACCCTCAAGCACATCTCAGAAATGCTGCTCTCGAAAGTCTCTTACACATGAGACAACTGTTTCTCGACCTTCTACAGATTCCAGGAAGGAGATCCGAAAGTTTCCGTGGGCGTCAGTTGTCCTTTCTCCCCCAAAGCGATCCGGCTCATCTCTTCTTCATTTTGTCTCCTCGGGTGGCACCCGTCATCCCCCCTTTTCCCCCTATTTTCTTTCCTTTCTTTTTCTCACTATTGCATTCTCTAATGAACTTTTTGAATAATGGCAAGTTCCATACGAACTATTCTCATTCAATGACAGTAAACTTTTCAGAAAATTGAAAAATAATTAACGGCTACGACGAAAAACAAACTATTTAATGTAAACGTGAGTTTATAATGAGAAATTGAGTATTTTAATTGAAACATTATTTCAGCATTCCAACCACAAATCTGCCTTGCATCAAAAGAAATTTGCGAAGTGAGTTTTCCTTCTTTGCGCAGAAAAACTAAATTTGATTCCAGAATACCGGAACAACCGTTTTTTTTTATTTGGAGTGTCAATGCGGCTGATTTTCTTCTGATTAATTTGTAGGAAGAACTAAAAAAAAAGTGAGTTTTTTAAACCTTTATGCCGAACAAAATTTCTACGCGTACAGTGTTTTTGGAACTTCTAATTTTCCATACAGTGGTCCCAAGAAATTGTTGAAATATTACAACCAAATTTCTGTTTTTTGGACGCCTCTACTTCCATAGGACCCCAGTATGGGACTTAGGTCCCATGAAAACACTAAAGTGACGAGTCTGAAACATGTAAATTTTGAGTCGGCAACTTTCAATATTTCTGTACAACAACAACTAATTCCTGAAAACTCTGAACGAGTCCTATTAATTGCAGCTTTGAAGCATTATTGGAACACGCACACACACACGCATAAGTATTGATTATTTGTAAATATTGTTGATGATTTTTGTTAATTGATTTGATTGTTTGTTGATTTGAAGAGTAATAAATGTTGAATAATAAGACCTTGTGATTATTCAAAGAGGCCAGACTAGTTGTCTTTTGTGCAGGCTATCTTTCTGAGCAGAACGAAATGGTAGCAGACAGAGAATATTCAGAGAGAAATGTCGGAAACTTTTTCAAAAGTTCATAAAACAGCACAAAAACAATGATAATAGAAAAATAGGTAAAGGGGAAAGGGAGAGGGAAAGGGAAAAAGACAGAAGGGCCGTGTAAGAAAAAGAAAAAATAATTCGGGATTTGGATTCATATAAAACATATAAATGGGTTGCACGACTGGAATACAAAAAATGTGGCGAGAAATCGAATGATTGCTTATGAGACCTATAGACGGAAATGAAAATGGAAAGCTGATAGTTGAGTGGATTACATTCAGATACGGAGGACGGGAGGGGAAAAAGTAAAAACCCGGTACGAATGAAGAAATGGCAAGTGACGCATTTACCAAACAGAAACTAGAACCCGTTATTTTCCAGAGAACCGTTTGAAATCTCACCTTTGCATGCAGGGTTTGTCGATTCACTCAGACAAGCAGATGACTGAATCCGAATCCGGAGTGAAGAATTCAGATGGTTCTCTTTCAAAATCGAAGCAATTGATAAATACGTCACTTGACAACTCTTGATCGGACTGTGTGTTGCCTTTTCCCTGATACAATGAAAGCCGAGAATACTGTGAGATAAATAACGAGAAAAAAGAACTGAGAAGAGGGAGGGAAGGGCTTGAGGACGAGTTGGAGATGCGAGTTCAGCTGCCATTCAACGGACGTGTCCACTTCGTCGGGGGCGGAGGCTGTATGGAGCACTGCGAGCCTGAAAAACAGTGTTAAAATTAAGTTTTGAGTTGATGTTAATGTACCGCAGACGACGAGATTCTTGCCTGTTGAGAAGATCAAGCTACTCGAGCTGGCGCGGGAGAAGCTGGAGCAATGTGTGCAGCAGAGTTAAGCGTAAGAACTCCACGGAAGAACACGGAAGAATTTTTATCTTTTTTAGAAAATTTTTTCATGAAATGTGATCAACTCAACTGACGAAATGCATAGCAAAGTGAACTCTGCTTATAAAAAAATAATTGTAAATTTTATCTTTTCATACAAAAAAGTTATTCGAGTTGTTGCGTGAAAATGTCCTTCCGTCTTCCGTTAGCCCTTTTTTCACGGAACAACTCGAATAACTTTTTTGTATGAAAAGATAAAATTTACAATTATTTTTTTATCAGCAGAGTTCACTTTGCTATACATTTCGTCAGTTGATCACATTCCATGAAAAAATTTTCTAAAAAAGATAAAAATTCTTCCGTGTTTTTCCGTTGAGTTCTTCCGCTCAACTCTGGTGCGCAGTCTGCACAATGACGGCGGCCAAAACTCTGGCCTGCAGCCTTGTCTCAGCTTCTCTTCTTTCAATGACCCTCAGAACGGCCAGCGGATGATCTTCGATTTCATCCGGAACTTCGAGAGGTGGCGAGTTGGGATCCTCCCAAAGGTGTGTGGCCAGAGCTCCGACGTCCGGAACAGCTCGCTCGTCTGCGAGAGCGCGGAGAGCATTGGAAAGCTCGTCGACAATACTATTCTTCGTGGCCCAGGAAGGGATTTTCAACGCATTCGTCAGCCTGAAATTTATTTAATAATAGTGTCGTGGTTCTATTCTGCCCGGTTCTATTATGTTGGACCGCCGTTCGACTTCTTGCATAGCAATAACCTCGGAGAGAGGAAGAGAGAGAGAGAGAGAGAGAGAGAGAGAGAGAGAGATAGAGAGAGAGAGAGAGAGAGAGAGAGTTAGACTTCTTGCATAGCAATAACGTCGAAGAGATGTTCAGATTGCCTGGATTGTCCTAAAGGGGCAGCAATCTGGACATTTCCAAAAATGTTTTGGCGTTTCTCAAACGTCCCGCACCTATGTTTACTGTGTTGTGTTCTTTACTTTAATGTTAGACGTGTGATTTGAAACATTATGTATGACGTATACTTTCAACTTTTAGTAATTCTTTATTCATAGATCTTGTGATACTGGAAACATTGGAATACATCGCAAGTTGTCAAATATGATACTTTCCGATGATGCCGAGTTCTGCCAGAAGATTGACTCATCGTTCTCCTTTCTTTGAGCCATACTCCGATAGACGGTACTCGTCTCCTTTCGGCTTTGAGCAGCATAGTATTCCTAGAATTATGCATACAACAATAACATCACGTGATATTTTTGCCGGTTTACTCACGGAATATTGTTTTTCGATAATTCTTGATAGTGAACATAGTGGGGAGGGGGTCGATGGCTGGATAGACAGTTACTGTAGCCGTAACAATGCTACTGACAAATCCGACATTTGCATTCAACATGGGAAGCAGGAAAAGGGCACCGACCGGGATGTACAACAATATTAGAGGGATTATGGTCTGAAAATATGCAGATGTCTAAACGAGCTTTTAGAAATTACCTGCAGTACAAGCGCCTGAAACAGTTCTTGCTGTAGAGATTTTGTAAAATGTGATGCCCAATGAGTCTTAGCCAGCGAAGTTTTTAATTGAATATAACATCGGATGCCGAAGAATAGGACACAGAATAGAGAAGATATCTGAAAGTTAAAGAACACACAATTTGCACGTTTTATGAATGAACTTACCATCATAAACCACAGACACCCGATGGCGAAAAATATTTCCTTATGAGCACAAAGTTCGTCATTTTTGTTTCGTTTATAAAATAACACTATGACATAAGAAATGTCCTCAATGCGTACGTCATATTGTTGAAGGAATGGCAAACTGAAAGGTTTGCAGGTTTTCAACGAAGATTTGTGTGTCTTAACCGTATAAAGTTGTCTGAATTCTCATTAAAATGAAAGAAATAACCGCACACAAACGTCCACCAAAATCCATAGGCCATCGGCATTAGGAAAAGTGAGAGAACTTTTTTTCCGGATAGCCATGTGTTCCAAAACCTGTGGTTTGATGCACTATATCTGTAGATAAAATGACTTGCGAACAGAGCGACTGTAATTCCAAAGAAACCGCAGAGGAGAACAATCAGAGTGAAACTTTCTTTCCTTCCGAAAATCGAGTGCTTGAAATTTCTTGACACAATAAACGCGGGTCCGTAGGAGAAGATATTCGGTTCCACTACAACGTCCAACAGTGAAAAAAGCATTTCAACTATTGAAATGTAAATCATGAGAAATTTATAAATACCCAAACTTTTTGGAGAACAGAATATGATGAGCAAGATTAGGAAAGTATTGAATATCACAGAAACGCCACAGCTCCCGTATTGTATTGTTTTAAGGAGAACCTTCCAGAAATCGGCCAGTAACATCATCTGGTAGATACGAATAATGTGAACATTAGAGGCTGAGTTTGCCGTATTGTTCTGGCTAGTGAATACTCTTGAGAATCACGCACGTTATGCCATTTTATTTTTGAAAACAAGTTGTACAGCGAGACAAGCAATTGAGGAAAGAATTGAGATAGAAAAGCTCGGCTTCAAATTGTTTGGGAACAACTATCGATTTTTCAGGTTTTTTCTTGGAAACCCGTTTTCATCATTGAAATGAGCTACATATTACCAGAATGAATTTTCAGGCCGCTCGGCCCTCGACAAACCGATGTAATCACGAGATTTCAAAGCCGAACTTTTAGTTCAAAACGTATAATTAGTTGTTCAACTTTCAATTACGGCTTGACCAACTCAACTTCTCCAAATATTCTCGTTTTCAAACTTTCAACATGTATTTTCTTTGGTTAACTTGTGTTACATTCGCATATTCCTACAACATCACCGCGGATTTAACTGAACTCACCAAATTATACGGGTGTCGTGAGTGGCTAATCTTGCTAAGCTTCACATTTTTTCGTATAATTTAGAATCGTCTTGTTGGTTCAAACAAGCAGAGATTACCAATGAAACTATTGCATTGTGGCCGAGCAAATGTTCGGAAGTCTGTGGAATTATATCATTCACGCCGAATTCGAATGTCCCAATGGACAAACTGATGGATGTTTTTAAGAATCTGACAGACTTTTATGGAGCTATTAGAATTGAGAATACCACCCTGGAAAACGTGTCTTTTCTCTCAAATCTGGCACAATTTTCATGCTATCCAAGTAAATAGAATTAAGATTCAAGAAAGAACGTGCTCAATGAACTTTTTCAGTTGGAATATCGATATTATACAACAGTAAACTTACAAATGTGGATTTTCTGTACAATATCGATCTACCGTACAGCAATTGTCCGTTCAAAATTGCACAAAACAAAATGTTGGATGTCAGCTCATTGTGTGAAAGTAGCAATTATGAAGGATACGTCAGTTTGTATGTTTATCAAAATTTAAGAGATTGTGGTAAGTTCTTTTGACTTTACTTCGAATAAAGTTTTTTTTTAAATTTAAGGGTGTGTATCCGGTTTAGTCAACAAAAAAACTGCAAAAAGTTATAAAAACTGCACAGCCATGTTCGGCACATTGAATATCACGAACATATCCAATATTTCACTCCTCAATGCTTTTCTGACTGTGCAAAATATTACCGGAAACATAACGGTCCATCATACCGGCCTCCAGAATTTATCGTTTTTAAAACATGTAGTTCGGCTGAAGGGAAAATTTGCCGATGGCATCTCTTTTAACATCCACGACAATTTGAACATGACTCGGCTTGGAATGGACTCTTTAACCGTAAATTTAAACTGGATTTTGAAAAATAAAATTGAGAAAGAGCCTTTCAGACATTGATTGATGCATCCGATTGGTACAGATTGAGCTTCGAGAACTTACATCCAGATTTTTGTTTGACCACTGAAGAAGTTCAGATTTTGGCAAGTTGGAACGTGCGGTACGCCAAATTAGAAGCAAAATACTGTCAAAACGAGACGAGGAAGGATGGGCAAAAGGTTTGCATTTTCGAAGAATTGAGTACTTTGGACAGCGATTGCATTCATCTCATGGGGCATGTAATAATAGAAGCTGGGGACGAAGCTTTTATTGAAAAACTGAACAGTGTCGTTGGGATTTTCGGAAGACTCACAATACAAAACACAAGTTTGGTCAACTTGGGATTCCTCTCAAACTTGACTACAATTGCCTTGTTGAACGGTAATTATTTCAGTAAAATCGAATGATAAAATTTTGTTTCAGATACATCGCCAGCTATTGAAGTTTTGTCAAACACTCTCCTAACGAGTGCGAATTTCCCCAAACTGAGTGTAATTTACACACCTTTTGTAGCCTTCCAACTTTCCAATTTCTTTTCAGTATCCCTTCACAATGGGAAGTATTCGTGTGGACTTTCAGAACAACTCAAAAGAGCTTTTTCCGGATTTTCAGGTGTGCATGAAATACGAACAAACTATAAAGGCTTTCGTCAAAGTTGACGGTCTAGATTGTTGTGAGTAATTAAATTCTAACATTCGCTGGTAAACGTATTTTTTTCAGTCGATATTGTGAGTGAGAGCGTGGTTGAAGATTATGAATACAAAATGAACGAAAAACTGGCGTCGTGTATGACTGCTTCACTAATATTTTTTTTCATGATTCTACCTTTGGAATGATGATCTTACTGGCTTTCCTGACACGTATTTGTTACTGTGCAATAAACATTTATCATGACCCTTGCTATTATCCAAAATGCAATGGGCTCGGCCCGGCAGGCACCAAATTAGTCCAAAACTTTCCATAAACTTCAAAAGAACGAAATTATAGATTCAAAATACGAATATGGACTTGTTCCGTCTTTGTTTTGTCTTACGCGATGATCTCGACAGTTGGAGTCGTCTCAACCCCTGCGGAAATCGTGCGAGAACCTCTCGCAGCATGACCATTCGCGGACGGAGGGCAATATCGGAATGCGGCCGCGGCAGTCTCTCTATCTCTCTCTTTTTTGTTGTCTCTGCAGAGAGGAAACACAAGTACACGCCCGCCGGTTACCCTCACATGGGCCTCCTTAGCTCAGTTGGTAGAGCGTGAGACTTTTAATCTTAAGGTCAGGGGTTCGAGTCCCCTAGGTGGCTTGACTTTTTACTTTTTTTGCCACAACACTGATGTGAGAAAAAAAAAGGAAAACGATAGTTCTAAGTTAAACTCGCGGGGCACATCAATGTCCGAAGATTCGATTGTTCAGACAGGATAAATCCGGGTAATTCTGCGTGAAAAAATAAAACTATGGAAGAAAACCATGGTTCCATCGAATGATTCCGTCATTTCAGTGCTTAACGACCGCAGTTCCCCGCTCTACCGAATGGCCTCAGAGCTCGATGTCGTGAAGTTCATCGTCATGTCTGGATAGAGTAGCAGGCAAACTTTTCTCCGAAAATCCACGTGCTCTTCGACGAATCAACGCGTGATCGGACTGATCGAAGCGTCTAACGCCACGCAAAAAACTGCAGAAGTTGTCGGACAAAATGTCGAGTTGATTTTCGTACCGATTTTTTCAGAACCTAATAAATCTCTTTGAGCGGAGTGATTTTTGTTCATCGGCTTTCTGAAAAGCACATTTTTTTCTGATTCTCTTTGATTTTTCCTCGAATTACTCCTTCAGTCTCCTCCAAATAACGGTTTCGTCATCATCGGCAGCGGCTACACTTTGCCAGTTGACGACATATGTGCAAATGTTCGTCGTTCGTGTCGTTTGCGTACGCGCACGTGCACGCATTGCGGGCATTGACCAGTCGGGCCCACTCTGCCCATTTCTGTATCTCCTTTTCGCGTTTTTAGCTCTTGTCGGTCGGATTTCCTAAGTACATGATTGGTGAATTTCTCCTTTCGTTAGCGCTCGAGGAAACGCTGCCATTTTCGCGATTTTCAACGGATTTTGGGTCTTTTTAGGGAAGCCGCCTAGTAACGCTTTTTTCTTGCGGTTTTTGCAGCTTCTCTCAGTAAACACCGGATAACCGTGTCGATTTGCAGTAACATCGGGCCAGACAGAATTCTGTGATGTGCGTTCTAGACAGCGACGACCCCCCATATCGATTTTTACCGCTGCCGCCGATGCATGCGAACACCTCCTTTCTCCGCGTCTCTTGAGCGCCTTTTCTGATTTCCAGCCGTGTTCTCTCCAAAAATCAGTAGAAATTGTCGCCAGCGTTTGGCTGTACTGGTCATAACCTTTTTGACGCCGCCCCACTGCACAGATTTTTCCTGGCGCCGCCGCCGTCCTCCTCCGCGTTCCTTCAGCGCTTCTCCTTGTTTCCCAGCCGCGTTTTCTCCAGAATTCAGTAGAAATTGTCGCCAGCTCTTGACATAGTCAAATTATAAAGTGATGAATCCTTTAGATTTCAGCTAGTTATGTAAGTGTCGCACGTCATAGGACTATGTGAATGCCCTGTTTCGCGAAGCGAGCTTTCAACGCCTCACGCTTGATTCGAATATTATCGTTCTCTATGTTTTGTCAGCACTGGCCGTGGCCGCGGGATTGTCTAATTTGGCGGGTCCTGCCGCGAACAGGGCTATTCCACGGCCACGACCTTGGCCGACAGGAAAAGAGAGATACGACCCTCTCTCTCTCTGATTTCGGTCGTTCAATCTGGTTAATTTCTCCTTTCACTATAGCTTCAAGAAATGCCGCCATTTTTGCAATTTCCGCCGAATTTCAGCTCCTTAACATCTTCCTTCGTCCTTCTCCCTCTAATTCGTCGTCTTTTTTCTCTACAACTGATTGCATTGCAGGTAGCCATGAGTACGGTAATGCTAAAAGACCACACCCATGGCGTCAGCTATTGCATCGATGCTCTCTCGAAGGCCGGTTATCACCGCGCCAGAGTTCTGAAGCTCGGCGACTACGACAGAGTGAGAATAGACGATTTGAACGTGCAAAGGTGAAACTCAAAAATTTCCAGATCGTCGGAGGCATTGCTTGGGCGATCACAAGAATTGAGCCTCGCTGTAAGAGATCGTTCTCGTGGCAGTTCCGAGAGGACGAAGATGGCAATACGAAGACGATTTCTCAGACGAAGTAAGAGAAATGCCTGTATCGAAATCACTGAATTGACCAATAGTGTTGCGGACATTAGGGAATCTCCTCTGACTATGTATTAGCTCACATCATGACGTCTGTGTCGGGTACAATTCCTGATTTCCTGCTCTCTCTCTCTCTCTCGCTCTCTAACGTCAACGTTACGCCGTCTTACAGACACGAATGCAACGGAGTCTTCGAGGATTTGAAGCAACTCAAGTATCCGCACATCACCGAAATCGAGTCGACAGATCTCAGCCAGTTTAACGCTGAGAAGCTCGTGAAGGTGGTCGATTGGGTTCTCAGAGACTTTGTCAACTACGACGTGGATGATAAGCGCTACAGCGCGTTTCTAAAGTTTTTCGAAAGTCCTCACCAATACGACGTGACTGCGTACAATTATTTCTTGCCGAATTTGCGCTTGATCAACCTGACTCGCACTCCGGACATCTACAGAATGGGACTGTTCGATGCGTCCATTCTCTACGACTATCGTCTGATCGGAAAGCACATCATGGGCGAGTACCTCCATTACCAGGAGACCGGAGAGCGTATCTACCCGAAGCGTTATCCGCTGGACAAGGAAGAGGCGCGTCGCGTAGCGAACGTCCAGCTCAAGCTGTGGCAGAGACACGAGTGGTTCGTCAAAAAGGTAATCGCCGCGTCATAGGATCTTCCTTCTAGCCATTCTTTGTACAGATTTCAACGGCCAACACCGAGACGAAGAGAGCGTTGATTGACGCTGCCAACAGAAGCTTCTCAAAGGATGAGACTGACGAGGAGATTGCGTATCGCGACAAACTTGTCAAACTCATTGAGAAATTTGGAATGTGCCGTTTCATGAGTGTGATCGAGACGGAAATTGAAGAAGAAGCGATCGAGTGCAACAGACTCAACTACTATTACAAGCTTATGCAGGACCAGTACAAGACTGTTACGAAGACGACGTTGACTCTGTAAGTTTGACAAGAGAAGTAACCGAACAAACTCATCCTTTCACAGGTGCTTCGATCCGGAACTCGTCAAGAGAAGAGTCAACGCGGGCCTTGACAGATCCAGCAAGCTCTTCGATTGTTTGTGCAAAGATCTCGAGGTGCTCTACAGAAATGAGTCCCAATGTGAGCGCGCTATCGTGATCGGAGGTGACGAGGCCAAGAACTGCTTGAGACGTTCTCGTCTCGACGATGCTATGGAGAAGCGGAAGAGCTGCGAAAGAGTGAGGCGGAGTGCCTGATCGCCGCATCTCCTAACCATTTCATTCATTTCAGCTCATCATTAGAATTCGCGCTCTTGAACGTGAAGTCGCAATGAGAAACGTCGAGTTTCGTGACTGCAAATACAGCACCAGCTTGGTGAAAGAGCCATTCGATCGCGTTCTCAAGACGAGACTGGAGTCTGCTGATCGTAGCATCGGAATGAGAATCTGCATGAAGATTCGCGAGATCTCGTCGATGATCCGTACCGCGGAGTATGGGCAGGAGTGAGTCACCCGCGTACCACAGGCATATAATTGTGCTCATTTTTCCAGTATCACAAACCGTTATCTCCAAGCCTTCGTTGCGTACCTCTCGGATTGCCGTATTCTCCTTCTCGACTACAAGCACAAGGCCAATCTGGTGCTCAACGAGCGCGAGAAGTCAAAGATCAAGCACTTCAAGATGCACGATATCATCCAGACCAGCTGCATGGAGGTGTCCATCAAATCATTGGAGTGTGACGTGGTGAGTTTTGAAAAGAGCAACACAGCTAGGAGCTATGTGTGTTTGGGAGACCGCTTCACAAATATATGAACAATAATCTTCCACATCTCAACAATTCTGCTTACAGCTCCCGAAACTGGATCGTGATCTCCGCAACTTGCACTCAGTCGTCGCCGACTACGAGAAAACATCGCCGGCGTACATCGAGTACACGAAGACGCCCGGTTACAAGGCACCGGAGTTTGTCTAATTTCCGCCTCTTTTTCTTCTCTTTAACATTATATTTTATTTTTTATTGGAGCCCCTCACGGTGAACTGAGCGGGACAGTCGTCCGTCAGCTGTTGCCCGCTTTCGGTATAACAATATTGTTTTGTTATATCCAAATATTGTGAAAACTATAAAAATGGCGGCACCGCTGGAAGGCGCTTGTCCCCGATCACCACCACCGTGTCCCTTTCCGTATTTCTGAATGCTCTGACTCGAATCTCTTTTGCATTGAGATCTTATTCGTACCCCCCATCCTAATTTCCATTTCTCGTTGCCCCATCTCTCGTGACTCGTTTAATTACTTTTGGTTCTCATCGTATCCCTATCCCCGTCTATCATTTATCTATTGTGTTCTTGTGAAAAAAAAAAGTATTTTTGGGAATGTCATTTGGTGATGTTTTACTGGTTCGGCTGGTATCTTTCTACCAGAGTATGTCTCTTATCTTGTTGTTTCCTCATCCTCTTCTTTCGAGTTCTGCACGGTGAACTGCATACGTCCGCTAACGTCACATTCTCTGTACTTATTGCGAACTTTTGGTGCATTAAAAACACTTTTGTTCTCAGAATTTCTCAAAAAACTTCATTCTCACTCAAACTTCAAAGTTTGCAAGTGTTCGATGGCTCAAAAGACGCGCCGCAGAATTCTGAACACGTCAAAAGTTTGACTGAACATCTTTGTTTTTTCTTTGTGAAAGCGTCTCCATTTTTCTGAAAATATGGGCGCGGCAAGCGCGACGTTTGCGAGCGTATTTCTCGTGCAGCCCACCGTGCTATTAATCAACTCTGATTACAGGATTACGATCATGGGAAACAAGAAGAAGCGAGGACAAGCGAACCGAGGAGGAGGTCGGGCTGGAGGCAAAGCGGCGGATAACAACGGAAAACCGAAATCCGTTGAGCATATCGAAGCGAGTTACAGTAGTGATTTTTAGGCACCTTTCAGAATTATCCTTTGATGTTCCGAGCTCTGCGAGCTTCTAGCCCATGTATTTGACACGTCTTTCTTGAGCCACCACCTCAAATTTTCCTTTGGCAGTCGCTAGTTCCGTGTCTTTTTCGTGTCTTCTTGCTCATTAGCTTCTCCTTTGCTTCTTCTGCATCACGATCCGTCAATTCCAGCAGATTCTGGTCCCCCAGCGGAATGAATTTTGCATCCACTCGAGGGGCGAGAAGTGCCAGGCACCTTTATGTCGTCTGTGATCACGTCTTGTATGATCCGAGAAGGAAAACTTCAATTTAAGTCCGCACACCAAACATGCATGTCCTCTCTCTCGGTGAGCTTTTCACTGATGTCTGCACAGACGAAGACAACGGCATGCGCACCTCTCGCTGAAATAATGTTCTTCATTTCAGTCAATGAGGTTGAAATTTCTCCGTACAAGTAACCACTCTGTAGGGATCTTTCCACTTTTTCATCAGCTTGCCACACCGCGCCAACACCCCACTTCCTGGTGATGGAAATCATCTATTGGCCGTGTTATATTTGCCATCGAACAATTTCTTGCACTCCTTCACTTCTCGAGCAGCACGCTCTCTAGCCATCTTAGCTTTCTGCCGTTTCAGAGCCATCACACACACACACACACACCGGAGTCTTTGGAAAAGAACACCATGATTCTAAAATTTTGCGCCAAAAGACAAATTGGATCTGCTTGCTCATTTCACCAGTCAGCCACTTCATGTTGGGGTGTTTGAGGATACGATGGACGTCTTGCATGTTGGCGTGCGTGTCTTTCGACGTGGATTTTGGGGGAGAATTGAGTAAAACATGATAAAAAGATGATAGAAGAAGAAGGGCTCGCGGGTGTTTCCACCCGACAAGATACATGATGTCCCGGACGACCCAGAAGCTCACGATGTTTTATTATTATCCACAATTATCCATTTCAGGAGGAAGAAATGATAGTATTGCCTGGAGAGGACGTCGAGTGTTACCGCGCAATACTTGAACTTCTCTCAAACGCAGGCTACCACCGTGCCAGATGCATCACGATTCCGGACTATAAAAAAGTGAGAAAGGATTGAGAAGATCTTCAATAATTTAGAAAATTTGTTTGTTCCAGGTGATTGGTGGACTCATTTGGGCCGCCTCAAGACTCAATCAGTGTAAAGATCCGCCGATTTATAATAGTCTTACAACCTGCGAGTTCAATGAACGGGACAGTTCTATCTCGCACAACGGGTAAATGATACAACGCGAGGACGGAACAAACAGTGGTTGTCCTAATTTCAGAACGCTCGGTCAAGATTTGCTCGAATTCCTGCTAAAAACTAACAATTTTCCGGAACTCAAGATGCAAAATTTAATGGGACCGAATTACGTAGCCCTCAAGCCAGTGGTGGAGAAGGTCGTCGAGATGTTGCAAGAGGAAAAGTACACCGATAGAGTGCTTATGGAGTACTTTGTTCATCTGAAGCATGTTCGAGAGAACCCGACTGTGGCAACCAACTCCTTTCGAGAATATATCACGTTTCCGCTTTTCTCGAATCTTGATAGATCGGAACGCTTCGACAAATTTGACTACTCCATTCTGTGCGACATAAAAATGGACGGCAGACTCATTATGGCCGAGTACATGAACTACTACAAGACCGCAATGCGCATTTATCCGGACCGCCGTCAGCTCGTTCCTCCGTTTCCCTATGACGAAAATAGAACGAAGTTGCATCAGGAGAGGTACAACGAGAAAAAGACTCTTGCCACACTCGAAAATTGCGCCGCCAAATTGCTGGACACGGAAACGAACGAGGACGTGATCGCGATGCGCGACAGATGCATTGAGATCATCAATGAGTTGTCAGTTGCCAGCCAACTCGCCGCATGGCAATCACGTTTGATGTTGCAAGGCGAGGAGTACCGCGTACTTCTTGTCAACTCGCATCAGAAGCGCTACCAGTACAATTTGGTGAGAGAGCAGAAATTGTGAGTTCATATTTTGATAAATTAGACGAGATTGAAATGTTTTCAGTGGCATCGATAATCCACAGGAGTTCATCGAGAACTTCGGCAAGAAACTTATTGAAGCCAGGAATGTGTACGATGGTCTCATTCAAAGATTGGACCACATGAAGGCCAAAAACGGGCTTCTCCAAGAAAACAAGACTGATGAAGGAATCGAAAAGGCGAACGAGTACAGAATGAAATATTGTTTTTCTGTCCATGTAGGATAACTGACATCATACTCTCTCATCTAAATGCTTGTATTCAGACCACTAATGAGCTCCAACGCCTAATCAAAACGTTCACGGAAAGATTCGATAGTTACAAAAAAGCAATTTGCAAGCTAGATAATCAGCCCGCAGTGCTTTCCGCCGAGGCGATACGGATTTCTGAAGGAACTATTCCAGTGGAGGACATAGATCAAGAAATCAAAGACGAGATGGACAAAATTGAAATGTACTACGAGGAAATTGTGAACGAAATGCTCAAAGACAAGTGAGTTTCAAAAACGATTTCAGACTGCTTCTATTCGTGTACATATGTTCACATTTTGCAGGGAAGAATGTGAGGTCTACCGCAAAATCTTCAGTCACATCGTCGCCGACATGAAGTTAGTTCTCGGGAATCTGCACACGCTGTCGCGTCATGCCAAGAGCAGACGTGTGAAGTTGGCAAAAAACTACTGCGAACACTTCTTGTTCCTTGAGAACAAAAATTTCGCCGTCAAAAGAAAGCACGCTGTAGGCTATAGAGTGAGTTTGCACATTTTCCATCACATCATTGAACTTGAAAATATTTACAGCTTCTGAAAGCTACGGAGGTGTACGAAAGAATGGTGAGACTCACGATCTTCTGCAAGAGGGACCAAAGGCTCAAGTACACCCAAAGTGAGAGAAGTATGGCCATCAAGTCAAGTCTTTCCTTCACGTCATTCCGTTCATTTTCAGAGTCCCAAGATCTGGATATTGACATTTTCGGCACATATCATGTGACCGAAGACAAGGAGGAACCCGAAGCCGGACCATCTCCGCTTTGTGACGAGCCGATCGAAGCGGGGTACGATGACGAGGGAGAGGCTCTGTTCCAGAGACTATTGGCGAATTCGCGTTTTTTGATGTGATTTCGATCACCCCATTGTTCACTTTCCGCTCAACTACTTAACTTCATCTGTTTATTTATCTGGCTCAGCACTTTCTTGGTCTGTCATTGGTAATTCGGTTAGGGTACCTACCAAAACATTTTCTCATTTGATCGACGATTGTTTGATCATGGACGCCTGAAAAGTACGAATTCTCTTTTTTTTCTAGGGTTTATCGAATCCCCCAATAATATAATAAAACCTGACTTTTGTCCCCTAACCTTGTTCTTCCATGCTCCTTTGATTCCGGGGTTTTTCCCGACTCCTGATTCTCATCAATCGAAATATTCTTTGATTCTGTTATCTTTGCATAACTTTTGTGAAACTTGTGTTAAAAAACCTTTATTGGACTTTTGAAATAAAGAGTAATCGATCGGTCGAAGACGAAGTGATACTTTGTAAAACAATTATTTTGTCTTCATTCACCTCTCTAAACGATTGATTGAAAAAGCATACTTCAGTTGTCCCAGAGAAAAAGCTCAAACCATCAAAAACCACATTTCTGTATTTTTCAATGCCTTGTGATATCTATGTATTGTTAACTTTTACAATAGCATGTGTCAAAACCGTTCCCTCTCGCTATTGTCTCTTTTCCCATGCATTTACATTGCTTTTCATCTTTTGTGCAAATCATGTGATTTGCGGTTTGATAACAATGAAATTTTTGAACGTATTGCAGTCAGAGTACATAAACGTTATTGATAAGCAAATTTCATTGTTCCCCTTCTGAAAACGGCTGTTAACAAACGTTTGTATAGTGGTAGAGGACAGGTAAACTTTCAGAGGTGCGCTGTTTTTTACATCTCCTACGTAGATGTACTGTGATATCTGTCTGCGAAATAGCTGGTTAGTGTAATATATTCCAACGAGATGAGAAAAATGAAAAATTCATCTGTCACTACACTCGACAATGAAAAATTGAGAGTCGATTCGTTTTGCACATTGCTCTCTTTCTCGAACAATCCTCCTTTCTTCTTCTCCTTCTTTTTCATCTCCTTTCTCGCTGGGTCCATCGGAGCACTTGACGTCCTGTAAACTCAATTTCACTGCACGGACATTCATTCTCATCTCTCAAGTTTTTCGCGTTCTAACCTAATGGAAAACAATCTGTTTTTCTCGTCACACGTTTTTTAGCGGATTGGAGGACCATTCTAAGTCAGTTGCTCGGCTCTGATCATAAAATACAACGTATGTGTGATATTTCAATCAGTAATAATGATTTAAAGTACGCATCTATGTAGCAGACTTGCCAAATCCCGGGCCGGGCCAGCAAATCGTCGGCCCGGCCCGGCCCGGTCGGCCCGGCTCCGCCCACTCTTGAGAAAATTTTCATAATTTTTGTGAAAATTTTGCGACTTTAAACAGCAATTTCTATTTTTTAACAGGTTTTTATGCTATAACATTGCCTTTTTAAGTCTATAAAATTTTAAGTCTATAAAATTATGTTCGTTTCGAAGTTCTAGTTCGCTTTGAATTTTTAGGTGCGTCCTCCCGGGCCGACCGGGCCGGGCCGGAAAATTTCCAATTTTGGCCCGGCCCGGCCCGGCCCGGCCCGTTGCAAGTCTGCTATGTAGTTCAAGAAACGACATCCATCCATTCTCACAAATCATTCAGTTGGCGAAGTCAGGTCGACCCTTTCTTCTTTCTCCGTTTTCTCCCCTTCTATTTCACAAGGGCGATTGTAATCCATTGTAAACCGAAGAAATCTGTTCAATGAGAATCTAAATGCAAATGATCTTCATTATTCAAATCCTTTTTCGAGAAGAAAAGAAGGAAAAGAAGGCGAAGAAAAGCTAGATGGTGAAATTAACGAAAAATTGGTTTTCCCTCCCTAGGGTTTTCTTCTCTTCTCTGTTTTCTGAAGTTAGAAAATTACCATGTTTGGTCATTAGGCTGTCAGAGAAATTAACTGAAAAAGTTGAAAACGTCAAACACCCCATGACACTTATCTAATCCAAATCTCGAACATCACTTGACTGTTGTTCGGTGTCTAGCCAGAAAATATGCTAATTACGTATAACTCCCTCATTCTCCTAATTTCGTCACAAAATGTTATCAGATATGTGGCTATGACGCAGAATATTTTGATGATTCAGTCTGGGAAAGACGGATGGTTCTCATGGAAATCTCAAGTGACATCAGCCTCTTTTTTTCTCGATGCGAACAAAGACTGCTCGGTCTTTGAATTCAATCAGCCATTTCTTATCGTACGGTATCCACAAAAGTGATTGTGCTATCACCGTCTCGTGACCGGCTAGCCAGTTCTCTTATCTCTCTGTTCTGACAGGAGAGATCAGGGTGATCGCCAGTCTGGATCTCTTTCTGTACCGTCTCTTGTTCCTCCTCCGAATCATTTCCCACCCATTTTCGATTGTGTCTGGTGAAGTCGTGCAGACTGTCGAAACGGGAAAAATGCAAAGAATAACAGATATACAGTTCTACGAGGACGGCGAGAGGACAGAAAGTGGGAGGAGGTTGTTGCACTTTCGCAAGTCCAACACTTCTCCCTCGGCCGATTGTCATCTTTCGTCGGCCGTATCCTTGGTGCCCCGGTTTTTTCTCTCGTCTGTCTTCAAAAGTTTTCTTTTTTCTTCTCTTTCTCTTTCCTGCCACCAAAAGTAATCTATTTCTTTTCACTTCGATTCAATTCATTTTCAATTCCAATTCCAACTTTTGACCAGTCGACAATAGAAAAACAACTCATTCACTTTCCGCCCCGTTCTGCTCTCAGACTTCTTTTTTTCATTGTTATAGTGAATATTACAGACGACTAAAAATGGAAAGAGACGACGATTTCGACTCTGACGATGAGCTCTTCGAAGCTCTGGGATTCAAAGTGATCGTTGGTAAGTTTCAAAGACCTTTAGGAGTATTGTATGCTCAGTTTTCAGAGCGAGATACTAGTTTCGATAAGATCGACTGCGAGATTTGTCGAAAGAGCATTGTGCGAAAAGATCTCGATGCTCATTTGAACGCCTGTGCCAAGGATAGCAACCTTGTGTACTACTTGGTAAACAATCTGATAACTCCTTGCCCTCACATTAATTTTATTCCAGAAAATGGCTCTGCTCCACATTCTCAAGAAGCAAGACGTTGCTCACATTGTTCTTCACACTTACAATGCGCTGAGAGACAACGAACCGGTGTTCCTGGTCAAAGGTACGGCCAATTCTGAGCGAAAAATAACGGAAAATAGGAGTTCAGGTGTCTGTCTGTACTGCGAGACACCCGCCGATCACCGTAACGGAGGATGTCAGATGGTTAGCCGTACTGATTACTTGAAGGTTAGGAAAATGATTATTTTATTCCACGTGTTGGGGGAAAAGCAGATAGATATGTATTCCAGCGAGATCTCTCACAGTCATATGCTCGATAGTTAATTAGCGGCTGGTCCCGGAGGGGGAGAGCTCGGAAAACATGTTTTCGGTTAGAGAAGAAAGAAACAGAAAACGAGTAAAGGAGGAAAGTGCTTGACGAGCGGCTTTGCACATTTTTCACATACTGTACTGCTGAATTAGCATCATCTCTGTCTAGTACATATACAAATATGAGCTATTTTGACACCTGATAATTCAACTAATTTTCCAGAAAGTCATCAGCAAGACCGAGGGCGACTACTTTTACAACCTCAGCCAGCAAATTCGCTTTGAGAAGAAAACGTCTGCATGTATTCAGTCGATCAAGAACCGCAAGGAACTGCTTGATATCTTGGATAAGTTCGAGAACAGTCCGGACAGTGTCACAAAGACGGATCCGCTCGCGAAGGATCTGGAAGAGTGGCCAATCAGTCCGACTGCTCAGATTCGAGAGATCCATGAGAAGCACGAGAAACTGGTCAAGGCGGAGATCGAGAGAGTGGATACGGAGAAGAAGAAAGCTCAAGAGGAGACACGAAAAGGCAGGGACCACGTCATGCGTGGATTCATCAAGTACCTCGAGGAGCTCGACAGAAAGGATCCAGTCGACGGCCGCGCTTTCAGACATTGAAACATTGCAATTTTCCTGTGAAAAGCTTCTAAACAGCTAAATGTCATATTTAATGTGAAAGAAGCCCGCTGAATTGATACGATTCCTACTAAACCGCACATGGTTCACTTGATATTCTATGCATCCCTGAATTATTCTTATTATGCGCCTTATTTACATTCGTCTTATTTACAGCAGCTTCTTTCTCGCTTTTTTTCAGGCTGTGGAATTCCTTCTTTTTTCTTCTGAAAAGCCGCTTTTTTTCATTTTATGGTTTCTAATAAATATTTGTGAAAATCCAACGTTGCAGCTGACCGAACAATTAATAATTCAGTTTTGCAATGTTTGGGCATCAAATTTCAGATCAATTGATAGCAAACAACTATGGAATTAGGCAAAGGGACCGGACTATTGATCCAGTTGTGAATATTCAATTAAAACTAAATTTGACACGATTATTAGTCTTGGCATAGAGCATCTTCAGTGGAAGTTTCGGTCCCATTTGATTTTCCTATCTGGCGGTATGGAAACTAGGCCAAGAAGGTCGGCGGTTGGGCAGTCTGAGGCCTGTTCGACCTCATTGCAATACCTAGATGATCCAATCGCGTTAAAACTTCTACTGAAGACACTCTACACTGAAAATGATAATACCACGAAATACGGATCCAATTCTTCTCCACAGCTCATGATTATTTTATTTTTCCTCGTTTCTGATTCATGGTTCGACAGAATCCGTCTGTTTTCAATGAAACTGTGTCGGTTCTCCTTTTCATTGTTCCCAAATCTATTGTTCCTTGTCGCTCCTCATTTTTCTTTTTTCTGTCTTGCGACTTGGATATATGCCGATTCATTCGAAACCGAGAAGGCAGCTTATGCCACAAAAGGAGAGATATGAAGACGGGAGGTCCCTTCCTTTCCATTTTTTGTCGACACGTTTGCATGTTGTTCGCCGCGGGCTGTCTCACTCCCTCCAGAGGACACTTTTGCCCCGACTGATGACGAAACGTCTTTTTCTCACTGGCACACTCCACGTTTCTTTCTATCCCTCGCCCCTGTCGCTGCATGGCCGCAGTGCGGGAAACCAGCACCCTCACTCTCCCCCTTTCCTGCTCTGTTTTCTTCTTTTCCCCAACGGAACGAATCAATACATACATCGATTGAATGCTGATGAAAAACTTAACTTGTTTTGTTCAGGTAACAAGCAGGCAGTCATGGATGTCCTTATAGACTTCCTGAGCGAATTCAATCGTTAGTTTCGCTTTCAAAACACAGATGATAATCTAGAACATTGCTTTAAGATACCTTTTTTCCGTGCAATATGTGCGACAAGATCATTCACTCCTCCCAGAAGTTACTCGAGCATTTGGAAGAGTGTGAAATGACGAAGGAAATGCCGCATAGCTGTGTAAGGATGCCAGTTTTAGGCGACCACAAACCAATGTTTTTGCAGAAAAGAGTCATGATTCATGAAGCCAAGTGGAAAGAGAGCTACAACACTTACCGCAACTTCCATTTGTTGATCAAACGAGGAGGAAGGCCATTTCCAGACGGGGAATGTTTCGGATGCGACAGTTTAGCTGACCACAAAGCCGGAAAGTGCAAACGAGTCGCTAGAGTTGCAGCCTATGAAGTTAGATTTTACCTTCATTTAGACCTGCCGGTGTAAAGAAGAAACTTTAATTTAAACAGAAATTAATTACAGATGGTCACCCGCGAGCCGCTCCAAGAGATGTCCGCCAACTTCGAACAGTACCTCTTCGAAAAAGTCGACTTCAACCTCGAAGACACTCGGAATGAGTTCAGATGCAAAATAACGAACTTGGAGAATCAGATAGAACAACTGCAAAAGGATTTCGTGTTCGTTACCTGCAAATATCCGCAGACGCCTCTCGACAATGCAAGATTCATTCGAAAAAAGATGGAAGCCCTTCAAGAGCAGCTGCGGGAGATGTCCGATCAAATGGCGACAAAAGTTCGAGAGCACAAGCAGAAGTTGATGATCACTCGAAGACGAGAATGGCACTCTTTTACGAATACAATCAGCAACGTGCGGGAATCTGATATGAACGCGCACCGAACGTTCGACACCAGGTTTCAACGGGAATTGGACATTGCCAGACTCGACAACCCGCATGCGACCCTGCCAGACGCCGGCCCGGACTACCTCCGCTTATTGGATGCGCATATTTGTACCGAACGTCGAATGATGGAACGAATGCGTCCAATGGATCCTGACTTCCGAGAGCGGCTTGCTGAGCGGTACAACCAGAATTTGTCCCACGACGAGTACGCCTACATGCGTTTGGAAATCGAGCAGAACAACCGCCCGCGTGTTCTTCAAATGCGTAGCAGTCTGGAGGATCGACTGTTGTTCCTCCGTCACTTCGAACAACTTCGACCTGATCCGGAGCTCGTGGGTGATCCGCAACGTGTTGCATACCGGTACAACACTGCTGTCGGGTGGTATCACATGATGGTTGAAGAAAGGAATGAGATCCGCGTGAAATGGCACAAGGAGATCGTGAAAGCTGTGTACGCTCGAAACATGCTCAACATGTGTCATGGAATTCTGGAATACCGCAAATCTCGTCCGTACATTGCCAAGATTGCAGGCTGGGCGCTTGTCGTCAGCTGGACCATCAAGTTGCTTATGCAATATCGATTCCCCGGAAGAGTCCTTTCTCCCGTCTGCATGGAGTCAACGATTAATCCGAGCTTCACCAACATGCAGATCTTCGACGAGCATGTTGTGAACAACTTGGAAATCCAAAAGCGAACGAGTAATGATGAGTATGTGGAGATGGAAAGTGCGTACGAACTGCTCAAGGCTCAACTGGAAGAAGAGGGAAAAGACAGCGAAAATCACAGAGAACTTCTCCGCTGTGCTCGACAGCACCTCCAAATGGTGGGCGCTTACTTCTCCGATGATACCAAAAACTTTCGAGTTGCCGAGAGGTTCTTCCGTGTCGTTCGAGGTTCAATGCGTCAGGCTATGGGTCATATGTACTTTGAAGATGCCCTCTTCACCATGAACACATTCGATTCCGACCACCCACCACCGGTACTTCCCGTTGAACTACGACCTGGAGGACAACAACAGAGACAACATCCGGCACAGAACGTTGTTCCGCCGGTTCGACGATAGTTCTTTTGGGGTTGCATGCTGTGTGTATTCATTTGAAAACTTTGAAACTTCATGTAAATTTTTTTTTGTCTTTTCACCCCGTGTCGTCCGAATTCAGTGTTTTTTGATTCCATATGGAAACTGCGTCGAAGTTGATCTCTAGACACTTCCTTCCAACACTTTTTGCGGTCCCATTCCAATAAACTTGTTAGTTATTATCGAATATCAATTAGAATTGATTGAAATTGGATTGTTTGTATTACAAATCATATCTATTTATCTTTTCGCTAACACTTTTCAGATCAACGTTTGCGACCGAAAGATGTTGTTATCAACACTTCTCTCATCCCTTCCATCCCATTTATTTTCGTCGTCATCTTCGTTTTCTTCTTCTTCTGTTCGCAAAAAGACCCGTCGGCCAACCGCTCGTCATCGTCGGCCGCGAAACACGCCTGTTTCTCTCGATTCTCTCACCGTTTTCGTTTGCTTCACAGCTCTGCGTCGCGGGTTGGGGCAACATAACTGCTGACATGCAGTTTTATCTTTCTTCTCTCTTCTTCGTTTCTTCTTTTTCACACAACTTTCAAACCAAAAACAGGTAGTCTTTCTGTTTTCAGAACGCCGCGAACGGTCTTTGGAAATGGAATCGCTCATCGAATACTTGCAGTTTTTCGAGCGTAAGATCGGCAATGTGAATGGATTTGGGAACACTGAACGTAACTTTCAGACAACTACTTCCCATGCAAGCTCTGTAAGGACGTGCTCTACACTGCTAAAGATTTTTTGGATCATTTGGATGAATGCGAATGCATTCAGGACGAACCGAAATCGCTGGTATTCTAGACCTTTTCCATTCCACAAATGCTTTTTGGTTTCAGTACTTTGCATTCTTCCACAATGCTAAATGGAAGTTCCACTACAACGAATGGAGACGGCTCAACCGGCTCATCGCATTGGGAGGACGACCTTTCCAGAAGGATGAGTGTGTCGGATGTGCCACGACGGATATTCATTTGGCCGATGGATGTCGGAAGGTTGATCGATCTGTGGCTTATAACGTGAGTGCTCGCAAAGGACATTGAAATAGGATCATGTTGTTGTGTAAAAGTTTTGATGGAATCCATTCCATCTTCATCATCATTTCCCATTACGATGTACAAACGTCTTAACAATCCAATTTATCAATCATTTAGAACCCTCTTGCCATGTCATTCACCTACTGATAAAATTCCTCTTTCCGCTTGCAGAAATCGACGACCGTCGTCCTCCGATTGATATCATCTCACTTCGAGAACTATCTCGTCGAAAGGTCCAACTTCGCTGTCGACTACGTGAATAGAGAATTCGATTGCGAGAGAAACAACTTGCAGTACCGGTTGTCCGTGAATACGGCGGAGTGCGAGTGGGCCGTGAACCATTTGAAAGCGATCGGACAGAATCCGCACTTCACCGAACAATATGCTCTGCGTGAAATCGAAGACATTAAGAGTAAACTGGATTCACTTCCGCAACGAAGAGAGATCGCTTTGGAGAAGATCATCGAAGAGCACACGGCGCGGCGAGATGAAGATTGGCATCATTTCCAGAATACGATGAACAAAATAGTGGAGACAGACCTCGCCGCTCATCAATCATTCGATATCAAGTTCAGAATATCGTTCGCAGCTGCCAAATCCAGGAATCCTGGCATTACAATTCGGAACTTTGGCCCGAATTTTGATGATCAAATTGAACGGGAGATCATACTCATCCGACAGGACGTTTTGCGCAAACAGAAGACGAAAATGAGTGAGCCTCACGTGCGTTGAATTCAAAACAATACCTATTTTCAGGACTTGAACACATTCGCATCTCACTTGAGGACCGTCTGGAGTACGTCATCAACTTCGACACTCGTCGCGATCGTGTGAATTTCGAAGACGATCATCGGCGCATGCGACTTTACAACCAAGCCGCGGATTGGTACCATGAGCTGATTGAGGACCGTCAGTCGGATCACATGAGAGGCGTGGCAATGGCCATTAATGCAATCAAGGAGCGTAATCTTGAAACGCTCCGAGTAGCCCGGCAAGATTACGAAACTACGAGACCGTATGCCAAGAAGCTTGCCGCGTGGGCAATGACTGCGACATGGGCGTTGGGCAATCTCCAGCAAGGCTACGGAAGAGTCACCTCACCCACGGCTCGCTATGAGAGTGTCTTCGTGCAGGATGCGGACGAGCTCATTTTTGCGTTCGATGAATTCGTTACGAGCAACTTGTTGAAGCAGATTGAGGCCGTCAAGACGTTCTATCGCAAATTGAGGGACTCGTGGATCGAAACCAAAGTGGAGATTAGAGAGGAAGGCGGTGACAGCGAAGGGAAGTACAAGGAGCTTCACGCCACGTGTCGAGAGTTTCTCGAAACGCTGAAAACCTACGAGAAAGAGGACGCGGAGCGATATGCCACTGCGGAAGCGGCATGTGTTCGTGAGATGAAGTACGTCAACGTGGAAGCCGTCTTCAGCACCGTCAGCACGTTCCGAGATCGGCCAGCTGAAGAGCAGGAACCAATGGGCGATGGTCCCATTAACTAATCAGTTATAGTTTTTGCTGGAACCATCCTCCTCAAAACAAATTGTATTCTTTTCAACTGTACCGCTGACTGTGATTTTGCCTTTTTTTTCTCTTATTTTCCCTGCATTCGGTGAGATGTTTTCATGTTTAACACTCCAATTTCCCCATTTTCGTTGCCTTTTTTTGAGCAGTTTCTGCCTAAAATAAATATTTATTCAAGTTTGTGTCAATGTTCCAGTCGAAAGTTTTAATACATCGATGTCCTGAAGGTCCATATCAGCTTGTTATTCATCATGCATTTGCAGCTAAAACTCTACGGACTGCGCAAAGCTGGAAGAAGAACATGTGTCAATCCGGAAAGAAGAGGAAGAAACGAAAGCCAAATACTTACAAGAAATGGAGCGTCGGGGGTCAAACGCGGCCGATAAGTGAGACAACTTGATTTCGATGTTGTGCTCACCAAAATGATTTCGCTCGATTTGTGGGAGCATGGAACTTTTTACGGACGCAGCAGGACCAATGCGAATCCGGTGACAGACGCCAACTTGAAATGGCGGATCGATGCCCGGATTCATCAAGTGCAATCCAGACAAATATACCGTATGTCAAATTATACCGTATGTCAAATTCAGATCATCATATACTCCTTCTCCGGCCCAGCCCACGCTTTTTTGTATTTTCCTCGAACGTTTTGTTCAAATGTTGAAACATACGGGGTCAGCAAAATCTTTGGCACGCCCGAAATCTCGCAAGTCTGGGGTTCAATGATACCGTCTAAGCAGTCTGTGTTTTGTTTCAGAAATCAACTGCCGGATCGTTTTGTCGCCTCTTTCATCATTGAAAAAAGTATCTCGATGCAAAACGTGAGATACAACTTGGAAATGCAACTTCACAGTGAGCCCTAATGTCTTGGAGAGCAAGACAAACACGCCGAACGCTACCGATCCTCCGCCTACCCTCTGTCGATGCTGTGTCGACCCTCACAGCCGCATACGGCTGCCAACCACTGACCATTCACGCCAATTTTACGCCGTTCCTGTTCCGGCCAGTGAAAAAAACGGCCCGTTTTTGCAGAGTCTGGCCAAAACAAAGCATTTCGAGAGAATGTTTACTTTTGTCTTTCTCAATAAACATCCGTTCTCTCTTTCTATTATTTTCAGTTAACCGAAAACAAAATTGTTTCAATACTACTCCATACTTTTGTTAATGATGCTGTTTTCCGCTTTCCCAACCCTTCTTTTGCCCTTTCGCTAATTTATTTCCTCATTATAGGTGCACCTTGTGCCGTACGCTGTGGGTCTTGAGACGAAGGGACGTGAGACGCGTTGTGGGTCATTTTCCGCTAGCAGACAAAGCCAACTGCCCTCCTCGCACTCTCTCGTCACAGCCTTCTTGCACCTTGCACGCTGCCTATCGATTTTTGACGCGCCCGTCTTGTGTCCGTCGTCACTGCCCAAAACTTCAATGATGGCGACCGCTCCAGCCATAGAGCTTGAACTTCAACTCTTTTCGCTTCAAACTTTTTATGGTAGGTTTTAGAAAGCTTGGTTTTACTAAGACATCGGCCGTTTCCAGCGTTCCCCTCATATTGTCAACTTTGTGGTCGAGTGGAAGATGATCCAACGAAATTTCTCAAACACATTAAGAAATGCCAGAATACGATGGGGAAACCCGAGCATACGGTGAGTAATCTAGATTCAGCCATCAACAGAAACCCACTGAAAACAATTTTAAAAGAAAACGACGCATTTTCAGCGTGTCATGATGAAACATCTCACTGATTTCCAATGCGAGCTAGCCACCATTCGGAAACTCGCCAAGCTGATCCATTGCGGAGGCAGACCGTTCGAAGACACAGAATGCGTGTCTTGCGAAACGTTGGAGGACCACCACACGCACAGAAAATGTTATATGGTCGATCAGGTCGCTGCCTACAAAGTGAGTTCTACATGATGATGATTTCTGATCCATCGGCAGTCGTACTGAGCATTCGAATGGGATGCAAACCAAAAACCGCTAGGGTTATGACAAACAGCTATACTGTTGTGCTGACGCATTCATGGCAAACAACGGCAAGCGTCTTTTGTTTCTTCAGAATTAGGTGACGTTCCGAAACCTGCAGAGTTCGGGTTCAATCGAGATCCCAGCCAGAATCACATTTCATAAATCTACTAAGGCTGAGCCGGGGAATGTGTCTCATCAGTTTTCAAAATTTTTATTTTCAGAGAGCGTCAGACGAACCACTCCGTCGCATGCACATCTTCTACGAGAAGTACCTCGAAGCAAAAAGTGTCGTGGAAATTGAGAGTATCCGTCAGAGGTTCGACCGCACCATCAACAGGATGACGAAGGCGCTCGATCTTCTCAGACAGCAGCACGACGAGAAAATAGCAGATCCCGATCGTGAAAAAGCGCCGAAATGCAGCACGTCCGCGGATTTCGCTCAGAAGCACAAAGAGATGACTGATGAGATCAATACAACACGGGAGATTATGGACGGTGTTGTCGAGTACTATACGAATCAAGCACCCGCACGTAGGGCGCAAGACTGGGAGAATTTCATTGATGCAATGAAGAAGCTCGAGAACTCGGACGTGAAATGGCACACTTCGGAGGACGCGGACTTGGCCTGGACCTATGAGCAACCTGAAGGTCGCAACCCGCGTACGTCAGCAGCGTTCAACTACAACACAACCATCGACAGAAATGCTCGGCATGACACATTTTTGCTGCAATGCAGTAGAGGAGAAAATGATGGCCGTTTCGATCTCGAATTTTTCGAGAAACATTGTCAAACGGTCCGAGCTCGAAGTGATAAAGTCGCAAACGAATTTAAACCGGATTACGATGGAAGAGTATACGAGAGCCTTGAAGAGTGCTTCTACATAGCGAGACAACAATTCAGATCTATTTCGAGACATCGGTTCCACTGTCAGCAACTGATTGATGAGGAGATGAAGATGGTGTGTAAAAAAATGGACTATGACAAGCTGGTTGAACTCATCGAGCGGTATGAAAATCACCGCAAATTAATAGCGAACATCGAATCGTGGTCGGATCTGACTAGATGGGCTCAGACCATTTGTATTGATCGAGGTAAGAAGAGAAGTAGTCACTACAATTCCAATTGTACTTGCAGATACTGAGGTGCTCCACGCGTTGAGTCAGCAGGAGGATAAAACTGAAAGAATGATTCGAAGGCTGGTGCAAGTCGTATCATTTCTGAACAGGAAACAAGGAACAAACAATCGAGTGGCAATGTTCAAGGACAAGTGCAATGAGTTCATCTTATTGCTAAGATGTTACGAATACGAAGATGAGAGGAGTCGGGAGATCGCTTCTGAGAGGCAGTTGGTTATTGCGAAGCTGATCAACCTTGACGCCCTGTTCACGTCTCTTGCCAACTTCGTACCCGGTCAATTCCGTACTGCATTGGAAGACGTTTAATAATATCATAATTTCTCTTTTTACACACACACACACATCATTTTATTTTTTTGTAAACACTGATTTTCAGTATATTTGTGTCTTAAACTATATTCTTGTTTTTGCATCTAAACTGCTGATGTGAGCTCTTAATCATACCTCACAAAATAACCAAAAACCGTTTGCAGAACCTTTCAGATTTTCACAAGGATTTTTTTGAATCACGTCGTCACTATTATCAGGTACAAATCGCCATAACTATGACAAAAGATGACTGTTTTGTTTTCAGAAAAACAAGGAACTCGAACGTCTGTCCTGGTCTCCAAATGGACGACGAGAAAACAAAGGTGCAGAAAAGAAGTGTGGACATTATTCCACTCCATACATCAACAACACGACAGACGGCCTCAAACGCTTCGAACTGTTTGTCTAAACAGTTCCAGTGTACCTGGCCAAACAACGACAGATAGCCGTGCAACCCGATGACGTCCGCAGAACTTCAACGGCCCATTTCATCCATATGGAGTGAAGGAAACAAGGATAGAGGAGATGTTGCGCGAGGAAAGGATGTCGATGGACGAGAACAGGGAATGGTGTCTGGAAATCCTCCAAAGACGACGTGGACGGCTACCGATGCCGTCACAACGTGCAAAGATACCTTCTGTGATCCGAACCGCTGGCCAAGAACGTAAATGAGTAGGTTATCTAGGAAAATGTGATCAACACCACTATTCATTTTAAATTTCCAGGCATGGGCTTCACTTGCCATGGTCATTCTACTCGGACCACTTCAAATCTTCTATCGTGAGTCTAGTGTACGGACAAAATTTAAGACTACATTTCCATTTTCAGAAAGCTCTGCTTGGCGCCGATAGTCTAATCGGATAATGGAAAGCTGCGAAGTGATCCCGGATCATTTGGAAAGAAAGCATGGCGGTGCACGGCTCTTTGATGATGATCGGTGTTTTAACCGGGAGTTTTTAGAACAACACAAATGAAGTGAGTTTTTTCACTCAATTATCATTGATCATAATCACAATTACAGATCGTTACGGCTACTCCAACCTACAACCTTGTTTTACACTATGAAAAGTACTGGACGAAAAAGCCGTGTCTCAGCAATGTCTGCTGTCGACTGATGTCCATCTTGATTTGGTTCTCCCGCAATACTTTGACAGCCTGGGCCGGGACATTTGAAAGAACCATGTTGTTAGAAACAGGTAACTTTGACGATCAGCGATCGAATGAGTAACGGAGAAAAATATCGGCTTACTTTTTATCTAATAGACAATATGCTTCAATTGGTCCTTTACCGAGTGTTACGCGCGTTTGAATGGGCTCCATAACACATAAACATCTGGTTTAATGTACGACGACGTCTCCGACTGGAAGTGTCTTTATCTCCGTCTCCTCTTCACCACGATTCAATCGTATGCTAGATTTCAATTTGCTTCAAGCCAAAAAAAAAATAATTCCAGAACTCAAAGCCTGCTTCCAATGTGCGACAGTGGTTGATTGATATAAGGGCCGATGCCAAACATCTGTTGGCCAAGAGGCACGAGATCTTGAGCGCTCACAGCCATCGAAAAATTGAAGCATCGGACATTTCCACTATACGGTAGCATGGATCATCATCGATGGCTATGATGCCGGTTCCAACTATCGATCTGCCGGCGATTTAAATTAATTCCTCCAATATTGCGACCGACGAGACAATAACGATTATTGAAGCCGTCAATCACTGGCTCCATAGTTGGCACTTTCTTCAATTGCAGGCGCCACGTTTCCTGCAATCGAGCAAAAAATTCAAGTCTACTCGGTCACCGGAACGCTCACCCCGATGCGGATTCTCATAGCTCATCCGTAGAACGTCGCTTCCGTTTCATGCCTCTAGTTGGTACGGCGGACAAAACAATGTGAGGGATGAAATGAAAACATGAAGAAGAAATTCGAGAGGCATTTTTGTACATATGCAAGATTCTCATCAATTATCATTTAAAGTTACTGGATTCATCGATTGCTTGAGCAACGAGAGGTTTGAAGATAGAAGAAAAGCTCGTCACGTTTTCCAGTGCAACTTTGGTCAAAACGTAAGGTTTGAATTGTGTAAGGATTTTGCGTAAACTGCGTTTCTTCAGGACTATCACACTGTTCGCATTGTTCGGGAATATTCGAGGCTCCAAAAAAAAGGAGAAGAAGGAAGAAGGCAGCTACATCAGAGTGACGAAAGGGAGACAAAACTGTCATGGAATCAATTAAACGAGAATGACTCAATCGGTCTCTCCAGTAGACATCGCGGCACAAGCACACCTACCACTTCAAGGCGATCAATTCATCGGCGCTTGGATACGGAATCAAGACGACGATACCGTGCGCAGTGCTCGATACCAAGAAGACCATTCTTCTCGCCGTCTTGCCTACGGACAGAAGGACACGGACAACGACCGACCGAACAACGGCATAACCGTCGAATGGACGAACACTTTGGACGGTGCCGCTAAGCATTTCCGTCGCGAATAGTTTCAGGGAGATAGAGTGGTCCGTTTCAAGAACCTCCCGATCGAATTCAATCGGTGCGGGACCGCGATAGCACATGAATGAAATCCAGCGTAAAAATGATGATTGGAAAGGAAAGAAAGAACAGAACAATGGCCTTTTTTCAGAAACATGCAACTTGTCGGCCTTCCACAGAAATGAGCTCAAAACGATTTGTCGCCTGTGGTTTGTGTCCGTGCAAACTACGATTCTATCAACTGCTTCTCTTTTTGTGCGGATAATATCATCCTTTTATGTAATCCGCCCCTCCACTCCGTTTTTAAACTCAACCGGAACGGTTTTTTGCAGAAACTAACAGCGTTGACCAAATTTTCTTGAAACTACACATCAATTCTCGGTTGTAGTCGTTATGACCAACCTGTTTTTCTCATTCTATCCTCTCCATCTTCCTTATCAATTCACTCCGTGCACCACCTTTTATCACATCACAAAGGCTACGTGTGTTCTTTCAAATGCTACAAACCACATTTTGTGTTCCTCGGCTAGACTTGACCATACTTGATGATCACCTCGGTAAACAGTGTTGCCGGGCCGAGAGTGGAGAATATAAAAGTCGAGTCGGTCTCTGACCACTTTTCACAATGTCACAAGTTGTGAGACTTGAGCGACCAATCGATATCGTCCATGTGAAAGACGTAGCCAACCCGTAATCCGTCTTCCTCATGACCCCATCCTCTAGAGGCCTGTTGGTATCTCGCCCTCGAATCGCCGCCGGCGAGAGGCCGAACATTTCTGCCTGCTATTCGATGTAGGTCATCTCGCGTTTTTGTCCGTCCTCCCGGTGAACGACAAGGCCCCATCCTGAAGAAAAGAACAAAAACGAGCATAATGTGGTTGTTGTTGTCATGACAGAGTTGGAGTATAGTGTAGCGCGTTGATCTCCTTGTCGGCGCCCAATTTTTTCCGTCCTCTCCTTCTTTTTCTTCTTCTTCTTCTCTCGCTGCGCTCCGCTCCTCGCCTTTCGGCCGATATTACTTGTTTGTTCACATTGCCTCGCTTTCTCCTTGACACAAATGCCCCCCGGTCCTTCTCTCTCTCTCCCTTTACTTCTCTTGCATTTTCGGACCGTCGAACATATTGCTCTTCTTTTCAGAATGTCCGATCTCAAGCAGCTCTCACTCAAGGAAATCTCCGACCACAACACGAACAAATCGGCTTGGATCGTGATTGGAAACAAGGTCTATGATGTGACCAAGTTCCTCGATGAGGTGAGCACATTTCGACAACTTTTGATAAAACTCTGCGCGAAGCAGCGTGAAAATCACGTGTTTGAACCGATGGAACTGAACAAAAAACGTTCTTTCTGCGATTTGTGGCTAACTTTTGATTACTGTGCGTAGTTGAGGCACACATTTTTCACAAACTATGCCTGCTTTGCAAAATTGTCTCAATCCCCGTCAAAAACCGAGATGATGCGCTTGTTTTCAGCATCCGGGAGGTTGCGAAGTGCTCCTCGAGCAGGCCGGAAACGACGGAACCGAGGCATTCGAGGATGTTGGACACTCGACCGATGCCAGACACATGAAGGAGGACTTCCTGATTGGAGAAGTGATTGAAGTGAGTTACATTCCAAATGCTTTGACGTATCCAAACATGTTTCCTTGTTCAGACCGAAAGAAGAACCTACTCCTACGACAAGAAGACCTGGAAAGCAACCACCAGTCAGGATAACAAGCAGAGAGGGTAAGCGGACCTCAGACTTAGTTCTAAATCATGCCATTCTTGCAGAGACGGCAGCGCAACCGACAACATCGTCTACTTTGCCATCCTTGCTGTCATCGTCGGTCTGGTCTACTATCTTATCGCGTAATCGTCTTGTCTTTTCCATTTCTCCCCCACTTTTTGTCGTGATTTGGACACCGGGAACCATATATCTCTTCACCATGCAAACTTCTCTGTTATCTGTAGTTTTATCGCACAATAAATGCATGAAATATGTACGAAGAACACAAAGCAGAGGTATGTACAGCTATTTTGATCTAACCGATGAAGAACGAGTTGATGCAGGGGTCGATGTCGAGGTTCTTGTGGAAATCTTACCGTCATGCGTCACCGGGTCGTTTATCCAAAGATTCTGGAACAGAAATTTCATTAGTTTCAGACTGAAACAAAGTTCTGAAACGAAACGTACTGTAGCTGTATCTTTTCGCCACAGTAAAACCGCCTCATCAGCTCCAAACTCTCCGGAGCACGTCAGTATGTGTTTATCACTGAAATACGATTGATCATTGAGCTCGAATTGCACTTTTCCCACCCGCTGGAAATAATCTTTCGCACGGAAGTTTCCGAAATCTTCAACTTCATGAGCAGCGACAATTTGACGCTCGAAACCCTGCAAAAATCAATTTTTCCTCCACCGATAGTGCCATTAAATGAGGCCATACACAACGCTGTCCTCCACATCATTCGATGTCTCTTTATCAGCGCTTTCTGAAACAGAAAACGATCAGCACGCATGAAACGCGGGAAAAGTCATGTATTACCGGGAACAGGGACAATATACGGGTCGTCGAAGGTGAGGTCTTTGCGATGGAGGTTCAGAGGTTTGACCGGGGTCGCAACTACAAGGAAAACTAATGGAAATCCCTGAAATCTATGGATCTCACCTGGTTTTCTGTGTGAGGTAATGGCAACTCTTCTTCTCGACCGTTCTTCATCCGAATATAGCTCAAAAGTATCATCATACTCCATCGAAGTGCTGGAGTTGGTCGAACTGAAGAATCTGAACGGGTTCACAGTTGTCGACAAGTCCCATCCTCCAAAAAACAAACCGATTATCTCGGAATCTTGGAGAATCCTTCTCGATTTTGTCTTTTACTGTCGACAAGTTCTCGTCACACTTTTCAATCAACTCATTTGGTTCTAAAGTTTATTTTCAATCCTTGCTGCTGGAACACTGCAAAAACTAACCTGAACTAAAAACTGAAACTGCAGAATCGGCACTAAAACCCTTTTTCATCGGGAACCTCATAGTTCTAGACGACATGCTATTGATTCTACTGAAGAATTTAAGAGGCAATGTCTGAGAACCTCGAAATTCGCTAATTACACCAGGTCACTAAAAATTCAGAATGCTTCAATTTGTCTCATATTATACCCAATGGGTACTTACATAACAGTGATACATCAGACAAGTTTTGGTCCGGCTCCTTGGTCCCTAGTCCGATCACGGTCACAAAATAGGTCAAACCTGTAACTAATTTCAAAAAAATGCTAGCGTCTCAGACTCAAGGCCATTCGATTTCTCGCATCTTTTTAAGCATTTTTCATGTTGGCACCAAAAATTTATCACCTTTCCTTCATGGAGAAATTTCGGATTTTTCGTGAAAAAGTTGAGTTGTTGTGCAGTTTTCCTCCGTGGTGAAAATTTTTTGCACTTCATAGCCACGATTTTATTTCAAATTCATAATCTACGGACAATTTTACGTCGTTATACCATACTGTCGCACATTTGCCGATTGACATCAAAGGAGTTTTTTTCAAAAGTTTGATCCGGTCTCAAAAAAAGTTTCTGTTCTGCTTTTTGGAAAACTTACAGAAACAAGGGAATTTTTTTGTTTATAGACGTTTTTTTCATGCTAAAAAAACTGTAATTCTGTTATGTATTCGTCAGGTACAGCTTTGTAAACGTAGCGTTTAAAAACATGTTGAAATTTTTTTGTCAGCCGGATAGATTTTTTTCGAGATGTGTTCGCTTTTTACCCAATATTTTATGCTTTCTCTCGTTTTTATTTTTCAATGTTCATCTTACTTTTTGTGAAGCATTTATTTGGTCGTTCTCCGATTGATTCAAGAACGGTAAACAAGAAGTACATATTATAGGGGCACCGCACAGAAATGGCGCTCTGTTGAGAAACTCTTTTTGCAGTTCAAATTGAGCGACCTCGGGACCGAGTTTGAAAAGTTAGGCCACATTTTCAGTGGAAAACTACTTCCTTCCACGAGTCATCCTTCATTTCTTGAGCGCGTCGCGATCGTGCTGCTTTTGATTGCCTTTTCGCTGCTTCACGGGAGAAGAACCCGGCAATCTGACGGAAGTCTTTCCTTTGATCCACTGAAAACCGCTTAGAACCGTCCGGATTTCTAGCTTCTGCCATTCTCTTTTCAACAATTCTCGGATCCGCATGTTGACATTTCTTACTTGAAGTACCCATCCGTCCTCCAATTCCGTCTTCTCGTTCGTCTCCTTCAGTTTTTTCACAGCATTCGAAATTATTGGGCAACTTTTTGACCACTTCTTCCAAAACCACGAATAAATTATTTCAATGAAAAAAATCACGAAGTGTCTGCTGCCGTTCAGGTCGAATTATATGTTGTCCACGTTCAACATGCTCGACCACGCTTGAATATCTCAAAAAAATGTAGCTGAGCATCCTTCCTCTGGGCATGTAAATATCTTTTCCAAAGCGTCTTCGTACCGCGGTCTCACTTCATCGCTTTCCACTTCATTTTCATCTTCTTCTTCAATGCAAGCAGTGTTTTGAGAATCAGTTGACTTAGTACATTCCGGAAAGTACCAAAACTTGGTCTGCTTCTGCGACAGTACAGCATTTCGTTCTTTATCAATAGACCCAATCACAGTTGAAGTGTATCCGGCATGTTCGAACTCGTATGTTCCAGTCAATGACTTCAAATTACTTGACGGAACAAATTGACCATTGCAAGAGCAACTGTGCAATCAGGAAAACAATGAGTTTCATTATAATCTGTAATATTGACCATCTAATAATATCAGCAGTTTGAAAATAGTAAGAAGAATAGCTACACAAAATTTGCTTTGTGCTTTTATACCTGTTTTATGTACTTTTGTTGTTGAGTGTTGCCCCATGTGTATTATAGGGGCACCGGACGGAAAAGGCGCGCTGTTCGCAATCTGGTCGAATTTCTAGGCCGCGAAGTAATTTTCTACTGAAAATGTGGCCTAACTTTTCAAACTCGGTCCCGAGGTCGCTCAATTTGAACTGCAAAAAGAGTTTCTCAACAGAGCGCCATTTCTGTGCGGTGCCCCTATAATATGTACTTCTTGTTTACCGTTCTTGAATCAATCGGAGAACGACCAAATAAATGCTTCACAAAAAGTAAGATGAACATTGAAAAATAAAAACGAGAGAAAGCATAAAATATTGGGTAAAAAGCGAACACATCTCGAAAAAAATCTATCCGGCTGACAAAAAAATTTCAACATGTTTTTAAACGCTACGTTTACAAAGCTGTACCTGACGAATACATAACAGAATTACAGTTTTTTTAGCATGAAAAAAACGTCTATAAACAAAAAAATTCCCTTTGTTTCTGTAAGTTTTCCAAAAAGCAGAACAGAAACTTTTTTTGAGACCGGATCAAACTTTTGAAAAAAACTCCTTTGATGTCAATCGGCAAATGTGCGACAGTATGGTATATCGACGTAAAATTGTCCGTAGATTATGAATTTGAAATAAAAATCGTGGCTATGAAGTGCAAAAAAATTTTTCACCACGGAGGAAAACTGCACAACAACTCAACTTTTTTTCACGAAAAAAATCCGAAATTTCTCCATGAAGGAAAGGTGATAAATTTTTTTGGTGCCAACATGAAAAAAATGCTTAAAAAAAGATGCGAGAAATCGAATGGCCTTGAGTCTGAGACGCTAGCATTTTTTTGAAATTAGTTACAGGTTTGACCTATTTTGTGACCGTGATCGGACTAGGGACCAAGGAGCCGGACCAAAACTTGTCTGATGTATCACTGTTATGTAAGTACCCATTGGGTATAATATGAGACAAATTGAAGCATTCTGAATTTTTAGTGACCTGCAGTTTTTGAACTTCTCAGACATTGCCTCTTAAGTTTTACAAGGTCGTCCTGAAAGGTTTACCTGGAAGTACTACCCGGAAAGTCTTTTTCATCCGAATTTTGCTGGAATGTTGATACTGAAAGTAAAAATTCAGAAATTTCCCCAATTATTTGACTTCATCACCACTGTACTGTTGTGTTTCCCTGTCTAACGTGATGCTAACCCGACTAGCTCGCTTTTCTGATCCAATAAATGGCGGATCATCTTCGATTTCATCGTTGTTCTCGATCAACGAGCCCAACCTTTGGGACCGAGTTGAAGATTTGCTCGCTCTTTTCTCACCGGAGAATCTTCAAAAAGCGATGCATCTTACATAAATCTTATTAAATCACTTTACTTTTTCAGTTTATATTTCACTTCCTCTTTTCCGCGCTCATTGTCAATGCTGTATATGAAAATGTATCCGTCGGAGGTTCCCAACCACAAAAGGGAGTCATTGAAAAGCATCGATTCCACATAACTGCTACTTTCCGTTTCGGAAAATGACGGTTTTCTGTAAATTCTGTGTTTTTTGTGAGTAATGACTGTCGGATGACCTTGTCTTGTGGTCGAATGCGATGTCGTACAGTAAATTGCAAGTAGTGTCTTGCCATAATTGGATCAAGGTGGAGTGGTCGGTGGTTAGAAAGATACCAAATGGAGACTCGCTCATACATGTGATCTGAGAAGATTGATTGATAAAATATCAATTTGACAAGCTTTTGAAGTATTTCGGGTTCGAGTTTCAGACTTATCGATTTATCTGGCCCAGAGACTGAGCTGAAGCCGGGTTGCAAGATTGCGGTATTTTTGATCTCTGATCCACATATCTCTGGATCAGATAATCCTATCAGTAGGAAACAAAGCAACGATAAAGGCTGAAAAGTTGGAGTCCAATCAGCTCTAACTGACCTTATCAAAATAAATAACTCCCGAGCCAACATTCGAAGAAGCGACGTGAGTTGTAGAAAGAGTCGTCAGAGATTCAGCATCCAATGTAATCAATTTGCACGCGGTGCCCACCACCAAAGTATCATCGTGTACTGCAGCGTTTGTTAGGGGAGAGGAACTGAGTGGCATGTGCCACATTTGGACACTTGTAGGCCAGCGCTCTCCAGCGTTCTCAAACACTGTCAGGATACCGTTGGCGAGGCCAGCGAACAGAGTGTTTTCCCGGTGGATCAGGAAAGTGGCGACGTCTGGCAGTTTCAGCTCCCAGAGTACGCTCCTGGAAGGGGGATATTGTGATGTGGTGGGTTCTAGAAGCAATGCTGTACCACTCATTTTCACTGCTAACATGGGCGGCAATCAAGAATCCGGATATCAGACTGACGTAGGCCATATCTTTTCGGACCATGCAAATGGACATCACACGACAATCAAACTTCAAAGAGATTTTGTAACTTTATATAAATTTTGTTCCTCACCTCAACGTCAATATCTTTCATAATACCTTTGTCATTCAGCACCTTAATTCCAGCAATTTTACCCATCAAATGATGTCCAGACACAATAAAGCCATTGTTTGGAGTGAAAGTGTCGATGAAAATGTTAGAGATGAGCTTCTCGTTTTTCATGTTGTTTGTGATGCTTTTCTGGAACAATCTATCTATTCTGTGCCGTCCATTGAGTCAATTCTACCACAAATTCATTAGCTCGCTTCGTTTTTTTCTCCAGTTTCTCAGCAAGAAGGTTCACATACTGTAGTTGCATGTTTTTCAGCTCTAACCTCGAGGGCAGATGAGTGATGCGAAAAGCCATCTGCAAGAACTGTACTAAACCCTAGAAGTTTGTTTTGAACTAACGCTGACAATAGCTTCTTCATCAAATGCTAAACGAGTCGCTGCTTTCGAGACTCTCATGATTCCAATAGCATCTGTTCGACTGATAATTTCATCTTCATGCTTTCCAATGAGAACAATCGCGAAACGGAACAGAACTTTCGGTCCTTCAAGCAGAAAACAGTCCCAGATTCTTAACAAAGTCTGAAAACACCCGTGTAGTTTATACTAAGCATGCATTTTGATCAAACGCACGTTGAACGGGACGGCATCAAAGAAAAGGGCGATAAACCAGTTCAGCGTGAAAGATGCGACGTCGATATCCAAATTTTGCAAGTGTTTCATGATCTTTGGGTGTTGAACCTCTAACAATCCCTTCAAAACCTCCTGATCCGCCTGTGCTCCCGTCAGATTACTGTCAAAGTAGGTCTTGTCAAAGTAGCGTTCGGTGATCGCAATCAGGAACCAAAACGCATCCTCTGGACCGACGAACAGAAGAGCCGTGGCGGCGAGGAAGTTCATGCCTTGACAATATCCGATTTGAGGATTGTGCAGGCAGAATGCGTGGAGAACTTGCAGAAGTTGGGTGACCTGAAAAGTGTTTCATAGAAAGTTCTCAAAACCTGAACAATCACAGACCCCTTTGCTATTGGCGCTCATGAAGTGCACATTGTTTGGCATTGTCCGCAAAAGGTCGAGATTTATTTGCTTTTGATGAACGTCCGAGTACTGTAACGAAATGATTTTGTGCTTCTCCACTTACGAACTGTGTGTATGCACTCACAGTTTTTTCATCTTCCCCGCCTTGAATGTTGCACAAATTACGGTAGTAATACTTTCCGTACACGGTTTTCAGATCTTCTACCTGTTGATTGATAAGAATTCGCCAAACCGTCGCACGCAATGAATTTGGTATTCCCCTCCTGCACATTACTTTTGTTTCCGGCTGGAATGCAATTATGTTTTGCTAAGCAACTTAAATTAGGCCTACTGTGAGGTCGATGAACTCATTCTCTTCCAAAAAGTGCTTCCAGTTCTGTTTATGCTCATTCGCTGGTTTGGAGCGGTTAGAATAGAAATGATTGAGTTTGGTCGCCATGTAATGGAGAGCAATTGGTTCTTCTTTCAAGTTGATTCGAAAACCGAACGAGTCCACATAAATCCCTTGGAGCAGACTTTGAAGTGTCGGAAGACTGGGATCGTCTTGTCGAGCTTCTGCCATTAACTGGATCAATCGGGATTTGTGCTGAAATTGAAAAATTGATGATAATCTAGTTGAAACGAGGCAGTCTCTTACCGTTTCGCCTCCCAGCAACTTCATAGACATAACATCCATCGCCGAGTTGTCATGAAGTGGGATCCGGATTGTTGACTGGATCGCGTACACATAATCGCATCGCAACAGTTGCAATTCCTCCGTCAATCTCTTGTTCTCCCTGTGCTTCTTGTCATGTTTCAACAAGGAAATGTCTGAATTCCACTCACTTTTTACTCCGGCTACTTTGCATTTCAAGAATCTCACATTTTGCACTCATTCTCAGAATTTCCGAGTTCAAAAACTTGTTCTGTGCGGATAAAGTATCTCGGTCACTTCCACTCGTTGAGTCCGCCCGCTTTCTGTTATAAAAATATGATGAAAATGTGAGTTTGGTGACCTCAAACTGACCTCATTTGTTCAATGTGCATCGTCATCGAGTTCATTTCATGTTTCATTTCCTCAATTTTCCTCTTCTGATTGTTTGTAATTTCGCGGAGTTGATCAAGTTCCTCACTCTCTGCTCTGAAAAAATACAGTTTCTCTACAGTAGTGTAAAATCGAAATTCGCAAACCGTTCGCTCTCGCTGCAAGTGTCAACTTTACTGTGATTCGTGGAAGTCGGTGTGGCTGGATCGGTGCAAGAAGCGAAATTATGAAATGTTTCGTTTGTCAACCAATGCGTCACCCAGTCGTCCATTTCTTCATCCGGCAAGTAACCTTCCTGAAAAATTTTGACTCAAAATCTGATGCACAAAAGAGCAAACCGCAATATCCGGTGGAGGCATGATGAAGTTTCTAGCTGTCACAAGGTTGCGGGCGGGCACCGAATCTGTAAACAAACGTTTCGAAGAAGGACAGTTTCTCAGGGGTTACGTTTTCTGAATGGTGGTATATGCTGGTCTGTGGCAGGTGGGGTCGACTCTTGGTCCTGCAAAACAAAGCATCAAAAATCACAAACAATAAAACAAATAGGGCTGGGCAAAAGGCCGTTCCAGGCTTTTCGAAGTCCTGGACTTTTGGCCCACTTGTAATAATCCAATCGGACCCAAACTCGGGTCCTCATGCTTTGAGAACAGAAAATTTGGGTCCGATTGGATTTTACTAGGCCAAAAATCTGAAATGGCCTTTTGCCCCGCCTTTGATTGAACAGACGAATAACTCACGGGAAGGCTTGAGCTCTTTTTCACAGGTCTATGCGTCATCATCTGATATTTGGCCCTCTCAGCTTCAGAGTACCGATTGCAGAAAGTTTCAAGCCAAGCCCGACAAGACTCCTCGTTGTCCGCCTCGAACTCGATGCTTCTGCCGGAGATACTGGAAGAACTGAACAGATATGACGGTGCATTCTGTTTGTTCAGGGATCGGCGTGTGATTCAGCGGATACTCCCGGTCGGAGCACGCGGATTCCCTTTGTTCCCTTTGTTTCAGTTTTGTGTTTGTTGCCGGTCTCTTACTCGCACATAATGCGCACGTATTGCGCAATAACAAAACGGAATTATGTGGGTGGTTGTGGTCAGACTTACTGTAGAATGAAGACCAGGTGATTTTTCTCGTCCAACGTGATGACGGCCGTTGAAATCGGAAATGCTCCGAGCGGCTCTCGATGTGCGGTGAATTCCACTTCGGTCTTGTGATAAACAAGCTCTTCGGCGATCTCGTCGATCGCAAAATAGAATCGCCGCCGTGGTCTCCATAATGCCAGAGCTGAATATAACAATGAAAATTGTGTAGTTATTACATTTTTTCGATAAATTCAACAATAGGTCTCGTCTGCTGTTTTTTGCACCCGATTTAGAATTCTATAGGGTCTATTCATTTGATGTTACAACCAAAGAGGTCCTAACCGAACTGTTTTTGAATGAAATTATCTGAAAAAGTATAATTTTACATGAATTGATTTCTTCGAAGCATTCCGGCCGGGTCGGTCAGATTGTTCCAACTATGGTTCCAACGTAGACTAACTCACCGCCGCCCAGATATTTCATATACAGATATCCAGAAATCGAATAAGCATGTTGGATATCATGAAGTTTGGAAGTCATCTAGACGGTAAATAGTGTGGATATCATGGGTATTGCGAAATCGTTCGTTTCGCTCAGCTGAAATGAACCAAAACTGATAAAAGATGGGAAAATGGGAGAATAGGCAAAAAGTGTCGATTGAAGCAAAACAAAGCCAGAAAAACTAACAATATTTCAGCAGGGTTCCCGGAGAGAATCGTTTGCAAAAACGATAAATAGACCACAAACAAGAAACGAACACATTTCAGATTGAAACATTAAAACTGTTTTACGAGTTTGCTGAACGCACCCCACCCATCTGTTACCGCGATTTGGTGGTTTCATTTCATGTCCAGTCCGCTTTCAACAACAAAAAAAAGGGTGTATACTGATTTTTGAATCGAATCGCAATCGCAATTGAAATTGGAAGAAAACAAGTTGGATCATCGAGCTGTTATGATCGAACGAAACTTCGGTTGGCATTTAATTTCGAGTGAACTAAACTGAACAAAGATTATCCATGTCCCGTGCAAACGGACACAATATTGAAAGGATTTCGGCGTTGCTGTTCAAATATGGCGCAGACAGAGTAATAAACGAGAAGCGAAAGGCCAGAGGGGAAAAAGTTAAACAAAATCACGCAAAGTGAGGAGTGCCATGCGTGTGAACGATATGAATGGATGGACAATCTGTATGTGGCTCCCATTGTTCCGGTTTGCTTGTTTCACTTTGCATATAACAGAAAAACGATTGTTTTGGCTTGTTTCCCATGAATTTTGAAATTCAAAAGCTGTACATATTGTTGTTTATTGGAAAGAAAAGGACAAGGAATACAAAATTGAACAATTATCACCCGGAAAAAACTGATGTAAAACACTTTCAGATATCATCGATTACTTTCCCCATGGGCATTCTGGTCCCATGCAGGGTCCCAAGTAGAATCCATTGTCGCGGTTTCCGAGCATCAAGTTTCCATAGCTGTCGTAGTGCCAATTCGAGTTCTGGTAGGATGGGTAGGAGAGCATGATCATTGCTTGACTGATGTTGATGAGAATAATAAAGAAAAAAAGCATTTGTGAGAGGAACTGCATAGCTTGCAAACTGTTGAGTGAGTTGATGACTTTGACACCTTCTCAGATGATGCTTTTATACCCGCCAGGCTATCTTCTACTTTGGTGTTCTTCAATACATTGTCATCATTAGAAGAAGTAGCATGATCGAGTCGTCACTATCGTCATCATATACTAAACCACTGATATCACTAGAGTAATATCATCAGAACTGTGAAGCGTTGTAGTCAGCGACTACAAACGATCGGTTGACTACAACAGTATCAGTGGACGTTCGTAGAAGGTGATCAGAAAGCATTTCTTTGAATTCTTTTGTTCCGTGTTCTTCAGAGCTTTTTTCAGGTCAAGATCAGTTTAAATTGATGTGATAGATTTTACGACGACCGTACATTGATACCGATCGGCCTATCTGATTCCGAGATATTTGAATGTGAGCCCGAAAACCCCGGGGTTTGGAAAAATTGCGATTTTTCGGCTTTCGATTCTCACATCTCGAAAGTAAATAATCCGATGGGTAAGCTTGGATCTACTTGCCAACTAACCTAATCATGAATATCGGAACTGTGAACTTTCGAATTCCTCTAACTACAGAGTCGCCAATCGACTACAAGTTGATCATTTGCAAGAGATTCATTGAACGCGGCTAGAGCGGAGAGAAGCAATTTATCACCATTTCTTGACATCGTTCTTTTGAATGAACCTTTTTTGAAGTCGAATGAAAATTAGAACACAAAGAACTACCAGTTTTTGATGAATTTGACGTTATCGAACAGAAAAGGCTAGTTTTGGTTTGCGGAGAGGTTGGAGAAACTGTTGTTTCGATGAATCGTTGTGTCAGGATTTTCACTTGCCATACTCTGACCGAACCCAAAGTTTGCAGGCGTCTGAGACTTGGATTGAAGTATCTTGGGTCCAAGTTTCACCCAAAGCGAATCGTTCACTCTGTAGATCAATAGATGGACAGCATTATTTGGTCTCTCAATTGTTTCGTCGAAATAACATCAAATCTGGGATACTGTCGGTTTTTTCTGACTGCAGCAACCGTCTTCAGATGACGGATAAAACATTGCGGTTGTGTGAGACGCTGTTGATTGATCGCTTTTTGATAGCATTTCTTTCAAGGATCAAAGACAGGTAGCGTGCAGAGAAACAAAACAAATGAAGTACAGAGAAGGAGAAGGAAGGGAGAAGGCCGTATTACACTGAACGTCACAGATGGTTGAGAACCTTTTCTGATAATCACCCTCGTGTCGGTCGGTGATAAAAGATCTTTAGCCAGTTTATTATATACCTTTCTGATGAAAATGTTCATAAAACTCTTTCTTTCAGAATAAAGAATGTGGCGTGAATTCATAATTCGCAGCGTGACTTACTTGTTGACAAAAAAGCCAAAGGTGCCGCAAGTTGAAGTCGAAGATCCACTCAAATATTGTCTTCTTCTCGCTGTGCCATTTCCAATGTTCTTCAGAACTTATAAATAGGTGAGTTTTTCACATCGAACATCGAATTATGTACTCAAAAGTTTTCGATTTCGAACAAAAAGTTAAAGTGCTCAGTTCACGACAAGTCTGTCTTACATAGCGTTGTCCTCACAGTCACCTGAACAGATTCTGACTCAGCTGTTTGGTGCGTGGTAGAAAATTTTCGAAGAAAGGTGCACGGCAGCAGAAATTCCAGATTTGATAGAGTCTTGTGGTCAATATTTACACATTTCACGAAATCGTAGTTCAAATTAGAAAGAACTACATATTTGTGAATTTCCATGATCACTTGACGTCTCATGTGCACACGCACCGCATAAGATTATGGTAATCTTTTAATCCATCTTTTTTCGTCAAACCTCTGAGTTCATCAGGCAAAGAGTCAGACTCCAATTACATTTGACGTCAAAAACGTTTTGCACACACGCACGCAAAAGAAAAACCGAAACAACCGGAGCAGCTGCCATCGTTTCCCTCCCCAGGCGCTTCTCCTTCTTCTTCATCTTCTTCTTCCGTCCATCATCACCATCTGCCATCCTACATCGTTTCCGTCGGGTCCAGAGACGTCCATCCCTCCCTGCCTCTCTCTCTCCCATGGCACGACACAACACAACACACGTCCCTCACCCCCAGCTCCCTCTTTCCCTTCCGCTACCCTACCCCCAGGCCGTTCTGACCGTCCGCGTCTCGTCTTGTCCCATCTCTTTCCATTGGGGCTCCTAACAGAGAGAAGAAGAAGAAGAAGAAGAAGAAGAAGGCGGGTAGGAGACGGGAGACCCCCCAAGCAAGCAATTCTTCATGGTCCGCTCACTCTGGCTTCCTCACGGCACCCCCTGCCACACCCGAAATCTCCGCGCAAACAGCGGCACGGCCCCCTCCCGAATTTCTCCATTCCATTTCCTTGCCAATCGTCTTCCACAAGACTGCTTCTCGCCTTTTTTCTTTGTTTTATACAAAAAGGAAGGTGGTAGCGGCCCACAACGTATTCTCGGCTGTTTGAACAGAAAAAAACCACAGATGGTGTGTGTTTGTTCAACTCAACGTCGCGTTTCTTCATGTTTCTTCTGCCCCCCACAAGTTTTTGAACAGGAAATGTTTTCTTTAGTTTGAAAAACGGCCTTGATTAGCAATTTTTCTGATTTTCCGCGCGTTTGCTTTCTTTTTCTTTTGCCTTTAAGAGAAAGCAAAGAGCAGACTTTTCCCTATTTCCAATTAAAGCAAACGTCCATCACCCCGTGGTTTTTCCCAATTCTCCATCGGCCCCGTCATTTCCTCTGAAAACTCTCTCACTTTTTCTCACTTTTCTCTTCTTCTCCCCTTCCCATCCACTCAATGTCATTAAGAGAAAGGGAGAGAGAGAAAGAGAGAGAGAGAGGGAGAGTCGGTGCTCTGGCTCAATGGTCGCACCTCATCAAATATTCAATGTCTAAGCGTACATCTTCTTGTTAAACCTTCTAATTTCACGCAATTTTCTCTTTTCAGGGCTCAATGTGAGAGATCGATTCTTCAGACGTCCTGGGCATTTATACTTTCATTTATTCATTGGCTGCACTTACCCGGATATGATGTAAGTTCCAGAATTTTGTGACTATAAGCACGCAATCCTTCCAGAATCTCAAATACGCATTCACGAACCTTCCTGCAACAACAACACGAAAAACTGATGTGATGAAAATTCTGTGATTGGAGACGACGTGCAGCTTTAGCGATTCCCTTCAGTGCGCGGACTTTTCTGGAGCCCAACCACTCAACTCTCGCATAGCTATTCCTCATCCCCGATGCGATTCAATGTGATTAACTCATCTGTTTTACTATTACCCCTCCCTTTGCACTCCGTACTCCAATCGTGATTCAAAATTTTTAACAATTTTCCCGACTTATTTGATGAATACCGTGATTCTACGAGATTTTTCAGTGTTTTCTGACCCTTCAAACATTTGAATTGTACGAAACTCTGACTCATCTTGATTATTAGACCCAATAAAGCCAATATTTAATCAAGCACCTCGAAAAAGTGACTTTGAAGACAAAAAAGATCGAGAGAAAGAATTTTTCAAGTCTTTTCAGGAAAAGTTATTTGCATGGCAAACAGAGCGTGAAATAGGACGGAGATGACGCATTCATAAGAATTTTTCCAGATTTATTTGACGGAATGGAATTGAATAAAGGTGGAGACGAAACTTTTTTCATTTTTCACTTCTCCATCCATCTTTCTATTTGATCAGTTTTCTCCGTGAAAACTTCCACTTCTCTCCGTCAACTGATCGCATTTCTAACATTTTCGAATTTTCAGAAATATTTTTCAGATGAATCTAAATATGTTACTTCCCCCGATAATGGTTCAGAACCACGAGGAACAACGTCACACAATTACCCGGAAACGGATGGAGCGATTTTCGACGGGCGGACAATTATTATCTGTGACTGACGTGGTGAGTGGCGGAATGACTGATGATGATGATGGTTGGGGGATGAAAAGGGAGAAAAGCCCTCAGATGATGATTACTGGTTATTATACACAGAAAACGACACACTTTGATGATAATCCAGCGACACTTCCAATTGGCGGCGGCGGCGGCCGATACTATTCGAATAATAGGAACACGTTCCGCGAGGCGGATTATGACACTGTTCATACCTACCGTAATCTACCGGAATCACGACGCGACGAGACTTATTATAATATTCCGACGGATCGGGAAAGAAGAAGAGAAAGAGAGTATCCCATCAAAAGTATGCATTTTGAATTGAATTTTGATGAGTTATTCATGAGATAAAGAAGAAAAGAAGGAAGATGAGCAATCCATAATTTTTAGAAATTGACAGAGTTGTGCCGACTCAAATTATCCGGGAGTACAGTAGGAATGATGCTCCGGCTCCGGTTCCGGTTCCGGTTCCGGTCTCGAACTCAGAATGGAAAACTACAGATTCCTACGTTCGGAAGACTTCAATTCTAAAGTAAAACACCCTTGACAAGTGTCACTGACAGTAGTTTTACATTCAGAAGTGCAAAATCGGGACCCACCTGCCCTGCCGGAACTTATCCATCTAGCACCAGCACCCAACGAGTGGAATGGAGGGAACCATTGGATTGTCTCATTGACAGAATGAACAGAATCCGAAGTTCTCTGGCATGTCCGTCTCTGGAACCTTCCGTGAGGCTGGCTGACATTGCTGCTCAATGGGCTAGGATGTTGGCGATCAGAGGAGAGTTTAGGTAGGTCCCTTTCCATTTTTCTGTTTACCTTCTTTACCTTCCACTTCCATTTTTCAAGTCTAATCGAATTAGCGTTCTTGAGAACAACATCTTGAGAATTCGTTCAAGTGTTGTTTTGTACAATCTAATGTTAAAAGTTAAAAGTTCAAACTTTGACCCCTCGTGGCTGAACAAACACATTTCCAGAAGCGACCGGGATCGTTGCATGAACATCTGGATGGGTTCTCGGGTCACCGACTCCATCGCCGACATCTGGTGGGACGAGGCGGAGGAGTACGGTACCCGCAACTTTCTCGACGATCAATCCCTTTCTTGGGTCGGCGTTGCGAGCGCATTCAGCGAGCAAACCCGTCAATTCATTGTTGTTGCGGTGTACGAATGATTTCTAGCTATCATGTGTTCAGTTTTTTGCTCTTTCCCGGTGTAATGGACTGAGTGTCAGTTTCGTAGGCGTTTTGAGTGTCACCTGTCGTTCATGTTCTGCAAAGAAAAAAAAAGAAAAGAAAAGCAAAGTAAAGCGAAAAAGTACATCGAAAATCGGAACTAATCGTGCTTTAATCCTCTTCTATTGTTAGTCATTCAAAATGGAAATGCAATGAAATTGTCTGTTTTGCCTGTTTTAGCTTTTGGTAAGACACTGACATGGTGCATCGGAAGTTTTGAATTTCCTAGTCTTCTCTGGATTTCGCAATTCCAACAATTCCAACCATATTCAGGACTCGTGAATCACGAGGATTGTGAAATTAGAATTTGTGCTCATTTCGAAACATCCTACTTTTTCAGTTTATTCTCAATTTTCAGTTGGAACCGGGCGGGTAGGATCACGTTTGATACAACAAACAATGATAATAATTGCAAAACGAATGTAACCCCCAACGAAGGATCAATCATTCTCTAATCAATCAATCGAACAGATTGGCGGGCGGAATTGGACAGCTAATCAAAGTGCGTTGCCGACGTGACACCGCGACGACCCGCCGCCAACCCCCGCCTCTCATTCCAATCACTTTTTTTTTGTTCTTTTGCTTTTGCCGTCGGTACAGAGTATGGCGCGGCGGTGTCTTGTATTTGCATACCAACAACACTTGCCATTGTTTCTTCAACGCGCGCCCGCTCTCACTCACTTCTACCCTTCCTCCCCACTCTTATCACTTTTGTGCGTGTGTGCGTGTGTACCCACTGCCACCTCGCCTCTCTAAAACATTTCGTCATCGCGCAATTTGTTTAGACTCTCATTAGTTATCAGGAAATCAAGAAGTCGAAGCAAGAAGTTGCAATCCGCTCTATCTCTGAAGATTTCTGACCTACATTGGGCCCGGCGGCGGCGTTTCATTTCACATTTTCGCGCACGTTTCCCCCCATTTTCTGTTCCTCTTGTCTTGCATCCAATTCATTCGTTGATGATGTTGATGATCCGGAGGGAGGGGGGCGGCGGATTAGGATGAAAAAAGAGGAAAACATTCTTTGATCTATTTTTCCATTTCCACCATCCTTTCAGGTTTCCATCCGTCGATTAGTTCGTTCCTCCTGATAATTGATGAAGGCCTCTGTGAATTGGGAATAGCTTGTTTACTCTTACTCCTAGCAACCACGTCTAAATACTAATGAATTCGCAACAACACGGGAGCTCATCAAGTTCTCTTCAATATTTCATGTTATACCAGCAAGCTCTTCTTCTTCTTCTCCCATTTCTTTTTCTTTTTCTTTTTTCCACCTCATCCTCTAAGACATTCGTTGAAAGTGGTTTGGTTTCCTGTTCTCCTGAACCCATTACTCGAATCGAATCGAATCGAATCGCGCACAGGTAATGAATAATAAAACGGTCTCACTCTAAGTGTCTGGAGTGGTGTGGCATTGGGTACCAATCGGCACTAGCCGGGAGGAAAGGTCAAATGAGCCTGTGTGGGTGCCCGCCGGTAAGACTCTGCCACCCATACAAACAACAGACCGTGTGGTGTGGCATGTGGTGAGCACACCACCCCCTATTCATATTACACCTCTCCCCCTCTCTTTCTCTCTCTCTCTCTGCCTTCCCGTTGACCCCTTCACCCTTCCCGTCACACCACTCTTAACCTTTCCTCTCCCGTCAACGGGTGGTGTTCCTGCGCATCTCGGCACACATTTCCGTTTTTTTTGTGGTGCGGTTCGACTTGAAACGCTCATCTGTCATTTTCTTTTGCCCTTTTACGAAAAGAAGAAGAACGGGATTCGGGGAGTCATAAATCCGTTTTTTTGTTGGTTTTGTTGGAATTCGAATTCTTGACGTAGAGGAATCTGTGACAACTGACCTTTGAATTCTAGAGCTCAATTCTGTGTTCCGCGCTCGGACCCACATTTTTTTCAATTTCGTGACGTTCCGCTTTCCAATTCGCCCGTCTCCCCTCCCCATTCCAAGAACTCTAAAAGTCACGGGGGTACATTGCGTTCCATTTCTTCACGCTTGACATCAGAAGCCAAAAAGAGCACGCGACGGTGTAGTGCGTGTAATCAATATTTAATTAAAAGCACACATTTGCACTCTAGGCCTTCCTTCCCGCTTCCATTTTCCTCGCCATTCGATTCTATTGTTTTACCCGTTTTCGTCTATCGTTAGCTGCAGAAGCAGTAATTGCTATGCGTGCTTTTGCCCGTCTCTTTTTAACATTTTGGGTACACACAACAAAACAGGTTCACTTCAATTTGACCACAAGTTGAGTTGTAACATGAATAGACTTGTAATCGTATTGCCCTCCCTCTTACCCCCAGTTTCCCTAACCGCTTCCATGTACTAGTTTCAATTTTGTGCGCCCGTTGGTCGCGCTGTCTTCGCTCCCCACATTAGTTGTTTCCAGACTCCACCTCGTAACTCATCCGTATCCCCCTTCTCCATCTGTTTCGAATTCCTCCTCTTTTCCTCATTATGCTCTCCTTTTCGTCCAATTGTCTTCCCTTTTGTTTTGGTCACTACCCCCTTCTAAACCCAGCTCATTTCCACATTCTCCGGCTTCCCATCCTATTTTCACGGTCTCATCATAATCCCGTCGATGGAAGGGGAAAAGGGCGGAAGGGTGGCTCCTAATGAAACCTATCACACATTTGCCGTTTTTCCTGATGTGCCTAGCCTATTTTTGACGAGCACGGGGAGCCGGATTTCGAGAGAAAAACATGATGAGTTTCCTGCGGAAGGAAGATATATGGGCGGTGATGTTGAAAAAACATAACATCCGTCTGGAAGTTTGAGACCACTTTTTCTGTCTTATCGGTGTTTGTCACTTATCAAAATTCCAGGACTAGGAAAAAGGCCGACCCAGGCTTTTGAAGGCCTATACCCAGTTGCAGGCTTTTAGGACTAGAATAGAAGTATCTTGGTTCCAAGTTTCAGACCGAATGGATCATCTGGTCCCGTGATATGTCGACGGGACGCCGAAAGAACCGAAATGCTAGCAAAACATTTGACATTTTTGGTCTTTGATGCTCATATCTCAAGAGTAAAATATTCAATCTGTCTGGAACTTGGTCCCAAGATACTCTAATCCTAGTCCTAAAAACCTGCAGAATTTGAGGCTTCGGCAGGCCTTTTGCCGAACCCTGTAAAAATTTGAAAAAATTGTGTCGCTGTCAGAATCTGCTAACGAATTTCATGTGCATTTCTGAAGTCAATTTCTTTAGCTTACACGTAGAATTTACATTGAAGTATGTTTACTCGAAAAATAATTTTAATATCCGGTAGGTTGCCGTGAGCATATTCTGACGACGCAAATTTTTCCCAATTTCCTCATATGTTCAGAGCATTTTTAGGACTTTTCTAGAACCGACATTGCCAGGTTCTCCCAAATTATTTCCCATTTTCATTCTCTCTCTCTCTCTTGCATTTTCAATTCTTCTTCTTCTTCCAACACACTACCCGTTCATTTCATTTCTTCTTCTTTAGGATACATGCACACTTGTCACTCCTGTCATCAATTACTAGCCTACTGCCCCCTTTCCCAATTCTTGTTCCTACTTGATGAATGAATTGTCGTCAGTCAGTATCCAATTCAAGAAAACGAAAATCGTTGGATTCTCGATTCCAAATTCGGAGGGTATTTTCGAAGGCTTCCCCATCCGCAGATCCCTATCGTCGATGTCAATTTGATGAATCTTTTTCATATCTGATTTCAATTTCATCAACGTCGGCGGCGACGGCGACGACGACGCCGACCGCCGTCACTCATGAAAACCGAAAGAGGCGGCGGCGGGTAGATAGAGTACAAATCAATCCAAGCTGCACTAAATGCAAATTGGTGGCAGTTATGTGATGTACTAGACCGCCATCCTTGTCTATGTCTCTTGCATATTCGAACCGATTAAAAAAGGTCCTGCAAACATCTTTTGTAAAACGAGAGGCTTCCTTCCATTTCCACCTTCTGCCAGTAGGGGCTTACTAGGGGATTAACCCGAGTGCCCTCGACTCATCAAACCATTTTTCGAACCAAAGAAGAGAAACAAAAACATTTTTGTTGTTTTCAAAGTCTCGTTATTTAGTTGCAAGCGCCCTTCGGCCAAACATTTTTAGAAAGTGCAATTCCGCTAACTATTTTCGGAACAGAGCGATTATTTGCTTCGTAAATAAGAAATACATCAGAACATTTCATTAGAAAAGAAAACGGCCACTTTTTCTGACGATACTATTTACGGTTCCGGTATTTACCCTATGCACTTTTTGTTTGAAATTTTTTCTCACAAGATGGCACAGCATCCATCATCAAACCGTCAACACGACATCTGGTGTTTGCGTGCAGCTCGTCGCTCATAACTTTGCTGTGCCAGGAATTTTCTCTGATTTTTTTCAAAAAGAAAAAATTGGCTCCGATTAAGAAGCTTATGAACTATGTACGTCTGATCTTTGCATCTCAACTCAAAAAAGTTTTCATCCCAAAACGGGAAATGAAAGGTGTCGATGTCCGATGTATTCAGTTTCACTCGGTCTATTTGCCATCCCATTTCATCTCGCCCCTCTTTTTCCTACTCTGTTCATTCCTCCGCTCCGCTCATTTGTCATTCTTCGGTCTTGAACAGTGTGAACATTCAAAATAAGTGCACCAAATACATATAAATGGCACAACACGGAGTCGAGAAGGAAGCGGAAAGGAAGGGCGACCAAAGAATTGCACAAAGAGCACACACCTTGACGCCTCAAGTGCTCTTTTCCTTTTCCTTCTAATTGTCAACTTTTACACCACCGTTTCTCAGGTTTCTTGGAGTTTGAGTGGTGAGTGGTGCGCAGCGGCTCAAATGACAGTAATTGGAAAGGTTGTGAAAAGAACCTGGTGCGTTTCAATGATTTTCGGAAACTTTTTTGCCTCTTGAATAGGTTTTCTCACTCTGAGACTTCGAATTCACTTTTTTAAAAAAGAAGAGAAAAAATACAGTTTTAGACAAATCTTGTGAGACCCGGCGAAAAGGTTTGGAATTCCGAATATTTTCCGCACACCCCTGGTTCCAACTACAAATACATCAAATTCCAACATTCGCAACTTGTTTTATATCAACTCTTTCCACTTCTAAGTCTCTTCCATCCCGCGGGAAAAGAGGATTGCAGAACAAACCTCAAGACGATCTCCACCTCTTTCTATCTCTCTCTCTCTCTTCCTCAACCTTTTTTTCCGCGGGACGAGAAAAGTGTGTTGCTTCGTCATTTCGGTGCCCTTCTCTTTTTCTCTGTTGTTTTTTTTCGCTTGTTGACGTCCCACGCAGTTTCTATCTCATATCTGTTCTGTCACACGTTTCCTATTAGTCACCGTTCAATCAGCGAGTTCTCAGACATTGCTTGTTTTTTTTTTGCTGTTTTGGGATCTTCAATCTTGGCCAAAAATAGACATTCTTCCCTCTTCCCCTAGTTTTTTTTCCTTCTTCCAACCAATATATGTTTCTTGTCAATATCTATCCAATCTCCAAAGCTTTACAGATGTTTGTCGTGATTGAAAACAAACAGAGAAAAAGTGGTGGAAAAGAGTGGCGTAAACATATAGGCACAGATATATAGGCTTCCGAAACACATATGCTCTCCGTCCTTTCGGCTTCCTGTCATAATTTATCCGCTCTTCATTTTCTCCCTCATTTTCATTCATCATTTTGACCCATGATCCGTTTCCGCTACTATGCAGTGATGAGGTGGGCTGAGCATTGGTGTTGTAACTAATAATAATCATAGGGTGTCTTTTGGGAAAACAAGTTGGAAGCTGAAAACCGCAATTCAGTTTCAGAGATCAAAAAGAACCTCAGGGGATGTGTATCAGTTAGCAGGGGTGAAAAACAAAAACAGTTCCCGACCACTTAACCTCCACTTGCAACCAGTTCTCCAGTCTAAATCGGTGCGTCACACTCGGACACATTCGCATCGAGGTACTTGAAAAAACCACCCCAAAAATATTGCGTGTCTTTTGTTGTCACGTTTTTATTCAGCAAGGCGCAGAACGTTGGAATCGTCTCTATCTATCTCTCTCTCTCTCTCTCTCTCTCTCTTTCTCTCTTTCTCTTTTTGTGTTCAAAACTACTGGTTTCGCTTCCGAGTTTCTCCCTTTTGCAATGAAAAGAATAGGGGGGATCACTTGTCATTGAACAAATATTGGGAGTTTGGTTTAGTTCACTAACTTCTGTGGTTCTGACTGACTGCAAACTTTTATACATACATACATTTCGAAACATTGCCATGTAATTGGTCGGGTGAGTCAGAGTGTAGTCTTTCATTTTTATTATCTCGACCGAATTGGGGATACGGTAGATTAGATTCGACCGACCCATTAGCAAAGTAGTACATATTTCGGTGCCCGCCTCCTGTATTTATTCACATCTCTTTCACCATTTCCTCTTCCTCCTTGTTCTCCCGGTTCTTTTCATTCACGTACATACACAACTGTGCACACAAACTTACACACAAATACAGTGTCCACTGCCATTTTACTAACGGTTTTGAATTGAAATGTGCCTAGATTACGGTAGGAAGTGACTCAACTTAAACTGAAGACACGGCCATTTTCTAGAACATTTCCTCACTGAAACCCATGAGTCATTGATAAATACGCTCGTTGCAATCGTTTTTCTGTTCCTTCAGTCCCTCATCTCATCTCAACTGATTGTTCTTTCAGTGATCCTCTCACATCATGGGCACCGAAACTGACATCGTCGCCAGATTCGACATCCACCTCGACGCCGGAGATGAGCCCGTGTTTAAGGGCGGCGAGCTGATCACTGGTAAATTGCTTATCGAACTCCGCAAACCGATCATCATCAACGCGGTCAAGTTGCAAATGAAAGGACGTGCCGCGTGGCTGAACGATCCGCTGAAGAAGGACGATATCGAGAAGGTAAGAATCGCGCATACATAGAAACGGGTGTGCTGCGAGCGGGGACTAGTGGTCAAAGAGTTGAAATTTCTAGGCCACGCTTGTTTTTCGCCACAAAATCTTCAATTTTCCTCACAAAAACGTTGTTTTTCCCTACGAAAATTTCATTTTTCGCAATGTGAAAGAGATTCTAGAAACGTGTAACCGAATTTCCCTTCAAATCACATCATTCGATGGCAATTCTCACTAATCTCCCTATTTTCAGGTCTACTTCGACCAGGACTTTACTCTTCTCGAGCGCCCGCCAGGCAAACCAGAGCCCGGACACTTCCAATGGATCGGAGACTTCACTTACAGCCTTCCGTTCGAATGCCCGCTGCCAAAAGGATGCCCGAGCACCTACGAAGGACCGCATGCGTTCATCAGATACTTCATTCGCGCCAGTCTCGTCCAGGAAGATGAATTCGAGAAGATTGTGAGTTTTTTTTAACCGATCTATAGGGAACAAAGGAAGCCTAGCGAGTAATTCATTGAAAATCGTCTGCTTGCCGTTTCAGTTGAATAAATAAGCGGTACCAACTCGATATTTTCCAAATTTCAGCATGAGTACTACGTGAAGAAGGCGTTCACACTCGTCAGCCCGTCGGAAGGACACATTGTCACCGGCGAATCGGCTCAGACTGAAGATTCGGCTATTCTCGGAAAGTGCTGCTGCAAATCGAAGCTCGCTGCGGAGCTCTTGCTGCCGAAAACTGGATTCCTGCCAGGAGAAGCCATCTACGGAAATCTGAAGATTGGAAGCAAGCATCCGAAGGATATTCTCAATCACGTGAGTCAATTTGTTGTCTTCCAGCACAACGACAATAATTTTCAGATGGAAGCCAGACTCGTCGACCGTGTTCGTCGCATCGGTGCACCGGAAGTCGCTGCCGCTTCTCCGTGGAGGACGCTGTTGGTCAGAAAGTTGGAGACCACTCATGAGAACCCAGCCAAAACCAAGGGAGCCATCGACCAGCCCGGACTCTTCCTGCTCACCGTCCCGCCAGTCTGCCCGAGTACCAAGGGAGATCATGAGGACCCGTCGAAGATCGAGCACATCCTCAGCCCATACGGAAAACTGTTGGAGAGCCCATCGACCGCCACGCTCCGTTTCCGCAAGATTCCGTTCCTGAAGATCGAGTACGGACTCCAGGTGACTCTCGGAACAGACATCTTGCTGGAGATTCCAATCGAGATCGGCGAACTGTCCACCAGGGACAAGAGCAACACTTTGGAAGCGTTTGTGACAGGACCGCAGCCAGTTGAGGAGGCCGACGAGAAGGGGAAGATCGCCGTGAACGGACCATTCGTGTACACTCCAGTCTATCCGTACCCGCAGAATGACGGAGTCAACGGAAAGGCCATCACTGTGATCAACACGGATCCGAGCATTCATCAGAGCATTGACGGACCTGAGGTGAGGACATTTGGACTACATATGTTCTGAAATCTGACATGAACTTATTTTTTTCAGAAGACGATCGTCACCACTACTCGCACAATTGTCACCCACTCCGACGGACATGAATCGAAGACCATGGAGGAGACGGTTGTGGAAACTGAGGGAGAAGTTGTGAAGACCGTCCACGAGACTACTGTCGACGACGCGGGAGTCAAGAGCGAGAGAAAGGAAACTGTGAGTCATACATACGCTTTGAGTGAATTGCTCTCACGTTTACACGTTGCAGACGACCATCGATGCGTCTGGCGATGAGAAGCACTCTGTGGAGACGTCGAAGACGAGAGTGGCCGAAACCGCTGAGCTTCCTGAGGTTATCAAGGAGGCTCGCGAGAGAATTGAGCATCTCGTGGAACATCACACGGTAAGCCACATATCCAAAGAAAGGTTCATCCTCAAACAGGGATAGGCAAAACGCCGGCCCAGGGTTTTCGAAGGCCAATCGAGGCCTGGACTTTGGATCTGATAGAAGTCGAAATCCAGGCTTTGATAGGTTTTCAAAAAGCCTGGGATTGGCTTAGCAGGCTTTTTGCAGCCTTCCTGGATTGGAGTATCTTGCGACCAAGTATCAGACCGAACGAATCACTTAATCGGAAAATACACTGATCTAGAGCACAAAAACCCTGGTTTTTGCAAAAAGCCCATATATCTCCGGATCAGATAATCCCATCGGGCTGAGACTTGAACCTCAATTTCCTAGCTCTTCCCTGAACGATGAATGTTCCAGGAGCAAGCCGCATCGCCGAAAGTTTCTGAGCCCACCGTGGAGACAATCATCAACGAGAACGGCGAAGAGACGATCGTGTCGACGGAGATCATCGAGGACGGCGACACGCGGACCGTGAAGACGACGACGCTCACGAAGCACGCCGACGGAAGCGAGTCGACGCTGGTCCAGGAGAACACCACCACCGAGACGGTCACGACGAGCGAGGAGTGATAATATCATAGAATTTTCCAGTCAAAAACCAAGAAAAATATTTTTAAAAAAACCCCCCAACACCCACACCCCAAAAAACATAACACATTTACCACCCAATTACACCTACTCTCCCTCCACAAAATGACTTTTCTTTCCAATTTTTCTACTCTCATTTCCACCTGTCTCCCTCTCTTATTCTTCCAAAGAAATGTGAACATATAGTCAAGAACACCCACTTTTTCGGTAATCGAAATTGTCATATTCCCCCATATTATTCCCCTTTTTTACACAATGAGCTCGGCCCACAATCAATTTATAAATGTTTTGCTTCAATCCGGTGATTCGTCACCATAATTCTGTCCTGCTTTTCGTTCGTTCACATATCCGTATTTCGTTTGTGAACCTTAAATTTAAAAGAAATTGGAATCAAAAAGTTTTGAAAAACTGAAATCTGCTGAAATATTCTATTATACACTTCAATAAACATGCTTTGGAGAATAACGTTGAGTTGAATTTAATTGAAAAAGCGCGAGTTCATCAAGATAGTACATAGTTAGTCTGTCGGACGACTTTGCCGCACTCCTCCCAATGTTTTGGTTTTAAAGTTTTTTGATGGCCTATACTTTTCACATTGCTTCAGACGCCAAACGTTGTTACTACCTCCTCCCACTCGACGACCAAGAAGAACTTTGATCCAATGCTCAGCACTTTTTTATTGAATTCAGATCATTTGATCGTTGATTTCATGTGATCTCATAGACTTTGGAAGCCCTTCATTCACAATTGTCTCGTTTGAAATTCGTTCTTAAAGTTTTTCTAATTCCGGAAGGATTAGTGCTCGACAAGTCTTCTTTTTTGTTCGTTCTTGTAGCAGTTACATTGTCCTTTAACTTTTTCTTTCCCTAGATTGAAGTTTGGGTCTCTCCCAGAATATAACATTTCTGACTAAAGTTATAACATTTATACGTACATTTTCCCAGAAAGGTTATAGATTTCGGCCCAGGGAGCATACATATATAATTCATTTTTTCTTCAAACCCTTCTCAAAAAACAGATTTGCTAAAAGATCTTTCGTAAAATTGTTCTCATTCGATTTATGATTATCAGAACACTCTCAATGTACAACTGGGTGTAAAATTGAAGAAGGCCGAAGCAATCTGTCAAATACAAAGACTGACAACCCCCAGTTTTTACCACATGTTCTTCTTCCAGAAGATAAGAAGGTCCATTCTATAAATCATAAAACGTAGTGGATAGCTTCCTCTTCTGCCAACAATTCTGCCAAGAACGGCCGTGTCTTATTCATCGACGTTGATGGGGTGGATGGGAGACAAAAGGGAAATGGGTGACAGCGAAAGAGGTCCATCAAAAAATGTTGTTATTGGATCAATGAGCTCTCATTCTTTGATTCCATCATCGCGTCGCCGGTGTGTTACATCGCTAAGTGCAAGTGTGTGGGGTGTTCTATGAATGAAAAGAGAGGACGTCAGTACAGGCAATGAACGGAAGTTCAATATACTTTTTTGAGCATAAGCTGTTTAGATGTTCAGCAATTGACAACTGATCTTTGAGCGGTCGTCTTAACAAAAAACAGAATCTTGGCATGTGACAACTCACTCAAAAACCACAATAACCGAACAAGAATACCAACGTCAAACCAGACTTGTCGCGGGCCGGGTTTTAGTACCCATACTTGTGATCTTACGGCCCGGACGGCTTGGATCCTGCCTTTGAACACGCAAAATACGTTTTCCAGTTTGAACTAGCTTATTTCAATGGAAAAAAGCATTTTTCCGAGTGAAAATGCTGAAAAATCGTTCATTTTTTCCTAAATTCCGTGAGACACATTATATCAAGCCTCTTCTCCAGTACCTATCAATTATTCACCAAGTCAATCGTTCTCTCTCTCTCTTTCTTTCTCTTTCTTTCTCCTTCCATCTCTTCCACTATCGAAACAAGAGGTAGCCACCGGCTTTCCGCTTGTCTGTCCGCTCGTCGGTCGGCGGTCCGGGGGGGCGCGGGCAAGTGGGAACAGAACTAGCGGGTCCGAGTGAGAGACGCCGGCCGTGCACCAACTGGACGTGCGAGCCAGCCGGTGCCGGAAAGAAGAAGAAGAAGAAGAAGAAGAAGAAGAATCCTTCTTGCTCCTCCGGCGGCTCCATATCTTCTCCGTGTCTTCCAGCGGCCCGACTCTTCGGTGATATGGCAGAAAGGATGGCGGCCCAACAGCCACGAAAAAGATTGAAAAGAGAACGATGAGCAATCAGAGGAAGTGTGTGTGTGTGTATGTGTGTGTGCTGGACACTCTCTGTCTCTAGGAGCCTTTCTTTTCCGTTTTCCGCAACCTCTTTTCGTTCTCCTATCTCTTCTCCCTCGTTTAGGGTCCTGGCGCCTTCTTATCAACGCGTCGGATCAATTGTCATCAGGTTTTGCACGCAAAAGTGCACATTTTCCCGGTTTGGAGTTTCAAAGTACGGTAACCTTGCTATTCTAACTCAATCAGACGTCTGGATACTGAAAAAGTTCAATCTCTGAAAAGTATAACTCTTTGACTTTTGAAGTTGTCCGTGCCTTCTCGCAGAACTCTACACGAACGCGTGAACATTCAATTCCCTCCCCCTCTCCCCTTTTCACAACCAAACAATGTTTTCGTCTGCTCCCCCAGTCACGTACCGGAAATGTAATTTTGAAAAGAGGGCCTTGAGAAAAGGAGAAAAGGAGGCAGAACATAATAAGCGATTATGACCTCGTCAGTTGTTTATGTGTGGCTCCCAGTGTCCTCCGCCACTTCCTTTCCAACTTTTTCTCAATTTTCAATTTCTAAACAACTTTCGGTAGTACTCTTCTTCTCCTGCTCAGAGGCTTCACTCAGAATGTCGAATGTTCGTCACCGATGAGCTCAATCGTTTTTATTGTTTTATTTACAAGCGTGATGTCTCGTCTCATCCGGGTGGCGGCGGACAAATTGTTTGAACCTACTAGCGTCCGAAAGTTAAGTGTGTCATGCATCATTCCTTTAATACATTCTGACATGCGCCCTGTCATTTATAGCAGGAAAAAGCACGCATGCTCGCTCTAGGACATCATTAACTATATCCTTCCCTTTCTCCTTCACATAGATTCATATTTTGAAGCACGGAACTAACAAGTTCTTGGTCCCTAGTCCCTCACCCCTAATCCTCTTATCTCTGGTCCCTGGTGGAGTGGACAAGACTATTATCCGGAGTTGTTCGGTGGCGTGGTCCAGTGGAAATGTTAATGTTATCATTTGCCTTTTTGTTTAACAATCCCTCGCTTCAAAGTGTGTCCGTTCGTCTCCATTGTTCATCATCAATTTGAATTGGAGAAAGGGGGACAGAAAACGGGTGTAATAGTTTCGAAGTCAGGAACAAATTCTTCAACTTTATCTGACACCTCAATCAGAGCCATAAGAGCCATTGAGTAGTGAAATGAGGTGAAAAAAGTCTTTGTGCACAAATCATTTTCCATTGGTTCTGCTTCTTCTGCTTTGTTCCGTCAAAACCTTCTTCTCATCACTACCCTACCACTTTCTCACTTCACTTCACACTAAGGAAGCGACTGCGAAGATAAAGAAGAGCCATTTGTTTTGATTTTTGACGAACTGTCCTTCTTTTGTTTATTCTTCAATTGAGCCCACTTTTGCTGGTGTTGGTCCCCCCCGAAACGTTTTTGAAATTGCTCAACGTTGTGACGAGAATAGACAACTTTTGTTTCGACGGAGGTGGGAGGAGGTGTCAAACGGCGATTGATTGAACCTTGATGACGCAACTGTTGACCAAGAACTTTGACACGCTTTGGTTGCTTTCTGGATTCAAAACATGTTCATCCAATCGAATTTTTCTTTTTTTACAATATCTATGAGCAAACTGCAGGTTCCAGTTTTCCAGAGCTGGCAAAAAACCTGTCGAGGTCTAGACTTTTGACCGACTTGCAATAATCTTGAAGGATCCAAAGTTTGCAAGTTTTTTGGACTTGGATCAAAGTATCTTGGGTCCAAATTTCAGATCGATCGGATTGGTTGATCTAGAGAGGCAAAGTTTTTGTAAGAATTGCGGCTTTCTCGGCTTCCAATCAGTATATCTGCAGATCAGAGGATCCTACAGGTTTGAAACTTGAACCCAGAACACTTCAATTCAAGTCTAAGAAGCGTGCAAAGTTTTGGTCCGATCAGATTACTGCAAGTAAGTCAAAAAGTCCGGCCCTCAGCAGACTTTTTGCCCAGTCTGATATTTTACTAATGTGATACCTTAGGACTGTTCTCTGAGGAACAAGGATGCTTTCAAAATCACTTGGTCTAAACATTATCCCATCCAAACCCTTACCAGTTCAATGAATTTTTCAAGAATATTTCCAAAAAATTTCTGTTTACTCTCCACTGTCACTCATGTGATTCCGAAACCCTTCAGATCGCCTAACGTTTTCTGAATTTCTCGCTCCACCAAAAACAGCATGAAAAAGAGAAATCCGCTACAAATCCAGTTGAAACCAATTATTATTTTTCTCTCTTCTGTCACCCGTAGGACACAAGTTCTTTTTTTTCTTCTTCTTCTCTGTATTGAGTGTGTATATTGGTGGCTCTCATCAGCCAAGGGCACACACGTATCCACACTCACTCACAACTCGGGGCGGCCTTGGCTCGTCGTCGCCGCCGCCGCCGCCACACTTGCCTGTCACTTATGATTTGACAATTTCGCATCTTTCGCCGCGTCCTCTTCCGCTATAATTATCGGCTTGGCTCGGACGCATGCCCCCAGGGCGCTGGCGGGGATAAAGGAGAAGAAGAAGAAGGGCTGACTTGCTGCTTTCGTCACAATGTCATGTTGCGTTGATTATGACGCCGCCACCGCTGCTGCCACGACCGATCAGTTGGTCGGCACGGCTCAAAAAAAAAGCGTTGGTTCCAATAAACTTTTGTGTACATTTGTTGTGTTCGAAAGTTGACATTGACCTATTTCTTTGTTACTTTGTTACTACTGTAAGCAGTACTGTGAGCAAGTAAGACATTATTAGACTATAAGCCCTACCGCTTGGTTTCTCAAAACTTTCGGAACACTATTCAAACCGTCAGACTTTTCATGCTGATCATATTAATCATTGCAATTCGATTGATCTTCCACCACTTTTCCACGCCAACTTTGATCGATACCCACACACACTCAGATACGTCGAGCGGATATGATATCGGGAGCAAGATGCACCTCAGACTGGGGGCTCGTGGAGAGTGGGGGGGATGCTCCCGCCGTCTTGCCTCCGACCCATTCCACTATCTCTTTTTTGATGATGCGTCTCGATTTAGGATTTATGAGCATGATCTGACGGACGGACGCGAGCACCCCCGACATGAAACAAGTGCCGCGATGGTTAGAGCGATGCGGTGCGGCCACAGAGAGGGAGAGAGAGGCAGAGGCAAACAACAAAACACCCTAATCATTTCCTCTTCTTATTTTCTTCCCATTCATTTTCTCAATTTGCGTGCAAAAATTGAATCGAAGGTACTTTAAGTAAGTAACTCGTCTTGCTTGGAATATTTGGGATTTGCACTTTTTTCTCCTTCTGTCATTTCCAGCCCGACTTGCCATGTCAGGCCCCTCAAAAAACAATAATCTCTGTCCCTATTGAAGCCGTCTTTCTTCTCCGCGTTTTCCTGTTTCTGCTGTTTGTTTGGAGCTGTTTCTCGAGGCATGTTTATGGTTGGATGGCTAGAAATGAAATTTCCAATAGACTCTTGAACGTTCTAGAGTAGCTAATCAACGATTGTCTTTTTCCTTTTTGTCCCCATCCATCTATCCACTCATTCCATCTTCTTGAGCCCCCTCCTTGGTTTCCTTCATTTTCGGGGCTGGGTATGCCCGCTCCCAAGTTAATCCAAAAGCTGTGTGGTGTCCTACGAATCCGCAAAAACATGCAACTCCTCCTCTTTTCTATTCGGGGAGATGCTTCCGAAGACACATCACATCAAAAATGTTAGGGTGGGTGGGAGGAGAAGACGGAAAAAGGGAAGACGATGTGGTAGATAGAGTAAGTTGGAGTAAGTTGGAGCTGAGCAAGCTGAGCGCTAGAAAAATGGAGCAAAAAGCGGTCCTTTCTCCTCCTCCCTCCTTATTCGTTGCTCTACTAGCAGCAATTCTATCAAAGGAGCGATGCGCATAAGTCAATCAGCTACAAGTGCATCGCACGCTCACGCTTCCTTAAAATCACAACTAATTGTGCAAGACAAGAAGATGAGGGCGGCACCGCACGCAACCCTTCCTTTTTTCCTCCCTCCTTTCTCGCCCGACTAGAAAATTGCTGCTGCTGCTCAGAAAAATCAGGGGGAACTTCTAGAATATGCTCTTTTCAGAAACGTGGCAGGTTAAATATTCTAAGATGTTGAACCCTGCCCGATTCTCGACAATTCTAGAGGACAGGAACTTTCTGCTATTCCCTACCGTAGAAAAATGAGATTCCATCGTCGTTTTCCTTGTTATTCATCCCCGCAAACCTACTCAAACGCTTTCTTCCCCGTTTCTAACTTCCACCAAAATCATATTTGTAGCGAGCGTCTTGCTCCTCCTCCTCGGCCCCGTCTTTTCTCCTCTTTTCAACACATCTTCCATCTTCATATTCGTGCATCCCATGCTCAAATTGTCTCCAGGGAGCTTCGCTCATCGGTCTCCAACCAACCAATTTCCAGTTTTGTTCGTTTTCCTCAAACTTCTTGTGCTCCATCTTTTTCTGCTCCTCTTATTCCCTTAACCGCCCCTTCTTCTTCTTCTTCTTCTTCCTCCCATTCCTATATTCAATTTAGCGGACGGACTTTCGGACCTCGAAAAGTCCTCAAAAGAGTCCTTTCGTAGGCTTCCTTAAGCCTTTCCTACTTACTTACCTACGATCCAAATGTGTCTTCTTTCTTATGCATATGCTCAATGCTTTTGTCCCGAATTTTTGCCGCATGAGTTATTCATTCATTCATTCCTTCCTTCTATCCTTCCAAATCCATTGTCCTCCATTCCTCCCCATTTTTCTTCATCATCACTCAATTATTTGTCGTCCGTCCACTTTTCATCACGCAACCACGTCATTTCCCCGTTTTTTCAGCGAACCTCCTCACCTCGACCACGACAAATCCACATTTTTCGTACAATACTCTCATATTTGTTCGATTGATACGATCACGATCAACCTCGTGTAGTATACTGGCTCATGGTAGCTGATATACTCGCTATGCAGTTGAAGGTTCGAACTTTTGCGGATGAAACTTTGTTTGCTGTTCATTTCACAAGAAAAACCGAAATACGTTGCAATTCCCCAGACGATTTGTATCAAAGAGGCTCATTTATACGAGTATTCTCGTCTGTCCATTTTTTACCCACATGGTGCATCGTAACACTTTCTGTTAACATTATGTACACTGTCTTGCCGTTCTTTAACCACGTTTTTGTAAAAACCAATCCAAAATCGGTGATTCATTCTGATTCAGAGGTGAGGATATAATGCCTGTGCGGAAAAAGCATGGTCCGTACGATATCATCGCTGACGATGTCTACGACTGCCGTATTCCACTCCATAACGAGCTCGCTTATCAACATGGTATCCATTTCGAAGCAAAGGTGAGTGAATCAGAGTTTTCCAGGAAAAAATATTGTCGAATGGCCCCGAGGGGATGGATTATCTTTGTCTTCTTGTCGACATCTTTTTTGGTGTTTCATCAATTCGGCGTGAGAACCAAAATCACCAATTTTAAGTCGGATTTGGACATTTTGTTTTTGCAAAACGCAGAGCGGCGACAACTTGAACTTTTGTGCGATTCGCTGAATTGAATTACTTTCCAGTCGAATAACAAAAGACCAGACAGCATCTGACGTTCTAAAGTACGTTTTTCATTTTTCAGTATGTCGGAAGCATGGAAATTCCGCGGCCCGGAACGAGAATTGAAATTGTGGCGGCGATGCGACGAGTTCGAGTTCGTTTTTTGCACTATCGGTAAAAAAGTGATTTTCGAATGTTTCAGTACGAATTCAAAGCTCGCGGCATCAAAAAACGTCCGGTCGACATTACAGTATCGGTCGACGGCGTCAAAGTTGTTCTTCAGCGCAAGAAACAAAAGGAGAAGGGTCTTTCTTGGGACGAGTCCAAGTTGCTCGTCATGTTCCATCCAATCTACAGGTTTCTACACTTTTTTCTAGACAAAATGAATAAACCGGGAATTTAGAATATTCTACGTCTCGCACGACTCCCAGGATCTTCAAATCTTTTCGTACATTGCCAGAGACGGAGCCAGCAACACGTTCAAGTGCAATGTATTCAAGTGTTCCAAGAAGGTCAGTTCTACCGCAATCCAAGAGCACTTATCAAAAGATTGAAAAAGATCTTTCCGTGGGAGTGGAGCAAAACGTTCAAATTTTCATTCATTAGGCACATCCTCTTGATGCTCGTGAATAACATCATGAAGAATAATGATGTTGATGTGCAGGAATAGAAAAAGAAGGTTCTAAAAGAATGAAGAGTCCAAACTGCGGACGTTTTAAGAAAAAATGTTACTGGGAAAGCATACAACTAAAATCTAATTATAAAAGATTTCGCGACGACCCCGAAGTTCTTCGATTTAGTTTCCGGTTGCAATAGTTGGAACAGACCGGGCCGGGCCAAAATCGAAGGACTCTGTAGGCCCGGCGCATTTTTGCACTTTTCCGCTTGAACAAGACGACTGAAGTTGTTCTCCAAACGCACAAAGTCCGCTACACATCCACATCTGCGAAAAATGCCTTCAAACCCTCGTTTTTTTCAACTTTTCATCTCTTCTCCCGACAGACAAAACAACTTTTCGTACCCATCAAACCGAATCCATGTTCCGTCGAGGAGTGTGACGGAGCAGGGGCCGAGTCGAATTTTCGAAAGCGATTCTTTTCACCCATCAAAAGTAGAGTCGCACTCGATGGTTATCCCCGCTCACTTCTTTAACTATGTGTCTATCCGTCGGCTGCCGTCATCCATCCGCACTTTTATCTTTGCCCGATCATTTATCACGCTCAACGTCAGAAGATGAATTTGATCTGCGTGCTGATCTATGAAAACGAAACGTGATTCGAGTTTCTATTCTTTGTTGTCAACGTGTTTTCGAAAACTTGAGGTTGATCTTCCTATAGTTTCTTCCTGAAAAAGGATGAGAGATCCGAATCCTGGCCTGTGCTTTTCTCACTTCTCGATTAGTAACAAATCACCTGCTCAAAGTAATAACTCAATTGCAAAACAACAAATTAATCATTATCTGTCACAGGTGCTTTCGCACTCCCCTCAGGATATCACTCCCACTTCCCCTCTCCCGGTCCTCTTTGAAGACGGGGCGCAAATTATTTTGCGATGTGATCACAACGGAAAAGCACACCGATTGCTCTTTTTCTCGCATTGGCACATTGGCACATCGAGCGTGCGACACACACAAAACGTGCCAATGTGCCATCATTCCTCCAGATCTTCTTCTTCTTCTTCTTCTTGTTTCTGCTCGAGCTCCGCCGTCGGGAGGCTTCCCTGCTCACACTCCTTCCCACGTCTCACTCAGAGTCTCTCGGGTGCCGGACGAGCGAGCGCCGCCGTCAATAATAATTAGAAACAGTTGGTTGCAAAATGGGTGGAGAGTGACTCCGCCTCTTCTCACACATACTTACAACCTATGCGCTTTTTTTGTTGTGTTTTGCTTTTGTTTTGTGCTGTTTAGCAATTTTTAGAGAGTCCGCTTAAGAAAATGGCGTAGAATTTCAGCCTTTCTATGAATTCAGAACTTCTAACTTTCCTACCCTACTTTGTTACATCTAAAACTAGAATTTTTCAATCCCCTTTCTCACCTCGCTCTTTGCAGAGCTCAAGTCCAAACGCAACACGAGAGCCCCGCCTTTTCCCTGTCTCTGAGCTCCCGGGACTCTTTCTCTCTCTCTTCCTCTCTCGTTTCACCGCTCGTTCCTTCCTACTAGTGGCGACGGCGGGCGGCTCCTGGCGGGCCTTCCCGTTGTATTTTCCTCCCGTTTTTCTTTTTCTTTTCCCACCACTGTCAAGAGAGAGAGAGAGAGAGAGAGAGTGAAAAGGTTTTATCTTTTTCAGCCATCCCAAAACGTCAGCTGCCAAAACGCAGCTCGACGCAAGTAGAAGAAGAAGAAGGAGAAGAAGAAGAAGAAGAAGGAGAGAATACATTTCTGCTTCCTCTCTTTCTCTTTTCTAGAGCACTCTCACTTCACGCAGTGCCTCAAAAAATCATCGAATCGGCAGCTAGAGAAAGTGAAACCATTGATTTTTTATTTCAATTTCACCTCCCTCCTCTTCTACTTCCAACCAGTGGCTACTACTATGATACTGAACTCGTTCGTCAAGACAATACTATAGTTGTTGTTCTCTAACATCGCACCATCATGATCCGGTTCGATCCGGACGAATGCTCCGAGATGAGCGAGGAGAAACGCTTCTACTATCTGCGACTGATGGCCAAACCGGGCGGAAAGCCGATCAAGACCAAGTTTGTGACGTGGTCTCGCGACGAAGATGTTGCATCCGCCTCGAATATTAGCGATCAACAGTTAGAGGTAACCTTTTCGCAAAGAAAATCTGAATTCACTTCCGGTGCTATTTTCGAAAATGCTACTTTACACTTTTTGTTGTTGCTCCTCGCTTTCTCGATAACGCAATCCAGATGTCGTTTGAGTTGACCTTTTTCCGTATGTTAAACTGAAACTGAAAATTGAACTTGAATTCGAATTTCAAAGCCCCCTAGTGTTGATGGCGCTGACAAAACATCTGGGTTCCCAAACAAATGAATGCAATGAGATATAAAATTACAACGTCAAAGATACTAAAATTCAAATCCCTTCCACTCCACTCCACTCCCACGTGATCAGATTCGATTAAATTGAACCAATTCAATAAAAATTTCCAAAGGAAAAAGTGTTAACCCATTTATTTGCAGAGCCAGGCAATGCGTGTTGTACGAACGATTGGACAAGCATTCGAGGTAGGCCAGGATATGAGTGGATGTCATCACATAATAAATGACGCCCATTATCGATGTACATAGTTGTCAGCTGCGGGCAGACACCGAGCTTCTCCCTCTCCCTCTTCTTCTGTCAACTAATCAATTCTCTTTTGATTTATAGGTTTGCCACAAAGTCGCACAAGATCAGATGCAAGAAAAACACGAGGACGACGCTGCTAAAAGCAAACGTAACATAAAATTGCTCGTTCAGTTCAATCCGGACACGTTTTGTACTGTTTCCAGTGTCCGTGCAATCTGAAGATGAAGCTGGACCGAACGCGTTGGATGTCATCGAAGAGCGTGGCGGACGAGAGGAGAACAGTCGGAGTTCGTCGCCAATGGAGGCGCCGCCCGTCGGAGGACCGCTTTATGGCAAACGATTGTCGCTGGTGAGTGCGGTTGCAGAAAAAAGAAACGCTCATGTGTCATTTGACACCACGCTCCGCTTGACAAGAAGATTACATGGGTCTGAGCAGGGCTCAAAGTAACTTGAGATCGGTTCACTGATACCTGTAACTGATCAGGGAGGGCTATGCTATGCTGTGCCATGCTGCTGTCTATTACCTCTTTCCCGTTGCTTGCTTTTACCTTAAGTTTTTTTTCTTTCAGTTCCAACCAAGGAAACCGTCAACGGCTAGTTCATCCGGTGGAACTGCAATTGATACCACTGCAATACCGGAGAACCTGCTCGAAATCCCCAACACGTCACATCCGATTCTCCAACCAAAGGCACCGGAAATAGTGCCTCAACTACAACCGCAAACTGCTCTGCCGTACAATCAAAAACCGGCTCAATCGCTTTTGAATATTCAGCCTCCGCAGCAGTTCAACACGCTTCCTTCTCAAATGCCGAGCACGCAAACGTTACCAACAATGCCTGAAAACCCGGCACAATCTCATAATCCGGTAATCAACCCGTTTTCCCAGCTTCTCTTTTCACTCTTTTGCTTTCTTTGCAGCGAATGATGACAGTTCCACCAAACCTACAATATCCATCCGCTACGCTGCCACATTCTCGGACATGGGGACCTCAGATACCTTCATATCCCCAGTCATTGCAATCTTTAGAACAAAATGTCCCTATGTACTATCCAGTAAGAAAAAAGATCGACGAGTTGTGAAATTATGCACCTGTAAAGCGTTTACAGCAAATTCCGGGTATGCTTCCCTCTTCCTCGTCGCTCCCATTCGGACTTTCATCGCCTGTCATGGTCTCACCGTATGCAACACTTCAATTGAATATGCAAAGTCAACAACTCGAACAGCCAGATCATTCTGGATCACAAATTACTATGGATCAAGTATGTCATCTTTTGAGACGATCCAAACGATTCATTTTTCAGTACAATCAGCAACTGATGCGATCTCAACTCGACCAAGCCCAGCAGTCAGTTCAAGTGGCCGGATGCCAAGTCCAACTTTTGCGGGACCAGTTGACATCTGAAACAACTGCGAGACTGGAGGCTCAATCGAGAACCCATCAGTTGTTGTCAGCGAATCGGGATTTGTTGGAGCAAGTGCAGAATCTAGTTTCAAGGTTGCAAATGCTTGAAACAAAGATAACAAGTGAGATTCATCACAGTGCTGGACAGGTATAAATTCAACCAATTATTGTTTCCAAAAAATGAGTCCTTTCTAGCCCCAACCCACGTACCAACCTTCCACATCCACATTATCGATGCCTCGAATGCCACTTCCCATTGATCACACGGATCCCAGAATTCCAGCCGGATCCTCCACCCGTCCTAATTATCCGTACCAAGTTCAGCCGCTTGCGGACCTCCGTGCTGGATCTCTGCCACCAGTGAAAGAATCGAAAGATCGGAGGAGGGAGGAAGGAGCGAGAACGGAGCCGGAGAGCAATGCGGAAGACACGACCGACTACTCCTCAAGCGATCAGTACGAGAAGACGTCAAATGTGATGAAATCTTCGCATTTCAACATTCTCATGTCCAACCCTCTTGTGGACATCAACGTGCCGTCTGGAGCAGTTGGAGTGAGCAGAATGGATCAGATTGAGCATGACGACACACAAGGACCCAGTTCGACGCCGCCGAAGAAGGAGAGGAAAAGTGCCACTGGTATTTTGAGAGGAGAAAAGGACTTCTCGAGGATGTCGTTCAATGCAAAGTAAGTTACAGAAAACAAGGACAGAGCTTTAGGACCCGTTGCAATATTCCGATTGGACCAAAACTTTCTAAGTTTAAAAACAATCGATTTATCTGATCCATTGATACATTTTTACAACTAAATCACAATATCTCCGGACGAGATAATCCGATCTGAAACTAGAACCTAATCTATTTCACTCTAACATTAGATAAACAAAGCCTGCAAAGTTTCGATACGATCGGAATATTGCAAGTCATTCAAAAGTGCAATCCCAGTTAGGCCCTCGAAAAGCCCGGGCCCTGTTTATCGAGTTTCCCGAGTTTATTATATACCTACGTCACAGCTTGATAGAGCGACAGATAGAAAGAAAGAAAACAAGGCAGACAGCACAACAACAAACATTTGCAGGCTCGCGAGAGAAAAAGAGAAAGAACAGCAACAACTAATGTTCGAGGATCAATTAGAGGAGGAACCCGCGAGATCAATTCCACCAAGTCCGCCACGAAAAGAAAAGAACACGACGATAGATTCTCTATTCAAAACGCAAGACGATCCTCCGACTCTGGCGGACCGCGAGATTTTACAGCAACCACCTCAGCCGTTGCCACCTGTGAACAGGAAGAACACGGTCAGTTTTGCTTTTCGGGGGGAGTTTTTGAAACTCAGTTTTTGTTCATTTCAGACGGTCAACCTTCTGATGCCAACTGTGCCCTCAATGCCGGCGAGCTCATCGGTTGTGACCGCTATGTATCCACCAATTCGGCAACCAGTGCCTGTGAACAAGGTTTCATTAATATTAGGTGTCCAAGTGTATAATTCGTTCAGTTTCAGCCGAAAGTTGATGTTTTCCGAAAGAAGACGCTGAGGACGTTATCCATGGACATTGCGGAGGAGCCAGAGACAAGCGGATTCGATTCGAACAGAAATAATCCTTCCGGTTCAGCCAGTGGACCGTTCAGAAGGAAGCCCGCGAATATTCCGAACGTTGATATTGAGATCAAGGAGATCGAGGATTATATTAAGTAAAGAACTATTTCTTAGTGGAAAACTGATACCTATTTTCAGTCGGAACGTGGATCGCTCAAAACTTCCGGAAACCTCGCTGCTAACGCGACTAACTCGTCAAGCTCAGGGCGACAACTCACTTGGCAACCTGCCAAATGGCTATCCACAGTGATCACGATCCAATCAGAAAATATAGGAAACTATATCGAATACACACTAAACCCGAGTAGAATTTTGCAATTTGTGACGTTTTTATGGACTCTGTTTACGTTTCGTCGTCTTTTGTCGCCCGATCTCACTCACCGGTCCATGCTTTTCCGTCATAAAACAGCTTTTCTTTCAAGAAATTGCACTAAATGACTTTTTTGCTCTAATTTAATCACAACGGCCACTACACTACTTTATGCTTTCGACTCGTGACATAATTCTAAACATTCCTCTATATAGTGCTTTTATATGTATTTTCTTTCCCATTTCCCGGGAACGTTTTTTTGGCCTGATGTTATATTATATATTGATATCAATTTCGATCATTTTGCTTTCTATTTCCAGCTAATAATTCCTTTCTTTCTTTTTCTCTTCTGTCGATTTCAACTGCGATTCTTAAATAAATTGATCGTGGAATAAGGGAATTGAAAAACGCAAAAAAGTCAAGCCACCTAGGGGACTCGAACCCCTGACCTTAAGATTAAAAGTCTCACGCTCTACCAACTGAGCTAAGGAGGCCTCATGAGAGCGTCCCTTCGCATGGCGCAGACATTTCGCCGCCCGCTAGCGTCGCGTCCAGTTTTCGCTCGCTCCCTCGAGGTCACCGCTGTGTGATACACTATTTCGCAACAAGTTCTCTCTTCTTTTCCATTTCACTTTCACCGTCTGTCTGCTGCCTGTTTGCGTAATTGAAACACGTAGAAGTTTTATCTATCGAAGCATAGATTCTACAAGCTGTGACACATCTCATAAAGCAGCAAATACATACGAATACATTATGTTTAGGGGGCATTTACAAGGGGTACCATATAAATTAGAAGCAATAGACAATATAGACAAACACGACGATGGCGCTGATGGTTCCCATGATGACTGCGTGCGCGGCACGGAACACATTCGCCCAGTCCTTTTGATAAGTGCTCTGCGCGACTTGCTCGTCATACTTGTCCAAATTGTACTCTTCAACACCGGTAACGTTGAGCACGCCCAGGAAACTGTTAATGAAGTTGGCTATTCTGAAAAGGAAAGAGTTTAGCACCGACAGCACGAACTATAATATTCTTACTGTGTGACTTTTCCCCATGGAGGAAGGGACCGTTTCACTTGCATGCAGCAGAAGAGAATGATGGAAATGGTGATCGAGATCAGGTTGAAAACCAGGGCGATTTCCAGGAATCTCACTAAAATTCGGTTTTGTTTGATGTTTTGGAAGCTATTTCTCACTTGGTTTTGGAGTGCTCGCAGTGCTGGAGAGGAATGGTGCGATTCTAGTGGAGAAGATAAGAAGGGTCAGGAACTGAAGTCCCATTACGAACATTTTAAGGTAAATCTGCAATATTTCTGTTTGGAAAAATCGTTTTATACTATGAATTGTGCCTACTTGAATCTTAACGCTTCCGAAGAGTGGCGGAAGCAGGAAGAGGACAGTGGTGATGAAAAGTGGGATGGCGAGTTCGACTTTCAAAGAACTGTGCGCGCGTTTTAGATTGAGGCAGAATCCGAGTTGAGCAATTTCAGACGGGTCGTCGAAAGATTCTGGAACAGTTCCGGACACTCCCCAGCCGTAGTCGCGGAAGTTCTTTGGATCGGTGAAGATTGGAAGTCCGGAGGAAGTGAATTGGATGACTTCCTGGAAAGAAAAATTGTGTTTTGCTTTCGTTTTCTGCCGTAACCCCATACCCTGTCTTGTTGTGGCTCAAAGGAAAAGCAGCACTTGTAAACATCATTCGGATAGTTCTCAAAATCAGTGTCATCGCAGAAAGTCCTCAACGAAAACGCGACTTTCGCGGTAACATTTCCCTGATTGGAAGTTTCCACTTTGCGGATTTCGAACGCATCGCCATTCTTCAGATGATTTTCCGGGCTGTAAAAGCAAACACATTTGATCTATTGTACATGTTTGCGTGAATGATTACAGCACATCTGACCTATTTCAACCTGCACAAAAACCATGTTAAACTTATTGGCGCCTCTTCCTTCTTTTCCCTTTCCGTTTTCATAGGTCATTTCTGTGTGGGCGGCCAGAAGAGAGGCGCAAAAAAGTGAAAGTAATCCGAATGAAAAACTTACTTTTGAGATCCGAGAACTGGCACCCAAACGTGATGGAAACTGTGGACGACCAGTTTGTTCTTCTTCCAGGTGTCCTGGTTCCATACAAGACGATCATCGTGCCAGTTCAGCTCGAGGTATCCGTGAATCGAGATGTCCTTGAGGTACTCGTTCTAAATGGGAACATTAGGAGTGGAAGGGATTACTGTAACTTACCAACTCAAAGTGTTGAAGTGTAAACTGAGCAAAGTTGATGTTAACTGGCTGCTGGCTGACGTAGTTTGGTGGGATCGATGCGATTGGGTGCGGGATGTTCAATCTGGAAATTTGAATTTATCTCATTTCTCACTTAAAATCTCCCTCACTTTGCCAGTTTCTTGGCACTTTCGCCGGCCAAGTAGTAGTACAAGCACTGTTCCAAAGTGTTCACTTCATGCTGCATCAAATCTTTGTTGGTTTCTGTAAACATCCCGAACACACTTTTTTCCACGCTTTATTTACGACAACTTGACGAACCATTCAACAACTGCAGCATGTATTGACAAGGATCCAGTTGTGCAGATCCAGTGGCTCGCGCCTGCAACCAACAATATTTGTTTATCCTCTATCACTACCGGATATTTGATCAAGAGTACGCGTACCTGGAACAGGGCATTTGGAGAGTTGACAATATGCGGCCCGGCGGCTGCTGCGCCTGCTCCGGCTTGGTTCTGGCCTTGAGCCTGAACAAGGACGGGAAGCACGAGGAACCACAGATTGGTCATCTGAACACGAATTGTGTATTGTTGGGTGGATGAGAATAAAATAGAACGATTAGCTATGAAGATGAGGATGCGGACGAAAAGAACAAATGTTCAAAGACGTTATGTTATGTATACGCAGAAGCAACTAAAAGACAACGGCTATTACTATTACGCGATGAAAGGAGGGGGGGGGAGTGCAGTATCGATCCTCAACCGACCACCAGCACCCCATAAAGGATTTAGAGAAAATGGAGGTGAGAGGCGGGCGTTACGATTGAATTACACCCAGGATAATGGATGATCAAGGATGATGATGGTGAAAATCACCACAAATTGCCACCCAATTGATCCAAAAGCGCCAGGCAATGAGAGTGAATAAGGGGAAGTGATAAGCGAAAACGAAAGAAGAAAGGAGGTGGAGTCGCAAGTACTATTTGAAGTGTGAGGCTTCTTGTTCACCTTGTCATGAGGGAAGGCATCGGACGGGGAGGAAAAAGAGGAGGCAGAGACGAAAATCTGTGAGGCGGACCTGGAGAGCGAGGCCGGTTCTGTTTGGGGCGGCTTCCCAATGTGTGACTGATTTGGTTAAGAAGGAAGGGTGTACAACTGGTTATTGACGTTTTGCCCCCTCCCGTTAACCTTTATCTCAATCCCTCGAACTGGTGTAAAATACAACTACATACACTTGTTCTTTTACAATACACAATGCCTCACACATTACACCTGAAACCGTTCCTTTTGAATGTTCACAGTGAGATTGGAAATCCTCAAGTTCTTGAAACGAAGTGTTTATTCCGTAAACAAATGTGTTCGGCGTCCAGTCCGTCCAGTCCCTCATCGCCCGATCAAAAGTTTCATTTCGCATCCTTTTTGCGCGTCGCGTCGTTCAGCAAAAAAGGAAGATGCAACCTTGATGATCAGATGGCAGAAAAGTGAAAAGCGACAAATGAAAAGCTTGTTGATAATACGATTGCGCAATTCAATTTGGATGTGATGACATTGGAAGATAAACGGCCACCGATTTCCTTTCACTTTTTCGGCTGAGGTTGGGTTAGAATTGGGAAAATGAAAATGAAAATGAAAATGTTCTGTGACAACTTGGTTTTGAACAGCAATCCGGTTTGAAAGTTTACCCGCAATGCAATTAAACTGAATTATTGTGGATTTTTGATTTTTGATGCAAAAAAAGCAAAACGGTAAAATGTTCGATGGAATCTATAACTGGCCGGAACAAAAGAATGGAGGAGAAGGGCAGTTGGCTATTGTAAACTTTACTTTTTTCCCTCAAACAAAAATTGCTGACTTATTTGGTAAATAAACAAAAGCTATGTGAAAGTTTCATGTCTTTCTGGGTCCAGGCTTTAGTACTACCACGCTCTTAAATCCGGGCCGGGCCTGTTTTCGCCAAGTCTGCTATCAACTTTATTGTGACTGATCGATCCAATTACTGCTCCGTCAACAAATAACCCGTCAGTTTTGTTCCTAAACGCAACATGCACAATTTGCATATTGATAAGGAACGGGGGGGGGGGGTCAACTGATAAGACTCCTACTCTACTATACCTTCATTCACAAATGCGCTCCCCACCGGCGCTCGCCTTCTTTTTCTGGCTTTTTCTACAATCGGTTTTCGCCTACAATTTGAACATTAATCTTGCCGGAAAATGGGATTTTATTTCGAGCAATGGAACTGTGAACGGAACAGGTAAGAAAAGTTCTCAAGAGGAAAAATCGGGAATATTTATCATGTAGAGGGAAAATCGAAAAGTGAGATCGAGAATTGACTCTTGAAAGATTTGAGTGCATTTGAAGGGCAGATTTTAATCCAAGCGCAAAAAAGAAACCGCCGACAGACGAAAGACCAAATGGTTTCGTTTTAGGAACTGTTCCCGGAGACATTTATTCGGATCTCTACGCCGAGGGCATCATAGACAATCCGCTTTACGGCGAGAATCATCTGAATCTTAAGTGGATCGCTGAAGATGATTGGACGTACACCAAGACATTCGTATTGACCGATGTGGAGGACACGGTGAGGAGTGAGGAGGAGCATCAAAACACAATTCCCGAACATCTTTCCGATCTTTCGGCCATTTCTCCGTTTTCATCGTTCTCTCCCTTTCCCGTTCTCTGCTTTCTCATTACGTTTCCTATTACAGGTCGGCATTTTTCTTGAGGTCGAAAGCCTTGACACAATTGCCACCGTCTATGTGAACGGAGAGAAGGTCTTGCATTCCAAAAACCAATTTCTGCCTTATCATGTCAACGTGACGGATTTGGTGTGGAATGGCTCGAATAATGTGAGGATCACATTCAAAAGTCCGGTTAACTATACACAAAAGAAGGCGGAAGAGTATGAGGTGAGAATGAGAAAAGCGAGGAGGGAAAGGACTGCTGTAAATGGGAGAATTTCAGGAAATTACTGGACACAAACTTCCGCCAGACTGCAATCCGGATATTTATCATGGAGAATGCCATCAGAACTTCATTCGGTACAATTTGCGCTAAAATTGGCATTAACCGGAGGATTTTCAGAAAGGCACAATACAGTTACGCATGGGACTGGGGGCCGTCCTTCCCAACAGCCGGAATCGCCGGGCCAATATCGATCAATCTCTTCCGCGGACAGTACTTCCATGATTTCAGCTGGAACACCAAATTTCAGAATGGTAAACTGACAATTTTGACATTTACATATGCAACCACTGCTTTCAGGCCAATGGCACATGGAATTCGAGTTTGACACTTTCCATTACGGAGCCCGAAGAATTGAGTACATTGTAACGATCCCAGAGTTATTCGTCAGAGAATCCGACATCTATCTGCTTTCTGCCACAAAGAGCATGCAAACAAGATCGAAGAACAGACTGAAGTTCCGAATTCCGATGCCGATGCAGCCAAAAAGATGGTGGCCCAATGGAATGGGAGAACAGAAACTCTATGACGTCATTGTGTCCATGGACGGTCAAGGTAACTGATACTACTAGAAAGTTCAAAATTCGAATATTTTACAGTGAAAACGAGTAAGATGGGATTCAAAACTGTTGAGTTGGTACAGGATTACATTGATGAAAAAGTGCCGAAGAAAGGAAGAAACTTCTATTTTAAAGTTAACGATCAGCCCGTCTTTTTGAAAGGAACCAACTGGATCCCAGTGTCAATGTTCCCTTCAAACTCTACAAATTTGAACAGAATGAAGTTTTTGCTGGATTCTGCCGCGGAAGTGGGAATGAATGCGATTCGAGTCTGGGGAGGAGGTTTCTATGAAACTGACGAGTTTTACGATTACGCCACACAAAAGGGAATCATGATATGGCAGGTTAGTTCGGTTTTTATAGTTAAATTTTATATTTTTTCGGATATTTCAGGATCTCATGTTCGCATGTGCTCTGTACCCGACTTCTCAAGAATTTCTAAAGAATGTCGATGAAGAAGTTGCTCATCAAGTGGACCGAATAAGCAAATATCCGAACATTCTCGTGTTCTCCGGGAATAACGAAAATGAAGCGGCGATCCGTGGCCACTGGTGGAGAACTGCAAATTATACGGAAGAGCAGCAGGAGAGTGATTATCTTGCTCTCTACAGAAGACTGGCAAAAGTTGCAAGAAAACACTCGTATGGTGTGCCGTTTATCATGTCCAGCCCATCAAACGGAGCGGAATCTGAAGAGTACATTAGATAATTCTACTTTGCTTTGTTTTCTAAACACTGATTTTGCAGAGAAGGAGGCATTGCGAAGAATCCGTACGATGTCAGATACGGAGACATTCATTACTACAACGAGTTTGTCAACCTCTGGAGAGATGACACCTACTTGACTCCAAGATGCGCATCCGAGTATGGTGTCCAAAGTTATCCGCTCAGGTAATGATATCATGTGACCTGCTAATGTGTAAAATTGGATGAGAACTGGTTGCGGGGGGTTTTGAAAGGAACAAGTGTAATGATAATGGAGAACATCAACAACATATTCAGCGATCTCGGGGCTAGAATTGTAAACATGCGCAAAGGGCGAGGCGATCTTTTTCTTTTTCCGTCTGGACGTTTAAGTAAAGAGGAATAAGTAAAGGGGAACAAAAAGTGTTTGTCAGGGAAACCATGCTCAACTGGATCAATGCATCGGATTGGGAGTACACGAGCAAAACAATGTTTCACAGACAACATCATCCTGGAGGCATCGCCACGAATCTTCTCATGATTTTCCAGCATTTACCAGTAGGGACTCAACACATTTCCTATCAAATTGTACGTTTTGTTTCAGATTCCGACACAGTGCGAATCGCGTTCGTTTGCCGACCTCCATCGCTGCGAATACCTCACATCGGCGTCGTACATGAGCAGACTCGCCTACTTTTCACAAGTCCATCAGGCGATTGCTCTGAAAACTCAGACAGTCCACTACAGAAGGTTTCGGAACATCACCACCGATGATGGATTGGGAAACACCATGTGTGCAATGTACTGGCAATTGAATGATGTATGGGCGGCTCCGACCTGGTCGACAATTGATTTCGATCAGAAATGGAAGATGGCTCACTACGAGGCGAAACGATTCTTTGCAAGCACAGCTGTTTACTCGGTGAGTGCAACTGGTAGCGTCAGCAGTTTTCAACTAATTTTGAATTTCAGTTCGCCGATGAGATAGACTTCAACCTCAAGGTTTACGTACTCAACGACAACACGTACGATCTTCGGAATCTGACCGTTTGTGTTATGCAGCTTAGCTGGGGAAACGGTTTGGATCCGATCTTGACCACTGACTTCCACGTCGACACTGTCCCAGCTGGATCCTCTCAAATCATCACGACTGGGTAACTTATATTAGATCAGCCGTTCATTTGAATTTAAAAACATTTGTTTTAGATTTACGTTCGAAAAGACAACAGAGCTTTCGGAGTACCTCTACGTGTCCACCATCTACGATTCAGAAGGTGTCCAAGTGTTCCAAGACGTTCTCGTTCCGGATTTCTTGTTTGAGGTGAGTTTCTCGACCGGAGTATTGCAAGGAGTCCAAAATATTAGCCGACCCTTTTCGAAATCATATATTGGATTTAAGGTTGATTTTAACACATTTGGAGATGTTGAAATCAGCGATGTCAAACGAATTAACGGGACCGTTTACGAAGTCTCGGTGACCACGGACAAAGTGTCCCCGTTCACATGGATTGACGTCAAGATCCCATTCGCCGGATGGTTCAGCGATAACGGCTTCCACATGACCGAGAGAGTGCACATTGTCACCCTCCACCTCCAAGAAGCCACCGACATCCAGAAGTCCGATTTCACCGTTTGCAATCTGAAGAACTGCTATCTCTAAAATCTCATTTTTTTTTCTGTAACTACGTAATTTGAATGATATTTGATGAATTGATTAACATTTATTTGCAATAAGGCAGTCACTCAAAGCTATCGCTTTGAATCAGACGCCGTGGTTTCGTTTTTCTTCGAAACACCGAATTCCACAGTGTCATCAATGATGGACCGGCCAGGGGAGGATTTGACGTCATCCTTCTTCTTCTTCTCAGCTGCTTCTTTCTCTTTGTCCGTCATGTATTCCTCATCTTCCTCTGGCTTTTCAATCTTTTCCGAAGTCGTCTTGGGCGGCGCAGGGCTCATAACATCTGAAGGAATGATTAGTGTTATCAGGACATGTCGAGTACTAGCTTACCAATCAGATCACTTGAAATTGCATTCTTCTCAGGGGTGTTCGCCAGTTCTGTGCTGTTTAATCGAGCCTCCTCTGGATCACTCTTTCCACTGGCGGTTCCATTGACTGCGGCTTCACGTTTCTCAGCCGTCTTCACTGGACCAGATAAGCTCGAAGTTGCATTCGCGGACTTGACGGGGTGGGAGTACACTGGCGGAATGTAGCGAGGAACATTCGGTCCCAGAGTTCTTCTGGTCACCGCTGGTTCCGTAGTAGCATTTGTCTTGTCAAATGGCTCCGTGATCCTTTTCGGTTCGGTCGTCGATGATGGAGCAGCAGAAGTTGTGGTGATGTTGTGATCTGCAAAACTTTACCGAGTAATGAGAAGACTTGGTGATCAGTTACCTCCAAAATCGAGGTCGATTTCTTCTTCCTCGCTGTCCGTCGCGTTGATAACCGTGACATCAGGGATAAAAACGGTGGCACTGCTGTTGCCGCGGCTCGAGTTCGGTGGCAACGAGTCCGGGAGTTCGGTGACGTTCGCGACTGAGGTTGTTGACAAAACACTATCCGACGTTCCATTATTTGACTCAACAGCAGTGATGTTCCCAGTCTGTTCTGAAAAACTGTTTTGTTACTTTTACTCATGATTAAATCTTTCTCAGACCTGTTTTAAGTCCAGTTACATTCATCGACTTTCCAAAAACTTTTTGTAGCTCATCGAACTTCTCACGGAACTCCCTATCTTCTGGACGGTTGAAGAATGCGAAATTGTTCAACTTCTTGTCGAATTCCTTAGTGTCATTCGTGGAGAGTGTTCCGTTTTCATGCGCGTCGAGAAGATGTTGAGCGAAATCGAGCAGCTTCTGTCGTTGGTTGTCCTCGATCATCGGCTCAACGTACTTGGAGTAGACCGCGCGGCTCGCCAGGATCTTGTGCAGCAACTGTTGCTTCAAAACTTCTTGCGTCGGAATACGGAGCATCTCCCTGACAGCAGTTTCCATCGCTTCTCTTCGAGGATTGTTCAGAAGACGGAGATACACTGAACTCCCGAATATGACGTCAAGGATGCTGACGACGAGCTGATCCTCGATGTCCGGAACGGACGCGTAACGGAGTTGTCCAGTCTTGTTGAAAGATTCGTCCTGAAGGTAGGCAAGGACCAAATCCAGATCGTCATCGTCCAACGGGGTTTGCACGATAGGCTCTCTAACCTCATAACCTGGGTCAGTATCCGGGGTGTCAAGAGGAGCGAGCAGAGTTTGGAGATGTGCTGGAAAAATGAGAAAATGATGACGTGGAACTGCATAATAACGTTACATACTTTCTTGCTCTTCAGAATCCGTAGGCACTTCTGGAAACGATAACCAATCAGGATATCTGTCTCCCAATTCCGCTTCATCAGACAAATCCGGATGCGCTATGACGTCCCAACTGCTGACGTGTCCTGTTGCGAACAGGAGAAGAAGGAGAAGAGGAACCATCATTTTTGTGGGGAATGATGGCTTTGTGTGCGTATTTCCTTCTTTTATAGCACTGTGCATAATCGAGTCTGTTTCCCCATCCTACAATGCTCGGAACGGCCCCATAAAACGATGCGGATCCAGAGCCACGTCATTGTACTGTAATATGATTATACGTGGGCGTTTTAGAGGGAAAAATGAAGAGAATAAAGGAAGGGAGTGTCGGAAAATTGCGAGTAGACGGAAAAATGATTAATCGATGAATTATGGCCTGTTTCTTGTGAACCTGAGTGATTAGAACAAATTTCGATACTGAAAGTTGTCTTATAATCCCAATTTACCGAAAAGTCAGATTTTTGCGATTAATTCCTGCAAAATGAGTGAAAAAACGACAAAAATTCGTATCGAATTCAAATTTTCCGCTGAGACACCTAAAACGCGTCAATGGAGCACGCATATGGGGTCAGCAGAAAAGTCTGGCGCGTTTCTCTTTTGTCATCATTTTTTCGAAGAAAAATTCGAATATATGGAAAAAATCGGAGAAAAAATGGAAAAGTACATTAAAATATGCTCATTCTCACAGGATAATTTTCAGATTTTTGTCTGGCTTTTTCATATCCGCGTCAAGTTTTTCGAATTTGTGATTCAGATGCGATCTGTGGAAGGATCAGTGTTGATTAGAAAAAAAAAGGATCAACAATTTCCAATCAAAATCAAAGTTTATTCCCAATTCCAATATAAAATAGATAACAGTCAGTTGAATAATATCCCATAAATTAGCTTGTCCTGAATAGCTTATTGACGGTAGTCGTTGTAGGAAGGAGATGAGCTGGGTTCCGGGTAGTTCTGGCCTGAAAACTTTCAGATTCATCTTGAAATGTGGGAGCCAGTCGGTTTCTTACCTTGTTGTTGGTGCGGCTGATTTGCACGATGCGGCGCCGGCTGCTCCTGGAAATATTGACTCTCTGCCACGTGTTCATCTAAAAATTACAGCTGATTGATTTCAGGTTGGTCATAACAAGCACTCACTGTAAGGTCTTCCGGCAAATGGGTTTATCGGCTCCGGATAAGGATAGTGGTTCTCCGGGTAGCGAGATTCGTGTTCGGTGTTCTGCGGAACCTGATGATCATGCCGATATCCGATGTAGACTGACGGATGACCAATTCCGGATGACACTGAATACTGATCATGTGTGATTGGTCGTTCGTCCATCGGATGTCTTAGAGCATAACGATCACTTTGATCCCAGGTCTGTTGGAATTGCTGCTCATTAGAACAAGTGCAGCAAGATCGATCAGAGAATTCCGGCCCTGGCGGTTCGCGGCAATCCTCCATGACACGAGCTTCATACATTGGCTGGTTGAAATTAGAATATCTGGATTCTGGAGGCGAAAAGTTGGACACCGCGTAAGATTGCACTGCCGGGTAGTGACGCTCTCCCGACCACTCCGGTGAGCTCGAATTGCGATGATGTTGGTTCACATACCATCTTGAAGCATTCGCATCATTCTGGTGGCAGCTATGTTGCACTGGACGACTGTGATATCCATAGGAGTGGAAGTCACTTGCTGTTTGACCATGATCATCCAAAGAATGTGCATCATGTGCAAAGGTAGACAACATCTGCCTCTCATATTGTACGTTCCGCTGTGAATATTGCTCGAAATTCTGTGGAATCACACTTTCCAGTCTGTGTCCCACATGGGAAGGGTGATGATCGGCAGAAGCATTGTACTCAGACATCTGAGGTTGACAGCAATATTCCTCAAGTTGAAGTTCATTTCGATATGGATCAACATCCTGAGCCCGAAGCTGACGGCAATCTTCCACTGGTTCTGGCGCATAGCGAGAGTAACCCAGATCCTGCGACTGGTCCGGACTGTTTCTCGGGGAAGAAGGAAACGGTGGAGAGGTTTTCGGGCAGAATGACTGGCAGTCAAAGTCAGTACATGGGTAGTGTTGCGCTGAGTTGTAGTCGCTTCTAGAATCGAGTTGTTCCTCATGGCCTGGTCGGAGTGAAAGACGAGAAAACTCAGTCAATGGGGCTAATTCAGCACGATCAGATGAATAGGAATCATGCTCCGACAGACGGGAATCAGGTATTGACGAGCATGGGGGACCGGGGGACTTAGAGCCTGTGGACTCTGGCACAGCAGGAGGATCACGATGAACCTGCAAGGAAACAATTGTAATTGAGTAATAATCAGCAAGCGTACCGCGTCGTTCTCCCAATCGTCTGTGAAGCCCAGGAATTTGATCTGATTATGCATTTCATTGTGCTCCATGTTCTCCTCATCAGTTCGATATTCTAAAAGCTTATAAAGACATCAAGATTGCCCCAATTACAGCCTCACCTTGCACATGGCCTTCCCTTTCTTGCAAAGTAGTATCTGTATCAGAAAAAGGCCCCGAAAGTGTTTTTTTAAATCTTCGCTCTCGATTTTCCTCATATATCTTCCGTCTTTCTGCGTTCCGGGCCCATCTCGCTGTTCGCTCTCTCTTGAATCTCTCTTCTCCCTCTTTGAATAATTCTTTTTTCCAAGCATACTCCGATTCTTCTCCTTCGAAATCACTGTAACATCCCTCACGCATCCAGCTGCTAGAGATGGAATCACTCGACCGACAGGACTGAAAGATCTACTATGACTGGCTAGAAACATTAAGCACTCACATAATACTCAGGACCGTCTGACACGAATTCCGGCACCGGCTGAAATAAAGCAACAATTATCTTCCAGGAATTCATACTTATCAATATCCTACCGGAGGTTCCTTATCGGCAAGTTTACACAGCTCCTCAAGGGACGGAAGTTGACGTCTTTCAGGAAGAAGTTTCGCTGCAAAAACGGAACGTTTAATCTATTTGAATTCTGTAAACTCACGTTCATTTGTGCTAAACGAGAAGTACCGATTCATTCCCAACGAGATTTTGATCTGATTGTACGGCGGGAGAGCCAGAAACATTGGCCACTGTCGAAATCCCGTGTTACGCTCGATCCACGACCAGCCATACACATGTTTAGAATTGCATAACACATCTGTATACATGTCTTCGAACTCGCCCACCCGTCGAGATTTTTGGTGTTTTCGGATCTCTTCAAAGAGCAGACCGGCCGGAATCTAAATACGATTTACCCCTGAATTAATTTTTGCTCAACTCACCTTGTCTGTCATTAACCTGACCATCAGAACCTTGAGAAGAATCAGGACCACGTTGTGAGCCTGAAATTTAAAGATTATAGAAAACACTTCTTAATGGTTAACTCACTTTGTTCCTTTTAATTTCCGCCTTCGGGGTCTTGAAGTCGTCATGCAGGTACACCTTCGCATCTCTCAGAAACCTATCTTCCGGGCTGATATAGGGCATATTGGCGAAGCAGGAACACGCCAACACTGCAAACGGAAAGGAAATAAATGATCGCGTTTGGAGAGCGGGCGAGGGCCGTTTTTATTGTTTATGGGTCTCATGGTTAACATAAAATCGACAACACCTTTCAACGCGGCAGAGTCGCGCGAAAAAACTGTGCAATTGTTATTTGTTGACAATGGAGGGACGGAAAAGCAACGAAGTGTTTTGAAAATATGAACTGATTTGGAGATACGGTGAAGTAAGGCCAAAAGCCTGGGCTCTTAGGCCTTAGATTTAAATGTTTCCCGAGTAAATTTGTCTGAAACTTGGACTCGAAATACTTTTAGCCAAATCCGAAAAACCTGTAAATTTGGGTGAGATTGGAATATTGCAAGTGGTCCAAACGGGGCCAGCCATTGCAGTCGGGCCAGAAGTTAAGGCTCCCAAATGCATTGGGGTTCATTATGCTAAGCAGAATCTCCATGGATACTCCGCGAAAACAAGCCGAAAGGTACGCTATAAGCACAGAGAGTGCGGATGGATTATCTTTTAGATTGCATGTGACATTTTGTCTCAGAGTGTTTACTCTTTATAGTCAGTTGAACCAGAACGCAAATCAGACGGTTTGCCGCCTGGACAGAAAGGAAATCCAAGTTAAAATTTGTTTTACAGGAGAGAAAGAGAGAGAGAGAGAGAGAGAGAGAGAGAGAGAGAGAGAGAGAGAGAGAGAGAGAGAGAGAGAGAGAGAGAGAGAGAGAGAGAGAGAGAGAGAGAGAGAGAGAGAGAGAGAGAGAGAGAGAGAGAGAGAGAGAGAGAGAGAGAGAGAGCAAAGTATGAAGTAATGAAGATTAGAAACAACTCAATGCGCTAATTTAGACATAAATAAATTGATCTCGGCCTTTGGCGGTAGTCGGCGTGGCCTAGACGAGCCTGGGGTGCACCGGTGGCAAGCACCTTCGTCGAAGGACCACTACGTACTTGGGGAGTTTGTTAGGGGAATATTGGGGCTTTTATCGGCTTTAGCTCAATGAGAGCATTTGGAAAAAGACGAGTCAGACGCCAGGAAACACCTTTCACAGTTTTTTTAAACCGCAAAACCACTGGTTTTAGTGGTAGAGGCTCAAAGCTTCTAGAAGCTATGACGAGAGGGTGAGAGACGCAGAGAAATAGGTACCCGCGGCCTAACTTTTCAACTTTCATGGCATAACTTTTGCATTGATATTTCCGATAAGTGGGCTGTCACAGAGAAAAACGCGGACTGCCGTACAAATGGGAGTATTACATTTACAGTAATCCTACCGTAACCGAAGATTCAAACAGTATTTTCGTTAGCGCTCCGAGTGGCATAACGATATCACAAGTATGGGACAGATCGGTCGGGAGGTCAGAAGGATATTCATAAGATATTCTTGTACAGACACACAAAACCTTTAAACGTTTAGTAAGCAGTAAAATTATTCCCCCCAGATTCTGTTGAGTGCGAAGATGGCGCGTAATTTTTTGAATTCGACGGCTGCTGCGAAGGCACGTATGGAACGTTTTGTCGAGAAGACGGAGACAAGTTGCCTGAAAAATGATGTTTTTACAAATTGTTTTGAAAATGAGTGAAAATACCTTGTTGCTATTGATAATTGTTCGTGTATCTGGCAGCGGGCGGGTATTGTTGACGGACAGGATATTGTGGTTGATTATAGGAGTCATTTTGAGTATAATAGTTCGGCCCATTTCGAGTGTCTGAAACAAAACGTGTAAATCAAATTTGAAGAAAAGAACATTCGCGTACCATAGGAGTCATTCTGCCGATAGTAATCACCAGTAGTCGGCTGATATTGGTCAGACGCCGGGTTGAATTGACGGTAGCTTCCGACAGATGAAGGACTGTAGTTGTAATATGAACAAGCATCACCTGAAAATTGAGACTGGTTGTAAGATGAAGAACGATGGGTTATACATACTGTATCTATTTGAAGATTGTTGATCATTCCGATAATAATTGTAAGGCTGATGAGGCGCCGGACTGTGTCGTTGAGATCCGTACCGACGTGGCGGAGCATTCCCTGAAAATCGGAAGTGATGACGGGATCAAGTAAATATGTTCATACAGTATCGATTGGATTCTTGTTGGTACGTTTGCTCTTGCTGAGCCTCCGGATTGTATTCTGTGTGGCGTTGGAATCCGTGGGATGAAGGAGGCTTACTGAAATCACGGCGAGGTGGCGGAGTATTGTTGCCTGAAAATCGAAAGTGATGATAAGTTTAAATGTTAGAATATGTACAAATACCATATTCATTGGATTCTTCTGGATCATTCCAAAATGCAGTTATTGTGGGCACAGTAGATGGCGGAACGGCCAAACGTGGAGCTTCTTCCAATCGTTTCAACATCTTCTGATTGTTCAACATCTTCTGATTGTGCAGAATTTGTGGATGCATGCGACATTTTCCTGAAAATTGAAAAACGTTCGAGATTTGAAACACGTTGTCTAAAGGACTGGTTGATTCTTGGCCCACTGGCATTCTCTGATCATCATCAATGGGACGTTGAGAATCATTCGGTGCATTTGGAGTACTCGAAGCGAATTTTTGCTTGCCTCGTCTCATCGGCTCTTCCCTGAAAGACACACATAAGAAAGAGATTCAAAAGATCATATCGTTACCCAGACTCCAATTCTTCGTCAGAAATTGTGCTGTTACTGTCCTCAGTCCATGACGAACTGCTCCGAGAATCCGCTTCAACACGTGTTCTAAGACCCCGCCAATAGGCCAATTTCTCAGACGCGAAATCGGAAACACGAGGAGGTCTCGGGTTCTGTGGCGATGTCGATTGCTCCGAAGGCTGAACTGGGTTGACGGTATGGGCAACAGACGCAGTTGATTCCTCCAGACACGATTCCTTCTCACTCTCTTGCTTCTCCACTGCATCGAAGAACTCGTGAAGCTCCGATTTTGACGGCTTCTCTGGTGTATTCATGTTCTCTTCCGGACGAATGTCCTTCTCGAACTGTCCAAGTACTTGATTGGAATGTTGCGAAACGCTTTCGTCCAGCGCGTCCAAAACACTCCCCATGTTTTTCAAGTCGTCGGCCAAAGTCGACAACGAATCCTCGTTGTCCAGACTTCCTCTCGAAGCAGGCCGTTGATCTTCATTGCTCTCCGTTTCTGCGTTCTCCGTCTGAAAACACGCATATTTTAGTGATTCCCAATTCAAATTCTGATTACTTTTTCAATGACGCTCAAAGCTATTGAAGAGTTGAAAGAGCTTTGCGACGGTAGTAGATCCCACGAGTCAGAGTCGCTAGTTTCACCAAAATTAGAGTCGTTCATGTTTTCTTCGGGCACATTCGATGCGCACCGAGAGAAACTTGTTTCGCATGCGCAGACTTCTGTATTCGATGATTCGTGCTCCTCCAAATCAGAACCGTCAGAGTCCTCTTGCAATTTGTCGTCCAATTTCTCGTTCACATCCATCGGAGCCTGTCCAGAATCGGCATCAGTTGCAAGCAGGCAAGAATCCTTCAAAATCACATTGTGACAATGTTGCAGGTTTGGTTTATCACTCACAATGTTGTCCGAATGCTGCTCTTCATTGCGAGGCACTCCTTTTTTGACATCTTCGGCTTTCAATCGTATCAAATATTTTTTCAGAAAGTCGATGGTGTCGATTGATCCTTCAGTTTCCTTCACCATCATCATGCTATCAACTAACATGTCAATCTCCTTCTCATTGTCGTCTTGTTCTTCACGGGTAAACATACATCTGTTTTTCGGTTCTTTTGGGAATTTCATTTCTTTTCTCAATTGGTGGTAGTGCTTTCTTACAACCTTCTTGATCTGTTCCCGACGTTCTTCTTCAGGAGTCAGACGCTTCTGATTCTCCCAGAGCGGTTTCTTTGGGGGAATACTGAAACAAAATAAATATAAATATATAACCCATTCTCTGTAAGACTCGAGCATGGTCCTAGTGGAGGTGGACATAGAGCCGGTAGAGCAGGTAGAGCTTATAAATTTTATGGGCACGTATATGGGGACTAGTGTGCACCATATGCACAATATTGGGTCCCAGCTCCGCGCTACGGTAGTACGGTAGGTGCTCAAAGGTGCACAACTCGATTTTTTTCAAAAAAATCGTGGAACGCTAAAACTTTTTTTGGGATGTGTACATCTTTAGAGTATTCCCCTGTCAAATTTCTCAAGTCTAAAAAATTTCTATTCGTGCGTTATGATGGAAAATCTTCATTTTTTAGTACTTTTTCTTAAAAAATAAAAAATTACGGGGTTTAGCAGGTCATTGGGACACTAACGATCAACTACAAAAATATGCACCAATATTGTGGCTTTTGGCAAAAAAAAAGACAGAGTCAATTCACCTTGTCCGAAGCTTGTTATGACAGATATTCTGAACGTAATTTTACCAAGTTTGACAGTCAAACCAATTTTTGTTGCTGTAATAGTATTCTGATGTGTTGCATTTTTGGAAATAAGACAGAAAAAGTACTATTAGACATTTGAAAAATGTCTCCGCAAATAATTATGAAATATTAAAACTGTAAAAATAATTTTTTCCACAAGCTAATCGCAATTATGCCGAACACAATTTATGTCAGATACAAAGTGCTGAGTCTTGTTTAAATTATTTTTTTCGATTATTTTTTTGATTTCCGTATAGTTTTTAACCTTTTTTTCTAAATCAATGGAGTGCTTTCTTTATTTTATTTTATTTGGTCAAAAACACATTAATTAAAAAAGCTTCACACTTCGAGGATATCATTTCTCGATTTTTCGATTTCAATTATTTTGTTGTCAAAGTCTCTATTCTCTTCATTATTTTCATCGTAGACGTCCTCCCAGTCATCGCACTCCTTTGAGTTTAACTACTTTTCAACTAGTCCCACTAAGTCCTCGTTTGCTTCTCTCTTAGCTCGCTCAGCTGCTCTATTGGAGGGAGTACGAACAGAACGAGATCATCATCGGCATCACTGGCATGTCTGATCGATTTCACCACCAAGCAGGCTGGATGTGGAATCGAGAGAGCGAGCTAAGAGAAAAGCAAACGAGGACTTAGTGAAACCAGGGTGAGCTCCCGAGACTGAAGTCCCGGGAATTGCCGGGAAAAGTGATGAGAGAACTTCTCGAGAAGCGTCGTTCCCGAGAAGTGTGAAGACTTCTCGTTCCCGAGAACGAGAAGTCTCGATACTTCTCGCTACCAAGACTTCCCGGGAACGAGAAGTCTCGATACTTCTCGCTACCAAGACTTCTCGGGAACTACAAGTCTTCAGTCTTCTCGTTCTTGTCAAGTAATGGTGTCGAAAACGAGGCTTCTTGTGAACGAGAAATGCCGAGACCTGTGAACGAACGTGACCAATTTTTTGTGCAATAAATGATAAATGTTTTACAAGTCTACACTTATAAGAACTGTTCTCAGCTCTCATACTTCTCCCAGGAACGTTTTGAGGAGCGCGGCCGAGGATTCAGTACACGTTTCGTATATTGAATCGTTTCTAAAAAGTAGACAGTTCTTCCATGAATGTTTTCCCCACACCTCGTCCGCAGAAAATCGGTTTTCATCACAATCTCGGTCTGCACAGAGTCTCTCGGGGCCGCCGCTCTGTTTTGTGGCCGGAGGGTGAATTTTTTTTCGTGAATGGTTTTCCGACAGCTACGCATCCACAAACAAAGCGGTTCTCGCATTTTGTAGTCGAGACTTTTGTCTACCTCTCGGTGACGAGAAGTGTGAAGACTTCTCGTTCCCGGGAAGTCTTGGTAGCGAGAAGTATCGAGACTTCTCGTTCTCGGGAACGAGAAGTCTTCGCACTTCTCGTTCCCGGGAAGTCTTGGTAGCGAGAAGTATCGATACTTCTCGTTCCCGGGAACGAGAAGTCTTCACACTTCTCGGGAAAGCGCTTCCCGGGAAGTTCTCTCATCACTTTTTCCGGCAATTCTCGGGAATTCAGTCTCGGGAGCTCACCCTGAGTGAAACTAGTTGTAAAAGAGTTAAACTCAAAGGAGTACGATGACTCGGAGGACGTCTACGATGAAAATAATGAAGAGAATAGTGACTTTGACAAAATAATCATTGAAGTCGAAAATTCAAGAAATGATATCTTCGAAGTGTGAAGCTTTTTTAATTAATGTGTTTTTGACCAAATAAAATAAAATGAAAAAAAGGTACTCCATTGATTCAGAAAAAAAAGGTTAATAACTATACGGAAATCAAAAAAATAATCGAAAAAAATAATTTAAACAAGACTCAGCACTTTGTATCTGACATAAATTGTGTTCGGCATAATTTCGATTAGCTTGTGGAAAAAATGATTTTTACAATTTTAATATTTCATAATTATTTGCGGAGACACTTTTCAAATGTCTAATAGTACCTTTTCTGTCTTATTTCCACAAATGCAACACACCAGAATACTATTACAGCAACAAAAATTGGTTTGACTGTCAAACTTGGTAAAATTACGTTCAGAATATCTGTCATAACAAGCTTCGGACAAGGTGAATTGACTCTGTCTTTTTTTTTGCCAAAAGCCACAATGTTGGTGCATATTTTTGTAGTTGATCGTTAGTGTCCCAATGACCTGCTAAACCCCGTAATTTTTTATTTTTTAAGAAAAAGTACTAAAAAATGATGATTTTCCATCATAACGCACGAATAGAAATTTTTTAGACTTGAGAAATTTGACAGGGGAATACTCTAAAGATGTACACATCCCAAAAAAAGTTTTAGCGTTCCACGATTTTTTTGAAAAAAATCGAGTTATGCACCTTTGAGCACCTACCGTACTACCGTAGCGCGGAGCTGGGACCCAATATTGTGCATATGGTGCACACTAGTCCCCATATACATGCTCACGTGAAAATCTTTCCCTATGTCCCTCATTGCTCGAGTCTTACAGAGAATGGGTTATATATTGGGTTTTGTTTATCACTTACCATAAAGCAGGTGTATGTGGATCAGGATGTTTGGCTGTTGACAGCTGCTTTTTCTTCTGATAATCTTCCAGCTGCTTTTTGTCAAAACTCTCCATCGACCGCTTAATATTCCAGCACTCTTCCAGCTTCTTCTTCCGTTGATCCTCTTCCGAAATTTCCTCAACCACTTGCTGCATCTTCTCTTCCTCCTGTTGCTGTTCTTGATGTGGTTGCTCCTGCAGCTCTTGGCAGTGCTCGGCTCTCACCTCTTCCCAATACTCATCTTTTTTCTTCAGAACTTCTGGGTCATTCCCGTTCTCTGCTGTGACAGTAAACGGCCAAATCTCAGAATACGGCCTCTTGCCCCAAAGAAGGTAGTGGTCGAACTTTTCTTCTTTTACTTCCGGCGCCGCCATCTTTTCGCACGTCGAATTCACCACGATGTTTCCGTTCTCGTTCTCAGTTTCGTGGTGGACAGGGAGCGAGCTGGACTGAAGAGGAATCGATTTTTGTGTCTCCCGGGTTGCTGATTCGTCCTTTGTCTCCTGGATCTTGCTTTCGGTCTGAGCTCCAAGATGCACAGAAATCAACTTTGACGTCTTCAAGTTCAGTTTGAAGTACAGCGGCGAAGCGGCTGATGAATCGACTTCAATTGTGGTGTCCACGACGATCGTTCCATCAGCCCATTTCGCTGACACCGTGAGTTCTCTCATTGACGCAAGATCCGCAGTTCTGCTTCTGAAAAACGAAAACTAAGAGCACGTTACGAAAATCATGTTTTGAGCAACGAGAAAAGATTATAAACCAGCAAGATGAGAGCATCAGAAGATGGATTGAACGCAGTGTGTCCAAAATCGATCACGCACACTAACCGCTGCGTGGCAAAGACAGTGTGTGTGCGTCTTTGGAGAGCGGTTTGCGGAAATATTTATACGGCCAGCGAGAGAAAGAGAGAGAAAAGAAGAGCAAGTGTGAGAGAGCGCGAGGAAGAACGGCGAAGAACGGAGAGATGAGCGGCCTTGAGAAGCACATCGTTTTTTACGAACACGTCACACTTTAGCTTGGAATATTAGAAATACACTTATTGCATCAACTAAAAATTACACTAGATGATAAGAGTGTCAGATTCCGCGCTGATAAGAGTGAAAATGATCAATTGGAAAGTGAATTGTGAAAACTTCACAAAATTCTTTCTGTTTTTCCATCCCATAAAAGTGCATAAAAAAGGCCGAACAAGGAAGTGAATGGATTATGTGCCAAAAGAGAGAAAATAAAAAGCAGGAGCACAAGTTATTGGCTCAAATAGAAAGCGCACCAGCAGTGCTGACTGATATGTAAATGGAGAACAAAATCCGGGCCTTTGAAAACAATTTCTGCCAAATCCCATGCGCCGGGCCGCGTGTTTGACTTCGGCGCGGCCCGGCCCGTTGCAACTTTGTATCTAGTAGCTCCAAGAGCATTCAACTAACTGGCAGCAAGCATCGTCAAAATTACTACCAACGCGGCGACTTGACCGTTTAATCTACGATTCTCTGGACTGCTTGTAAGTTTTTAAACTAAAATTTGATTTTTTCCCACGGTAATTGCTTTTCCGTTTGACTTTGATCAGCAAATTCATAGTATCTTTTTCTCTTCGTTTCTTCTCTCTAAGAATTCCCCACTACATTGCCTATCCCCATCGACGATATGGAGAAGACAAATGGGTACAAGGGGATGCGTGTATCCTCATACATATTACTGTCCTGCAAACGAAAGAGGGTTCAAGCCGAAATTGGCACTATCTCAATAAAACTTGATTGTCAGAGCCATTAACCTGCGTCCAAGCGAAACTTTTTTGATCCGCTGATCCATTTCTCGCCGCTCATTTTTTTCCTTCGTCATATCACCAGAGAAGCCCCAATGCTTTACTTTTTTCCGGCCCCCGCTTTTCGGGACGCCTCCGCGAAGCTCGTTTTGTGTAAGAAGAACTCTAGGACACGCGCTCGTTTTTTATCTTCGCTAGGCTCACACGACGATTGAGTTGCCACCGATTTTTCGGGGGAAATGAAAAGAGAACTCGAAAGAGAGTGCGTGCCGCTTTTCTGATCAAAAGGGTAAATCGTTGGGACTGACTGCTACTAGTACACTTGTTGGGAGGAGAACAAGGAAGATCGGACAGAACTAGAAGGACAATTTCATAGTTCCGATCCATAAAAGTTCAAAAAGGAGACACATACTTCAATGTTTCAAAGTAAATAGTGAGATCGAATGCAGGAAAGTTGGCCCGAGTTTCGCGTAATTTTTTATTGTTTCTCCGCACTCTGATGCTAACTATTTCGAAAAGGAGTGTCATAAGCCCACGTATTTTAATTTGAACATTCACAGTCACTTTTTTTTCCCTTGACAAGCAATGCATTCACTTTTTTCTAATAGTAATCGCTTCTCCATTCGACTTTGATCAGCGAGTTCGTCGTATCTTTTTCTCTTCGTTTCCTTTCTCTAAGAATACCCCACTCTTGCCTATCTTTGTCAACGATATGCAGAAGAAAAATTGAGACATAGGGATGCGTGTATCCTCCTAACAGTCGTTCGCGCGCGCAATAGGTTGATCTTAGTTAATTGCGCGACGAAAGTCGGAAGAGCTCGAGAGGATGCATTGCTTGTCAAGGAACCGATTATCCTACTAACATTTGTCAATGTCAAGGTTCGTGAAAAGAGCGTCGCAAGTCGTCAGCCCACGGCCTAGGCAGCAAGTCGACGTCAGCAGTTCTTTCGTGAGTGATTACCAAGAAAACCGTTTTTTTTTTCTATGTCAAGCGTCAGATGACTTCTGAAGTGTAATAGGGTGAGCCACGGGAAGAAAGGGGTCATTGTGATCCGGCCATTTATTCAATTCTTTCTCCGGAAGAAGCAACACTACTGCTTGAAAGGGAGCCGACCGACTCAATGAAGTTCAAACTCACCTTCGCAATTCTTCTTGTCGTCTTTGGCCTCGGTGAGTGACTACAGTGAAGGTTGGTTGGAGAAGAATGAAAATACAATAAGAATATTGAGGAATCTCGGGTATATATAGGCGGTCAGTTAATCGAATCAGATAGGAATGGGATGGTTATTGGAATGGGATGGGAATGAGCATTTCCGTCTTCTCCGATACTTTTACTATCTTTTTTACTATTTCAGTGAACGCCGAAGGTGTTCCTTGTCTCCCCGGATGTTCCTGCGATTTCGTGCCTGATCCGATTATTCGGTGCGATTATGGAAATTTCACAGATTTCCCCCTGCCGATCACTCTTCCGAGACACAACATCACCATCCTCGCGCTGACCTGCAATGACATCCGCACACTGCCCAGTGTCCGACTGATTCTCGAAGCTTTCCCCGACCTGCACGGTATTGATCTTCAAGGGAACGACAATCTCAACTGCTCCTCGTTGGAGCAGTTTGAGGGAAAGATCGCAGTGCTGTCTGACTGCCGTGCCAAGACTGCTCACGTCTGCAACCGATCTCTTGTGTCCGGACAGATTACACGCGGGTTTCGACTCGGAGAATTCGGTACGATTATGACTGGCCCAGAAAACTTCCTTGACAAACTGGTGAGTTTCTATATCTCTTAATGTTTTTCTCAATTACTGATCGATTTTCAGTTTGATTCGAAAGCCACCACCGACACCAACCGCCTCAAGAAACTGTGGGAGTCTACGAAACAGATCACCTCGGACCTGAAGCTGGATCAACTTCTTCGCCAGGCCAAATCGAAATTCAATACAATTTTCCAGAAATAATTTTTCTGCAAGTCTTGTGACTACAGTATACCGATAAACTAAGCATGATCACGAGTGTTTTTGTTTTCTATAAACAACTGAAGACCGTTCAGATTTCACTGGACTGATAGAAATTCAATACTCCAGTTGCATAAACACTTTCATTTGTTTATCAAAATACCGCGCTGAATGCTCATTCATTCGTTCAGTAAAAAAATTCCCGCACTTCCTTGCGGCCACTTCAAAATGAATTATTGGGTGATTTGTGAGTTTCGACATTGCAGATGAGATGAGATGCGCAGTTCCTTTCAGGCCTCACTGTTATTGTATGGTTTTTACTGTGTCCTAAGACCATGTCCGCCAACTATGGTGACAATGAAGAAGAAAGTTCTGATTCGGATTCTGATTTTGATCCTGATTCTGAGATGGGGGACTGTCCTTGTCCTGAAGAGAGATATGAAGCGGAACAGCAAAGCGGGATCATCAAATCTCCAAACTACCCGAGTTTCGATGGTTGCACCGGCAAATGTATCTATACTGTAAGCAACTGACAGATAGGTTTTCAGCTCAATTTTTGACTTTTTTTTCTAGATTATGCCTGATCCAAACAGCGCCATCACTCTTTATGCGGAACAGTACGAAGTTTCGAAATATGCGACCCTTGAGATTTACAGTCTTTTGATCGAAGATGGTATTAGAATATTGATTCCACACGCCAAGTAAGATGCATTTATGACGTTATTCAATGACATTTTTATACTTTTTGTCAGAATAAGACGTCCATCCTCTTATTATTACTCCTCTGCGGAACAAACTTTCCCGACATTCATTTCTGCCAAGAACGCTGGTTTCCAAATCCATTTCGTTAGTTCTGAGAGCGCATACACAAGCTTTAAAATCTCATTCGATCGATATTACAGTAATTGCTAGGAATTTATTTAAAAGAAACTATGAAAAGAATTGCAGGCGAGGATGTTTGCGACTACCCGATTGTGGATATTGGCAAAGAAGAAACTGTCGTTCAACGGGACCACTTTTTCTCATCAGCTTCAGGTTAGTTTAGTATTTGCGACTTCAAATTCTGACAATCTCACGTGAATCGAATTCATCTTTGCCGCAACAATAGTTGTTTCACGGCGACCGAAAACGAAGAAGGGGGCGTGGCCTAGCGTGCACGGTTTATCACCATTTTGGCGCAAAATTCGAAATTTAACCCAATTTTTCATGTTTTTCGTCAAAAGTTACCCAAATTTTGTACGATTTCGACGATGTAATTGCATAACTTTGTCAAACTTATCATCGCGCACTTTTTGAGCTTAAAACGAGCAGGTTTCATTCAGAAATGAATCAATTGAATCGATTTTAAGTTTTGTGCTGAAAATGCGCGAATTTCAGTCATTCGCCGATACTTTTTGCCGTTTGAACGCTTAAAATACTTTTATTAACGTGCTTCATCAGTTCCGACACTCACTTCGTCTCAAAACTATCCAGATCGGCCGGTATGAAAATTCCGAAATTGCGGCGGCGATTGGCCGCGGAGAGCGTATTGCGAAATATGCCAAAAACGTCTCAAACGCGGCGTTTTCACGAAAATTTCGATGTTTTCTCTCTTTAATGTCTTCTTTCGTCGATATCAAACACAAAAATATCGGAAAAGTGCTGGAATTGCGGCAATTTTCAGAAAACGCGTCTCAGATTAGGCCACGCCCCTTTCTACACTTTTGGTCGCCGTGTGTTTCATGAAAACATGTTGAATTTACAGGATGTATATATTACCTGAGACCGAGAAAGTCTGAAATAGATACAGACGAGGATGAGTTCATGATCACAATTGCGGGAAGTGTTGAAAACGATATTTCCGTGAGAGCTCCGGGAACGGATGGGAACATGAAATCTGAACAGCCGTATGTTTTGCCCAGTTCTCTGTTTGTACACATGTGCACTCTTGATGTTTGAGGTCGAACAAAGCAAGGGTGGTCACGGAAAGCACCGATAAGGTGTACATGTTATCTCACAAAACATCCAGAACTGATGGTGTTTATAAAATGGGAAAAGTGACTGCAAAACTCATTGGGAGATGTGAGAAAACAAAGCAGCAAAACTGCAATGTTATGAAATTTGATTCCAGCCTGCAAATGTGGAGCGGAGAATGAACCAATCACCGGCAATATCACTCATGTGTCAGTCCGGTCGCCTGGATTTCCAGATCTACACTGTCCAAACATTGCGTGTGAAACAAAAGTTTTGCCCTTGACTACACAATATTTTGAATCAGACCTTGGTCTTCTGGAAATCACGATCAGAGCGTCATTAGCCAATAGAGATAAACTGAGAATAACGAGTGAGGCAAAAACAATGTTTGAGTGAGCGTTCCCTCCCTAAAAATGAGAATCTCTTCTTAAAATAACACATTCAGAGCTGACGAATACTATGCTAAAAGTGAAAATTTCGACGAGCATTTTGTGATCAAACAACAAAATGTTGACATCATCTATGAAGCAGGAAATTCTTTGAGCAGACGATTTTTCGAAGTGAACGTGACCCGCGTGACCACTTATCCGGGTATGTTGAACAGATGAACAGACTATTTCTCGGATTCATGCGACTTTTCAGAATGCTCGTGCAACTTTTTCAAAGACAAAGAGATCACCGAAGAGTCTGAAGGCGAGATTGTGTTTCCGAGTATTTGCACATACATTTACTGCCACTATACATTCAAAATTACAGTATTTTTCAACATGAAACGTTGGTTTTCAAATAATTCTTTTAGAGTGGTTACGATGATCGATATGCTGTTGAATTCTCCGTTGAAGACGCTGCAGATGACGACAAAGTTACTATAATTGACTCGAGTCACACCGAAACGTGAATAACGACTTTGAGGGGTTAGAAAATGTATAATTTTTCAGGTACGATGGAACTATGTTACGTCGGACGACTTTATTCGAGACTACAAACTACGCCGACTTCACTTTTCATCGACGACACGTTACTTCGAATGTGAGACCGACTTTGCGCTACAAGTTCTACAAAAACGGCCGTGGTCAGTTTCAGTGTGCCCGGAAAATTCTAATTATAACATTTTAGGAAAAGATTGTGATGGTAAGACACTCGAAAGGACAGTTTTGCCGTCGGAAGAAGTGGTTATCACAAGTCCTGGATATCCTCAGTACTACTCCAATGATCAGACATGCTTTTTCCTAATTTCTTCCCCGGAAGGGTCAGTTTACGGTGTGCTGAATCTATCATGACAGGGACATTTCAGAAATCGGATCGCTCTGAGCATTGACGAAATCAGCGTCGAAAACTTTCACGACCACATCAAAATCTACAAGGGAAACACAACTGACTCCGAACTTTTGGCCACGTGAGTTAGGACTAGAACTTCAATTGATCAGATTCCGATTCAGGTTCACGGCTCATGTGAGTCGCAAAGTGGTCAATGTTTCCTCCGGCCCAGTGCTCATTGTGTTCCAAACTGACAGAAGTACGAGCGACAGAGGATTCCACATAACCGCTTCCGCTCATCCAATTCCCGTGATCTACGATGAATCCGCAATCGAGTTAAAGATGGCCCTCGGAGGTCTCTGTCTACTTCTGCTTACGCTCTTCGCAATTGCAGTTTATGTCTTTGTGCATCTAAAGAAGAAGCAAGCGGAAAAGAACAAAAAGAAGAAGGACGAGGCAGACACGAGAACTGACATAAGTCTGATAGACGGGTGAGGGGAACGGAACGGGGAGAACTATGAACGTTTTCTGCATCCTTACAGATCCATCATCACTGTACCGAATGAGCAAAGAACTGAGCAAAGAATTTCTAACTTGGACTACATTTTCAACTGAACGTACATTAATTTTTTGTAAATGCGCGTCATTTTTGTAATCATTCGACAGTTTTATGTGTTATCATTGAATTTACTCTGTTCTGACTGTTCAGAACTTCTCCTACAGTTATTATGAATTCGCCGTAGCATGCGACTTGACGCGCTTCGCTCCGTGCGACTTACGTCGTCTCTCAGAATTTGCACGGCTCTCCTATGTGATCTCAGGAAGGAAGAAATAGTAGCTTAGTAGAACTGACTTTATCCAACCGAAACGAACGTAAAGAAAGAAAGATATCATACAACCACAACGAGAGCTTATATACTACAGTTTACGACCGAGCGGGCCGATAAAAGCTGCAATAACATTCTGCTACCGATTTTCCTCGTTCTTGATGTTTGCTCTACCACCTTCTTCTGATCTTCTGATATCGACGCTTCCGTCGACACTGCCGAGGCAACAACCAAAACGAGCATGCTGCTTGACCGATGAAACATTGAAGTCCGATGACGACGATGATAACCAACATCCCGATCGTCGTCGACGTTGCAATCACTCTAACCAACGAACTCCACGTCTCCCTGATCGATGATCCCACCAACTCCAACCAGACTTTGAAACAGCCTAGAGAGCCATTTGGTCTGATGTTCAACAGTGAAACCACATTGAGTGCGACTTGCGACTTACGTCGTCAAGAAAGGCGTCAAATCGCACACTCAGGTGAATGCGTAACGGTCCGTGCGAATAACCGAAAATTATCTCAACTACTCATTAAGTCACCCGCCGGCGCCCCGCTGACTCCCAGCGATCTCGTGGTGTAGTGGTTATCACATCTGTCTAACACACAGAAGGCCGGCGGTTCGAGCCCGCCCGAGATCAAACCTTTTTGGTTTTTTTTTAATTCACGATAACCTTCGATATTCCAGAATATAGTAGAACATCATTCCAAAAAATAAGATAGCAGCCCTCCATTCCCCGCCGCAGGTCATTCGCGACTAAAGAGAGAGTGGCCAGAAAGCGAGGTGGTCGCGAAAATGTTGCCGCTGGCCAGCATTTCTCCCGACGGCACCCGTCTAATTCCCAGCGATCTCGTGGTGTAGTGGTTATCACATCTGTCTAACACACAGAAGGCCGGCGGTTCGAGCCCGCCCGAGATCATACCTTTTTTGGTTTTTTTTTTAAACTTTCAGAGAGGCCCGTTGAAAGTCTGAATCAAACAAGCGTACTAATTGTGAAGAACTGCAAGTCCATAAACTGCCCTTTTCCAAGAGTACGAGCTGAATCAACTGAAATAAAATGGCAGAACAAATTACACAAAGCCCTCGAATGTTTGGATTAACACGCTTTCGAGTGACTGTCTGCTCAATTTGTAAGGATTCGTCATCCTTTCCAAATCCAGCACCCTCTTAGGCAAACACGGAAAATCCCAAAAAAGGAAACGAAAAGCGTTTTGATGATCGCCATGGTTTGTGATTTCCGGAAAATGTACTTGTTCATTATCGAGGATCAATGTCAAAGACAGTTGCTCAAATAGACCTGATGGAACTATAAAAGCTGCGGGGTCATCAGTTGAGAGCATCCATTACTATGTACTCTTCTTTTGTTCTCATCACTGTTTTCATTGCCGGCGTGGAAATGTGCGGGGATACTTCGGCCAAGTGAGTCCATTTCTTTGAAACTACAACAAAGGTGTCATTTTAAGTTGCGACGATTGGGTGGCAAACGGCTTCTGTACCTCTGCATCGTACTCTGCTGCCCAGAAACAACAGTACTGCGGGACATCCTGCGGACTGTGCTCATCTTCGGGAACCACGATCGCGGCCACCGTCTCCACTTCATCTGTGTGCTCTGATTCGGTATCCAGTTGTGCCACGTGGAATACCAACGGATTCTGCAATTCTACAACCTACACAACTGCCGTCAAGACCCAATACTGTGCTGCCACGTGCGGACTCTGCGGTTCCGTGTCGAGCGCCTCAGATTCTTCCTCTACAACTTCTTCTTCATCTTCTTCAACTGACAACGACGCTTCTGATAGCACCACAGCTGCCGACTCCACTGCCACGTCATCTTCATCTGCAACTGAAACGACCGCAGACTCAACGGCAACCACATCCATTTCTTCTACTTGTCTTGATTCCAGTTCCGCGTAAGTGACCCATGAATATTCTAAATGTAACCGGATGATTTCAGGTGTGCATCCTGGGCGACCAACGGATATTGCACCAACTCGGCTTACACTGATGCTCAACGCAAGGCGTACTGCGCCAAGACTTGCAATCTTTGCTGAAACCCCCTTTTCTTGGGGAAATTTAGACTAGTTCCACGAACTGAATGTAATTATTCTTGTTTTGACCGAATAAAGCCGATTGCAACAAAGAAACTGTTTATAAACCCACGATTCTTTGCACTTTGCTTTGTCCGAGGATTTCTCCAACCAAATTTTCCGTCTTTGCCCTGCGTTTAGGCCAATTATTGTGTGTCGCATTAATTTTCGAATTAATCCTGATGCATTTCCAGCCTCTTGAACCGCAATTCCATTTTAAAATGTCTTAAAGCGTCCTGAATATCGCACGCAATGACGTCGGTTCTCCCGTTTGCCGAGAAACGCGCCAGCCGATCGCAGAGTGCGCCAGCAGCCATTCGCTTGCACACGGGCCGTCGTGTGACTCATTTCTCATTGGTACGCTCTGTTTTCAGCCGTTGCAGTCGTTTTTTCAGGATTCTCTGCCGTTTTTGTAGGTTTTCAGGTACTGGTAACGATATCATAATTTCATTTTTCGTTTGCTCCGTCAATTTTTGATTAGATTGTCTGAAAATCGATAGTCATGCGGAAAATCTTCGATTTCTGAATTTATTTCTCTCGTACCCGTCAAAATCTTTGTTTTTTCCAGGATGCCGAACTCTTCGAGCACTTCGCAACCGGCGAACACGGGCAGCGAGACGGCGTCGACGTCTTACGTAAACTGTGAGTACTCCGCTTGCTCTTATCACAGCATCAAACGAAAACGCTTATCATTCCGGCGGCGCGATGTATTTCGACAACACGTTTATTAACTTGGTTCAATTTCAGACGTCGAGATGAGCGCCGAGCAGGAATATTTCCTGTACGAGCTGGAGACGACGGACTCGGGAAGCATGGGCCTTGTCCTCCGTGCGATCTACGACACCGGCGACGTGCAGAAGTTTGCCCGTGCTCTCCAGCAAAGAATCACGCACTACGACAAGAACATTCAGAAGGTGTGCTCGTTCCACTATCAGTCGTTTGTGGACGCGATGCAGGAGCTCATGGTGCTCAAGGAGCAGTGCCAGGAAATAAAGGAAGAGAGCGTGGCGATTGACGAGGAAGTGCAGGACGCAAGCAAGCGACTCTGTCAGAAGAAGGAAGAAATTGTCCGCTACAGGTGAGAGACTTTGGTAGTTTACGACGTCAGAATCGACATCTGATTGAGCTGCGGTTGAGAGAGGGGCCACACACGAGCAGTTCTTTTTCTGGTCTTGCTGAAATTACACATTATCTTTTTCATTTCAGAAAACTAATGAAAAACGCAAAAACCGCTATGGATCAAATTGCCGTCTGCCTTCCGGTCCTCGAAAACTACGCCAAACTCCAAGACCAGATGAAGAGCAGAAAGTACTATCAAGCGCTCAAAACTCTGGAAGAGCTCGAGCACACCCACCTCGCGCTTGTGGAAAAGTATCGGTTCACTCAAGTTCTTGCAAAGAGCATGGCGCCGGTCCGACTGGAAATCAAAGAGAAGGCCTACTCGGAGTTCAAGGATTTCTTGGAGAATATCAAGAAAGTTGCGGGGCGGATTGGCAAACACGCCAGCAAGGATGTGAGTGAAGTGATCCGGTCGGCGACACGAATTTCCACTTTCAGACGGCGGAGCAGCATTCGTTCGGAGTCACTGATGCCGAGAGAGCAAAGAAGATCCAAGAAGAAGCTCGGAAGTAAGTTTGGTGGCCATCATTCGAAAACGAAGTTGCACATCGGTATCCTTCCCAATACTCTCTATCCCTTCACTCGGCGCGTTTCACATAATACATATTTGCGTTATGCTAATCTGTCCGACTGAAGCGCATTGGAGGGAATGTTTCAAAAAAAGAGGAAGGGAATAGAGGTCTGTTTGACTAATAATTTGGTGGCTGTGCACGTCCGTGTGCTCACAAGTGCATGTTCGCTCTTAACCCCGGGTAGTAGTTAGATCTCCGAAGATTGCTTGGCCATACTCCCCAGCCTGGACGTAACTCAAATCAAGATCAAGTCGGTGCACCACAAGCATCAATTCGATCCACTTTTTTGCTTTTACAGGAACGCCAGCAACGTCGAAATCGAAGTCTCAGCGGACGGCAGCATCGTCAAGAAGAACGTGTCTCCGAAACGTGTGTATACGGCCGAAGTCGACGTGAGTATCAGAAACACCGGAAAATTGAATGAAAACAGATTTCCGAATGACATTTTTCAGGACGATGAGCAAATGTCGGCACAGGACCTCATCGATTTCACTCCGGTTCACAGATGTTGCCAAATCTTCAATGTGCTCGAGGCAAAGGAAGAATTCGAACAGTACTACCGGCAACAGCGCAAAGAGCAGTGCGATCTCGTCTTGGAACCATCTCAGAAAATGAACAACTTCAAACACTACGTCGAGTATCTGGACGAGATTGTTGGGTTCTTCGTTGTTGAGGATCAGATCCTGATGACTCAATCGAACCTCTCAACGACGGCCGACAAGGACAAACTGTGGGAGAACGCTCTGCTGAAGATTCGCCAGAATCTTGACTCCCGATTCGTGAGTTGATCTCTGCCACAGAATCGCCAATCCATCTTCTTCCAAGTTTCAGGGAGGCTGTCCGGATGTAGAAATGATGCTTCGAATGAAGAAAGTCATTCTTCTCTTCATACTGACCATGAAGTCGTACGGATATGCCGTCGCCCCGCTATACGAGCTGCTGCAAAACTTTAGGTGACGAGGATAACAGACGATTGTAAATCTTTACGAAATGGTTTGCAGAGATCAATACAACGAGATTCTGGTCAAAGAGTATTGTGCGCAGTTTGAGAGAGACCTCGACAAGGACAATTACACTCCGATCACGGTCAACACGGAAGAAGAGTTTCGTGCGATCATCCGGCAGTTCCCGTTCTACAAGAGAAGCATGGAGCAGGTAAAAAGAGGTTGCTCCGTGCAGCTCTGATTTAATGTTGATTTCAGGAGCCGTTCCCGAGAAAATTCCCATTTTCCCGTTTTGTAATCTCCGCTTACACTCAGGCAAAGCAATATTTGATTGGGTGTCTGAAGTTCATGGATAACCTCCAGTTGAACACGTCAGCCGTTGATGACACAGTCAGAAGGTACGGTGGATTCCAGTTCCGTGACGTGCAAAGACATTACACAGTCGATGACGCGCAGAGCTGTTGCTGGAAAAAAGAAATTTTATCGATCGATTCCACGCAATTTCAGATGTGCCAATGTCCTCCTCGGTCGATGGGCAGGCATCCTCAAGTCTTTCGTCCACAAACGACTCTCGATGATCCAACTCGTTCAAATTACCATCAACCTCGGATACTTGGAGAAGTCTTGCGAGAGCCTCGGCGCTTTCATCACGAGCAAAACGAGCGGAGAAGAGGTCATCGGTACGACCTCCCATCAAGTGGTGCTCTCCGAGAAAGTCTTCCGGGATGCGAGAAGTGAGGTCGAACAACAAATCGACGAATGTATGCGTAGCAAAGTGGACGAGATCATCGAACTGGCCAACTACGATTGGGAACTGCCCGCCGCTGCTGGACAAGCCTCCGACTTCATCTCTGATCTCATCAACTTCCTGCAGACGACGTTCACTTCGTTCACCAACTTGCCGTCCGGATTGGCAAAGCACGTTTGTACTCAGACGTGCAAACACATCTCTCAGTCGATGACAGACTTCCTGTTGTCGCCGGACACGAAATGCATCTCGACAGGAGCACTCGATCAGTTTTCCTTGGACGTCATGCAATGCGAAATGTTCACGACGAGATGTCCGGTTGCCGGAGTAGACCCGCAGACGTTGTCGATGACTTTTGCTGACCTCAGGTACCCGGGACTGTCTTCGCAATGAGAAATGTAATGCTGCTTTCAGACAACTTCTGGACCTGGTCATGTCGTCCGACTGGACTACATTCAATGCCGAGTACGGAAAGGATCACGCTAAGTATCTGAGAGTGAAAGCATCCACTGCTATTGTGGTTTTGGAGAAGTAAGTGTTCAGGTTCCTGATGAAAATACCTTCTATTCTCTGCAGAATGATTGAATTCGAGCGTCGCAGCACGGGCTTCTTTGGAATTGCCAAGGGAGATCGCAAGAAACTGCTCGACACAATCGTCCGTCAGCTGAAAACGCTCGAAATCTCCTAACTGCTCGTCACCTAGTCTCAAATTTCTGTGATGACTTTTACTGTGTGCTACTAAACCATTTTTTCTTCTTACATGTTCGAATTATGATTATTATTGCAAATGTGCATAACCTTTGTTGCAAATCTTTTCTTAAATTATATTGAATAAGTGTGAAAAGTGTGTTTTTGCTTGTAATTCTGATATTTTAGACATTATTTTATTCATTTTTCGAGAAGCCATATCGCGCTTATCGCGCTTACGAATAACAATGTGGTCGATGACAGGCTGAGGAAGAGGTTCGCGGATTGGACGGATAATTCAACCTTGTGGTAAATCTTTATTTTTTGATGAAAAGGATGAAATATCAGAGCGGTGATCTGGAAAGTTTTGGATTGGCAAACGCAAACACGCAAGCGCAAGTCTTTCGTCCACAAACGACTCTCGATGATCCAACTCGTTCAAATTACCATCAACCTCGGATACTTGGAGATGTCAGAGCCTCGGCGCTTTCATCACGTTATATCTTCTTTTTTCACGGTAACCTCTTATCAAAAGAAAATTGGAAGAGATAAGTGCCGATGCGGTTTTTTCTCATCAATTTTTCACTTGATGACCTCTTTTTGCTTTTTACACTCGACAGATTTGTATTGTGAGATGATAGAAGTGTTTAGTCCAACAATACTTCATAACGAACTGTTTTTGTCAGTTTATGTACACTAGGCCAATTCCATCTTTCATTAGATGTCCGCCGGAACACGAGTTCTCATCTTCCTCACCTTCAAAGATGAACTCAAGCTCGGGAGGATACTATCCACCGCCATTTTATCAGGAATTTCCGGATATGTCTCACTTCGGGTTTTCTACTCCCAATTTCTTCCAACAGTGCTCAAATACAAACCCGTCATTTGGTAGCATTGTTTCCCTACCTGAAATTTCGTTTCCACTCCCTATGTGGTGTACGCCTGGTTATTCCCCTCCGAGTCTAACCAGTTATTCTCTTCAATTGGATAATTTTGCTTCAAAAGAGTGCTACAAAGAAAATCCAGTCCGGGGTGCAGACACTTCTTTGAACAGCATCAGAAAACCCGATAATTTTGCAATGTGAGTGAGAGAGACATCTTAAAAATTGCTGAAGTGACTCTTGCAGGAAGAACTTGGAGAAACTGTGCAAGAATCGATCGATGCGGGTTGAAACAAAACAATGGAAGAAGATGTTGGACCCTCCGGCAAAATCTGCGAAAACCAAGAGAGTTTACAAGTGAGTTGGGCATTCAGTGATGTTATAACCACCGTTTTGGTTTTCAGAAAGTATCAAGAACAAACATGTAAAGAACAGCTAGGTTTGCGACTTTCAGTTTTACCAGAAGCCCTTCCGGATCCTCATTTTTCAATGTAAAGTCACTTTTTCTCTGTTTCGAATTGTGTCTTGTGCTCATTTTCAGGAATCCGGTCACAGCTGAAGGAGATTTCGGAAATTCGGTCAATCCACCTGTTCCTACAAAATCACTAGAAGTAAACGCATTGTACGTGGTGGAATTTCCAGAAAATTGCGCGAAACATCCAATTTCCAGGCGCCGTTCTGATTTGCCGATCCCAGAAGACAACTCGTGGCATCAATCGACACTTCCTTCTAAGTCTTTGGGTTGTAAAGCACGATTAGGCAAGGTTTGCAAATCCTTGAGACGGAGAACATTCACCAGGAAACAGCGAGAAGTACTGGAAGATCGATATGCGCTGAGCACGTACATCAGCAGTTTGGAGTGCGAAGAAATTGGAAACAAGATAAACTTGAGCCAGAAACAGGTTCAGACATGGTTCTACGGAAAACGGACCAAGATGAAGTCGATTGGAAAAAGGAAGTGACCGATTTCATGAGAGCACTTTAGTAATTCAGAATTGTCCTTGTTCAGATTGTCAGGAATAAACATATTGAACTACTTGTCTGTCAAAGTCAGTATTTTTTGAGTAAACATGAGTAAAAAAAACTTCAAAGTCAGCCTGAGACTCTCATTGTTCAACACGGTAAATCATCTTGCCCTTGATGTAACCATTTTCCAAATATTGACATTATCGATCTTGAAATTAGCTGATATTCATCCATTCGAAGTTTTTTCGCTGAAATTTTGTGAGTTTCAGTCGTTTTTGCCTAGGCCGCGCGCATATTCTAAGCTCTGGAGACCGTGAGACAGATTTACAACGAGCCGGGCCGAGTCAAAACTTAAAATTCTCTGACCCGGCCAGGGCGCAACCCTAGCACCCACTTTTAGCAAGTTTACCGCACTTTTAGAGACTTTTCCGCACGTGTTTTTTAATTGGAGAAATTTGCGGGCCGGTCAGGAATCTTGCAAGTCTGATTGTCAGTGAACACACGAATTATCCGTTCCTAGTGCTATTTTCTTCTTGTTTTATCTTCCTTTCTTCAATAACCGTGCTTAACCTTCATTTTCAGATGCATCTTCTCATTACATCTTTTCGAGCTGCGCTCTCGTCGAGACGATAGCTTCTCAAGACGCGTTCTCAGTTTACGAAGCATCTCATCTTATAATTTTTAACAGTAAAGCTTTCTTCAACACAAATTATATGCAAATTATCCGAATGTGTTGGAGGATCTCTTGCTGAACGATCTGGTCCTTTTAGCCGTCTCCGGCTCCGGTGCCTCTTTGGCGACCCGCTTCTTCTGCGGAGCTCTTCTGGGCTGTTCGCCCTCCCGTACGCCGCTCGCCTCTCCGACAAGATTGATCCACGGACGGTAGCACGTTTCCCACAACTCCTTCAGTTCGTTTTCGTCCATCTGAATTCCGTCATTCTCGCCGTTCGGATCTCCTCTGATCAACATCTTTATTCCGTATCCGTGAGCGCGTTCGGTCGGATGTTCTCTCGCGTAATGCGAACGCATTCGGCGGACGTTCAGCGCGTTGTATCCGCAGATCTTGCACGAGATTCTTGTGGTGGAATGGGTCAGCGCGTGGTCCAGGAGGCGCAGTTTTCCGAACTTGACACGCCAATTGTATAGGCGGCGGCAGTTCTGAACTTGTGAGGGTTTTGGAGGATCAGGTAAGGACTCACTGGGAATTGACACACAATGATGTAGAGGGCGTTAGAAATGTCCGGGTCTTCAATCATTAACTTGCGTCTTGTCTTCACGATTCCATTCATTCCGTTCATGGCCAATGCCATCGGAACGCTCGAGCCGACTCCTGTTCCGTTTCCGATTCCTCTCGGACTCGAATGATCTTGAAGCGGAATCATTTCGTGCTCACACGCAGAGCTCGAATAGATCGTTTCCTCCTGTGGCTCCATTTTTGGAGCTCTGAAGTGGTAATGATCCGATGAGTAGAAAGTGGATAATGGTAACGACGTCATGGGATCTTCAGAGCTCGAAAAGGTCGTAGACGAAAGCGTTGGCTTCCATTTTTTCTGGAGGAAAAACCGATTAAGATTCTGGTGGTTAACGTCTTCTCGGAAGACATGCCACGGGGCACTTTCATTACGGATTCCAAAAAAGTCTTAACACAGCCATTCAAAACAGTTAGATGGCCTAACGGAGGGATCAGTTGTTGTCTAAAGTAATTCAAATCCATTTCGTGACTGGTCAAAATCCAAAAAAGCATTCTTGGAAGGAAAAAAAGTTTCCTGGAAAAAACAGTTTCTTGATAATAAGTAAACGGACCACATTTTCGACCTCAACAATCAGTTTGTCCGTTCGAAGTTTTACCAAAACAGCACCAATTATTTTCTTTGTATTCACCGTGCATCATCAGAAGCATCGCAATATCGGTGTCAGCTATGCTTCGAGACTGTACAGATTCATCTGACAATTGGAAATCGAATTCGCCGTACTTTAAACATTCCTGAAAAAAGAAAATGAGCAGAACAATTTTAAGACACTTTTTTCAAAAAATCGGTCATTATCGGGAGAAGAAAAAAGGTATGAATGTAAAATTGATGATTTTGACAATTTTTCATAGCTTCACAAGATTATTTGTTATTTGAGGGCAGAGGACAAAAAAGTTCAAGACTGCCGACGTTAGTTTGAATCGTCGTATTTTTCTCATTCATTTGATATACATAAAGTCATATTTTCGTCATTTTTATTTTTCGGTGTCATCTGAATCCTCAAATAACTTCTGAATCTTTTTGATATGTATTTAGATGAACGGAGCACATTTTTCTGATCATTTTTGCTATTAAATGCTTCTCGATAGCTCCAACCGTTCTCGAGATATCACCGACACCACAGCGTCCAACGGCGTCCGTCGCCATTATATATACACCCTATGGGAGATTGAGCCGCGTGGCCAGGGTGGTGTAGGCGGTTAAGCTTGTGCTTAGCAATCCGAAGACCGCAGGTTCGAGCCCCGCCGAGTGCAAAGAAATTTGCCTCGGTTAGACACTGATCGTGACGACTTTCAGACCTGACTGAAGGACGTGGCGACTCCGGAAGTGTGTAAACGGTTCAAACAAAAATACTGTGCGGACGACAGGAAGAAGGATTGTGCTCGGAAGGTAGAAGAAAGAATTCTAGAGTGAGTTTGAGAGAAATAAAGCTCGATCCTGTGGTCTTCACACCGTAATACCTGAGTCACCCCTTTTTACACTTAACCGCCTACACCACCCTGGCCACGCGGCTCAATCACCCATAGGGGACTCCGTTGGGCGCTGTGGTGTCGGTGATATCTCGAGAACGGATAGAGTTATCGAGAAGCATTCAAGAGCAAAAATGATCAGAAAAATGTGCTCCGTCCATCTAAATACTTATCAAAAAGATTCAAAAGTCATTTGAGGATTCAGATGACACCGAAAAAAAATGACGAAAATATGACTTGATTTAGACAGTGCGTTGCAAGTTTATAAGACCACCCCCATTCGGCGCGGCAACGAGGACTGATCACGAAATGTATTTGAAGCAATTTAAACGACAACTGATCACTTGGTTCGACCATCCAGCCGTTTTGAATGGCTGTGTTAAGAGTTTTTCGGAATCCTCGGGAAAGTTCCATGTGGCATGTCTTACGAAAAAAATCTAAACTGTCTGAATGACAAAAACAGCTTTAAAACGTCTTTTTAGATATGTATAACTCATTTTGTGCTCATAGGTATTAACCGGACCCTGGGATGGCCTTAGTTTTATCGAGGTAGTTCGGACAGTTTTCAAGGTATCATCACGAAAATCACCGAACATACGTAACTTTGTGCCCTGAATCCGATTTTGAAGTTGCCGGGTCGGAAATATTTGCGAGCGCCTCGTTGCCGCGCCGACTGGGGGTGGCCTTATAAACTTGCAATGCGCTGTATTCTTACCGATCTCACCGCGTCACCACCCTCAACGCCACATTCCAACAAACCCTTTATAAACTCTAGTTTCCCGCCTTCAAGGCGGCAGTTTTCTGAGCGGTGCACTCAATAAACCCGATCCTACATCCCTTGTTCTCGTTCATGAGCCTCCGGCCCAGAGGGCGCGCAAAGTCTGTTGCCAAGACTTTGCCTCGCGCCTTCTTACTATAGGTCACCAAAAGCACCGCAACCTTTCGAGGGCATAGTTCTTCGGCATCGTTTCTCGGTACCGACCGAAAACAGCGCGTCTCGAGAGAAAAAAGAAATTATGGAGGTATTTTGACGGAGGACCGTATTCTGGACAAATCGGCGAGAGTCTGGGTTTCTGGATGGAAGACTATTTCAGCGCGTAATCGCCTGGAGTCTCATGAAAACATTTAGTTCGAATGCTCATGACTTTATTCAAATGGTACCAATTCTCATGGACATCTCATCTCCTGTCCATGAATCAGCATGTATCTTTTTCCGTATTTTGTGATGTACAGCCAAGTCTGTCCCAGATTGCCCAATCCAGTGACAGTGACGTTCATCTTGATGTTGACTTCTGCTTGTACATTGACATTGTTGAGGCGAATGGCTAACTGGCCGGCAGAAGCATTGAGCAGCGCGGAGATCAACTGTTCTGAGAACAACAATGTTAGCAATATGGATGACAAGCCAACAAACCTCTTGAAATCTCTTCAAGACACTTGGCGAAGACAAAGTCGCGAGAGATCAGCCGATCGATCAATTCCGTGCTGCGCGACTCGACGGCGTAAGTCAGGTCTTGAATGAATTTTTGGGCATCCGACAAGGGTTCCATATCAGCAGAGACAGTTGCAACCGACAGAACGAAAAGCAATAGCAGGCGCATTTTGCAATGAAACAGATGTAAGCCTCTTCTCTTTATATACTAAAAATTGTTGTTTTTCTTCCGATTTTTTCAGTAGACACACCAAAAACACATGAATCATATATTGAGTCATATATAGTGAAAAGTTTTGAATGACGAATCCATTTGCAACAAAACAAATCTTTGAATTCACTCTTCAACTTCAAAACTTCTGTGAAGCTTCCAGAAAAAGGCAGAGAACAATGCCCGTCCCGTAAAAAATCGTATATTTTTCTAGACATCGTTTCCTATGTAACAACAGGTTTTTGAATAGATGCACAGCAAAACATTTGTTCAAAAACTCTGGAAACTAAATGTTGACTTTGCCTTAGGTGAAATTTCCAGACAACGGAAGGACCTTTTCATGTTCTACGGTGGAAAATGCATTGAAGAAGTCTTGTGCTGATAAATATTTATTGAGGTAAGTTTACGTTCGAGGTAAGTTTATGTTCGAGGTAAGTTATTGTTCGAGGTAAGAATGCGGAGTTAACAGAAGAAAGGAACAAATCCTTAATGAATTGATGAGTATTTGCTCTTATGGTTGCGGAGATAGGCGAGCTTTGAATGCTGGATGTAGGCAGAGATGTTGGTCGGAACGTTGCAGAGGTCCTCTTTACAGTAACAGTAGAAACGGATATCGATGAAGCCAAAGTCAATGGCCTGAAAAAACCACATTACATATTTGCAAAAACTATTACTTTCACATACCTCTCCACGGCAGGCAGTGAAGACATCCTCTATCTCTTCATCGAAGAGTTTGTCAATGAGAGGGGTGGCTTCCTCTCCGGTCAAAATTCCGTTTTTGGTGAAGCTATCTGGATTGACGTGGAAGCAACAATAGTCGTATTTGCGCTCCGAAATCTGGTTCTCCAGGGCAACATCTCCCTCCATGTGTTCGAAGCATCGGATCTTGTTGCGTTGGGCTTTCTCCTCCGAGGCCGGCGCCGGATTGAGAGGATGGCGAGCCACGGCCACGACAAGGCAGATTCCAGCAAGAACGAAAAGAGTCTTGGCTGATATCATTTTCAGAGCGGGAGAAGATCAGCAGAGCGGTGACCAGGAAGGAGAGAAGATGGGGAGGGAATGAATGATTTTCTGTTGGCTGTTTGTAGCTAAAACTGGGCGTGGTCTGGAATGTTTTTGAGCGGATAAGAAAAATAATCTCGAGAAAATGGGCGGCTCCATTTTGAGATGTGGTTCTGTCCATGATGTTTGGTTTTTCATCGTGATCTCATCAAAAACTGAAAACATACACTCTATATCGCGGAAGGAAGTATTTTCCTGACAGCGACGACAAGGACACTGATATCCAAAACAGAAATACGACTCGGAAATGTGATGATTACCAGGAGGGCATGTGCAACCTGTAGTGCTCGCAAACTCTACCAGGGACCGGTTTCAAAGGATTTTTGAGATCTGGATTTTCGAAATTTGCAAGTCTGGAAAAATGAACCGTTCTGGCATTGTTACAACCGAAGATTGTTCATGAAGCTCTTTCATCGAGAAGCATCTGGACGGCGGCGTTTGCAATATGATTTTTGCGATTTCAATTCGCTGATAGTTAGTTGAACTAGTATTCTGCTAGTTAAATATCGTTAATACATACGTATAATACTTGATACGTGATACTTGATGTACAGATTTGACAATTATAGTCAAAACTGTGATTACATCCCTAATCTTTTCATTCAGGCAAAGTAGTCCCGTCCGTCCATGGCTAAGTGATAACATGATCGAATAGAATGGATAAGTACTAGAGTCTGAATGTGAAGTCAAACAAAAAGGGACTATACATAAACTATTTTTCGTTTCGGCCCCAAATGGTATCCGAGGCAAAACCCCGTTTTTCCGGCTTTTCATCCACAGTTCCCGAGTATATCTCGCGATCACGAAGACTACAAGTGACCTACAATTGTCGAGCAAAGTTTGTTCCGTGAAACGGCGAGATTACGGGGGTTTACTCGATGTGCTGACATTTCTGGGCAAAATTTGTTTACTATACAATGTGATTTATCAGGAAATGGACAGGAAAGGGCAATTCCGAAAGTACATAGTTAAGGGCAAAGTACTTTTAGCCACTTTGATTGAGAGAGCACAGCTGACAAACTAATGGGCGATTTTTTGTGTGTGTTCTTTGTGTTCTTGGCTCTCACTAAACTAGTTCATTTCACAGTCAGATCTCCATTTGAATGTCCAAATAATGCGCATGAAGTCAATTTGTAGGGTGCTCTAATGAAACATCGTAGAGGAATTTGCTTCTCCGGATACGTGAAATATCGAGCGACAAACAGCTAGTGTCCTCTCTACCGTACTCCCAGTACGAGTTAAGCCAGCCAGATTATATGTATTTCTGTCCTCGCGCCCGACGGATTTCCGAGCAAAGAGCGGCCGGAAGCCCTCTCACGTGATTTGATAATCCTCCGTTATCTCTTCTGATTTCCACTTGACGGCGCTCGCCCCAAGGCGCCCCTCGCCCGTGCCAGCCGGTGCCTGGTGGAGCAGAGCCTGCCGGGCCGGGCTCTCGCGCCCTCTTCCCTCTTTGCTCCACGTGACGACGCGCAAAAGGAGGGCACGACAACAACAACCGGCTTTGGGCAGCGAGGTGCGAAGATGTATCATTGAATGTGTACTTTTAGTCGGAAAAGGGATTGTTAATGTGGTGCATGGGAAATGGACCACGAAGGGGAGGGGTTCTAAGAATGGAAAGTAATCTGAAGGTTTGTCTCGATTTGAAATCTGGCAAGAGTTTTGTAAAGATCAAAACTCAGTTTTTTTCCAACTTCTTTGTTATTTCTCACATTCAGATTATAGCCCTTGCCGTCACGTGGATTCCTCCGCATTGTATATCACTTACGGGTTGTGTAGAAGATGTGACTCATGTTTTGAAAGTGAGATGATCACAAAAGTTTTGTGACTCGGAAAATGCGTCCCAATTCACTGTTTCCAAGAACATAATCAAGTCAGAACGGACCAGCAGATAGTCCAGTTCTCCAATCCATGGAGTCCCTCATCCAAATTTCTGCAGAACACCCGGAAATGCGCACAATTCTTGATCCCATAATTAAGGTCCACCGCCGTTTACCAATCGTTTCTAATTACCTGAGGAGATTCGGTAAGCAGCCGCACCTGTCATGCTCCAAAACGGGCAGCGGCATGACCCAAACACTTACTCATAAGTCGGATATAATCCTCTCTTTCTCTTCATTAGTAGGCGTTTGGCTAACAGGGTGCGGGTCCCGAGTTCTGTTATGCGGAACGGTGGATCGTTATTATGTCAGCAAAGTACGCGCATAGGTATTACCCTAAACTATAGGATTTATCTTATAGGCTACTTTATTTGGTAAATCTCCGATAAACTTTCGGTAAATTCACCAGTAAATCAACAGAAATCCGATCGATAACAAAAACCACACTAATAATAATGCTCATCAGAGAATATTCTGTGTGGGTGAGTTCTACCGACCAGCTTTCATCAATTCCCCTTTTTTGGGCGTAAAATCGGTCGTCTCTCTCTCATGGCCTTGAAAATCTGTTTCGGCAGAAGTAGTCATGGAACACGCTCACTTTTCATTCTCAATTCTTACAGTCCTTATTTTTCTTCTAATATTTGTCCGTCTCTGTGCTCAATTCCACAAATTCATTCCCTTCCTCTCTTTTTCCATCTTTGGTCCAATTGCTGTATTATTCGATTATCCAATTACTGTATTTTGGCCTACTTGTTGACTTCTTTTTCAAAATGTGTTATTGCCGAAGTGTCACTGCTACCCACCCGCCTATGAGTTAGAAAATTATAAAAACTGTTCAAATCGGAATATCCATTTTTTGGTGATTTTTTGTTAAAAAATTGATCAGTGGGCGTTTGGCTAAACAGGGCGCGGGTCCCGAGTTCTGTTTTGCGGAACGGTGGAACGTTGTTATGTCAGCAAAGTACGCACATGGGCATTGGCCTAAACTGCGGGATTTACCTCAACTTTACGATGAGTTTAGTAATATTTTCTCGGTAAACTGTTTGGTTTACTTTTTCACTAATTTTTGGCTAGTTTTTCAGTCAACTTTTCAGAAAATTTACAGTCTAAATACCGGTTTTTTCTTCCGGTAAATTTCAGGCAAACTTTTTGGGGAATTTCCAATGATTTAGCCAGTAAATTAACAGGCTGATCAACCAAAATTCAATCGATAACGCAAATAACACTGATTCTGAGACGTTTCCAAAATTTTTTTGCGTGGGTGAGTCATACCGACTTGCTTACGTCTTTTCCCCGTTTTTGCTTAGCCTAAAATCTCACTTCTATTTCTCACCACCTTCAAAATCTTTCAATTTACATTAGTATCGGCAGCAGTAGCCACGGAACACGCTCGCTTTTTATTCTCAATTTGTCAGGTCCTTATTTTTCTTCTTTTTCCCTTCCGTCTGTGTGATTTTTCACAGATTCGGTCCGTTTCTGTCTTCTTTCCATTCATGATTCGATTATTGTAGTTTTTTTTCATTGACAGCACGCGGGTCCCGACTTCAGATATACGTGATGACGGACCGTTGTTATGCCATTAAAAGTACGTCCTTTGGCATTTATCTAAGAATTACAGCGTTAACCTAAGAATACCAACGTCCAAAATCTATCTTCTATTTTTCCCGACCTTGGAGAAACATTTGTTTTGGCGTATAGCAAGCTTTTTCATTCTCAATTCGTCAGAGTCCAGTTGTTTCCCACTCCTTTCCGTTCATGTGCTCATCTCTCCCAGTCTTTTACTCCTCCACACTTTTGTACTCTGTCCCTCGTGACAACCCATGATATCGACCGCGCGCGCGCGCGAACTACATAGTGCGACTCCACATCTTACCTACTCTAATGAGCAGTGCGGATTGAGCCGGCGTGCCCTTTCTTCCTCTTTCCCATCGCTGCCTCGTGGTTTCGTCGTATCGATTCCTCTTTTCTGCCCTTTTTCGGCTCCAATTTGGTGATAATAACGCGGCGAATGCGCTGGTAGCCTAGGCGACGGAAGCCTCCATTAGCGGCCATGAGAACATTTGATGCTTTCCTTTCATTTTCCCGTTTTTAGAGCGATTCTTTCCACTCTCTCTCTCTCCCCTTTCCAGTTCCCTTCAAACTACAGTGTTTCAGGATGATAACCGACACGGATGGAACCGTGTACGAGATCGTCTCGGAAAGCCCAACCGAAACTGACGCGTCGGGAGAGGATGAGGAGATGCCGAAGCTGATTCCGCTCGAATGTGTGGTAGAAGACGAGCATGATGTCATCATTGTCGACGACATGTCCGCAGCTCGCAACACGTATGTTCCGTTTTATTGATTTGTCAGTTTGGCCAGTACACATTATACCATTGTCATTGTTTTTTGATTATCTTCATCTCCTTGCGTCTAAACGCAACACATTTATATTCAAATCAACTTCCACAATCACCATGAGTAGGTAAAAGGCCGGCCCATGATTCCTGAAGGCCTGTCAAAACCTGGACTCAGGTCTTTTGGGCCCAAGTCTCAAAACGATCGGATCTTCCCGGTTTTTACGGAAATCGCGACCTTTTCGACTCTGATCCACATATCTGCGAACCCGATAATCCAATCGATTTGAGATTTAGACCCACTGGGCCTATGCAGAATACAAAAAATGGTTATTTTTGTTTTTTCGAAACGCAGAAAACCGCTGCGGGACCATCGCAACAAACATGTTATGCGTCTTTATTGCTGTTCTAGACCTACATGAGTCGTTTTAAAGGAACATAACGCATTCTGTTGTGATGGTCCCGCACCGATCACCATTTTGCAGTCGGCAAACGACGCGAATAACCTGAAACAACGCACGCATGACCAACCATTTTTGACAACCATTTTTGCACCCTCTGCTCTGACAATAACACATTTGCTTCACTTTTCAGTCCCGACTTCAAAGGCATCGATCTGAGCTCTGTGAAAATGGCAAAATCGCAAATTGAAATGCTTCTGGCGATTCAAGGAAAAAAGATTCCAAAGGTGAGAGCTCTGCAAACACTAACATTTCTGGAAATGTGTTTTAGATCGAGAAGCCGGCGCGTCGGAAGCACAGCAAAGGGCTCGAACACGGTCAGATCGCGAGAAACAAGATGATCCGTGAGGAGACGTACCCAAACGTGGACATTTATAAAGAATTCTCAAGTGGAATTTTCACGCTCGACGTCAAGAAAATGGACGCTAGCTTGGCGAAACTTGACAAGCGCCTTTGGGAGCATTGCGTCGAGAAAGCTGTGAGCTATCCGTGGTTCACCCTTCAGAAGGTACACCTCTCTTTTCTGGAATTTAACTCATCAGCCAATTATTCTTAAGGTCCTACAAAATCTCTCAATGGGACTCAAGACATATGAGAATCAGATTGAAGTTTACGACAAGATTGAGGAGGTGTTCGCGAAGTGCTACCCTCTCTTCGGGTCCAATGTGGAGAGAATCGATGATGAGGGCTACACTATGCTGCACCGTGCCATTTACGCCAAACATGTAAGTCATTCAGGTCAGATTCGTCAATAAACGAGTACATTTCAGTGGCGCCTGGCAAAATCCCTTGTCGAACTCAACACTCCGCTCCACATTCGCATCTTTAATGAAGAAAGTGCTCTCGAGGCGACAATTCAAATGGAAAACTTTGAGTTCCTCAAGGTGCTTCTCGGCTATGGCGCTACTTACCACTACTTCATCACCGAGAAACGTTCAAACGAACAGGCCTTATTCATGTGAGTTTGAGCCGCTTGAGTTGTCAGCTCATAACAATGATATTCAGGGACAATACTCCGATTACCGACGAACTCCTGGACGTTCTCAAAACGCACAACGCTGCTCTGGAAGCGATTTTCGAGGAATATCGTGTTAAGAATGACCAAGCGCACCACCAAATCCTTGAGATGTTCCCGGTGATGACATTCCCTCACGGATTTGTCGATGAAGACTTTGATCGCGTTGACATGGTCAATGAGTTCCTCGTCAAAAATGCCAAGAAATCGAACCGCGACTATGGCTACGTGCTGGCGATGATCGTTGCTCGTTGGAACGACGAAACGGTCAGTTTTCCGATTTTCCAGTACACGCGTAACAAGTATTCATTGCAGAATTCCGTCGAAGTTGTGCGGAACAGCGGCCTGAGGATGCAAACCGGGCCCATTCTTTCGTCAGAGCTTGCGGAATTCCACGCTAACCCAGGTTTCTGGAGAGTGAAACCGAATAAGGGACTCAACAATCTCGTCCTGAAAATTGAGAGAGCCGCGCCGAAAACCTTCACAATGTGTCAGCTGATCTACTGCAAATTCAATCGGACCGCAGACATTGCAATCGAGCAAGACGAGGAACTGAAGTTCGGACCTGATCAGGACGCCGATAAGATCTTCAGAATCGTTAACATCACTCAAAATCGCATCGGATTTGAAGCTGCCACAAGATGTGATTATTTCACGCTCGTTCCATCTTCCGGAGTTATCAACAGCGGGGGAATTTATGAAGTGACCGTAAGGTACCACGCCGCTCTTGTTCCCGTAAGTTGAACTTTAATGAAACTGAAATTGTAGCAAATCCGTCATTTTTAGCAGATTGAAACCAATAAGAGATTCGGGTTCGACAGTGAGGAGAATATCATGCTCAAGTGGGCCAACGCACCGGACGGAGAAGACGTGTACGACGAGAAGTGGCAGAAACGAGATGTTGGCAGTCGCTTCATGGTCATCAAGAACGCACGCATGACCTAATTTTCTATTCTGTTTTTAAGTATCATCCTTTCATTTCATCCTCACACTGCGATTCTCTTACTTTGTACGTGGTTACATGTGCGCTTATTAACCAATCATTTATTTTCAATATTTTGATTGTACACCCTTATTTCTCCCCTTTAGTTGATTCTCACTGTGCTTTTATACCGTTGTATCGCTATCTGAAGAACCAGGAGACCCTCCAAATTTATGTGTTTGTCTGACTCTTCACCTCGTCCCCATCACTGTCCGAGTCCCAACTTTCAGAGAAGTCTATAAACGGAACCGCGTGCAGTCGAAGGTGTGGCCGTGGCCTAGGAAATTTAGGTGTGAAAACTCTTCTCTGCTAGATAGTGGCCGCCCTTGCACTATGTAGGGATGCGGATTTGGCTAGATGTTCCTTGAAAATTTATAATACATGGCTGAGTATTTTTCCTGGCCACGGCTGCAACTTTGACTACGCGCAGTTTTGTTTATAGGAATATCTGAGAGTGGAGATTCGGAGAGCGCATTTTGCTATAATTAACGAGTCAGAAAAACGTTTGAACTCGGGGTGTCTTCAGGTTCTTTAAGTTTTTTCCAGAGGTTGTGTTTGCCTGCTGCCATGGCAGCTGCAACATACTTTGCTCCCTTTTCTTTATGGTGGAATGAATAACATGATTTATTTTTTTTACATATTTCGTTAAGGAAATCAGAAAATTCGGAATTTCCGAGACAGCCTGGCTACGCGGAAATGAATTGTGTAACTCCGAAGCCATTAGCAGTTTCTGTGCTCAACTGACTTTCAAACTGAAATCACAGGCGGTTCAAAAACCGATTTGAACAAGAACAAACACAAATAAAAAAAAACAATTCATTTTTTCTGAAATTTTGAAACTTTTTTCAATATTATTCACAGTGAATGCTTGAGATCGAAGAGAAGAAACCAGTGGGAAGTGCGTGAGATTATTGTAGAAGAGAAGAGATCCGTAGGTAACCCGATGATGTGGAGGTCTATAGTCGCGGGAAGTCGTCTTCGGAGACAGCGAACGGAATCGCTTCTCTTTCTCTTCGAAACTGAAAAACGAGATTATCGTAATAAAAACTGATTACAAACGCTTACCACTTCCGCCATCATCTCCAGTTTCAAAACGAACATCTTCCTTGAAATTTGTCTTTCGTTCGCTCGGCTTTCAGTTATTGTTCTCTTCATCGTCCTTAGATACTCTTCATACTTCTGCAAGATGACAGCCTTCTTTGAGTTGTCCGTCGTTGTTTCGACGTCGCCCAAATGGTTCTTTAGAAACTTCCATAAAGGGTTCGTTTGATCAAAAGTATCGTCCATTTCAATAACATCTTCCATTGCGTTCTCGTAATCAATCAGAAAACGTGTTGTGATCTTGCTGAAAACAGTTTAGCGTTAGAGATCAACATAGAAAAGAGAGAGAGAGAGAGAGGTAACACTAATAAATAAGAATCAAAACTAACTTCAGCATATTTTTTTTTTCATTTTTTGGCTTTTGAATAATAAAGCCACGTTGCTGCAAGACCACCAGCTTCATGAGTCCTCCAAGATAGATGGTCTGCGGGTCCCGTGTGTCAATGATCTTCTGTTGGATGTGGCTGATGACCTGAAACTATAATTGTGGAAGGATAATCAAGCTAGCAGCTTACAATTTCCACATCGGAAAACTTGGAGCTGATATCAATTTCTCCATCGATTCCTTCGACGATCGGGAGGAGACCAATGACGAGGGAATCGATGGAGAATTGATATGAGCGGCTCGGGTGGGCGACGAACTTCAGGTCAAGCGTCTTTCCGGACTTGTTGTTCAACGAAATCAACGACCATAGTCTCTCCGGGTGCTGGAAATAAACATAATTATAAACGTCAAAGAGTTCTATGTTATCTCACCACAAACTTGTTTGCCACATAATTAAAATGGCAGTCGGATCCTGACAGCTCACGGATCATCTTGAAGCATACGTTGAGGATTGCGGCAAACATCTCTTGATCCTCATTTCCTTGCATTTGGACGCTGACTTCAATGTCGTAATCCGCATGATTGATCTTCGGGCACACCACGTGAGTAGCGGCGCCTCCAATGAGGTGGATGGCCGATACGTCCACGGCAACCTCTCTTTAAAAAAACTATAATTCATTGTACATCAGATAGCATCAAGCGCGCTTGAATCGAAAATGGGAAAAGAAAAATCGTACCTCAGCATTGCAATTAACATCTGGAGTACCACCAGGATGGACGTCGTGAACGAGGGGACGGTCAGCGGCGCTTCGACCACCGGATCGACCTCGATTGGTCCTCGCACCATCGCTTCGAGGCGAGTTCTCTGAAATTTTTTCAGTTGGACACAGGAGATTTTGTAGAATTTGAATTATTACCTGTGTGGAGGAAAGAACGACGTTTCGGTTGGCAGCGGACATGATGAAGATCGGTTCGGAGATTTGAACTGAAAGAAATGGTGAATGTGTGCAGTCGAAGCCAACAAAAAAGACGTGTCAGACGGTTTTTCTCACGATTAACGATCTTTTCCGACATTTAATAAACCGACAACAATCACCTTTTGGTGTTCACAAAAAGACGAAGCGAGGTTTATTGAAATTGAATTCGCGCCAATAAAACGTTTGAGGGAACTTATGTCTGTTGATACGAAGGCATGAGCTCGGTAAAAGGCTAGCCCAGGCTCATATGAAGGCTGCCGAGGCATAGACTTTTGACTCATTTACAATAACCCGCTCGGACCCAAGCTATGCAGGATTTCTGGATTAGGTTATCTGTTCTCGAGATGTGGAGTGAGGCCAACGGCCTGGTCGGCCTCAAATCCATCTCGAGATCAGATAATTAAATCGGGCTGAAAGTTGGACCCAATATACTTCAATCCAAGTCTAAAAAGCTTGCAAAGCTTGGGTTCGATCGGGTTTGTAAGTGGGTCAAAAGTCCAGGCATCTATAGGATTTTGAAAAGCCTGGGCCTTCTAAGCATCCCGCGATTCGGTGCAATTAGCACCAAGGTGGAACGCTTCCAGCCGATTCTTCAAAGATGGCAACTTGCAAAACTGGTACATATACATAGCATAGAACGCGTTTTTAATAAGATACCCCTCTGCGGTTCCTTAGGTACATATCTGAGCCGAAACGGGGCAGCCACTAGGGGAGAAAACCGTTTTGAGGTGAAAAGCAAGACCGTCGCAAGTGTTTGAATGTTCAAAAAGCGAATCGAAAACGGAACCGCTGAGAGCGGGGCGCTATCAAATGTTTATGGGAATACGGAATAATATGTGTTTCGCCTCTTTTTGCAACGTGTATCGTTCTGATTCCGCAAGTCTGCGTCTCTTCTTTTTGAAGCAGAGCCGCGGACTGCAAAACCGTGCCGCCCGAGATTCGTGATCATGGGGAAACGAGACTGCCAGCCATAAACTGATAGTGAATGCAAAAGTCGAGAGGCAAGGAAACATACAGTAACGTGGCAGTCTCGTGATTTTCAGCAGAGCGCATTTACTGATGCAGACGACGGAAGACAGAAATGGAAAGTGCCACGCGTTGATTGCCGAGAAGTCGAAAACCGTGAGTGGAATGAAGAATTAAGAGGGAGTCAAAAAAACCTGCGTTCGGGGGGAATCGAACCCCCGTCGAATGCTTGGAAGGCATCCATGCTGACCATTACACCACGAACACAGGAAAAACGCAAATAGCGAGAAGAATCACTGAAGGATTAGAAACGCTAACCACTGAGCGTGGAACAATCGGCAACTGAAATGGTGGTTCAAATAAAAATTATCGGAAATTGAGAACAAGTCCAAGTAGTCAAAGGACATGAATGACATCGCAGTGTTTTGCCTTTGCAGTCAGAAAAAAGTCACCCAGTTGAGTTTACATGCATTTTCGCTCCAAGTTCAAAAATTTACATTTAAACTGTTCGTCGTTTTCTTCTTTACACACTTACACGAAAATTGAACAAAGTATGTACAAGGAAAAGAAGCGACGAACAGTTATTGTCAGGACTTGCAAATTTTTAGAGTGTGGGCAAGGCGACGAGCAACGGCAACACTAAGCTAATCCCAGAGTGATCCCGTTTCAAGAGTGATCCTACACTAACTTTTCAGTGATCCCGTTTTGTTTAGTAGCTCCTCATTGACTTTTCACTCATGCTTCGCTAATTCCTCACTGCGATTCTCAGTAATCGGATATTGATTCCTCGGTTCTTAGCGTCCCTTCAGTGACTGTTCACTGACGGATTACTGATTTTTGGCTAATCAGCGTCTACTCGGTGATCGCTCGGTAATTTCCGAGTGTAGCCGTTTTTCCTGTGCAGGCTCAACGTTGCTTAGCTTGCCAGATCGGACGGGATGGCGTGTATTCAACGTGATATAGTGATACCAAACAGTTGGCCACGACCACATGGTCGGATCTGCCCTGGCGGAAAGCCACGCCCACGAAGGTACAATATAAGGTCGTCGAAACATGACATTTGCACAGTCTCGCACGGTCTTTAGAGGGCCCTGAAAAAGGCTCGGAAGGTTGGCCTGAAAAGGATTATCTTATCTGATAAGGTCTGAGAGAGCCCTGAAAAAGGCTCGGAAGGTTTTCCTGAAAAGGATTATCTTATCTGGTAAGGTCTTTAGAGGGCCCTGAAAAAGGCTCGGAAGGTTTTCCTGAAAAGGATTATCTTATCTGGTAAGGTCTGAGAGAGCCCTGAAAAAGGCTCGGAAGGTTGTCCTGAAAAGGATTATCTTAGGAGACCGTCTGGTATGGTCTATAAACTCCACAAGAAAGTGTAAACATTTTTCGACTTTTGGTATAAGTTGTACACTTCAGTCAAGTCGTACAACTTTTTCAAAGGTAGAAAGATATTCCCTCCGCATTTTTTCTGGATTTGACGCTGATGATGTTGCTGCCAAGTGTAAGTTTTTCTTTGTTTTATTCTAAAATGATATATTATATATATGTACTATAAGGACCTGAGTGACAGAATAAGGGCCTCAGTGGATAAATAAGGACCTGAGTGAACGAATAAGGAATGATTGCATCTGTCGTCAAGGCAGCAACTAACCGTGTGAAAGTTGCTTCATTAACATCTCCGTATATATTTTTTTTATTCATTCAAATCGGGTTCCTCGTAACTTGTGAGCACTGTTCAGGTGGAAAGGATCCGAATCTTACAGACATCGGTCTGTAAGATTCGGATCCTTTTCCCAGTTATTTGTGTTGTCCAACTAATTTTCGAAAATTTTGTCAGTTGTGAAATTCTCGAGCCCAAACACAGGAATAATTAGTTTCCTTCAACAAAATTGAAATTATTTATTTATGAAATTCGCATTAACTACAAGTAAGTGTCTCGCCAACTCAATTCATTCCTTCCAAACTGACAACTATATTCCGTTGCGGGGAATCGAACCCCGGCGTTATGGGTGAGAGTCATAAATCCTAACCAAAACGGAGATGCTGATGAAGCAACTTGCGTCGGGTTGTATGTAGCGACGAGAGAAGCAGACACTCGCAGTCCGCCGCCACGGCCCCCTATGTCACACGATCAGGGCGCTGATTAACATGTGCGTTCGTGGTGTAATGGTCAGCATGGATGCCTTCCAAGCATTCGACGGGGGTTCGATTCCCCCCGAACGCAGAACGTTTTTTGTTCTGTTTGAAACTAGAATTTACTGATCTTTTCAAATATAATTTCTTCATTTTTTTTTGACGAAAATTCCTTGAAATAAAAAAACCAGAAGTAGGATTGAAATAATGTTGTAATGAACATGTTTCTCTGTCACCTCCGTTCTCTGCTACATTAAAAATACGGTACGCATTGTCGTCGCTTGTTGTGCGGACACCGAATTGTGTTTGCGTACACTTCTCAAATCTTGTGATGTCAGTTCTAGTCAGAAACGACATTCGAAAGTGTTTTCTGTATCTTTTCAATTGACATCTCTTGTATGCACTAGAAAATTGAATGTTAAGATTGAAAAGCTTAGTTTTTTCATTGTTATTGACAAAATGTTTTCACAAAGGCATTTTCTCGCATCGTTTTGTCTTCTCACTTCTCACTGTCTCACTGTCTTCTCACGATCACTGGTCGGTGACAAATCGATATAGCCAAGACCGAGATTTCGCAATCACTAAAATCGATTCACGTTGAGCTTCGCATTTTGTTGTGCACACACACATATACATCAACTTTTGTTTACACATGAACACATTTTTGCTTCTCTCAGTTTTGGCCAAAATTTCATAATCTTCATTATAGTGGCCGCGGTTTGCCGATTCGATTGATTCGCGGACTAGTTTTTCAACGTGAAGAAAAGCTAGTCCGTCTATGTTAACACAATAAATTGCAATTTCTCAATTGCGCAAATCCGTCAGCGAATGATCGGTGCATATAATCGTTTTATGTCGCAAACTTTACCTCGTTGTGTACTCGTTCAAACACATCAGTTTTTGCTCACACGTGATTACTTTTTTCCCGTTGCAATTGTCAACTGTATTGTGATAAGAACAGAGAAACAGGCAGACAGTTTCGCATTTCGCACTTCACTAATCTTTGAACGCTTCGTATCACTTTTAACTATAACTTCCGTAATTTGGAACTTGAGAAGTCAGAATTGTTAGTTCTCTGAATCTCAGCCACGTGATTTAAACTCCGGCAGCCAGTATACTCATCTCCTCTGCCAAAACAACATAATTATGATGATTTACTCGTGTCTGGGACACTCTATGTATGTTTTTGTCTCTACTCACTCTAGAAAGTAATTTTTTGTCTCTACTCGGAAAGTAATTTTTTGTCTCTACTCGGAAAGTAATTTTTTGTCTCTACTCACTCTGGAAAGTAGTTTTGTCTCTACTCACTCTGGAAAGCACTTGATGATTTTTAGCGAAGTCAGTGAAAGGTAGTCTCAACGACAGTAAAAGGACCACTATTTTTGTACATTAGACTTTTCTGATATTTACTTGCTTCTTGCATCCCATTGACTGTTAAGTTGGACAGTACATAGTTTTTCTAATGTTCCCTGTTCCAAAATGACGATCAGTACAACAGTCCAGCATTCGACTTCTTTTCAAAACATTGTAGAACCAGTAAATGTTTCACTGTGATCAGTCATTAGTGCACGCAGACACGCTGTAGGACCTCGCGCGATGCAAGTCCGTTGGAGACCACCACAATGCGATGTGACACCAAAAAGGGGCACATCTCGGCGGCCTTGATTCTCAACGCCAAATAACCGTTACAACAGTCGACCCTGTGTCGATTTTTTTTACAAGTTTTGAGCTGGATTGCTGTTTCTTGGGCATTTTTAGTCTGATTTCATCCTAAAGTGCGCTGATATGTATTCCAGGGCTGGGCAATTGGCCGGCACGTGCTTTTCGTTGGCCGGTCCTTGACCTGCACCTTTGAACCACTTGCAATATTCCGATCGGACCCAAATTTTGCAGGCTTCTTGGACATGGGTTGAAGCATACTGGGACCACGAGATCTGTGGATCATTGGCCGAAATTGGCCGGAAGCCCGGGCTTTTTGGAAAAAATCGGCCAAAGATCCACATATCTCGGGACCCGACGATCCGATCGGGCTGAAACTTGGTCCCAATGGCCCTCAATCCAAGTACAACAATCCTGCAAAGTTTGGGTCCGATCGGAATATTGCAAGTGGTGCAAATGCCAACGAAAAGCCCGGGCCGGGCAATTGCCCAGCCCTGGTGTATTCGAAAATGTCAACGACGTAGAAAAGCGCAAAGCGTCGATCTATGTAGTTGTTGCGAATGTCGAATCTCTCTCATCACTATCGTTCATTTCCTTGTTCTCAGTCCTACGATGATTCGAATCTTTCCTTTCTCTTTTTCATCTCATCAAATTTTGTTTATGAGAATGGAGTAAAGACTTCATCACTGATAACACTTTTACTTTCAGAAATGCATTGGTCACAGAAGTTTGAAGTCGATGAAAAACTTGCTGGTTTCGAAGCAATTACGATAGAAGATAACCCAAGTGTGATTGATGCCAAGGTATTTGAGAAAGTCGTGAAAACAAACGACAATGATGATTCGAGCGTCAAGGAGAACCGAGCAAAAACGGCAAGGAAGAGAACAAGGAATGAAGGGAAGATTCGGACAAACAAGAAAGAAAAACAACAAGTAGGAGACGGAAACAAGAACGAACAAGGAGAAAAAGACCGATTTGAAGACAGGGAAGAGAAGGAAGAAAATGAAACTGAGCACAACGATTTTCATCATCCAACGTATAGCATGAAGTAAGTTTTAAGACTTTCCTTGAGTGTTGACATTCAAAGAATGTTACTTTCAGATCGCTCGCCATTATTCCCGACCTTCTTGATGAACCCTGTGACGATTATGATTTGGATGATCTGGAGCTGGATCCAATCAGAAATGTGGTCGAAGAAGAGATGTACTCCGATTTTTTCAAACAGCAGTTGAATCATCTTCCAATTGACAAAGTCAGTCCCAGTTTTGCAACCCTCAACATTCAATTTACTTTATTCAGATGTTGAAAGTACAATCCCTAAATGACCACATTTTCCAAGACACTTTAAACTCGTGCAGAGGTCTAATTTACCCAGACATGATCCCTCAAAATGTCAAGGACTTCTTCATATCTAATATTGCTTACAAAAGGAACGATAAGCAAATCAGTTTCCGGAAACTTCGAGAATTTTATCACGCAAAAGAGGTGCTTGAAGTCAAACGGTTTCCTATAATAATTATTCTCTTTTCAGTTAGCTGCCGTTGTTGTTCCGGCTCATCTCGTTGAGTTCTATTATAAAGAGAAGAACAATCTCGGCGGTAACTGGCGCCAAGAACGAGTGGAACTTGAACTTTCTATCGAACCAGAGATGTTGACAAAATTGAACGGATGCGGCATTTCATTCATTTGGTGAGTAGGAAACTTTTGGTTGCTTACTAAGTGTTTCTATTTCAGCGATATTGCCCATTTCTCGTCACCTCATACCAATAAAATGACGAGCATGACGAAAAAAAGGAGTGGAATTGTGTCACAAAAGGATAAGGAAAGAATCGAACAATTGATTGTTCACGCTAATCAGCCAATCGCTCCTAACGAAGATAACGATTCTGGCTATTCGTCGCCAAATTCGAAAACAAATTATAACGACGAACAGAGCTGAGCGGAATTTCCGCCTTTTCCAAATACGCATTCCGTTCAACTCCAATGACAACATCGTTGTGTTTTCTTTAGATTGTTTGCCTGCTTTCGAATTCTAAACCAAGTTCAAAACATTCCCAATCGCTCAATTAGCATGTTTCCCGTCTCATCTAACCTTTTTTCATCCGCAATCTTGTAAATAATCTGTGATTTCACGCAAACCCATTGTTAATTATTCACTCGGCTGCTAGCCTTTGATTTACTCCAACATTTTCATAATGCTACATTAATACCCTAAAATTCATAGTATTATGAGCTTTTTTCCGTTAATTTTTATCCGATATCTAGGGACGTTTAACTTTCGTTTTTTTTATAATTACGTACCGATGTATATGTGCTCTACATTGGATTCCTGAATAAATGACGATTTTGGAAATCCCTCAATTCCAATTAAGCGCATATATTTAAAGATTATGGGAAAGGGAACAGTATTTTGTTTTTGAAACATGAAAATAGGTGTCCAAAGATTGCTCAATGCACCCGGGGTCGACATCTCAGCTTAAACTTTCTGAACCCGGGAAGACGACAACAGACATCGCTTATAATATCTGTGTGGTGCTACTCGCATTTGAGGTGAGCCAAGGAGATCAACAGAAAAGTCTAAGTAGTCTGGCTAAGAAGTACATTTTCTCACGTCGGTCGGAGAGACTGGCGGAAAAAGACATTGTGTTAAGGTTTTCAAATTTTTTTGTTTTATTTTTTTCCATTCGTTTCAACGCAAAAACAATTTTCAGTCATCGTTAGTTCTGACTAGAATATTTGAAAGCGCAAACATAGGTTTAACACACACACTAAACTCAATTTGTGTTTCCATAATACTTGCATTATAACTACGAGTACGTGTCTCGCCGACTCAATCCTTTTCTTCCAAACTGACAACTGAAAAAGCTTTAAAAAAAAGATATTTCGTTGCGTGGAATCGAACCCCCGGCCTTATGGGTGAGAGCCATAAATCCAAAACAAAACGGAGATGCTGATGACTCAACTTGCGTCGGGTTGTGTGTAGCGACGAGAGAAGCAGACACTCGCAGTCCGCCGCCGCGGCCCCCTATGTCACACGATATGTCACACGATTAACATGTGCGTTCGTGGTGTAATGGTCAGCATGGATGCCTTCCAAGCATTCGACGGGGGTTCGATTCCCCCCGAACGCAGAACGTTTTTTGTTCTGTTTGAAACTAGAATTAACTGATCTTTTCAAATATCATACGATATGTTTTTTTTGTCGAAAATCCCCTCAGAAATGCAAAATTTGACACTAAATCCGAGATTAGGGTCAAACTAATACTTATTGTTAAGACAATTTTCACTCATCGCTGTTTCATTATCGTGCTTTTCACTAGCAGAAGAATACTGACGACATTGTCGTGCGGACACCGAATTGTGTTTGCGTACACTTCTCAAGTCTTATGACGTTAGTTCTGATCGGAAACGACTTTCGTAAATGTCTTTACTTTTCTAATTTTTCATTTGTGCCAAAATTGAGATCGAGCTGGAATTGAGCCAGCGTCTTCAGGTATACTATCCCTGTGCTACCGGTAAGAGAGACATAACAGTGACATATTCCTCCACCAAATTGTCCTTTTTCTGTCTTAAAACAGAAAAGAACCGCAATTGACGTCCTGGAGCCATAATCGGCATTATTTCATAATTTCTAGAACCGTTTCACGTCAAACACTTCGTTTCACTTTCAAACACATCAGTTCTGTGTTCACACGTGATAACTTTTCGCGTTGCAGTAGTCAACTTGATCACTGCTTTCTGATAAGAACAGAGAAACAGGAAAACTGTTTCGTACTTTCACGAAATTTCAAACGTCTCATATCACTTGTAAGAACTGTCAAAATTTGGAGCTGGACTAGTCTTCAACTAGTTTTAGCACTTCAAAACATGTGAAACATTCTATCAACAGTATGTAGTTTCATATTCCCATTTTTATAAAGCCTATGAGTCACCAGACTAGGACAAATCGATTTTTATATGTAATGTAGAAAAAACTTGTGCACAAATTTTAACTTCGGCAGCCACTATACTCCTCTCGGCTCTCCAAACAAGATTATTATGATAATTGACTCGTGTCTGGGACACGTGCTGTATGTTTTTGTCTCTACTTACTCTGGAAAATAACACTTGGCAACAACTCGGATTGTCCATATAAACAACAATATTTTTGAATGTCACAATCCATTTTTGAAGTGTGATTTCTTGCTGACAAAAAAGGGACAGCTATTGTTGTAAATTATTTTTTTCTGTTCGAGTATTTCAATCAGCGCAACTTCCTTCTCAACTGTTTTCACTACTTTTAAAATCACTCACAGAAATGGTTTGTGTGCATTCTGTGTGTGTGTGTGTGTGTGTGTGTGTGTGTGTATGTGTGTGTGTATGTGTGTGAGGGTGAGGGTGACCCCCTTCGCAATATGCAGAAGGTCCTTGCATATACCACGTCCGTTGGTGACCACCACAATGCGTTATGACGCCAGAAAAGGGCACATCTCGGTGGGCAAGAGTGCGCTGTGCTGGCGGGCTTGATTCTCAACGCTTATTGCTCGATCCTGCTCCAATTTTTGCCAAGTTTAGAATTCACTTAAAGGACCAGAGAACCCAAAAATTTTTTGATTTTTTTGTGAAATTTTTGTGTCTGTTTGAATTGTCTCTTATTGCCTCATACACTGGTGAAATGCTGCCTCTCAAAAATGCCAATGAACGAAACGGCGTGCAGTTGAAGTTGTGGCCGTGGCCTAGCGCCAATGGCCTAGAAATATGCGCTTCTCGGCCATTTTATTTTTTCCGCTTTTTTACCGGTTTTTTTTCCAAAAATTAACGGTTTCTCCCATTTTTCAGTTGATCGACATTTGTTCGGCACTTACTTATTTTTTCACTGCTAAAAAATTGTTTTCATTCAGTCGATACGAAGTCGCGAGTTTTTCGATTTTATCGCGAAAAAATCGGTAAAAAAACGGAAAAAATAAAATGGCCGAGAAGCTAATAAGCGACAATTCAAACAGACACAAAAAAATTTCACAAAAAAATCAAAAAAGTTTTTGGTTCCCTTGTCCTTTAACGTTCTGGATTGGCAAGTGTGATTTCGGAATTCGCAATTTTCATGTTCGTCTGATGTAGTTCGCTATCATTTCACCATTTTCATTTTCAATTTTCAAATGTTCAAAACTTTGTGCAAACTGTGATCAACTCATTTTCATGTCCCTCAAGATATTTTATACATTTTGCACTGAAATTGCGCCAACATGCGGCGATGTTAAAGCGGCAGCCACTGTCGCCTAGGCGTAGTTATGGCGAATGTCGCATCTCTCCATCGCTATCGTTCATTGTCTCTTCCTCAGTTAAACGATTCATGATTCGATTCGTGGTCTTTCGCTGTTCTTTATCGTTCTCTTCTTCTTCCCTTTCTTTTCTTCATCTCATTACTTTTTGTTTGTGAGAATAGAGTGAAGACTTTATCACTGATAACACTTTTACTTTCAGAAATGCATTGGTCACAGACTTTTGAAGTAGAAGACAAAATCGCTGGTTTGGAAGCTGGCACAAACGAACAGCAGAACAATGTGGTTGGTGTTAATAAGTTGGATGACTCGATTCTGGAAACAATGGAGACTGATGACTTGAGCGTCAAGGAAAACAGGACCAGAACGCCAAATAAACGGAGAATTGAAGCGAGGAACACTCAATCGAACAAGAGAGCAAAACAACCAGAAGAAGAAGGAATAACGAACGAGGAAAGTGAAGGAAAGAGGAGTGATAATGAAGAAGAAGGTGCAGACGGAGACGCCGATTTCTACCATCCAACATACAGCAAAACGTAAGTTTGAGGATGAATCTTATGCAACGTTGACATTCAAAGCCTTTCACCTTCAGATCGCTGGCGCTTATTCCTGACCTTCTCGATGGGCTATGTGACGATTACGACTTAGATGATTTGGAACTGGATCCAATCAGAAATGTGGTCGAAGAAGAGATGTACTCCGATTTCTTCAAACAGCAGTTGAATCATCTTCCAATCGACAAGGTCAGTACTCATTTGAACAATATTCAACATTCAACTAAGTTTTCCAGATGTTGAAAGTGCAATCTATGAATGACCACAACTTCCAAGACACGTTGAACTCATGCAGAGGTCTCACTTACCCGGACATGATCCCTCAAAACGTCAAGGAGTTCTTCGTCTCTAACATTGCTCACAAAAGGGTCGACAATCCGACGAGTTTCCGAAAATTCAAAGAGTTTTATTACGCAAAAGAGGTACTTTTGCTCATACGGGCTCCAGATAATAGTTCTCATATTTTCAGCTTGCTGCCGTTGCTGCTAGGACTGATCTCGTCGAGTTTTACTACGAAGAGAAGAATAAACTCGGCGGAAACTGGCGCCAAGAAAATGTGGGACCGGAACTCACGATGAAACAAGAGATACTGACGATATTGAGCGAGTGTGGCATCTCAATCATTTGGTGAGTAGAAACACTCTCTTTTATTCATAATTTTTTTTGATTTTAGTGATAACGAGCATCTTCCGTCAAGAACAATTGTCAAAGCGAAGAGGAGGGGTGCAAGGAAGGACCAGAAAGAAGATGACAACAAAGTTGTACCTACTGGAATTCGGTCACAAGAGAACAAGAGAACAAGTGACGCTCATCAGCCAATCACTCCGAAGGAAGACGAGGATTCTGGCTACTCGTCGCCGAAATCGAAGAGCGAGGATAATGACGACATCCTCATGAATCATTCAGATTTTTAGCTTCTCTTCGATTCTATTTCCGTACAACCAATTATATTATGTGTTTTAAGTTCTAAACATTCCCAATTTATTATGTTTATCAATTGACCCAACGAGTAGATTTTCATATGCCTACTTGTAAATACTCTGTGGTTTGTAACCGATTGTTCCTTCCCGTTCTTCACTATTTTCTCTTGTCTACTTGGCGTGATAATACTTTTCATCTTTTGTGAAATTTCTGTTATTGCATGTGATACAAACTTCTTTCATTCATATCACGCACATTTGAATTCCTGAATAACATTTGCTTTCAAGTTGAGGTTTTTGTATTTCTGCCGTGCCAACTTGCAAATTTTCTGCCAGAAACACGGCATTTCCAACAATGTCGCCAAGATTCAATCAAATTCGTCCTCATCTTCTCTTCTGTACTTCTGTAAAGCCTATTCTCCTGTTTTCCGCGAAGAAGTTCCGTCAACAGAGTGGCAACAGAGTGATATATACGGAAAAAAAAAAGAAAATTGCGTGCGCACACCTTGCAAAAAAGCGTGCGGCAGTTGCAATGTGCGCCTAGGCTCCTCCCGTCCATTATCGCTTTGAGTAGAATTCATGATTTGTGATGTTCTGTTCGAAAAACGATTCCTTAATTTTTGTAAAGTTAATTGCTTTTTTCCAACATCTGTGAAGGTGGTTTCAGATATTGAAACCGAAATACACAAAGAAAAATCCGTGATGTGTGTGCAAGTGCGCTCTACCGAACTAGATTTTCAATACGGGTTTTTCTACAGGAAAAGGTAAGTTTTGGCGTTATTTTTGGTATAAAGAGATTGATTTTAGGTAGAGAATATGCGAAATGAGCACATCATCGACCGAGAAGACGCAAAGTACGTCCAGAAGCCTTATTAGAAATCAAAAACAGAAGAAAACGAGCAATACGAGCAGAATTCGTCCGCAATAAACTGAAGTACGTCTAATGAACACTTTTCATGCAAGATATTTGTATTTGCAGGTAAAACTACAATAATGATCGGATTCGAGTACTCGAAATGCTTTTCAGACGGAGAACAGAAGAAGAGTGCGGTCAGGCGACGAATCTTCGAATTATACACAAATAAGCTTCTCTGAAGTGTTTTTTGTGAGCATTTTCCCATATTTTTCATCAATTAAAACTAGAAACAAACATAACCGTTGTTCTGGTGCTCTCAGAACTCTTCAGAACACAGAAGTGTGCAGGGAACTAAGGTGTTTCAACATTTCGCCAAGTTTTCTCGGGTTTTACTTGAGGGTCTTGAGAGCAGCGCAAAGAAAACACTTATCACATACTTTGACACGTCCTTTGCAGATATGAATAGCTCCGATCGTTGATAATGATGACTAAATGCACCGACTCGACACGAGGCCGGACCCGAAAGACGCTAATTCCTAACAAAAATGGAAATGAAGAGTGAAAGATACACAATATCAATTATTCGACGATGGATTAATGTTGTCTCTGTGCCGTGCTTGATTCAGATTAATTGAGTGACTGTCCCGTCAGCATTTACTGAAGCTTTTCCAAAAAATCGCAACTCACATTTGACAGACATAGTCCAGTTCGTAAAACCAGCTCCTTGAAAAATCAAGAAATGTAAATTGCAAAAAATTACGCACGTTTTACATCGTACGTCGTTACGTACGTCGTTACATCGTTACGTCGTACGGCAACCACGTGCATGCGAGTTGGTGGAATGACGAAATTAGCTGGCGGAAAGTAAGTTGATCACACGGATCGATTCGACACAAATGTCCGCAAGTTACGTATTTGTATTTTGTATCACTGTTTTTTTTTGCCTGAAATTCACCGTCTCTCTTTCATTCAGGTTGCATTTTACTCGATTGATACAGTTGTCTTCCTGTGATATGAGTTCACAGATCCACGAAGATCTTTAGGCTTTTCCACTCATCGAATCTCCGCCAATCTACACACACACGTCTGCTTTTTCAGGGATTAGGGTTTCAGGGAAACTTTGAACAGATGACATACGCTGACAGGCGAACAGACTATCCGGGTTGGAGAATTTTTCTGACGGACAGAGGAACGGATATTCGACATATTAACCGGATGTTGTATGTTGTATGGCCTCCCATTTTGGCCCAGCTTATTGTCTGTTAGTTCGGACATTAGAACTGGCAAGCCACATTGGAAGTGAGAGGTTTTTTTTCAACTTTTGATATCAGTTGCACACTTCAGTCAAGTAGTGCCACTTTTTCAAAGGTAGAGAAAAGCTCCTACTTCTTATTTTCATGCTTCGTTATGCCCAAACATTACAAAATCGATCCCGTTGCTAATTTTGAATATAAAGTATCCTAGCATCGTTTCTATAATCTCTACAATTTTCCAATTTTCTTCTAGGCATACTATAAACTTTTTGATACTGACGGCCGATCGAGCTAATCCGAAGGTTTCTTTTCCGACGCCCGTATTCACTTATTTTGAGCTTCCACGGGCTCTCATGTTGTTGTTTGATATCTCAGAGAACATTATAATCATTTGGAAGAGCTGTTTCGCTCGCAGACGATGACTGCGGTTGTTTCACTACCCACATTCTAATCACGACTCTTTTTTTCCTTATTTTTGCCTAACCGGATGTCCCCGGGAAGGCTTTCCAAAAGTTATAGTTGTTCGACACTCTCTTTCGAAAGGTCGGAACTCCAGCGTACCTTGAGTAACTGGGTTAAAACCGACGAGGACGGCGCGGCCTCCGCTCTTACCATTTCCCATGTCCCGACAAAAACGAGGCACGCGCAAACGACGAGAGATTCACGCTGACGACGAGAGATGTGCCGTCGAATGGAGAAACGGGCTGGCGGGTGGAAAGGAGGAGAGGCAAGAGAAGAGCGGGGAAGTACGAGGTCGTTGCAGTGGAGAATGTGTCTTGCAAGGGCATCAACAGCATCAGCGCGTACCTTTGTTCATCTTGTATTTGAAGTATTAAATATTGTATTGTATTAGAAGAAGTATTAGATATTGTATTCGAAGGGCAAGACGTTCGTCTTCAATCCCTTCTACTAGACTAGGTAAAAGTTGCGGGCCTTTACAGAGGAGGTGCCCTTCTATTACAGTATTTACGGCAAGTGTTCTTTTCAACTCACTGGGCGTCGTCTGATGCTTTTTCCGCCTGAAGTGGAACTTTCTGGTGAAAGTCAGAAAATCCAATTAGAGATTCTAGAATTTCAGGCTTGCTTCCGAAGGTTATTTAGAAAAGTTTCATTAACTAATTAGCGTTTCCGTTCTTCGCCGCGAGAAGGCTTAGTCATGAAGAACAAAAAATTGGTTGACTTCTTGCATAGCAATAACGTCAGAAGAAAGAAGAAAGAAGAGAGAGAGAGAGAGAGAGAGCTGACTTCTTGCATTGCAATAACGTCAGAAGAAAGAAGAGAGAGAGAGAGAGAGCTGACTTCTTGCATTGCAATAACGTCAGAGGAAGGAAGAGAGAGAGAGAGAGCTAACGTCAAATCAGAGGAAGAAAAGAAATGGTTGGGGATTGGGGCTCCCCATGGGTAGAAATGAAAAAAAAAACGAGACGGCAATAAATAAAATGACAATTTCTGCCTTTATATACCCCTGTGGGCTTGGCCATTTTAATTAGGGGGCGTGGCTCCTTTGTCGGCATTCTTATCACTAATCTCCGGCTTTAATTAAGATGGTGTGGGAATGTGAGCTTCAAGCGGATATGCGGCAATTTTCAAGGAAGAAGACTTAATTACAGACGGAGATTAGTGATAAGGACGCCGACAAAGGACTCCGATGGGAAGGAACGATTGGGATTTCTAAACGTCATGGCACCGTGCCAAGAAGATTCGGAAAAAGAGTGATAAGGAATTGAAGGATTTCCGATTTCGAATGCAAGCATTCACCACAGAGTCGATAGTCTGATCGGTCTGTAACTTGGACTCAATATACAGGGTGCGCCAAAAGTATGGTAATCTTTGCAAAAATACTCGAACCTTTTCGAACTCGAACCTACTTTTGCAACGCCTCTTTGTGACCTGGAATAAAACGATATAGAATAAGCGATAAATAAGACAAAATATGCAAATGACACTCACCAATTTTGCTTCAATTTCTTGTGCTTGCAATCCGCGAGTCAGCCGACTTTGAATTTTCGCAATGTAATGGAGTAAATCAGTGAAATTAAAACGTCGAATCAAACAACTAAGGTAAGAGACTTGAAAAACGGCAGCACAGTGCTGGGAGAATGAGAGAGAGAGAAAAGAGACACATAGGTGTGTAGAGAGACGACTCGCGGTTGAACACCCCGCCGCATGGTCTCGCAGCGAGGTCGTTATCACTAGAGCGCACTTCTGAGCTGAATTTTAATTCTCTCTATCAATAAACATGAAAAATAAAGGGTCTGGCTTGCTGATTTGTTTTTTCGAGGAAAAGTGGTTTACAAAAAACCGGTCACGACCTCTTCTAGAAGAATTTGTCGGCAACAGTTCACTGAGGCACACATGCTACAATAAGACGCAGATGATGAAAGTCCAAGTGCAAGAAAAGAGCTGTTGGTCCATCAGAACTCAGTGGGGTCGGCGTTATTTCTCTCCAGCGGCAACGAGCCCATACTGCAGAGACTGACCTTGGCTGCCGTCATGTCAAGTCTGTTTCGTTGCGAAACGCATCACAGAAGTTGAAAACACGCACTGAGCCTTCTCCAACTTCAAATTATCTCCATTTGACCTTTTTCAGACTGTCTTCATAGGTGGACCAATGCTACATGAGAAACCCAGTACAGCGAAATTTGTGTGTGGGCCTATACTTTTGCAACGCATTGTATCTGGATATGCACATAATCTGCTCTCTGTCTCACTTATTTTCAAATATTTTTCTGCAGACACGTTAGCAACGCGAGTTCTGCGTTGGAGACGCGACCTCTGCGTTTTTTTAGGACACCTTATGTCTTCTCCATCCATTTTTATTATCTGCGCTCACCACCGCTCGCATACCGTTCCTCATCCATTCATTCATTCGATCTTGCCCCCCCCTTACAATTAGTAAGAATACTCACAATTGCTGCACTATACACCGGTTAGATTTCTCCAATAAGAAATCATTTCACAACTTCCTCCGACGTCAAGATTACGCCAGGGCTATGACTTAAACTTGCAATAACACGCACAGGGCCTGGTCTTCTTACTAAGTTCCTGTTGTAATTGCACATGGCGGCCAATGAAACTCTGGGTCCAACTCAGACTGAGAAAACTCAGAGTGATTTCATCGTCATGAACAAATCTTCCATATGCATCTCTTTCTTGCGCTCACATTACTTTCTAAAATTCAATATCTCCTCTACTCTCCTCTCCTCTACTCTCCTCTTCCAACATCCCTTACCGAATCTTCTCGTAGCCAACTTTTACAACGGGTCACATATGGGAAGAAAGGATGTCGGCTCTATAAGAGTAATCAGGATCGAAAGGCAGGATCCAGGTCCCATAATAATAATCAGAACTAAATGTCAACTTACAGGTTCCATAATATTAAACAGGCTTCAAAGAATATACAGTTCGAAGACATTTTTTGGAAATTAGCGTGAACCCTTGACGGTCACGGGTTCAAGGCATTTTTTTGAAAATCGGCATGAACCCTTGACGGTCACGGGTTTAAGGAATTTTCATAAAATGGGGGTGGAGGGTAAGGGTTTATGACAAGTTTCAAAAACTGCTTCCGACCTGTATATTCTTTGAAACCTGCCTTTTCTTGATATTGGGGACCTGTATATTTGTGGAACCTGTAAATCGACCTTTGGTCCTATTATGGGCCCTGGATATTGCCTTTGGAACCTGAATACTCAGATAGAGTCAGGATGTCTGTCATAAAGCCATCAGACAATATCACTCGGGTTCTCACAAGTCATTCATTTGATTGGGTCCAAGAATGAGCTAATGACTTCGATGGCAATTGTGCAGGTGTAGTTCTACACATTTGAGCAGAAAACTTACAAAATTTGGAAAAACAACCTTCGAAATCCGTTGTCTGCTTCTCGCTTAAATCGTTCCTTTACCGTTTTTAGATCTGCAATTTAGCTATTATATTTTTAGGGCAGATCTCACTCAACATGAACGACGAAATGATCCTCTTCTTCTTCACGCTCCCGCTCCTCGCATGGGACGTGATTATTGAAAATCTGGAGCCGCTCGAAATGTGAGAAAGGTCTTTTATTTCAATTTGACTGATTCGATTGTTTTCAGAGTAGCGATGGCCATGTACGGAGGGGATTTCCGGAGGGCTGCTATCCGGGCCCTAAGAAACTTAAAATTGAAGTTGTGGATGAAAATAGATTTGTTTAATGACGAATCTGTTCATTGCGAGATACGATTGCACGAGTCTGTTCATTGCAAAGAAAGACTCGTGATTGTCCTGAGAAAAACAGAAATGCTTGGCACAATGAGTAGCGTCAAAACCGTTAGGGAAGACACCAACTTGTAAGCAACTCCCCTTTTGAAGCAATTACATAGTTTATTCATTGTTTACAGAATTAATGTGTATGTCGAAACCGCGCCCAGTGGATTCATGACGAGAATGTATGACATCTCGACGTACACCTCCGTTTCCGTCGACGATTTGTTGATTTCCGAGAAATTGGACTGGGGAGATGTTGCCGGCTGCGTCAAGCTTATCCTGAAAGGACAAAGTCTCAAATTTTTGAAAGTGGAACAGGAGCAAACCAGTTCAAAGATACTGGAGTGGATCACCGAAGACGTCAAGCATGTTGAGCACATCTTCGTGGAAGCTCAAACCGTTGAGGGGCTCTATTTTGCAGAGGACAAGAAGGTAATCGACTGAAATCATTTATTAATAACTGTTTTTACCAATTTACAGATTGGTTACTTGTACCTGGAAAATCCGCAATGGATTAGCGCGGCTCTGGTCAAAAACATCAACTGTTCCAAGCTGCATATCGAAGGGCTCACGTGGTTCAATTTGGACATCTTCAACGAGTTTCTGCACAGTTGGCTCCAAGGAGGAAACGAGAATGTGACAGATGTGCGTATCTTCTTCCAAGATTTTAGAAAAATTGTGGACAAGGAGAAAGTCCTCCGAGGACTCACCGCGGTTCCGAGAAATCCGTCGAGTGGAACTTTAGTGTGAGTTTGCACCAACACGCTGAAAACAAAAAGACACTTTATTTCAGGCAGCACAGTCGTTATGAAAAATTTCATATTATGCAGTACATGCGTGAAGGTATGGACATCATCCGACCAGACGGAACCACTGCAACAGTGGATATCCAACCAGGAGAGCTTTCGTTCCACAGGTGGTAAAGTGTCTGTGTGCTTATTTCTCCCCTTTCCCCCTTTCTCTCTCTCTCTCTTTATCCCTCTACCTCTCCGCTCCCCCTCTCTCTCTCTCTCTCGGATAATTTCTTCTACCTTTCCAAAATGATCTCAAAAACCCTTGTCAAAAAACTGCCCCTCCCCCTATACGTATCTTATCCAATAATTATCTCAAAATGTTTTTCTGATTTCCCACTTGATTCCTGATAATAAACTGATAATAAGAGAAATGCTCGGACGGTAAGAAGACCAACACTTGACGGGAAACCGTGAGGAAGAGCGGGATGGAAATTCCGCAGAAGCGTGTGCTCTCTGTTTCTGTTCAGATTCAGAAAGTCGGCGTTTCGATTCTTTTTCATTCACAATTAGTTACAAGAAAAGCTAAAATTATGAGGGTTCAGACAGATATTCATATTTAGACAAGTCGAGAGAACAAATATTGAGGGAATGGAAAACTAGGGAAATTTAGGCTTTGCAAGTTTGGAAACAAGTGTCCGACTATTTCGATCCGAATAGATGACTTGAGGCAGGAGAAATGTCCAAGTGTTTTAGGTTTTGTCGGGTGCCAGTACTTGAAATGTTCTCCAATAGTTGCACAATGTTCATTTCATAAGCTTCTGCATTTTTTTCATTTTCAATACATAAATAAAATTATTAGATATACTCACCATCTTCATAATTTGTCTTAAACTCGTCATCACTATCATTGTGGGAACACTTAATTTCTGCTCGGCTCCGGAAAATCGATAGTCGACGGGCGGAATCTTTCTGAAAATTAAAACGCGGTTGACTTTCAACTCAAAGGACTGAAACTAACCATCTATGATGTTTTTGGCGCCTTGTTCAGACGTCACATCGATCAGCGACACAAGTAATGTCATTTCTCTGAAAAAACAATCAGTACGACAATAATTCTATTGAAAGAGCGGTTCTACAACCCAAAAGATAACTTGATACATTTTGATTCACTGATCGGACAGTGTTTCAGGCCAAAATATTCGGTTTTGGGAGTACACCAGAAAAATAACACTTTGGGCGGCGCTCTATGCTGTTGTTGACGAAATACCTAACATCAGAACTCACTTTTTACAATTTTTACGAAAATTCCGTATTGAGTGGGATAGAGATAATTTAGAAAAAATACAGTTGAAATGGAGGTGATTCCTGGTGGAATCTCAGTCCATTCCATCACCCAAGTTTCTCCAGATACATCTGTAAGAACGATGATTTCTAAGATGATCATGCGAAATGAAGTAAAGTGGTGTGGAATCAGGCGAGAAAAATATAACATCTTTTAAAATTAGAAGAAATCTGGGAAGCAATGGAGTTAATCAGTGTATTTTTTCAGTATTTCAACGTTAAAAACAGAAATAAACGACGTAAAAAGCCGCATCACGGTAGGGGGTCGAGAGAAGAGTGAAACAGGGAGGACCCGAAGTTAAAGTCCACTAGAGCGCACTTTCAACATACGCCCACGCGATGTATAGTTCTGGGTTCGGTATCAACTTCTGAGTGTGAAATTTGTGAGAAGGATACTATCCACACAAAAATTTTCAGACCGACCGGAAACATTTTCGACAACGCGTCCTCAATAGTTTCACGAGTTACAGAGACAGTGACTTAATGTTCACTTGGCCCGGTATGCGTTTACAGTAGAGAACTTTTTTTATATAAGAACTGAAAAATTTACATAGGAACACAAAACATAGAAATTGTTTATGGTTTTTCCGTAATCCGTGGCAAATGATTCGTGTTATTGTTAGAGTCGGCGTTTTCTGTCTGGAAAAGCAAGAGACGTGTTGTTTTCACGGAAAATCCTGCTCACCTTTCTGCCGAACCTTCCTGATCTCTGATTTCTGATCATCCGCGATGGTAACATGTAAATTTCAACGTTACTGAAAGATGTTTTGTAAATGTGAAAGCTGCTAGTGTCTGAACTCACCCAATGTTCGAATCTACTTCAGCTCTTCTCAATCTGGCTGATCGAACACCATAGTGTCTGAGGCTCATGTCACAGAAAGATAACAGTCGTTGAACTTTTGATAGCAGGCTGGATTCCAATATGAACTTTTTATCGGCGATAAAATACAAAAACATAAGGAAGGCGTGGAAAGGAAGGCCTGAAATAATGCGTTAAAACATCCGATCGGTCTAAAAGTTTGACCAAAAATTCTTCATTTCCAGTCCAATAGACTGCTAAGTTTGAGTCCGCGCGGATTATTGCAAGCGAGTCATAAGTCTGCGCCAGCCCTGCGAAAAAGCATACCATTTCCAGTAGTCCGCCGATCTCCAGTAAAGTAATAGTTAATTTCTGCCACTTTTGCATCCACTTGAGGTACAGTTATGATATCTTGAAGATTGCATTTCCTCAAAACATCATACATTATGACAACAAGTAATCACAAATCCCTGCGCTTAGTGATACCTAACAAATTGCTTCAATCCGGCCGCAGTAATATTAACGTTGCTGCGTAGTTGCACAAATTGCATGTAAATGTACATGGCCTTATCCAAAAATAGTAGGTGACCGCTGTGAGCACCATACCTTGTTGGGAATATCTAAAAATATTGGCTAGGTTCGAGAGAAGTTATAAATTTCTGGCCGACCTCGCTCAAGTGTGGTTTCCGTCGCTGTTTGATTGTTTGAAAGTCATCGAGGGATTTAGTATCACCTTTTCTGAATGTGAAACTTTTTTTCCAGAAAACGGGATTCTTTTCAATCTCAAACTCACAAAGAATTGTTGTACTCCTCATTCAAAAGACCTAGCACCAGTAAAAGAGTGTCACGAACTAGAGGTAGTTTTATGACCTGAAATGATAAAAACTGATATGATTGTTGAAAATAATGTTTTCTCAAACCTCATCAACAATACTCCGAACCCTCTGGCCACCTTCTGTCAATGTTTTTCCGGGCATTGGAATAATATGATCGGCAGAGAGCGATGGAGCCGCATTTACTTCCAGAAGTATGGGAGTCCCATCCTCGCGGATTAGAACGTCAAAGCCCATTATCTGAAAGAAAAATGAGTGGGCCATAAAATTGGAATGCGCTGGATTGATATATCTTGTCATTCTGAAACACTTCAATCGAGATACCTGAAAACATTGCGGACCAGCAGAATCATAGAAGTGATGCTCATAATGAAGCATAATCTCCGGTAGCATTGCGAGCGTGGTTTTAACCAGTATCAACTTGATATCATGCCACAATCGTTTGGTTTTGACTCCTCTGGCCTCTAATTGATGGAACACTGTTGAAAGAAGACGTTTGCTGCCTGAAATTGAAATTCAACTGCACATTTTCCGCTTTCCCGCGTCTTTTTTTCTACATCTACCAAGAAAAATTATTTTGGAAAACGAATCCCCGGCTCACCTCTGGTCTGGTCTTGTAGCGTGTTGCTATGCACGTAGGCTTCACTCGCCTTGTTCAATGAATAATTCGTGAGGTGAGCATAAAGATTTTTGAAATTTGACGAATCCGGCTTCTCATACTTGTCCGTGCAGAATCTTGCCATTCCTACAGAAAAAGAAAAACTGTGTAAGCCTTTGAAATAAATGGCAGGATTTACCCTCTCGAGCGACATAAATTGACAGCGGATTGATGCTCTTAATGACTCCATACACTCGGAAATCAAATTTCAACTTGTCACCCATCAGAAGAGGGTCCGCCACGTATTCCTGGGATGAAATATGCTCATAATCCAGCTAATTGAAGATGTTACCTGCACAAGTTGTTGCTGTTCTACATCCCGGATTTGATTCGGATTGTTGATGAGATAAATTCCAGCTCCCTGTGCTCCCTCATTTGGTTTTACAATGAACCACATTTCTGTTTTCTCATTTGTTTGCGTTTTTCGGAAATATGTCTGAAATAGTTGAGAGTTTGGAAAAAAAGTAATTATTATTCGAAATGTCACCTGGAAATCATTCATGTGAGCTGGTAAAAACCATGATTTTGGGTAGAATCCGTATTCATCTGGGAACAATTTTTGCATAGATGATATGGCATGAGTCAACGAAATCTTTCGGGCCAATTCGGTCATACCTGGAAGCTCATAGTAATAACAAATGTGACATCATCGTGTTTTCACTCAAGCATTCGCGCATGAAGTTATAATTAAAATGAAAAACAAAGATAAGAATTTTTTTTCTGATGCTTTCAAAATGTTTCCGTAAACAAAACCCCACCTGGAAACTTGTTCACTCGTGAATTTGACGAAGTCACAATCTTATTCATATCCGATAGTACCACATTGTGCCAGTAAACGTCGCACGGCTGTTTGTCGGTCCGTCCGTCCGGATATTCAATTATTCCAATTTTCTTGGCACACAAAGAAACGACGAATTGATTAGATTTTGCGCGCGAAGTGTCGATAGTATAGTTTCGAGACGGAAAATTGTTTGAGCGTTGAATTCGGGTGAAAGATGTGCTGAAAGTGCTCAAAAACTCAGAACAAAATTCGTATTTTACTAAACTTACGTGGAAATGCCACTAGGCGGACGATTTTCCATAATTGAGCTCAAGGAGGAAGACCTGGTTAAAGGGATCAGAAACTGAAAAATGAAAATGAAAAGCATTTTCAAATATGAATACCTTTTTAGATTTTGTCTGCGGAGAAATGAGGTTCAAGCTTAGTTGTTGTGCTTCTATTTCTTTCTCTTTTTTTGACAAAGACACTTTCCGATCGAACTTCGATGTTTGCGGCTCGTAAACTTCGAATGACTTGATTGGGTGAGAAGTTGAAAGCTTTAGAAATTTTGTCACAGTTTTCAATTGTGAAAAATTAGAAACTCACATCAAGTGGATGAACTTTTCCAGAAGATTTTGTTGGATTTTCCGAACAGAACTCTGATGATATTGTGCAGCCCATTAATTATATCATCTTCCACCTCATCTGTTTGGTCTTGTTTCTGCAACAAATAGAAGATTCACATGAAGAACATTTTGGGAATGTTCAATGTGCACATTCCGTATTTTTGGTTTCCGAGCAACACGCATAAACAAAGCAAACGAAGAGCAAATGCGTTAGCGGGGAAAAAAGTGTAAGTGAGCATTTGACCAGAAAACATTTGTCCTCAAAAAGAGTCGGTTGTCCAGTGACCGGAAGTAAAGTAGCCAATATATTTCCTGAACCTTTTTGATGCGGTCTGCGCATGAATACATTTGCTGTTTTTTACGGACGACAAAACTCGGATTGAATTTATAGTAGTGTGAGGGAAAAAAGCAACGTTTGTGTTGAAATAAGTTCATATCTCCTTATCAATTCAGAGCTCGTGATACTGGAATAATTTCCAGGAAATGCAAAACAACGTCTGTCACACTCATTCCACTCGAAATCAATGAAGGAAAAGCAAGAGACGCACTTTGTGTGGTATCTTCTAAAAAATTTTGTAGTTTCGAATCCTACATCATGAAAAGAATGATGTGAGTTTTTGCAAAGAAAATAAGTGCGGCGGGGTACATACCAATTTGGCTTCCGCTTGCTCGCTCTTTCTTTCGCGCCGCCTCTCCCTCTCTCTCTCTCACTCTTTTTTTGTGTGCTTCTTCATGTTGCCATAACGACTATTCTTTTTCTTTTTCACTTTTAGAGCGTTGCATTCTTTTTCACGCCCACCAAGCAAAAAAAAAGAAAGAAAGAAAAAAACCATAGAGGTTTTTAAAATCAAATACGTTTCGCGGCGAAACTTTCGCCCCTCTCAAAAGAAAAGAAGCATTTCTAAATCGACATGGGTTGGGAAAGTTGTGAAAAGTTAAAACAGACGAGTTGAGAGCACTGAATGCAATAGGCATCAAAAATAAAGTTGAAACTACAATTTTATCCGCTCTCAACCACTATTCAAACAAACAAAACACGCAAAAATAATTATCAGAAGCAAAGGAGCGAGAGTTTGTGTTTCCTTGCCAACACCGATTCCGATCTGCGACGGGGCATCAGCGTGGTGGATTGAAATGCTTCGTTCTGCAAATTTCTTGAATAAAGAACTTATTGACAACATTCAGGGTGGTACGCCGTTATCAGAACAAAATAAACAGGACAAAATAATGTCTCATTGCAAAACCAAAAGTATTTTATGCTTGACCGTTATGGGTCCATGCCAATTTTCAAAAAATATCTCACCGATCGTGCCAGAAGTCATGGTGAACATCCAGAAGGCCTGCTCGGCTCACTATTATTTGTTTGTACTTGTACGCAGACGATCCGATTGGGACTATGGCCATTTAAAAAATCCGTAAAATCCGTACACGTAAAATCCCAGCCCTGCATCCGACCTCCAATCCGGGAATTGACTTGTCATCTTTAAACATGACTGAAAAAGTATTTATCATATCACAAAGAGAAAACTTACACTTGGCAGCAACAGCATCAGCGTGAAAGCCAGAAAAAATGTAGAGGGAATATCTTTCTATCTTTGAAAAAGTTGTACGACTTGACTGAAGTGTACAACTTATACCAAGAGTCGAAAAATGTTTCCACTTCTATGTGGAGTTTATGGACCATACCAGAAGGTCTCCTAAGATAATCCTTTTCAGGAAAGCCTTCCGAGCCTTTTTCAGGGCTCTCTCAGACTTTATCAGATAAGATAATCCTTTTCAGGACAACCCTCCGAGCCTTTTTCAGGGCTCTCTCAGACCCTACCAGATAAGATAATCCTTTTCAGGAAAACTGTCCGAGCCTTTTTCAAGGCTCTCTCAGACCTTATCAGATAAGATAATCATTTTCAGGACAGCCCTCCGAGCCTTTTTCAGGGCCCTCAAAAGACCGTGCGAGACGGACGAATGTCATGTTTCGACGACCTTGTATACCTTCGTGTGCGTGGCTTTCCGCGCAGGTCAGATCCGACCTTGTGGGCGTGGCAAAATATCACTTCCACTGAAAATGCCGTAAAATCCGTAAAATCGGCGCCCAGTTATCTGATTAAAATCGAAATCCTGCAAGCTCTTGTTGATCATGCTTAGATACGGACCATCAATTTGGGAAATGATCGGGTTTTGATATAGACTCGAAATTGATAAACGGAAATCACTTTCTACACAATGCATCTTCGATTCTCCCCTCTCTTTCCTCGTGTTCCCTCCGCTCGCCTGCTAGCCCGCCAGCGTATTGTCGTCTGCGTCCACTTCTCAACAATGTCTCGTCGTTTGCGCGTGCCTCGTTTTTGTCGGGACATGGGAAAGGGTAAGAGCGGAGGCCGCGCCGTCCTCGTCGGTTATAACCCAGTTACTCAAGGTACGCTGGAGTTCCGACCTTTCGAAAGAGAGTGTCGAACAACTTTAACTTTTGGAAAGCCTTCCCGGGGACATCCGGTTAGGCAAAAATAAGAAATAAAAGAGCGCTCAATTTCAGACGTCGAGATGATCTACCACCAGTCAATTGTGGACGCAACGCGGTCAGTCTAAAAGGGACTATGGCCATTTGTGAGGAGAAGAGCTGGAAGTGAGAAGTAACTTTTAAAACACGACAAGTCCGCACTTTCTTTGTTCTCGCTGCATTTGCCGGCTTTCACGATCCCTTCTTCCCAGAACACACGGTTTTAGCAATGAACTTTCGTTTGCATCGAATTTCCAACCGGCCGTTCAAAAATCGATTGCAATTCGCATTACCTTCGATTTCCGTACTTATTTCGCTTAAAACCGTTGTATTTTTTGTATTTTCAAGATGCCGAACTCTTCGAGCACTTCTCAACCGGTGAACACGGACAGCGAGACGGCGTCGACGTCTTACGTGAACTGTAAGTGCTCCACTTGTTCTTTCCCGACCACTCACCGAAATTTCTCATCATACCGCCGGCGTGCCGTATTTCAACAACACGTTTACAAATTCCTCCGAATTTTAGACGTCAAAATAACCACCGAGCCGGAATAATTTCTGTACGAGCTGGAGGCGACGGACTCGGAAAGCATGAGCATTGTACCCTGTGCAAATCTGCTCCAGAAACGGTAATCCATCTTCTTGCAATTTCCAGGGAGGCTGTCCGGATGTGGAAATGATGCTCCGGATGATGGATGGCCATTCTTCTCTTCATTAACGAGCGTGAACCCAAAAACTGAAGTTTTATCGATTGACTCGAAGCAATTTCAGCTGCGCAAATGTGCTCCTCGGTCGATGAGCACGTATCCTCAAGGAGAAACTATCGGTACAAACAGTGAGGTCGAACAGAAAATCGACGAATGTATGCGTAGCAAAGTGGATTGATCTCCGATGCCTCCGATGTGCTATTACAAGTTTCTTTTGTAATTGTTTCTTCAGGTGTCCAAAATCTTTTTGTGTGTGATTATTCACTTGTTGTTGTTTTTACATATTTCGAGAAAATTCATGCTTTTGCAACATTTCTATAGTATGATTAATTTATAGGTCGTTGTTTTTGTAGAAGACCGGACTAAAATGGTTCATGAGAAGGAACTGTGCCCCAACACCAAAGTCTCACTTGTATCCTTCTTCGAAGTGCTAATCAAACAAACTTTATTTCAATTTCAATAAAAAAATTAATTCAAAACAAAACGTCATTATCATGGCATGTGCATGTAATTTTTCCAGAGAGCGTTTTCGCCATTCTTTCTAGCGACGAACCCGATTATATACTCATGCGCCTGAAAATTGTTTTATTGTTATTTGTAACTAATACCTCATCATTACTTTTTTCTCCATCCCCTTGTCCATTTTGAAATGGAAGTTGCGTAGCTCCGGCATTTTGCTCATTTCCTCCTCGTTCCGTTTCTTGAGAAGCTCTTTAGTGAGGATTTTGACAAGCCATTGAATCTTATTTTCGGTCGCCTCTGACAATTCCATAGTCCTGACTTCAGAGTCAACCAATTTTTGAAGCTCCGTTCCAAAGTCTGGACGGTCGGGTTGTTTCGCAGTGATTTCTTGCTGGTCTCTCCTTTCAATTTGAGATGACGAGCTCGCTTCTTGTTTTGAGAACCCAATTGCCTGAGCCTGCTGTTCCGTATCTCTTTTCCCATCCTTTGGACATTTGTGGATGAGACTATTGAGGTAGTGCACTTCTGCTTCAGCCGCATCTCGTTGCTTTCTGGAATATCACGAGTTCGTTCATATCAGATAATTTCGCGGCGCATCGCCTTTTTTGAGTTTTTGTTTCGCAAAAGTTTCCGATATTACATCAAACTTACATCAAATCTTCGGTTGGCAGCCAAACAAAAAGTGGTTCGAGCTTTTTTTCCATCTTCGTCACAATTTCATAACTTTCTTGAACGAGTTGAGGCGACGGTCCTGAAATTAGAAATAAAACAAGTTGTCGTAAAAACATTCCACTTTTTTTTGAAATACTCATTCACTTACCAAATGTTTGTGGCACTCCGAGCGAAGCTTTTTGAGCACATGTCACTAGAGAACTTTCGTTCATCGGTGGAACCGCCGGGAAATAAACCGGAGTTTGCGTGTATCCAGTCGCCTCCTCTTCAAAATTCCAACTTGTTTGATAGATCGGCCTGTTATTTCTGTGATGCTGTGAAGATTGCCAATTGCTTCTCATATACGGATGACTTTCAAATTCCGATAAGCCTTCTTGATTTTCAATTCTCCTTCTTTTGTATCCTTCAGGAGAGCACATAGGCGACTGGTGATTCCATTGACGACGGTCGTTTCCAGAATTTTGTTGAGATTTATGGTGATAGCGGTAGTTGCGATCACGAGGGGTTCTGTTCACGAGGGTTTCTCTCCAGCTTTTTCTTTCGTAGCGAGAGCCCTCCGTTTGATTCCAATTCCTGCTATCGTCTCCATTGCGTTGAGGAAGCTCATCTGGGGGAGAAGCTGCATCAATTGGGATCGGACTAACCCGGTAGTCCTTCTCCTCAGCAGTCGTTGCGGGCTCCGGTAGTCGCGCTTTTTTCGGAATTCTGAAAGACACTGATCGATTGAACCAATGTCTCTTCAGTCGTCGCGCAATTTCCTTCGTCCTGTTGAGACTGCTCTCCAATTCAGTTGCAATGGTTTTCTGTACATCCTTGTACTTTTCAAAGTTTTCTCCAATTGACGACACCATGGCTTCTGTGACGATGAAGCAATCTGCGTTGTCATTCAACGTACTTTCGCACCAACTCGCCGACTTTTCAATAAGATCGGGTGTTTCTTTGGCCACATTAATGAAACATTCTTTGACCAAGCTCAACAGAATCTGTTGCACGAAAACTAAATGCGGTCCAGTGCGATCCGGCTCACCGAGCCACTTGATCATCAGTGGTGCCATCAAATGAGCATATCGAGCTTGAGTTTGGCTTGCGGTGTCGGCGGTGAACATTTTCTTCAGCAACTTTTGACGCTGGGAGGGGTCGGTCATTTTCTCGGCAACAGCGACGACCCGTCTGGCGTACTTTCTGTTTCCAATGGCCATGCTTTTCAGCACTTTCGATATCACAAGTTTCCTCTCACGCGTTCTCATTGTTTCAACGGCTCTGAGCAGTCCCTCTTCTTCTGCAGTCGGCAATTCCTCTTCTTCCTCCTCCTCCGACAAAGTCTTTGGTGATCGTCCAATTATTCCCTTACAAACACTGGCTCCGCAGTAGCATTTCTGTGCATCTTTTCTGAAAACTGTTATGATAAGAAGAAAATGTGTGGACTTGAAATGGCTCACCCATAGTTCTCGAACTGATAGTCGAAAGTGATTTCCTCGTCTGTGACAATGTCTCTAAGTGCAAAAAATCCTATCCGCAGCATGTTTCCACGTGTTCTTGGGACAAACCATTTTTCAGCTATTGTGTTCGGATCACAACTGTGATTCGCGAATCTCGAAATGTTGCCGCTTCGGGTTGCATCAATTGTGAAGCCAACTGTGTCGAAAAAGTAGTGATGACGTTGGTTCCCATTCCGTGCGTACTCCTTCTTCCGTCGTTCGTAATCCTTTTTGTTCATGACTTCTCCAACATATTCTATGAGAAAAGATCCTTTTTTGATGGGACCAGTTGCACGGAGGCCGCATCCTTTCGCGGTTCCAGTGTTGAACGCCTCCAAGTTTGCGTATTCTTTCTTTTTGAATCTCTGGTTCTGACAGTTTCTGCAGCAGGTCTCAGGGCATTCCATCAACATTGCTCGGTTCAGGCACGAGTTGTCCGAGCAGTTTTTGTTGTTCTTCGGGCAATCACATCTGGAAAACATTTGTTATTACCACAATACATATGCTAGCTGTTATTTACAGTTCTTTTTTTGTTCTCCCGGCTGGCATTTGGCTGATACGTTTGTTTCTACTGATTTGATTGTAGCTGGGAACTGGAAACCGTTCTCTTGCACAATCAGAAGGTGTTGAGTTCGACTGAACGACCATCTCGTTTTCGGTGTTTCTGAAAAGAAATGTTTAATGAGTCTACGGTGCATCAGGCATACCCTTCCGTTGACGGTCTGACACTTTTTTCAATCTGTCTTTCCGCATTTTGAAGACCGTCTTCCAAGGCATTCATTATCTTTTCTGGGAAGTCTTTTTCGGAAGGAGGAGCTGCCAAGTCTTCATCTTCATTTCTTGCGGAATTCTCCTCGTTTTTGTTGAGAACATCATTCCGTGATTGAGATGTGGCCGTATAATTCAATGGCTGCGCCACCTCATTCAACGTTTGATTTTCATTAAACATTTCAGAGAGTTCAGGCACTGAATCCATAGACTCCAGGACCAGTTCTTCAATAAGCTCCGTGGTTTGCTCTGGAGCAGGCTCGGCGGCTGCCACTGGCGCTGGCACTGCCGTCGGCGCTGCCACTGCCACTGTTGCTGGCGCTGCCGCTGTTTCATGGAGCACTTGGTTCAAGATTGTGACCGGCTGTGATAGATTCGCACCAGACGTGCTCGAAGTTTCTGAAATAGATTTGCATGAAAAACGTAAGTCCTAACTTTTTTCAGCTCACCGGGAATAGCTCTTTGTCGTCGACGCTGAGGTGCTCTCTGGGCAGGCTTCTTCTTTGACTTCGGTTTCTTTTTGGGAACCAAATTGGGCTTTTGCGCCTCTTTTCGCTTGACGGCAGCCTTCTCTCTTCGCTCTTTCCTAGCGGCGTAAGAAGCGCCATTCCGTTGCGTTCGCGTTTCGACCATTTCGTTCTGTAATTTTAATTCTCATTATTACAGATCAATCCGCACTGCAATCAACGGACGGAAGGGAGACTTCGACGAAACGAAGGACAAATTCGGATTTAGTGAGTATATCGACACTCAAATTCTGATCACATTTCGAAAACGTGAGCCTAACTTGTTAGAATGAGCCCGATAAGTTCAGGACCCGTAAATTTCGCGTGTTCAGACAAAACTAGAAGATATTTTTACAATCTGAGGAAACCATTCGAATTGGCATACAAAATAACCCCCCGGGCCATTTTGGTACGCTCCCGCATGATAATCGTTTTTTTTCAGCCGCCCAATAAGTTTAGGACCCTCCTGAAAAAATGCCAAAATTTTTGAGAGTACTTATTGGACGGCCGAATAAACTATGTATTACTTAATGGCTCTGGGGTACAAAACATTATAAAATCGAGCAAAATTGGCCCTAGTGGCTTGTTTTGTATGACAAATCGAATGGCATTCGCAGATTCGCGGTGGCTTTTCTCGTTTTATCAGAACGGTCCTAAACTAATTTTGCGCATCAAGCTAAGACCCCCCCCTCCCTTTATATTTTTAAAGTACATGAAAATTCTGTGAAACCCCTGGCTCAATTTTCTCAGAGGGTTGCAGGCACTCATAGTTTTTAGCTAGAAAACCTAAGAAAAGAACGTGATTTGTTGGTGGGGGCCTCTACAAGTGGAAAAGATATGAGAAAGTAAGAGATACTAGCAGACTGGTCTGTTGTGAGCGAGAAGAGAATGTGGATGGAAGTGAATGTCGGCTAGTCGATGGCAGAAGAGAGGGAGAGAGAGAGGGAGGGGAGGGGCATGGTTTTGCGCGGCAGATGATGCGGCCCTTTGCACATCGCCCGTTTACATGCGAGGATGATGAGGAAACAGGCACTTACATGGCTACCTATCTGTTTGCTTATGACAGTGGATAAAGGCCCCCGTCGGCGGGAGTCAAAAAGAAGGAAAGGGGGGGGGGCGGCAGGATAAAGAACTAAACGAATATAAATGCGCAGTGCGAGAAAAGAGCAAGAGACTTGAAATGTTCGGAAAGTAAAGTACAAAAAAAAAAGAGTTAGAAACTGATACCATAATTCTGACTGTAATCTCTTCAGCGAAATCGAGACCGCCGTCGAGTTTTTTGCTTCTTGTGGTATTATAGACTATTTTGCAACTATTAAAACTGGTTCTTGTGATATTTCAATCAATTGCTAGTTGCTGAAACTGTGGTGGCTGTATAAATTAGATCAATCACTCGGCTCCAGTGATTGGCAATATATTGAAACTCTTTTGTTGTTGTCGTTGTTTATTTGAGCAAAGGATAATAAGTACATAGTTGGTCGGATCAGTATAGGTAAAACACTCATCTTCTTGGGTATGAGTTGGGCAACACGGTTCCATAAGTACGGATTATTGTGAAAGAAACTTCTCGAAGTTCAGCAAAACTCAACACTAGAAAGAAGTTTCGGAATCCTTATAAAATTTACTTTCGAGTCATGTATGAAGGCCAACTTTTCTTGATAACATTTCTTCGTTAGCAAAGAAACGTTCGAAAAGATAATGCATGAAATAAAAAGCTCGCCTAATGTCACGTCACCGATAAGAACCGGGTAGTTTGCTCAGAAAGGAGAAATCACCACAGTTCCTACGGATAACGATGATCGGCGCTAATCTGGGCAACAAATTTGCAACATTGGTCGTCTTTACACATGAGATTCAATGGTTTTGAACGGCTATTGAAGAAAACCGTTCAAATTCGAAATTCGAAATCTCATCCAAACTGAGCCCGTTTCCAGTCCGCATAGCGATACCAACCTAAAACCGATAATTTCTTTCAGAAAACACCTGAAAACAATAAAAATAGAACCATAACTTACTTTCAAACCCTTCTGGTCGTACTCGTACTATTTTCACGCTTTCTTCTTTCTCCTTCGCCACGCTATAAAAAGCGGTCGCACTCGTCCTGTTGCTACACTTTCTTCTTTCTCGTTTGCCACGTCATAAAATAAGTGCATTCCATACTTTCCCATTCGCCTACCTGCAATTGTTTCATAAACAAACATACATACTAATTGGTTTACTAAAGGCCACTTTCCCCATCATGCTGTCAGTCTCGAACAATCGATCCGCTCGCCGTGGTGCGACTGCCATCTTTTGAAAGACCGCCCCGGATTCTGCGCAAAAGACGTCGTCTCTTCTACCATCTAGTATATCGCATACACTTCCATACACACACGTCCTCTTCTAGCTCACAACAGTCTATTCTGCTCGTTTCTCCTAATTTCTCTTATCTTAGAGGCCTCTACCATTAACTTCTTTCTTAGAATTTCTAGCTGAAAACTATGAGTGCCTGCAACCCCCTGAGAAAATTGAGCCGGGGGTTTCACAGAATTCTCATAACTATTCTCGTTTTGAATGTACCTTAAAAATGTAAGGGAGGGTCTTAGCTTTACTAGACGCACTGTAGGGTAGCGTTTTCACATCAAGATCTGATCAGGTTTTGGATTATTTAATTACTCACCAAATCTTCATTTTCCTCGTTTTCGTCAAAATCTCCGTCCGTTGATTATCAGCTTGTAGATAGAATGAGGCTATAATGATAGTAATTCAAATTACAGAACGAAATGGTCGAAACGCGAACGCAACGGAATGGCGCTTCTTACGCCGCTAGAAAAGAGCGAAGAGAGAAGGCTGCCGTCAAACAAAAAGAGCCCATTTCTGTTCTCAAACAGAAACCAAAGTCAAAGAAGAAGCCTGCCCAGAGAGCACCTCAGCGCCGACGACAAAGAGCTAATCACGGTGAGCTGAATATCATTTCAACTCACGTTTTTCATGCTAATCAATTGTAGGAATTTCGACGTTGTCCGGTGCAGATCCATCACCGCCGGTGGCAGTTCCGATCCAAGCTTTGAACCAAGTGCTGATCCGAGAACTATCGACAGAGCCAGCGCCAGCGCCAGTGACTGTCTCTGAAGCAGCGACATCGCCAGCGGTGATAGTCTCTGAGCCGGCGCCAGAGCAATCAACGGAGCAAGCCCCGGAGCCAGTTGCGGATTTAGTGCCTGAAGTTTTCGAAAAATCTGATCGAGACCATACCTTGGATGTGGTGGCGTATCCAGCGAATCTCACGCTCGAGTCACCAATAGGAGTTGCTCCATTAGCGGCCATCTCCAGAGAAACTGAAAATAAGATTATTGTAGATCCAACAAAATTCCCCAACGAGAAAAGTGAGCAGAACGAACCGACTGAACAACATTCAAAACGTTATGAAGCAACTCGGAATGTCTACAACAAATGGAATTCGGATCGAACTGAGCGCGACCGCTACGATAGAAGAAACAACTGGAGAGCACCGCAAGTGAACAGATATGAGGAGAGAGAGCACCGAAAGGTCTATCATGATTATAACAGTAATCGTGACTACCGCTATCGCCAAGAATCTCAACGAAAATCTGGAAACGACCGTCGTCAATGGAATCACCGGTCGCCAATTTGCTCCTCTAGCGGGTACATGAAAGGACATGAAAGCCAAGAAGTCTCAACGGAATTTGAGCACCCTTACATGAGAAACAAGCCGCAAGATTCAAGAAATAATAGCAATAAAAGGACGATGTATCAAACGAGTTGGAATTCTGAAGCGACTGGATACACGCGAGCTCAAGCCAATTTCCCTGCCGTCCCGCCAGTGAACGAACGTGCTCTCGTTCCATATGCTCAAAAAGCTTCGCTCGACGAGCGAGAAACGATTGGTGAGTGGATGGGTATTTCAGAAAAAACAATCCGATGTTTCTGCTACATTTTGATTTTTTTATTTCAGGACGACCGCTACCAACCTTTAAAGATGAGTATCAAAAACTATTGAAAGTAAGAAACAACCTCAGGAACCTGTATTCATATCTTCCGACCGAGGCCTTGATGTATGTCTTTTTACTCAAATTTTATTGAATATCCACCAAACTTTCCGATTTAATTATACTATGTAGTTAGTCATTTGCTGTCTCTCAATTGGTTAAGCTACAAAACTATTTGAACACCCTTGCTATTTCAGAGAAAGACGAGACAGTGTACAAGCGATTATCCATAGCCTTAATAATGTTATCAATCGTCGACAACAAAATGCGACAAAGCCGCAAGTTCTTGCAATTGGCTTCTCAGAAAATACAGCAAGATCGTCATCTCAAATAGAAAGGAAGGACCAACAAGAGATTTCCTCGAGACAACCCGACGGTCTAGATTTCGGAAAGGATCTTCAAAATTTTGTAGACTCCGAAGTCAAGTCCATGAACATACCAGATGCGACTGAAAACAAGATTCTATGGCTCGTTAAAAACCTTACAAAAGAGCTCCTCAAGAGACGAAACGAGAAGGAAATGAGCAAAATGCCGGAGCAACGCAACTTCCATTTCAGATTGGACAAGGAGATGGAGAAAAAGGTGATAATGAGTTATTATGATTAAATAACACATAATCGTTTACAGGCGCGAGACTACGTCATTGGATATATCAAGAGAAAGATTCGGGAAAACTCTATTTGGACGAAGTACGCGCAGAAGCCGTGATTAAATGAGATCATCTTGTTTTTTAAATTAATCGTTTTTGTTTTGTTGAAATGAGAATAAATTTTGTTTGTAAAAGCCAGTTTCTCGGGGTTCGGATCTATAGTCTAGATTCTATACGTTTGGCAAAAGTTGCAACTGGGGAGGGGGCGGTAAGGTGCGCGCGACTGACGGTTTTTATGGAATTTAATTTTTTTTTCATTCGGAAAAAGAGGAACAAGAGCGCGTGGGACACTGTGCAAAAGGGGTAGGTCTAGTGGTGGTTGGGCGCACGAATCGGCCCTCTACGTTTCGGGTTTACGAGTTCTCTAAGATGATTCTCTATGCGACTTAGAGAAAATAGCAAGTGTTGAGCAAAAAGAATGGCAAGGGTGCACGAGAATAGATCGATATCATTGCGAAGTGCGGAAAGGGAAAGGGTGGTTGCGCGCGCGAACAGGCAGGAGATCACACTCTGCTCTGTCGTCTCTAGAACCCTCCTTTCTACACTTTCTAAATCCACTGTCCAGCTCCTGTTCCATGCCGTTGCAGGACTTCTTCGCAGTTGGAACGGCACGGATGAGGAACCTTTTGACATGAGAAACCCGTTTCCGGTTTTTCTAAAATGCTCTTTTAGGCTGGACTGATCACAAAATGTATTTGAAGCACTTTAGATGACAACTGGTCTCTTGGTTCGACCATCCAGCCGTTTTGAATGGCTGTGTTAAGAGTTTTTCGGAATCCTCGGGAAAGTTCCATGTGGCATGTCTTACGAAAAAACCTGAACCGTCTGAATGACAAAAACAGCTTTAAAACGTCTTTTTAGATATGTATAACTATTTTTGCGCTCATAGGGGTTGACCAGATTAGCGAAAACCCCTATCCTCTGGGGTGGCCTTATAAACTTGCAACGGTTGCAAAAAGCCGATTTTTAGTTTTATCGAGGTAGTTCGGACAGTTTTCAAGATATCATTGCGAAAATCACCAAATATACGTAACTTTGTGGCCTGAATCCGATTTTGAAGTCGCCGGGTCGTTAATATTTTCGAGCGCCTCGTTGCCGCGCCGAATGGGGGGTGGCCTTATAAACTTGCAACGCACTGTATTTGAAAAAAGAATGGCAAGGTGCACAAAAATGAATCAAAAGAGCAGTTTCAGAAAACGGTTCTGCTCTGTCGAGTGCGAACGCTCTTCTCTCTTGCTTGTCGTTCTCTTCTTTCTCACTGATCTGCCCTTTCCGAAGTCTTGAGGAGTAGATAAAAAATGTTGAAATGAAAAAGCCAGACTGAAACAGATTACAAGTCTCAGTCTCAGTTTGAGTCACCCAGTTCTCTATCTTTTTCTCGCACTGCAATTTTGTCTATTTCAAGCGCTTGTGTACGAGCGGGAACGCCAAAAACTTGTGCGCAAGGCAAACGTCAATATAATGCAAGTGCGCCCCACCGCACTCGCCCGTCCTCTCTCACATACCCGCACTTTCTCGCCACTCTATCGCCGAACATGCGTTCCGCGTGCGGTCTTCTCGAATTTTCTGTCACTTTCAGTGTTTGTCTTGTTAATTTCTGTATTTTTAGGTTTAAAACGGCATAATGGATCCCTCAAAGCGCACTATCGGAAAGAGAGAGGTCCTTCAAATAGACCCGTCACTTCGAGGTTAGAAAAATCGTTTGTTGCCGTCGAAAATTGAAATTTTCAAGTGAAACGTCGTTCTCCGCCTTTCTCAGATATTCCAGTGGACACAGGCCGTTTGCTCCGAGGTAAACTCGTATCGATTTCAGAGAAAATGTTTTTTTTTCAGCACCGGCTCATCGATCGGCGCCAGCGTCTCGATGTTCTCGTCGCGAAACTCACAGGCCGAAGACGGCGATTGCCAAGAGCTCGACGGCGTCCGGACCATCATGATGCACATCAGCTTCGAGGACATGGTGGCGGACAAGAAGATACAGAAGACGCGCTACCCGGAATTCCATCAGTTCCTGTTGACCACGCAGTAGACGTGGTTCGAACCGGTTCCCTACCATGGGACCGTCTAGTGTAGAACGTGTGCCGACGAAAGAACAAGTTCAAACGGACGATTCGGTTGCAGTGGTGAGTATTTGATTATCAATTCACAGGACGGCTCAAAATACACTTTACTTTACAGACTGACTTGATTCAATCCGTAGTAACCTCGACTAATGGACAGTTTCATGGGAGAGAAGAGCCCGGAACTGAGAATAAGAAAGAGGTCGTGGAGACACCAACAGGGGAGCAGAAGGTAAGGAGTGTTGAACAGATCAGAAACGTGTTGGGATTGGACCGGGTAGCATACCGTGCCACAAGAAACATTTTTGACAAGAGCCCGGCACCTGTCTTCCACTAGAGTTAGACATCGAAATAGTGAAGTAGCCTTCCAACTTTTCTTATACGTAGATATATGACACAAACGTTTCTGGGACTCATTCAGACACCTCTGAATGCTTTGCAAACTTTTCATTTATGTCTCATGTGTTCTATGTATCTTCTGAAGCAGCACTTGAAAGTAATACTCGATTAAAGCTACGTAGTATAAAAATTGTTTCAATTTGTGAAGAAATTTGTTACATACATAGCCTCCTACTCAGTCAGTTCCACAATGAAGTTGTCATTTCAGAAAACTGTGGTCTACGACAACATCATCGAGCCGGAGACGGGTTCCGAACTGGACACGGACGACAATGGCGATGATGGCGATGATGACGACGATGAGATGGAACTTTTTTTCTGTTTTTGTCTGTTTTTCCTGTTCCTTCTGTTCTTTCATTTCTTTTTCTATGTGATTCCGATCTTCATCAGCAACGTTACTGGTTTTTCAAATTTTGTCTTTCTCCAGCTAAAAATTGTGAAAGTACATTTATTATGTAACAACGTGTTGGACAACTTGTTTTTTTTGTTACTCCGATGCGTAGAATATGGTTCAAAACGCACTATATACATTAATTACCCCGTATCCCTTCTCTCAAGCTTTTTTTCATTTTAACTGTTGTTGCTTCTTCATTCTTCACCACACTAAAAATATTGTCGCCATCTGCAGATGGTAGGAAAAGGAAAGGTGAGACGGGTCCTCCACCCTGCACGAGACACATGTGAAAGAGAGATGCAGAGAAAAGGCGAACATCCACCGTCTGACCTCCTCTCTCTTTTTCCAGGTCTGCGCGCGGCTCGTCACTTATTGCACCTCTATTCCTCTCACATTTTTTCATTTTTTAAGTTCTCTTCTTTTCAATATGTACATTCCGTCCCAATGTCAGCCCGTTTCTTCCCAATCTCTTGATTTCATGCTTTGGTTCGATCTGGGTGAGAGCTTTGGCTTTGCACTGATTGATTCCATTTCATCCATGGAAACTACCGGCACGGAGGGGGTTTTAGTATCGAGACTTCATCATATGATTTATGAGTCATCTTTCCAAAAAGTAGTTTGCTTCCTGCTTTCAGTTCACTTCTGATGTTTCAATTCTTATGAAACTTCAAATTTAAAGTGAATTATGAAAAAAGGAGCCATCATGTCTGCAAATTCCTTCGTTTGAAATCGCGCCATTATCAGAAGTTACAGAAGGACCAGGGAACCCAAAAATTTTTTGATTTTTTTGTAAAATTTTTTTGTGACTGTTTGAATTGTCTTTTATTGCCTTATACACTGGTGAAATGCTGCCTCTCAAAAATGCCAATGAACGAAACGGCATTCAGTTGAAGTTGTGGCCGTGGCCTAGCGCCAATGGCCGAAAAATATATAAAAATATATGCGCTTCTCGGCCATTTTATTTTTTCCGCTTTTTTATCGGTTTTTTTTCCAAAAATTCACGGTTTCTCCCATTTTTCAGTTGATTGACATTTGTTCGGCACTTTCTTATTTTTTCACTGCTAAAAAATTGTTTTCATTCAGTCGATACGAAGTGCCAGATGAGTGGTTTCCGTGGAACAAGGGCGATTTTATCGCGAAAAAAGCGGAAAAAAGCGGAAAAAATAAAATGGCCGAGAAGCACATATTTCTAGGCCATTGGCGCTAGGCCACGGCCACAACTTCAACTGCATGCCGTTTCGTTCATTGGAATTTTTGAGAGGCAGAATTTCACCAGTGTATGAGGCAATAAAAGACAATTCAAACAGTCACAAAAAAAATTTCACAAAAAAATCAAAAAATTTTTGGGTTCCCTGGTCCTTTAACACTCGTGATTCTTATATAACGTGCATAAAATTCCAAAATCTAATCGATTCGATCAGCGCATCATTGTCTTCTTTCGTCATAAATATGATTTGCACGAGTTTTCGAACGTTTTCTTATAATTGCCATTAATTGCTCTCTTTATCTGGTCGTTTCTCTAGAAGTAAAGACTCTTATCATTCCGTCTTACTTATCTACATAGTTTAAGATAAGCACTCAGAATTGAATTGTTTCAGAAAGCACTCTTTCCGCTCAGTTCATCGAAATGGCGGCAGTCAGGGAACACTCGCAGAAGAGCGTTTGTTACTTCCATAACAATCTTGTTGCCGACTACACTTTTGACACTGTACACCCGATGAAGCCGTATCGGCTCTTTCTCACCGACATTCTGATTGAAGATGCCGGTCTCTACAATAAAATGCGAGTAGTGGTAAGATTTCAGTCAAATTTTCGGAATTTCATTCAAACGTTTCAGAACTCTTCGTTTGCTTCCCACAAGGATATGAAGGTTTACCACTCGAAGAAATACATCGACTTCTTGCGGAATTCAGTCGATCAGCCGGATAGAGTGAATTGGAATTGTGAGTAAAATTTTGTCCTCTCTGCTTAACGCCACCTGAATCAAAATTTGAATTTCCTGTGATAACAGAGAATCTAACAGTTAATACAATTATTTACGTCTTTTTTTTTAGACGGTCTGGGCCCAGGCGATTGCCCTCTGTTTCCGGGATACTACGAGTTCACCCAATTGTCTACTGGCGGATCTTTGGCAGCCGCACAGAGTATAAATCAAAGACAAAGTGAGATTGCTATCAACTGGATGGGTGGACTCCATCATGCCCTACATTCCCGAGCAAATGGCTTTTGCTACGTGAATGATATTGTGATCGCAATTCTGGAACTGTTGAAGTCGCACGAGCGGGTGTTGTACGTCGACATCGACGTTCATCACGGCGACGGAGTGGAGGAGGCATTCAAGACGAGCAACCGTGTCATGACCGTCTCATTCCATCGTGAAACCATCGGTTTCTTTCCTTTTGGAAAAGGAAAAGTTCAGACGTGTGGAGAAGGCGACGGAAAAGGCTACAACGTCAATATTCCATTGAAGCACAGCATCACCGACGAGAATTACCATCACATCTTCAACATAATAATGGAGATGGTCTTGAGTCGTTTCGCGCCCAACGCCGTCGTGCTCCAATGTGGAGCCGATTCGCTCACTCAAGACATCTTGAACGGAGGATTCGACTTGACGCTTAAAGGCCACGGAGAGATCGTCTCGTTCTTCAGAAAACGCAATATTCCGTTGGTGCTGTTAGGAGGCGGCGGCTATAACAGTGGCAATACGGCGCGGTGCTGGGCGTACGAAACCTCATTGGCGATCGGTGTTGAAATTGAAGACTACATTTCCGATAGGGTCTATACCGAAGAAGATTTCGGGCGAAGCCGAACCCTCCACATTGATCCTCCGCCAAGATCAGAAGACAAAAAAAAGTACCAGTACTTCAACCCGATCATCGAATCCACGCTGAAAAACCTCTCTGAACTTCCGTTTGTGCCGAGTGTGCAAATGCAACGTAAGTACATATTTTCTGGGAGAAATGTTACAATTTATGTATACAGTGCGCCCAATAAGTTTTGGACCTTCAAAAATGGCAACATTTTTGGAAAAATAGTGAGCCGGAAAGTCGGAATGTATTGCAAAATGAGTCAATATTATTAAGGAAAAAGCATTTCGTTGGAACGGTTCCGTTGGTCGTCAGTCTCGTACAACATATCATCACTATCCATAGAAATAAGAAAGTCTTCGGGGGCTATTTTGTATGCCAAATCGGACGGTATTCTCAAATTTTTGCTTTTCCTTCTAGTTTTGTCAGAACGCTCAACATTTAGGGGAGGTCCTAAACTTATTGTGCCTGCTGTACCACACGACAGTTGAACTGTCACACTTTGTGTTCAATTTCGTTTCCGATTTATGAAATTGTTTACAGCCATCCCGACGCCCGCATTCAATCCCGCATTTCAACCAATGCCACTCAACGAAGCGGATCCGGATGAGCGTCAACGGAATGGAGTGGAGGATGAGGGCGAGTTCTACGACGGACCAGGACCTTCCCGACCAAGAAGACGCAACACAAGATCTAACAGAGATATGGAATGAATCTCAATTGTAAAATGATAAACCTGAAGTGAAATGGCGAAAATAAAGTGGAAATGCCTAGATGGTTTCACAGAAAAAGAACAACTTGAAAGTTCTGTCACGATTATTCATGTCACAAACTAGTGGGAGCACACTTTGAAAAACGTGAAGAATTGGGTTCGAATGTTAATTTTCAGATATTGATTGCTCACCTTAGACGGTTCGATGTGCGTAATGGCACTCGCTTGGCAGTTTGTGTGGCTCTCGTCGACGCCAGAGTCCAAATTGAACCAGTGCAGTTCGGCCGCAGGATTTCGTAGTTGAAGAAGCGGTAGGCCATGTTCTGCATGACGGACGTCTTCTGGGTGCGCTCCGGACACGGATGCGGGTAGTAGAGGGATAACGGCGGGCACGTCGTCACCGGATTCTTGCACGAAGAGTGTTGAGTTCTGGAAGGGGATTGTTTTGAAGGAATCACACGTTGGCCTCGGTGTTCTCACTTGAAATACTCGACGGCAATGCTGTCGAGGTCCCTGACCGGCCGGATTGCTCCTCCGTTCCCCGGACGTTGAGAGTCGTTGTTTCGAACGGGCGGGGCTGATTGCCAACTTCCGCGGGAATCCACTGCCTCCGTATTCTGTAAAATGAGCGATTAGTTAGTCGTCTATGAAAACGCCAAAGTTTTGGGAAGCGTGGGAGTTGCGAACACGTCCTCGTCGTTGGAAATTGATCGGCTGATCATGGGAGAGCAAAGGGCGGCCGGATTTGACGGACGTCTTCCCGAGATGCCTCCGATCTCCGATTCGAGCATTCGCGGAGCAAGAGTCGGGTAGGCGTCCTCGATTTTGATGAAGTTGTTGCCGGTGCTAGGCTGAAAAGGGGAAAGAATCATGCTTTCCGACTCGATTCCACTAACAAACGGGCGAAGCTTCAGCGGGGCGACAGTGGTCCTGCTGGCCGGCTTATCCGGCAATTTCGCCTCCGTTTTGAGCATCGCCGCCACCGAGGACAGTCCCTTCTTCTCCAAATGATCGTGGATCAGCTGCAGCAGTTCTGTTTCGTTGTAGCTCAATTTGTGTTGTCGATCACCCATTGCCGGTGGATTTTCTCCTAAAATTGAGGTTTTCTCATGAATTTCAGCCAGTTGGGGTCTACCGAAAGTGCGCCGTGGTTCAAATTGAGATCTTTCGCCTGGTGAGCGTGCATTTTCTTGCCCGTGACCACTTGAAGCAACTGCATGGCTTCCCGACAAAACGCCGCGTGGATATCCCGTTTGTCCGAGCACACCGGGTCGCGCATCAGTACTGAAATGGAAATCGATTGAAAATTTGGCCACTTTCGAGTCGAAAATTTTGGAATTGTCCCTTTGTGAAAGTGCCGTGAACAAGTTTTGCTCCGCGGAAATGGCCGATTTCATGTTTTGCTCGTAAATCTGTGGAAATGGATAGTATTTGTTGAAAGCTTTTGTACTTTTTATCGACTTTATATTGTCTATTATCTGATAGAACCCTAACTTTTTTGGATTATCAGTATTGGTTCGGAGGATAAACCTTGAAAGTTCCAGCTTTATTGGATTATCTGGTCCGGTGATACAGTGATCTCAAAAGTCCTCAATTTTCGATCTCAAATTGATAATTCAATCGAGCTGAAGCTTTTGAGGTAGACCCTCCAAACCCATACTGATAATCGCGTAAAGTTGAGGTCCTATCGGTTAATGGATAATAGCAATTGAGTCGACAGTTCCATACTTCCAGCACTCGAGTTCCACACAAACGCATCTGCGAATGCACCCGACGGCGACCATCCTAGGTTAACCGTCAAGGGGTCCATGCCAATTTTTAAAAATTGCCGCGTACCCGTGACCGTCAAGGGGTCCCTGCCAATTTTCAGAAATTGCCGCGTACCCGTAACCGTCAAGGGGTCCATGCCAATTTTTTTAAAATTGCCGTGTACCCGTAACCGTCAAGGGGTCTATGCCAATTTTTAAACATTGCCGCGTACCCGTGACCGTCAAGGGGTCCATGCCAATTTTTAAAAATTGCCGCGTACAAATGTAGGGCCAAAATGTTTATTTTTGATTGGCCTGTGGTTTTCAGAGGGGTTTTTTGTGCACGCTTTCCGTGACATTTTCACGTATGAAGTCACCCCGTCGTGGAATTTCTCGTGGTTCTCTCCATTGCTTGTTATGTCCTTCAACATAAAATCCAGGATTTCAGTGGAAATTTTCCGGCGCCATTTTCTCGAAATCCAGGTGCCGGCAGCCAAAACGATCAACAGAACATTTGATCCTCTTGGTATAAGCTATCGAACTATGTCAGTCACGGCCCATAAGGTCAACTTACCTGTTGATCATTCCCTAGTCAGTAGAGAAGTCTAGTTTTTCCTAATTGGACACTCCTTGCTGGCTACGGCCACGTGGCACCGGAGACGTTCAAAGGCCGTGTCTTCCTGATTTTGTACGGCCTCGTCGGCGTTCCGTTCACCCTTCTTACGATCGCCGATCTCGGATTGTTCCTCAACAAGTTCCTCAAGTATCTGCTCACTTCGGCTCATAGATTCTCGCGATTTCTCAAAAATCTGTGGCACGGAATAAGGAAGAAGCCTCGGAAGACGATCTCGGAGTCGGAAAGATCGGAAGTTCGGAGTACGGGAAAGGAAAAGAAAGAAATGAGCATGAGAACGGTCAGGGAACCGGACCAAGAAGAGAAGATTCAGGAAATGGAAAAAGAAGAAAAAAAAGGAGAAGAAGAGGGACAGGAAGAGCAGAATGAGCAGCCGAGGTGGGCACAAGACTGTAAATCAGCGGAATCCTCACCTTACTTGAGATTACTGTAACATTATGTGTACTAGTTCAGAAAAACGGAAGAGTCAATAGCGCTCGGGATCACTCTCACGTGTTACTTGCTGGCTTGCGCAAAGATATTGTCGGTTTACGAGCCGGAAATGGACTTTTTCAAGGCGCTCTACTTCAATTTTGTCACTCTCACTACCATCGGATTGTGCGATTTTGTGCCGAAGAGGTAAGTTCTGTAATGGATAGATTTCATAAAAACCAACTGGACTTGAAGGTCAGAGCGTTAAATTTTCAATACAATTTTTCCGTGTACAAAATATATCACTTGTTTGGATTTATCGATTCGCTGAAACTGAAACATCTGCTTTTTCAATGCAATTTTTTAATATTCCAGTTTCAAAAAACTGTAAAATAAATTCTGGATTTTCTAGAGCTTCGTCATTTTATCAATCTTCCAGATTCCGCGTTTGGACCTGGACGTGCATTCAGGGAAATTTTTATTAATAAGAATGGTGTGCCTTAAACTGTTATTCATGCTCCTCACAAATACAAAAGGATAGGAAAGGTGCGTTTCGTTTCTTCTCCCTAGCTGATTGTTATTTGGTATAATAAAATTATCATCAATAAAAATTCTATCATAAAAACTATCCTCTCGACTATGATGTAAAACAGATATTCAGATTGACTTGCGTATAGGCGCTTACTAGTCGACATTGGGGACAAGAACACGTATTTTAAAGAACAAAATAAGGGGATCAAAACGCTATGAGGCACTAGTCACAAAAAATTAGTTGTAAAGAAGAACAATTAAACAAAAGAGACTCAAGAGAAGAGAAACGCTGAAATGAAGCAAAAACAAAACACCAGAAAACATACTTAGATAAATAGGAACACAATTTGGAATGAAAACTATCAAAAAACTAATATTACATGCAAAATTCCTTACTCCCAAGGGCGGAAAATTTGACGAGTGTTGCCGGAGTCAAGAGCTTGGCTTAGCTCGTGAACGTATTCTGTGACGATTGGAGTGATCTGGAAAATCACGTTTGCATTCTACATATGTTTGCGATTTGAGGTTACCGTGAAAATCGCAACTGCGATTTGCTTTCCAAACTTTTGTCCCTCCAGATAAGCCTCGTAAACATCATGGCTTTTGTCGATATCCGCTTTGAAGAAGTTTTGATTTCCCTCCGCGATAAGGTACCCGGTCAGATATTTGTGGACTTCTTCAATGATCTCGTGTTTACTGAACTTTCTGCAATACTTTTGTCACTTTCCTATTTTTTTAGTTGTATCAACTAACCTTCTCTGGTGTGGAAGTTTTGCGTGAGTGTTGATAAACTCCCGCAACTTATAGTATTTCTCGCTCGTTTCCAAATTGCTTCGCCATTCTTCTCTTGGTTTGGCTGAGACGGGTTCTTCCGGCGCGCTCCTGTTTTCCTTGATGATTTTCCCGAAAAAGTCGAACCAGGCATTGATCAACTCGACCAGAAGTGGGATCGAGACCATGTTATTTCTCTCCACAAAAGTCAGCGTCAAATCCTTGGTTTTGGTGATGCCATCAAGAAACTTCTCGAATCTCTTCTCGCCGGTTTTCGCCTTCTTTTCAATAGACTCGGTGAGCATAATAAGGAACTTCAAGAAACTCGGCATTCTGAAACAATAAAATCAGACAGCAAGTACTTCTTAATATCTTACGAAAGATTTTCATCTTTAATTGGCGTTAGCAGCTTTCTCAGTTCATTGATATTCTTGTTCAACGTTTCGTAATACTTTTTTTGAATTGCAGTTTGACTCATTCTCACTTCTGAAATAAGTATCATTTCCGACATCAAACAAGAAGACAAATTATGAATGTTAGAAAAATGTTTGACGTGCCGACTAAAGGGTATCTAGCTAAAAAATACTGACACTGTACAAAAAACAGCACGTTCAACTTCCTGAGTTTGGAATTATCTAACTAACTAACTAACAGGCCGATTTTAATTCGAATATTGATGTTTCAAAACTGGGTTTCTGAAGCTGCCGCTTTTTGACAGAAGTTTAAAACAACAGAGAATATCATTTCATGGGAAAATTCTGTGGGGAGCGACCAAAAGCGTGTTAGGGTGAGAGGAACGAAGAACGAAAGTGAAAGAAAAGGGAGAGCATGGGATATATATCGTACAATTCCTAATAGAATCAATGGGGAAGGGAGGGCAATAGTATCGTTAAACGTGGGAATGGGGGACGCGAGTTTTGTTGTCGATTGCGCTATGTGTCTTCGATGTGCAACAATATGCTAATGTATTAGAAAATGTGGTTTTCACTGTGCTCAATGCAGCGATGATTGTCAAAAAAACTGCGAGAAGTCACGGAATCCCTTACAATTCTCGGTTACACTCCCTAGCCTTAAAGACTTAAAGACTTAAAATCAGCCTCAAGTCGGTTCACCACCAGTTATATCTAGTATACAGAAAAACCGAGATCCGCAGAGCCCCAGCACTTGAAGAACGGTACATCGATTCGAAATGCGATATTCACTAGCCCCCAAAAACTGCCAGAAAGTGAGGAAGACGTGAGACAAAGATAACGTGCTTCACGGAAGGCTAATTATGACTGCTTTAGAAACAGTTTCCTGGCTGAAAATCTGAAAAAAGTATCTTCAAAGGGTCTCGCATACATGCGGTGATTTCCATTCCGATTTCGGCCTCCCATTTACGAACAGAGCCAAATGCGAAAGACGGAACGGAAAACGGAAAGCAAGAGGTTTCACAAGATGAAAAAGAACAGAAAAATAAAGGAAATTCTGTGGAAATCCAACCGCTCACGCACATTGGTCCACGGAAGTGAACAAAATAGTGAGAGATTTTCGAATTGCACGGAAACGCCAACAGCTGATTCGTCGACAACAGTTTTTCAAGGTATTCAAGGTAAGGTATTCATGATTTTGCAACGTGGGTTCACAAGAAGAACAAGAATAGAAAAATGAAGGGAAACCCGTGGGAACTGTTGGAGAGCGCTATCAAAGTAGAAGAGGAGGTTGGAAAAAGACCGAGACCTGCGCGTGTGGCAAAACTCCTCCCGTTATCCAATAGAAACTTGTGGATACCACGTGAGTTTTCCTATTTTTCTATGAATTTGTTGACACTTTAAACGTTCGGTACTTGTTTTATGTGAGAAAACTGAATGTGACATGGTTTTCGGATGACAAAACAAAAAAAAAGAAATCGTATGGCAAAGCAACAAGTGAACAGATACTGTATGTATTTAGTGCAAGCTTTTTTCTCTTGGTTGAGTTCTGGTATCGAAAGAGAAAGAGAGAGGGAGTGCCGACACACTGCCTGTTGGTTCTTCAAAGGTAACCGAAATCTAATGGAAAACAACAGTGAATTGGGTGATTGAGAAATGTTGGACGAAACCATTGTGTTTTAAGAACCAGGTCCCGAATTTTGGACCAATGTCAACTAAAGCTAAGAACATAATTAGGGTGATCAGACGGTAAGAATGTTGGCGCTGACTGTGTCTCAATCAAAATGCACAGAGAAAAGAGGAGAAGTAGAAAATTTGGTGAGGTTCTTTCTGGCGAGAACGGAGCAGGAAAAGGTGAGCTGTGGTTGTTGCAGAAACTGCTTTGAAAATGCGATACTGAGAAGTGTCAAAAAATATAAATGTTTCCAAATGTTCGCAGCCGTCCGCGGTCTGCTGTCTGCGTCTCCCTGTTGCCACAGTCTGTCGCTCCACTGTCTGCGTCTCTCTGTTGCCACAGTCTCTCGCTCCACTGTCTCAACCCTCTCGATTGTCAGCAATTGCGCTCGACCGCACAACAACAAACCTTACAGTTACTCTCATTCTTCACACACTTCCCGTTTTCAGTCTGCTACTTATGCGTTTACCTTTACTTTATTCAGTTTGTAAGTTTAATGCAAGCCGCCTCTTGTCTTTTTTGTTTTCTCCAAAAACGCTCTATCAAATTGAGAGTTATGAAGCGTTATGCAGTTGTATAATTGATTCCTTGTTCGACTAATGGTGCGCGTTAAATTTAATCACAACCAAACACTTCCGTCTTTTTTTTTGCTGTAGCGACTGAGCATGGCGATGTTAAGCAGCGGTAGTATTCCTAATATTGTCTACCTAGTTTTTCATTGAGCTTCGTTGCTTGCTTGCAAGCTTTTCGACCAAGAGGGCACGATTTCAGATCAATTGAGAGCTTTCGAGCGGGTTTTATGCGTTAGCTGGTATTTTCGCTGATCCTCTCGGATCCCTGAAAATCATATCCACAATGTCTTTGAACTTGTTGCTGCCTGGCGGGCGCCTTTCCAGACTGATGAGAATTTATAAACTTCTGAAAGTCTCACTTGTTGTGTTATCTCTGATTTTGTTTTTTTTTCTCAGTTTGCTGATGATCAATGCGAATTTTATAATCCTAATTTTTTTTACAGTTTTCAGACATGCCTTCCGCACCGAAACCTTTCAAATCCAGTCTTACCGATGTGAGTTGTTCGAATTCTCAAATAGTTTTATCCACCTTTCGAGTGTTCCTATCACACTTTGAGTGTTGTTGCTCTGAACGCCGCGTCCATAGTTTGAAAAATCTCTGCAATCTGCTGGATTCCATCATGAAACTTTTACACAAGTCAAAACCATTTTCATTTTCAGGCCCAGTGGTTTCGACTTCGCGCGACTATCAACAGACATAACCCGAATGGAATAATGGCGCCACTGCGCAACGTCAATCACGTCCGTCGCGATCTTTACGAGAAAGCGGTTCGCGCCTGGGATCGTGCAGTCGAGGAAGATGAGCGTCGATGGAAGGAGTATCAGGAGGCGCTCAACCCGGTAACCATAATACATTCCTTTAGGAGCACTCAAAGTATTCATTCCCATTCTTACTCATTCTTTGTAAGACTCAAGTAATAGGAAAGGATTTCTATGTGAGCATGTAGTATAGGTTTGAGTACCGATATGCAGTCTTACGGAGGACAGGTTATAGAACAGAATTTTCAGCCTCTTCGTCGCTCGACCCGCCCGTCCATCCCTCCGATCCGATTCCAAGCTGGATCGTCGCAGTAAAGCCGCCTCGACACTTCCCGTATTCCTACGATTACCTAATTAAATTTTGATTAAATAAAGCAATTTACAAAGTTAACATTCAAACAGGGAGAGATCTAAAAACAAGAATTTGTCATATGCTAGACATTTTTGCTTTCTGTTTCCTCCCGTTTACCTTTACATGATGGCATAACTGTAAAGATCTTCTACTTGTGAACATGGAATGATTTGGTGGCGTCGTTTACATGGCCAGTTGATGTCTGTCGGATCAAGCGATTCAAGAATGGATCAATTCTGACGAAGTCTTCGGTTTCCTGCTTTTTTTTACCACTGCAGGGTGCTACAATCTGGCAAATTGTCAGTTTGCTCCAACTGTCTGAATTACTTCATTTGGTCATATTCATTCAGTTTTCACTTGATTGGACCCACTAAATTACTTGGTACGAGCACTAGGATTGCAGGGTCCAAAAGGTTCTCGGTCAATCCGTCAATGTCTTGTGAAACTACTCTACAATCAACCTTTTCGAAAAGAACATTTGGTTCCTCTAAGATAATTCAGCGCTACACCAAATGAAACCAATGGGTCAATGAACTGATTCTTACATTCAATGACCACGATTGTCTTACTTGGTGCCTCGTGGAGCAGTATCCGATGTTTTGGGTATAGCAAGTTTTAATCTGAGAGCAAGAACAATAAAACCCATATTCAGAGAAGCCGACTTAATTTCCGTTGGAGATTAGTGATAAGGACGCCGACAAAGGGCTCTGATGGGAAAAAACGATTGGGATTTCGAAACGTCATAGCACCGTGCCAAGAGGATTCAGGAAAAGAGTGATAAGGAATTGGAAGGATTTCCGATTTCGAATGCAAACAGTCAACACAGAGTCGATAGTCCGATCGGTCTGTGACTTGGAATATATGGTAACTCATTCAAAGTGATGTAATCTTCGAGAGTCGTTTGTGGACGAAAGACTTGAGGATGCCTGCCCATCGACCGAGGAGGACATTGGCACATCTGAAATTGCGTGGAATCGATCGATAAAATTTATTTTTTCCAGCAACAGTTCTGCGCTTCATCGACTGTGTAATGTCTTTTCACGTCACGGAACTGGAATCCACCGTACCTTCTGACTGTGTCATCAACGGCTGACGTGTTCAACTGGAGGTTATCCATGAACTTCAGACACCCAATCAAATATTGCTTTGCCTGAGTGTAAGCGGAGATTACAAAACGGGAAAATGGGAATTTTCTCGGGAACGGCTCCTGAAATCAACATTGAATCAGAGCTGCACGGATCAATCTCTTTTTACCTGCTCCATGCTTCTCTTGTAGAACGGGAACTGCCGGATGATCGCACGAAACTCTTCTTCGTTGTTGACCGTGATCGGAGTGTAATTGTCCTTGTCGAGGTCTCTCTCAAACTGCGCACAATACTCTTTGACCAGAATCTCGTTGTACTGATCCAGAGCGTTTTCCCACAGTTTGTCCTTGTCGGCAGTCGTTGAGAGGTTCGATTGAGTCATCAGGATCTGATCCTCAACAACGAAGAACCCAACAATCTCGTCCAGATACTCGACGTAGTGTTTGAAGTTGTTCATTTTCTGGGATGGTTCCCAGACGAGATCGCACTGTTCTTTGCGCTGTTGCCGGTAAAATAAAGGAACCGCATCGTTTGTAATCAGGCACTCCTGCTGTGCAAGAACGAAAGAAATATCTGCAAACCGAATTGCTTGCAATACAAAAAATCGGGTGAATGAAACTTGGAAAGGCTTACCGGCTCTTTGCTCAAAGTTCTATACTGAAATGAGAGAAAGGAATGTTGAAGATGAATTTTATTTCATTCCGTTTATTCGCCAGGGATCAACCAGATGCGACAATCGTGGTTATCGAATGTAAGAACGGTTCGGTGACCCGTTTGTTCTATATGGTGTAGCGCTGATGCCCAAGTACTGTAAAAGACGTTCAACCAAAACATTTCTCTTGATCTGTCTGTTAATTAAGTCGCTTTCAAATTAGTTTACAGAGGTCGCAAAAACGGACGCTTAAAGAGAATGACGTTATTGCTTCATGAGGAAATCGTTGGATTAATGTCTATTAAAGTTGATGAAACGGTCGGGTATGTGAACAATCGATCGCCACTTTGGTTCGTCTCTACCGCTGCAAGATGAAGTTGAAAGAGTTCCCACAAAACCACACTTCCTTCCCCACTGCGGCGCCCTCGAACCTCCTCGCTCTTCTCTCGCCTCTCCTTCTTTCCGCCCGCAAGCCTGTTACTCCAAGCGCCATCACATGTCTCGTTGTCTGCGTGAATCTTTCGTCGTTTGCGCGTGCCTCGTTTTTGTCGGGACATGGGAAAGGGTAAGAGCGGAGGCCGCGCTGTCCTCGTCGGTTTTAACCCAGTTACTCAAGGTACGCTGGAGTTCCGACCTTTCGAAAGAGAGTGTCGAACAACTATAACTTTTGGAAAGCCTTCCCGGGGACATCCGGTTAGGCAAAAATAAGAAAGAAAAGAGTCTTGATTAGAATGATAAGAAGAGGAACGTCTGCAAGATCCACGACTTGTCGTAGGCCACAATTGCCCGCAGAAACTTAGTTCGGGTAGCAGAAGCGGGATATGATCTGTAATACGGAAGAACATGTTTAAAATTGTATGCTCTGAAAAATTGGCAGTGCAAAGACGTAGATACGGAAAGAACATGGTTGGCGTGGCATCGACGAGAAGCTTCTCGTGGCGGGAGCATCGACGGAGACGCAGTCTGGTGATAATGTCCACTTTCTTGATGATTTCCATTTTCATCTCAACCGGCAAACCGTTCCAGTTTTTCGCTTCTGGCCCATTCCCGGCCGCTTTCAGTCTTTGAAGATTCCAACAACAGAACATTTGTATAGAAATGGTTTATTGGAATTGGAACAAAGGACTGATAGTGGATATTTCCTCGTTTATAATGGTTTCAATAAATTATAGTTGAATTTTCATGTTGGTTCGAGTATTTTTGCAAAGATTACATCACTTTGAATGTGTTATCATACTTTTGGCGCATCCTGTATATTGGGTCCAGGTTACAGACCGATCGGACTATCGACTCTGTGTTGAATGCTTGCATTCGAAATCGGAAATCCTTCAATTCCTTATCACTCTTTTTCTGAATCCTCTTGGCACGGTGCCATGACGTTTTGAAATCCTAATCGTTATTTTCCATCGGAGCCCTTTGTCGGCGTTCTTATCACTAATCTCCGTCTCTAATTAAGTCGGCTTCTTCGAACAAATCTGCTTGAAGCTCACATTCCCACACCATCTTGATTAAAGGCAGAGATTGGTGATAGGAATGCCGACAAAGGAGCCACGCCCCCTAATCAGAATGGCCACGCCCACAGAGGTATATAAAGGCAGAAATTGTCATTTTATTTATTGCCGTCTCGTTTTTTTTTCATTTCTACCCATGGGGAGCCCTCCCCCAACCATTTCTCTTCTTCCTCTGATTAGACGTTGTTGCAATGCAAGAAGTCAACTCTCTCTTCTTTCCTCTGACGTTATTGCTATGCAAGAAGTCAGATCTCTCTCTCTCTCTCTCTCTTTCTTCCTTCCTTCCTCTCTTTTTCTTCCTTCCTTCCTCTCTTTTTCTTCCTTCCTTCCCCTCTCTTTCTTCCTTCCTTCCTCTCTCTTTCTTCCTTCCTTCCTCTCTCTTTCTTCCTTCCTTCCTCTCTCTTTCTTCCTTCCTTCCTCTCTCTTTCTTCCTTCCTTCCTCTCTCTTTCTTCCTCTCGCTCTCTCTTTCTTCCTCTCTCTCTCTCTTTCTTCCTCTCTCTCTCTCTTTCTTCCTCTCTCTCTCTCTTTCTTCCTTCCTTCCACTCTCTTTCTTCTCCTGCCTCTCCTCCTTTCCACCCGCCAGCCCGTTTCTCCATTCGACTGCACATCTCTCGTCGTCTGCGTGAATCTCACGTCGTTTGCGCGTGCCTCGTTTTTGTCGGGACATGGGAAAGGGTAAGAGCGGAGGCCGCGCTGTCCTCGTCGGTTTTAACCCAGTTACTCAAGGTACGCTGGAGTTTCGACCTTTCGAAAGAGAGTGTCGAACAACTATAACTTTTGGAAAGCCTTCCCGGGGACATCCGGTTAGGCGAAAAGAACTGGAAATAAAAAGAAACCATGAAATGCTAAAGTATAGTCGAAATTTCATTTCATTTCATTCATTCACCCATATTCAGAGATAGGTAATGGAAGTAGTAGTTCTAGTCCTTTTTCTTGCTGGAGATCACTTGCAAACCGCATTCAGACGGCTCCACACTCTCTAGATTCCTTGATGACCATCTGCCCGTTCCTCTCTCTCTCTCTCTCTCTCTCTCTCTCTCTTCTCGCATCGCTCTTTCTTCTTATCCTGACCTCACCATTTGGCCCATTGGTCACTGCATTGACACTCCTCCACCTCTTTCTCTTCTCTCACATTTTTTTTCGTTTATCTTCCAGATTCTTCACATATACGGTAGCTAGCGGCCACGATAATAATATATACTTTCACCTGGTTTGATTCGAAAAAGATTCTTATAGATGAGAATGATATTGAAAAACGCGGAGAATGTACTAGGTTTTCATGTTTTTCAAATCAGCTCGTCGAAATCCAACTCACAATGGTGATTTTCTTGTCAGTTACTGTTATTTTCCTTGTTTACACTTGCATTTTTCTCTCGTCCCGCTCCACTGTCTCACTCTTCTTTTCGCTCTGATTCCCCTCTCTCTCTAAGAAAAATTATTGCAATGCTAACCGTTTTGCATGAACATTGATTTTTCCCAACAAACATTTGTACCTCTTTTTCCTTTGTGTGAGGCAAACGTACTCATCTTCGCCACTCCCATTCATAATCATCATTGTGGTCTCTCGTTCAACAATTCCAAAAAGGTCTTCCTCTTATTCATCTTTCCTTTCATTTTTCTCTATTTGTAAGTATTTTTGGGAAATATTCATTATTTTCTTCAGACATTCTGTCCAGTTTCTGAAGGAGAACAATGGCTTCGATCAAGATTGAGAAATTCAACATGCTTTCAAATAGAGACGGTGGGATTCGCAGACACGATGCGCTTTCTGAGCACAACGCTAGAGCGAACAGAGCACAGAGGTAAGTGTATTGCAGTTTTAGTTTAGTGCCGGACCTGAACAGACCGGGCAGGATCGGCGGGGATTGATAAGTCTTTCAAAAGTAAGAACCAGCCAAGTGGCGTTGTTTGTCTTGAGCTTTAGTTTTTGAGATATCGCCTCATTTGGGGATGGGTTTTACTTTTGAAAAGCCTATAAATTTTAGCCCATTCCCGTTTTCTTTCTCACGGCTCGACCCTTGTCAACTTCATTATTCAGATTGGCATACTACATGTCGAACAACAGTGGAACCGCCGCGGGATTGAAACAAATCCAATACACATTGGAGAACTTTCCCATTATCCGGGATATTAAAATTCTTGTCGATGACAAGTTTGAGGTGAGTAGAAAATACTTTCTTCGTTTAATGGCAACATTGTGGTGTTACAGCTCATCGTTTCCTCGCTAAGTCCGCGATGCGAAGGAATCTTTATTGGTGTGAAAATGCAGGGAGGCAGTGAAGACAAGAAAGAGCATGGCGAGTTCTTGCCGGCATCAGCAGGAGACGATAGTATCAGAAAAACATGCGTTGAAGGAATTAAAAAATTGGAGATTCGTGAGTTGTGTCATACAAGTAATAAGTATTCTCATATTGTATTTGGTTTAGTTGAACAATCTTCGTCAACTCACCGGCCGCCTCTCTCGAAGTGCTCAATTGATTTTCTATCGCAAAACAAGATAGAAACAGTTGATGAGCCATCTGAAAAATTTCCGAAAGCTCACTTCTATTGTGAGAACTGTGATTTCTACATGGAAACATCGAAATCTGTCAAAGATCATTTGGAAAGCGATCTTCATCTGGACGACATTGAGAAGCAAACAATGAGAATGAATCTTCTGAGAAAGATCCCCAATCCGTCTGAAATGCACTTATTTGCATTGAACAGAGTTCTCCAAGAAGCTCAAAACCGCAACGTCACAAACAAAGAAAGAGATGTTCAGATGGTCTTGTCCTATTTGTCTAATGTCTTTTTGAGTTTGATTGGGGATTGTGAGTTTAAGATTGAACTCTTCGGGTCTTCCGCTCTTGATCTCATGCTGGAGAATAGTGATGTGAACGTGGCACTGATTACAAAAATTTCGAAGAAGTTCACGACTTCTCAGTTGATGAGAATGATCCAAAAGAAGATCCAAGGAGATGGACACAAAGCGGAGTATAAAATGGATATGGGAGTGGACACGTCTGTCACATTCATGATCAACAATACTCACGTTCGCCTCTGTCACCTGCATTCATCCTCGGGACAATTGAAACTTACCAAGCTAATCCAGAAGTACTGCTCGATCCGATCGGAAGTCCCTCAATTCCTCCGGTTGATCCGGCAATGGGCGTCAGAATCTGATTTGGACGATAAGAACCGTTTGCGAATCGGATTGCCACGTTATGGATTCGATCTTCTGGCGATACATTTCCTACAGCAGCAGAATCTTCTCCCAATACTCAACGAAAAGGATCATACTTTTGGATGTGAAATATGGAACATGGCTGATTTGTTCATCAACTTTTTCCGCTATTTCGCTCAGAAAAATCGCCGAGTAGTAGTCCAAATAACTGAGAATGGAGAACTGGTCAGAAATGGGATTACATGGAGAAGAAACGTTCTTCATGTGGTTGACCCATTCCGGAGGGATAATGTGATGCACATGCCAAGTGATTCCACGTGGCACTCTTACTTCTACAACTGTGTGCTGCAAACATTTATCTCTTTTTCAATTCCAAGCACTAAAAACGAACCACTTGCAAACATCACTTTGTTCCAATCCGTGAGTTTGAAATCCATAGTTAACCATTATCACTTTTGTTGCAGAAATCGGAGCTGAAACAGGAAAACATCATGATGAAAAGTGGCGTGAACCTGGCGAATGTGAAGAAAATTTGCACAACGGAGTATTTCATCAGTGAAAACATCAACTTGGAGAATATTCTTGCCGCTCATAACCTCGATTCGTCACATTTCTATTTTGAATTCAAACCATCGCGTTTCCGTGGAAGACTGGAAATGGAAATCAAGTGCGCTTACTGCAATGGTCCACACTTATACGACAAATGCATTCTTCCGGATGTACCCGCTACTGATGAAATAGATGTTGCCGATGAAAGGTACGACGCAATCGACGAGATGATTGATGAATACTATGGAGCGAACATCATGCAATCACATCGAATGAGCATGTTGAATGTAGAAGTGAGGAAACTGGAGGAATACCTGGCGGAGACGTACAGAACGGATGTTACCCTCACCCTGTTCGGATCGATAATGACGGGCCTTAGTGTCAATTGCTCCGACGCCGATATCTGTCTTCGATTTAAGGGACAGGACGATGAACCGAAGGAGTGGACTGGGAAAGAAGTGATTGCCGATATAGGAGAGATACTGAAAGGATACGAGCAAACAGAAAAAGTGGAAATAGTTTTGAATGCAAAAGTTCCAATTGTCAAAATGCAATTGAAAATGGCCCATGACGAGATTTTAGACATTGAGTATGTGCTTTTTGGATAATTTTTAAAGACATTTTACTACTTTCAGCATATGCTTTTACAACTCATTAGCTCTTCAAAACACAGCACTACTTCGCGAGTACACCCGATGGACTCCGGACAACCGATTTGCAAAACTGGCTTTATTTGTCAAACACGTATGTTGGCACATGATTTTATGTAGACAACAATTATCCAAAATTTTAGTGGGCCAAGCAGTGTGACATCGGAAATGCCTCAATAGGCTCGTTGAGCTCCTATTCTCAAGTCATAATGCTGATAGGTTACCTGCAACAGTGCAGTCCTCCAGTACTTCCACGTATTCAAGAAGACTTTGTCATTTCCGACTCGGAACAACGGAATGCTGGTAAATGGAACACGTCATTTGCACAAAGCAGTGATGAGGAGATATGGAAATGGCAACACAACAAAGAGTCATGTGCCCGTCTTTTTGTTGGCTTTCTGGAGTTTTATGCCCGGTTTGACTTTCAAAATGTGGTGATTCAATGCCGGCAAAACGAGGCAGTTTCCAAGACGGAAAAGGGTTGGAGGAGAGCATTGTGCGTCGAGGATCCGTTCAATCTGGATCACAACCTGACCGGAGTTGTCTCGAACAAAAGTGAGTTTTTGAAATGATTTGTGCGATATGATCATCAAAATTTTCAGTGTTCCTGTTTATTCGAAAAGTGTTTGTTGCTTCGCGAGATGCTTTCACACGATATTATCCGGATCAAACAACCAAATCCGACTTCGATTTGAAAAATAACATTTTCGGCATGTGTCAACAAGGAAGATCTCCAACACACAAAATCTGCCGCATCTGCCAAGAAGTCGGCCATTTTGCTGACGTCTGTTCACTTCGTGATGAATGGTTGGTTCTATATATTTTTTTATTATAATATAATATAACATTACAGAAGAAACAAAGGACATGCATGAAAAAGAAGAAGCAATTGGCGCAGGAAAACAAGGTTCCGATAGGAAGTAAGGAAGCAGGAGGGGGAAATCAGATGAATGTGTTGGCTTTATTGTTTCAAATAAATAAAACAAAGTTATCATTTTTTTGTGTTTATTTCATGTATCTGGTACTATTCCAGTAATGCATACAGTTTACGTCATATGTATATCTGACTGACGCGTGAGTAGCTCTTGACGATCTTGAAATCCAAGTTGTCCACATCTTTAGGTACAATCTTGCCATTATTTACTGAAATCCTTCTCATAATGAATATCAAGATGTGATATGGTAACCATTCTGAAATGACGGATCCTTCTTCTCCATTTTTTGTCACTGAGTTGCTCGCGCATTCATTGTCTCGGGAGCTGTGACGTTGTGGGACGGTCCATATGGTGCATCCTATCGTCGCATTTCAGCCGTTTATGGCCGGTGCTGTACACCAACAATACCCCCACCGGTGGCTAGGTCAACAAGTCGATATTGTGCGCACGGACAGTCTCCTCAACACATCTCCCCTTCCATTTTCTTGTATTCCATCTTTCTTCCTTCTTGCTGTCCCCCGTTTGTTGTCCGTCTCTGATTTGTTGGCCATATCGACTCAACTTTCAATTTTTCGTGCAACTCCGACACTTTTTAATATATTTCGCTCATTCTTCTCAATCATTCCCCCTTTCTTTCTTCCGACCGTGCACCGTTTTTCTTTTTCAGTCCAATTCCTTGTTATGAATTCAAAAATTTCAGATAATGTCAAGCGAGGATCGAGTTCAACAACTGAAGGATGAGTTAGCCCAACTCAAGGACAAATTCGTGCAAGCGAAACAAGCGACGGAGGCTGCTCGACAAGTGCAAAAAACGTTGGTTCAAAGAAGCAGGGAAGTGGAGTTGGAGTTTGAGAGGAATAAAAGAATCGAGATCGAGGGACAGCGTTCTGACGAGATTCAACGTGCACGAGATGAGGGGAAACAACTGCAAGAGAAAATTCTCTTATTTCCGGAGATAGAAAAGGATCTTCAAAAACAGTGCGACAAGATTTATATTGCTAAGGACAGAGAGCGCGAATTGCACAAGTCTCTGAAAGGTCTCAAGTGGCATATGGCTGACAATCCAGTGAGTTGTGGAGCAACCTGCAAAGTATGCATGGAAAAGTTCAAAATGGAGGATAAGACTCCTCGACTATTAGGTAATCACATTCATTTGCTGGAGGGGTTTTTCTAAATTTATGATTACAGAATGTGGACACACGTTCTGCGAAGACTGCCTCAACAAGATGATCGAAGGAGGAGGAGAACGATTTGGACGGATCAGATGCCCGCAATGCCGCAGATTGTGCAGAGTGGAGAACTGGCAAACGTGGAAACTCACGCTAAACTTGGCACTTCTTTAATATAATGGAAAATTGTAATTTAAGACGCGTTTGCTGCTGCTCCCCGGCTAACGCCGGGTTTCAGGCCAAAAATGACGTATATTTGAGAATATTTGATGGCGCCCGCAGGCATTCCATATTTCCCCGTCCTGAAATAAATCTCTAAAACCGGAATGACTCACTTCATTATCAACATATTGGTTCTTGATTCCCAGAAAAATACCAATGGTCCCATCGACGATTCCGGCGGAGACGTTCATGTTGCGATTGATCATCACACGGCAACCCACAGAAAGTTGCAGTTTTGTGGCCGGTTTCCTCTAGTTCTGTTTATTACTGGTGCAATCTCCATAACTCCTCCGAGCCGATTCAATTTCTAAAAAAAAAGATTTTCCCTTTCTTTAAAACAGATTCGCTTACATATTTGTTCAGCTTGTTAACCGTCTCGTTGTTTGAAGCGAAAATGAGGAAAATCTTTTCAGGATTCTTCGCCTGAAGATCATCCAGTTAATCAGATGCGTCCTTCTCAGTCTCAAAGGGAAGACGGTTGGAGAAGAGACGACCGAGGAGATCTTCCGCTGAAAAAAGAGAAGTGATATTGTTGGGGCACACAGCAAAGACGTCCGTGCATAGAGATACTTCTATAAATCTTCTCCAGTTCTCCCATCAACGCTTGGAGCATCGATGTCTCGCTCCGACGAGTCCGACAATAGTGGCAAGTTGTCCGCGGTTGACTGAGAAGGAGAGTCGGGCAAGTTCGACGTCACACAAGAAGATTCTAAGCACTTTGACAAATTCGAGTTGTTAAAAATGATGCGGATGAGCTGGACAGGATAGTGGAGCACACCCCGAGTTTCAGTGATGGTTGGCGCAAAAGAAATTGGTATAAACGGAAATCAGTATATAATAAGTTAGGAGCAGATTCGCAGAGCGTTGAGAATGGAGACCGGCGAGGATAACGAACTGAAGTTGAGGTCAGGCAAATTGGATCAACTTCTGCCGACTTTCCGAAAAAGAGATGGACCAGTGAGCAATGAAGACTTCAGAAAGCTCTTTCTCGCCCTTTGCGGTGATACTGGTAAGCGGTATTCTTTAAAAGTTCTTTCAAATGATTGTACAATTTCAGGAAAGGAATATGACTCGGACGATTCGGAAATCTCGGATATTAAGGACGAAAAAGAAGCAGAAGAGAAAGAGGTGAGAATTCCAGACAGTCAGAAAGTTTCTAATCACATTCCGTTTGCAGAGAAAGTTCAAAGAGTGCATGGAGTCGATCAAGACTATGGACAAGAACTACGCACGTATCAAAGCACTTCTGAAGATTGGAAACGAGACGGTCGAGGAGAAAGAGGCAAGACGACGTGCTTACCTAGTCAAAACGCCGAAATCGGAAATCCGTCAATTCCTTATCACTCTTTTTCTGAATCCTCTTGGCACGATGCCATGACGTTTCGAAATCCCAATCGTACTTTCCCATCAGAGCACTTTGCCGGCATCCTTATCACTAATCTCCAACGGTAATTAAGTCGATTGCTTTGAAATTTGCCGCAAATCCGCTTGAAGCTGAAATTCCTGCAGTCTTGATTACCGGGAGAGATTAGTGATAAGGACGCCGACAAAGGAGCCACGCCCCCCTAATTAGAATGGCCACGCCCACAGGGGTATATAAAGGCAGAAATTGTCATTTTATTTATTGCGGTCTCGTTTTTTTTTTCATTTCTACCCATAGGGAGCCCCCCTCCAACCATATCTCTTCTTCCTCTGATTTGACGTTATTGCTATGCAAGAAGTCAGCTCTCTCTCTCTCTCTCTTCCTTCTTCTGACGTTATTGCTATGCAAGAAGTCAGCTCTCTCTCTATCTCTCTCTATTCTTTCTTCTGACGTCATTGCTATGCAAGAAGTCAGCTCTCTCTCTCTCTCTTCCTTCCTCTGACGTTATTGCTATGCAAGAAGTCAGCTCTCTCTCTCTCTCTCTTCCTTCTTCTGACGTTATTGCTATGCAAGAAGTCAACCAATTTTTCGTTCTTCATGACTAAGCCTCCTCGCGGCGAATAACGGATACGCTAATTAGTCAATGTAACTTTTCTAAATAACCTTCGGAAGCAATCCTGAAATTCTAGAAACTCTAATCGGATTATCTGACTTTCACCACATAGTTCCACTTCAGGCGGAAAAAGCATCCGACGATGCCCAGTGAGTTGAAAAGAACATTTGCCGTAAATACTGTAATAGAAGGGCACCTCCTCTGTAAAGGCCTGCAACTTTTACCTAGTCAAGATAAACAAAGGTACGCGCTGATGCTGTTGATGCCCTTGCAAGACACATTCTCCACTGCAACGACCTCGTACCTCCCCGCTCTTCTCCTGCCTCTCCTCCTTTCCACCCGCCAGCCCGTTTCTCCATTCGACGGCACATCTCTCGTCGTCAGCGTGAATCTCTCGTCGTTTGCGCGTGCCTCGTTTTTGTAAATACGGGCGTCGGAAAGGAAACCTTTGGATTAGCTCGATCGGCCGTCAGTATCAAAATTTTTACAGTTCACATAAAAGAGCGGCATACTGTCAGGTTATTGAGATTTCTGAAGGAGCCAGTACTTCCGAATGGAGTCCAATAATCTAAATAAATTCTATTAGCTATTTTTCATTAGATTTCAATTAATTGGACCCTTCGGATTAGCTCGATCGGCCGTCAGTGTCAAAAAGTTTATAGTATGCCCAAAAGAAAAATTGGAAAATTGTTGAGATTATAGAAACGATGCTCGAATACTTTATATTCAAAATCAGCAACGGGATCGATTTTGTAATGTTTGGGCAGAACGAAGCATGAAAATAAGTAGTGGGAAGCTTTTCTCTACCTTTGAAAAAGTGGCACTACTTGACTGAAGTGTGCAACTGATATCAAAAGTTGAAAAAAAAGCCTCTCACTTCCAACGCGGCTTGCCAGTTCTAATGTCCGAACTAAAAAAAAATGTCCGAGCTCCTCTCCCTTCTCTTTCAAATTAACATGAGCTTTCCCATGATTTGAATGAAGTTCATTTGCATAAAAGATGAGTCGTTAACTGTTTCACTTCAGTTACTCCTCATTTGTCCACAAATGTTATTCTTCCTCATTCTACTTCTAGGGACTTTTGAGTTTGCCGATGCAATCAAAACCTCTGAACGTCTCACATTTTCTGTGAAAACGTCCTGCACTGTTGGCAAGAAATGGTGCGGAACACTCGAGGTCTACGAACGAAGCATGTGAGACATATCGACTTTTCTTTTTGGAATTTGTTCATACTGTGTTAAGATTGCCAAACGACTTCATTACAAAGGGTTACTGGTGCACAAACTCTTCAATATCGAACCCAACACTTGGACCTGTGATGCTTGGTGGAGATCGCTTGTTGAAAGTACGCAGATAATCACAATAAGAACCGCAAAAAATTCATTTCAGAACAAGTACAGCATTTCATTTTATTTCTCGCACAACTGCACTGAAAACGGAGAAATTTTTTGTGTCCATCCGGTTGTGAAAAATGTTTCCGTAAATGGAGAGTGAGTACTATTGTTTATTTTTGCAAAGTCGTTTGTTTTGTTATTACAGTCAGAAAATTATACACGAATTTGGTAACATCACAATGGAGGGGATGCAAGGAGAATGTGAGCCATAAACTGTGTGATATTGGATGAGCGTTTTGAAATACCTCAAAAAAAACTGTGAAAAACTATCGGTTTTGTGTAACAAATGCGGAAAACTACGTGAAGAATCTGAGAAAATGGAAGAATGATCAAACTGCAAAAATACGCTTAACAAAGACGATTATGAGCCGACTGCGACCGATTTATTCTTCGTCCATTGATGTTCTCTGAAGTTTCGGCACCGGAAATCCATGCTTCGAGTCCTCGACCGGCCATTCATTCTCCTCGACGAACAGCTCGTCGTAATCCGTAGAGTACAGTTGTTGACGGACAAAAAGTTCCTGAAAAATGTGCACTCAAACCGCTCGAGAATTCACAAAAACTGAGAGAACAATCAACGTATGCTTAGAAATCATATGCTTACCGAATCCTAGTAACAAAGAAATTATGGAGTCATCGGACCCAAACCTCATGTCTCACCATGTTGTCCGGTTTTGGGTGGAGTGTAGCAAGTCCGGTCTTGTATCCATATTCTCCCACGGCCACAGCAATTCGAACAGAGATTTCGGGAATCTCATTCAGGTGCGGATAGACACGGGAGAACTCGTACAGCGAGCGTTCAGACACAGAATCGGCAACAATTTGCGCGGCAAGAAGAAAGAGGTCGTCCGGAATGTGCCGCATTTCGAAAACGATGACTCCGAGAGCGATGCCGGGAAAAACGTAGGCGTTATTGCCTTGTCCCGGCTTGAGAACACGTCCATTGATTTGGACGTCGGCGAATGGAGAGCCTGAGGCAAACAAAACTGACCCCTGAAATTAGAAAAAAGGCAATAAAGCTTCTGAAAAGTCTATAAGAATTACATACGTTGCTCCACCGATAAGCCGCCTCGGCCGTGCACTCGGCTTTGCTGGTTGGATTTGACAACGCGAACATCACCGGGCGCGCGTTCCATTTGCACATATCTTTGATGATTGTCTCGGAGAACGCGCCCGGTGTTGTGGAAGCTCCAATGAGAACTCCCGGCTTCACCATCCGTAATAGTTCAAGCAGAGAATCCATCTCCGGTAAAGCTTTCGCGAACTTGACATGTCGGTCTTCAAGATCTTCGGAACGGGAGTTGGTCACGAGACCGTTTATGTCCATTAGGAAAATTCTACTGCACGCCTCTTTCTCAGACGTTCCCTCCAGGATCATTTGCCTGACGCACAGATCAGCGATTCCGGTGGCAGCTCCTCCAGCTCCCAGGAACACCAGTTTTTCCTCGGACAGCGGTCTCTTTGTGACTCTCGTTGCGGCAAGAAGACCGGCAACAACAACTGATGCGGTTCCTTAAAAAAAACGAGGTGATTGATAACGTTTTGATTATTCAAGTAAATGCTAAAATCTTCAAAGCTTTGAAGTTTTCTCACCTTGTATATCGTCATTAAAGACGCAGAAACGATGTTTGTAGTTATTTAGTAGTCGGTGGGCGTTCTGGCTGGCAAAGTCCTCAAACTGAATAAGAACATTTGAGCCAAAGCGCTTGGTGGCGGCCAACATAAACATGTTTATGAGATTATCGTACTCGGCGCCTCGGACTCTAGTTCTTCGGAGTCCCGTATACAGCGGATCTTCGCGGAGAGCTTGATTGTTCGTTCCACAATCGATAGTTACCGGCAGGCACCACTCCGGACGGATACGGCCAAGCGCGGTGTAAAGAGAAGTCTTCCCGATCGGAATGCCCATTCCGTTGGCTCCGAGGTCTCCTAGGCCCAGAATGCGTTCTCCGTCGGTAACCACTATAGCTTTGACGGTTTTGGAGGGCGAATTAGCAAGGATCTGATATATTTTGGAAACACTGTCATCGTTTGGAGTTATGTAGATTCCTTTGGGGTGGCGGAAGATTTTTCCAAATTCTTGGCACACTTTGCCGATAGTCGGAGTGTATACGATTGGCATCAGCTCCTCCAAATTGTCGCAAAGCACCCGGTAAAACAATTTGGTGTTTTTATCGCAGAGCGAATCCAGTGTGATATATTTTTCAATATCTTCCACTTGATCGCGGATTCTCAGCATTTCAAGGTCGGCTTGCTGCTCCTGAGACATAAAGACAGGCGGCAAAAGTCCGTGAATTCCGAGCTTCTGGCGCTCGCAGAGCGAGAAAGCTAGTCCCTTGTTGAGCCCGGCATTCTTCAGAACGTCAATTCCTCTCTTCAACGGAGTCACGAGTTCCGAACGGTAGAGTTTCTTGAAGCCAACATTTTCTGGATCGGGGGGCTCCGACAGATTCGATTTGTCGCTTCTGTGACAAGCAGTCGACGAGATGGCACGAGTCGACAAGCTGCAAAAAAATATGCAAAAAAATATGATTCGGGAATGTTATTCCTGCTTCAGATATCTTTTTGAAATTTTCTCACCTGGACGCAAAAGACAGAAGACGGCGGCAGAACATGTTCAGTTGAATAGTACCACGTTGATGAATCTGTAAAATTTAAAAGACTACAAGTTCAGGCACTGTACATGAGAATAACAAAGATCGCTTACAACGAGTTCAATATAAAATGAGCTCATGGTTAGTACATGTCAGTTTTTAAACCTGACACGTCTGTGGTTGTTTTTTTTTACGACAATATCAAAAGACAAGCTGGAGCCCGCGAACAAAACCTATCATCCTTACCAAAGACTTCAATGACCGTCAGCATTCGACAACATCCGTGGTCGAGTCTTCTTTTCTCTTTCTTAGTTAATGTAATGTGGACGGTCTATTTTTTCATCAGATTTGACTACTCGGTACCAACGACAACAAGAGATGCGATCAGACTAAACCGAATTCTAAGCCCGAGTTGCAAGAAAGAAGGGAGTTACGAAAAACAGAGGCCGTCACGTCAAAATACAATGCAACGAGGATTCCGTTATTCTCACTAGTCAGAGCAAACGGCCAGACTATCAGGATTTTTACCTCAAAAAACGACGATAAGGCTACTGTAAATAGAGAAGAAATTAGAGATGAGGTGAACGTTAAAACGACTCTATTCCACAGTTTAGAATTTACAGACCTATGGAAAAATAAGCGAAAATCTGGAGCCAATCTTATTGTGTTAGACTAGAAATCATGAATGGGGAGGACGCCGCGCCGCGGTAGAAAAGGGCGTACTCCGCAAAATGCACACTCTCTCGTTTTCCGCGACTACGCTGCGTCTTTTCAGGCGAAAAATATCGTACGAAATATCGAGATCGTCGACGGCCGCTTTATGCATATGTACATGAAACTGATCGATTATGCTCTGAATAATGCATATCACAATGCGAACAGGAATAGCTTTCGGGTGGGATGGGGGTACGTGGTCAGTACTTCCTATGGTCTTCGGCAACGTAAACTGCCCTTTCCTCTCCCCTTACTTCAAAAAACTAACGTTTTGACATGAATTGAAGGAAAATGGGGAAAACAAATTGAAGAAAACATTTGATGGGAATTCATACCGGCATTTTTCCTTTTGGTTGGTACAGATCGTTCAGACAACCGTAGCTGGACCAGGGCGTAGACTCGCGTTGAACCGCACATTTCCAGTTGGAGCAAGTGTTTCGCCGACTCGTCGCAGTCACTTCGTTTTGCAAGAAGCTGCAAAAACAAATATTTTACATCACAACACTAGAACACAGTTTATAAATCAAGTTGTCATTCAGACTGCTCAGAATTAACAGAATTTTAAAAAATGTTTCAAAATTGCGGTTTTTTAATACTTTTTAAAGCACTGTTTCTGCACTTTTGTATTGACATAAAAAAAACTTGCTCGCCTCATTCGGGTACATCAATGACATTTTGTGCCCCAAAATAATCTACGAAAAAGTTTCCATAACCTTAATCGTCATACGGTCACCGTAATAATTACGGTGCATACTACAGTGCGATTCATAAGTATAGGGCCACCCCTAAAATTGAATATATCGTCTTTCCCAAACAAAATACCACTCCAAAACCTTGAAAATCGAAATCAGCATCACAAATAACCCACGGGAAACAATTTTGAGAGCAGTGTATAGGATAGTTGGGGAATGGTGCTGAAATATCTGAAAATGTTGCAACTGCAAGCGTTTCATAAGTATGGGGCCACCCCTGAAAACACTCTGGAAGCCTCTTAAACTGATAAACATGATCCTTAATGGAGTTTTTGCACATCCCCGGCTCCACTCCCGAGCTCCACACAGAACATGAGGCTAAACCTGGGAGAGTGGCCCTAGGTGGCGTCGGGGTCATTGCACATGCTTTCAAAAAGGCTTTTTGGACATCCTAAAGGTACAAAACACTCCATTCAAGATGTTTATCAGTTTAAGAGGCTTCCAGAGTGTTTTCAGGGGTGGCAATATTCTTATGAAACGCTTGCAGTTGCAACATTTTCAGATATTTCCGCACCATTCCCCAACTATCCTATACACTGCTCTCAAAATTGTTTCCCGGGGGTTATTTGTGATGCTGATTTCGATTTTTAAGGTCCTGTCTTTGTATTTTGTTCGGGAATGCCAATATATTCAATTTTAGGGGTGGGCCTATACTTATGAAACGCACTGTATTTACCTTTGTCTAGAGCTCGCTCTATCATCTGACTGCTCTGCCAGATCAGAGGTTAGACGTCGGTTTCAATCTGCCTCATTTTTACCGATTCCTTTTCCTTTCCTTTCTCTTGCGACTCCAACACAGTGACAAATAAGGCAACAGGGCACATACACACAAACACTAGCAGTGGATGGATGACCCGACCGTTGCAGGAAGAAATCTGTTGTATCCCATCACGATGAGCGTTTTGTGAGTGGTGAGTCTGTCACGCAACCGGCCTTTCTTTCTCTGTGCCCTCCTCACTGCACCACACATCAATGCGGTCTCTCACCGTGTCGAGTGACCTACTTTCTGTCCGGTGCGCGCAATTGGTGTGTGCAACTCCGCCCCTCGTCCAGGCTCGGTATAAAACGTCTCCTCCACCAGACACGACCCTCATTTGTGGCAGATTGGTCCGTTCGAGTGCTCTCTTCTCTCCATCTCCATCCATTACTGCTATATTCTGGAGACCTGTTGGCACATTGCACCGCCAGCTATGACACTGCAGAAAGTCATCGATCGACTTTAGATCGATGTCTATCCAGTTTCATAACTGGCGCATTGCAGTAAGTTCGGATCAAGAGAGCTTGCCAGGCATGACACTGTTTTTTAAATCGTTAGATATCACAAACAACGATTTAAAATCAGTGCCATCGCCCGGCTCGCTTCTCGCATTTTCCAAAACGATCCAAAACCGAACAGACCCTCTCTTTATTCTGCTATTACTTTAATATATATTCCTATTCCATCTACGGTGGGCCGTGCCGGCTATGACACGGAAGCGTAGCTGAACCTTCAGAATGGATTCAGCCTCGTTTCGTGACATTGCCGGCATGAGCCCCGGACATTTACAGAAGACTGTTTTCGAATAGACACTCAAAGGTTAAGCAGTTGACTTGCCGGTTATGACACGAAGGCATATGGGACTATCCTCAACACAATAGCTCCCATGTACTTGTGTGGCATAGCTGGCGTTTCTCCTGAATTTATTCCCGATTTGGGCAGTCGGTGCATTGTATTACCTTTACCGGTCCGTTACTCCAATTATTTCTCTCTTGGCCTAGTTGGCAGTTGGTAGACTAACGGTACGGGAAATCTCATTTGGGTTCATGAGCAGATGGAGAAAAAGGCGAGTTTGGCAGGTGAGATGTGCACTCTCGCTTGATAGATCATCTGTGCGCAGACGAGTCTCTCAATCTCTTTATCTCATCTCATCTCATCTGTTCCACTCATTCGTCTACAACATGATCGTCTTATAATGATTACATGAATCATCTATGTTTGTTGTATTTGTTTCAAGTTGAACGTCAAAGTAAAAATTTTCAAATTTCAACCTTATTGTATTCATTCAGTTTTCCCTCAATTAGACCGACTGGGTATGAACACTAGAGTCACTAATGTTGCTGAAATAAAAATTTTCATCAGCTTACCCTGCTCGGGTAGCCCAGAAACAAATTGTCTGTCCGAGCGGACGGTTCTGGAGTTGGGACGTCTTCCAAGTGCACAGGTGCTTCCTGAACTGGCGAACGAGTTGAAGTCGCAGAACGAAGATGAAAGGGAAAGCAGGCAAACTTATCAGTTTGGCGGTATCTGAGATGTCTCTCGGAGAGTAAGCATGTAGTTTTAACGCTGACTGACCGCATTTCGATTTATTCCCTTCGGATTCTGATTGTTCTTTCCAATCTGTGCATTGTTGAGTCAGTGGTTCTTGAGCGGCTCTCCGATAGACTTATCGGACAACCTCGACCACGGATCAGTCAAGCTGCCGAACATTGAAGAGGCAAACGGCTCAATCGCTCGAGCAGAGAGTTGCTCCTTCTCATTGTTTGTCGCAACGGCAGCCTCCACGTAAACCTGCAAAAATGATTGTTTCTATCAATCTGCACAGTGCGTTTCCGAAATATTAGTGTTCAGAGTTTGCCATTGGAAGGCGGGCAATAAAATACCACCAGTGGACAGTTTTCAGGTTTTTTTAAAGACCCATTAAAGATATCCAATAGTGGCAGAACTGGCAGAAGGCAAGACCAGGCAAAGGTTTTAGATGTCAGGGCTTCTCAATCAACCCTATTTTAATAATAAAAAAAAAAACAAAAAAGTAATGCAGACATGTGTTAAATTATTAAATTTAGGTCTAGCAGGATCAAACTGGGTTTGGTAAATAATCATTGAATTATCCGTGTAATCACAGAAAAGGTTTGGCTCGTACGGCCAAGTAAATAGTCCATCTTATGTCTGATAATCCTGTTTCCATCGGGTTAGTTGAGAAGCCCTGACACCTTGAAGAGAAATTAATAGAAATTATTTCAAAGGAAAACAACTAAGCGTTGGCCCCTAGAACGAGACTGATGGCGGCACTGACCGCCTAACCCTAGCACTGCAGTTTTATTCAACCCAAAACAACGTATGCTCACCATATTCAAGTGCTCGCTCATCGTCCCCACTCGGAAATCATCAAGGTTGAAATAGCAGACAGCTCCGCTCGAAGCGCTTTGTAGCAGAAAAATGCCACGAGTTTTCATTTTGACAACTCCTTGCTCGATGCGCGACTCATCAACCTTCTTTTTCAGAGATTCGAGTGTGAATGTGAAAATTGGGAGAACCACGGGGAGATGACGTTTGGCGTTTTCTGTGAGGAAGAGGCGATCTTGCGAGTAGTCTTAAAACAGTTGGTCAGAACTACATAAAATAGTGCTGGAGGAACTTACCATATCCGAATGCTTGAGGGCAGAACTAACTGACAGAACTAACAGTTTTCAGATCGAGAAGATGCTCCTTCATTAGGTGGATGGGAGTTGTCGCTTCGAAGGTGTCTTCGAAACGTCTCAATCTGGAATACATACAGCTAATAGAGAAAAACTGTGCGATTTTGTGAAACTAACGTATTGGGCATGAGATCATCAGAAACAGTGTTCCCGGCTTGAAGATTACAGATCAAAAATTGAGCAAAAAGACGGTATCCGCGACACGATTTGTAGAATGTTTCGGTAAGTGATTCGTACAGGAAAGCGGGCGCCATTGACAAACGGAATGAATGAGCGTCCTCGGCACAGCCAAATCGAATTGAAGACGACGACTAGATAACAAAGCAAAAGTTGAAAAAAATTATTCGGAAATCTCACCTCTCCGTCGCCAGTAGCCGCAATCAAATTCTCGTAGAGGCCCTGGGCTGTCTGGGCGCCATTTTTGCTCAAATTTTCTTCCACACATGTCTTCCAACTTCTTCTCGGCCTCTGTTGTAACCAATCCCTCAATGCAACAGAGTTTCTTGATCGAGTCTTCGTAGTTGGGAGCAGAAGTCACATCAGACATCTTCCACTTCGACTCGACGGACTCAAAAGACGACGATTGCCTTATTATTACGCTCAAAATTTTCGAAAATTATTTTTATAATAACATGAAACATAAAATAGAGCGCAAGAGAGAAAAGAAAGATGTAAACGGGTCAGATAGAAACTGGAAGAAATTCAGAAAAGATATATAAACATCTAACAGAAATTGTTATGCAAAAATTAGAGCTGGGTAGGAGAAAGAAAATAAATCAAAAAACATGGCCTGGAATAAGGAAAATTTTGAAAGAAGAGAGGAAGGAGGAATACGAATATGCTCAGAAGGTGTGCGTACACTTTAATTTTATTGATTGATTTTTAGAGATGCTCTGAAATTTGTTTCACTAGTCAGCAGGCTTGTGCGGGAACGGTTAGTCGGAAATGTCGGTAACGGTTTTCGTTTTTGAAAAAAATGGTGTTGTGTGTGTGCAACACGTTGGCCCTCGGCCGTCACCCATCACGAGAGGTGACGCAGACAGTGCGAGGGACGGACAAACCTCTCCTTTCTGTCTGTGCAAAGTATGTCTTACTTTGAAGAGCTATAAAAACAGGCAGCGGCTCGGCAAGCGAACTTTCAAATTCGCATATTTTATTTGAGAGCTCGCAGACCATCGGGGGAGAAATTTGGAAATTAAGTATTATACGTCTGTCTAATCAAGCATTTTAGGTATAAGTTAGAACGGAGAAAACGCGGAACGAGGAGTTGGAGCGAAACAGGACGATGCTCAAGAACTTTGACGACGAGAACCTGGAGAGAATTGAGATAATATTCAAATACAGAGGGGCCTCGATTTCGACGTATAGATCACAAATGTATCGGCGAAGGCGGCAACGAAAAAAACGTGGAAGGACTTCTCAAGCCGACTGAGAGCTGCTGCTTCTCTGATGGAGCGTCTTTGTAAGCGAAAGAGAAACTGGACACCGAGGCGGACTTATCAAACGTAGGTCTATCGGACATGACGTCGCTCTTCCTTTTCTCCCAAGTAGCAGGTATTCTGATAAGCTGTCCAATTCTATGGTATTTTGAGAGAGGGACTGTGAGACGTTTAATTCGGATAGATTCCGGCTGTATTTTATCAGAACCAGAGATTATGAAACTATCAGCAAGCGCAACGATTTTCGAACACTTGCGAGCATCTTCCAAAACGAAACGGGACTGTCTCGATGCAAGAAATATGAGAGTCTTCTTGTAATTCTTGCGAGTTTTTTCGTTATGACCGACCCGAGTAGTATGAAGCGTGCCGTCTGATTGATCGCAACTACCACTGCGTTTGAGTCATCACTTTCGTCATTCCTACCGTCGATACTTGTGTCACTATTCTCTACTTTCTCTTTTTTTCTTGATTTTCTCTGCTGCTCCAGCATTCCTGCGACATTCAATTCAAAAATTATAAAACATAAACACTTCTGCTGTAGGACCGCGTACTATACCGAGTTTTTGTTATTCCCTACCCTCTCTGGTAAAAAAGAGAGCACAGAGAACAGCTATTTGTTTTAATTTGATTGTTTAGGGTTCACATTGTCCACAATGACATTACTCTCATAAACTTTTATTTAGGAATTACATGTGTGAAAATTTCGGCAGATCGCTCTGTTTGGAGAGAGAGGGAGAGAGAACGCCTGTACTTTCCATTTCCTTTTTATTAGGGCAGCCGAGGTAATGGCTCCTTTCTCTTCATACCAATCTTTCTTTTTGGCCAGAAATTATCACCGGAGAATGGTGTGTGCTCCCGGTACGGAATATGTGGGATCTCTCGGGAAATCCCGGAAAGCCGAAATATTCCATTCCCGGTAATCTCTCAGAGAACACCTTTTTTCTCGAATCCACACTGAATCCTGTTTTCTTTTGCTTCGATTAAAAATTGTTTATGTTTTGAACTTTTGAAAAGAGCAAATTTTGCGCAATTCTCGTTGTTCCCACCCTGGTTGTCACTGGACGATCCCGCGAATTTCGGAAATTTCCTGGGATTCTCGGCCCGGGAGCGCTTTTTTTATGTTTTGCGCAAAAATGTACGCTCGCTTCTGAATTTTGTGGTTTGCTACAACCAAGAGAGACGACTGTCCGTCCAAGTCCCGATGACAGAAAGACAAGGAGCTGCAGAAAAAATCTCCTCGGCACCAGATGTTCTTCAACTTTCCTATCTAGTGTCTACCACGCTTTTCCGTCACTAATCATAACTTTCTGGAGGCCCTAAAACGAAATAACACATATTCGAGGGAGAAAGAGACAGACGGACAGACGGCGGAAAGAGGGGTGCGCGTACTGTCGTTCGTGCTCATGTATCATTTACCGCCGACTCCGGTCGGCTTCCTCTTCTACCCCGCTCACGAGTTGTTTTTTCTCCTTCTTTTCATTCATCCTTTCTTTTTCTTACCAACTCCTAGCTGACTATCAGATACCATGATTGCGTAATTATCAGAATTGTCTTCAAGTAGAGTGCGTCATAATTAAACTACAAAAAACCGCTTTTTTTCTTGACTTGAGACGGCTTTTTCACAAATTTCTATTATTAACCTATCTCTTGGCAAACCCGCGCTCTCCTGAGCTTTACATAATAAGAATGTAATCAAGATCTGTCTAGTCTGTCTAATCATGACCATTTATTTGAATCGTTTCGCAAAACAAAAAATACAAGCAATTTTTCTTTTGACAAAATTCAGACGGCTGTCAGAATGAACGCTCGTGAAGAAGAGAACGGAGTTCCTCCAGTTCTGGCTGGCGTGCCATGGGATATTATAGACGATACCACTCTGGAATCGGTGTCGGACAATGAAATGCTGACACAGACGGCGGTGTTCCTGCTCGTGCATGGCTTCGTAAGCACCAGATAGAATCGTTGAGTTGATTATTTGAAATTTGTAGGTTAAAGAAGCCAACAGCAGAGTGGCGGCGCCGAAAATTGGACTACTCTTACCAGATGTCGCCATCGAGTTCTCGTCGAATAAAATTGGTGTCACGGAAGCGAAAAAACGAGTTTTTTTCCAACATCAAGAAAATACAACGCTCATCGTCCCGTGTCTCGAGCACGGCCATTTTTTTGTACTTATCATCGAAAAAGAACAGAATCGAATTCTTGTTGCAAATTCGGTTCGATCCCTATGCTATGGCAACAACAAAATAAGGGAATTCGGAGCTTTGATGGATTTGGGCAGACCGTCAATCAAATTTCTGAAGGTCGCCCAACAAAATGATAGGACCTCGTGCGGAGTATTTTCTGCGCACTTCGCGCAGTTGTACTGTGAGGGGCGTCTCACAGAGCACTGCAATGCTGTTAAGAACTGTAATCAGCCCAACGTCATTGATACAAAAATTCTTATTTTGTCATTTCGTGAAAATCTCAGCAGAGTAAGTTTCAAACACAGACTCAAGTTCAAAAAACGTATTCCAGATGAAGGCGGAACAGCAAATATACAACGAAGAGGACTTTGCGCAGTCGTTTGCACAGATCCACGATCCGGCTGACATTGTTTTGGTTGATTGCGCTTCGAGGGAACCATCTCCAATCTCGCAACCAGGAACTCTTCCGCCGTCACCTGCCGCGAGCCCCGTTCGACGCGAACAGCCTCTTCGGGCTGCTGCAAAACGGACCGCCGTGAGTATATTCTTCAATTTATTGAAAAGTGTTCAGTTTTCTTTTACAATCTACTCTTACGTATTACAAACTTGTTTTTCAGGCACCGATTCGCAGGACATGCACGAAAGAGAAAAACCCGAGAGTCAGTTCTTTTTTCACAAATTTTTATTCCAGTAAAAACGTAGTTTCAGGGCGACGTGAAACGCCAAAAGTTCCTTGAAAGAAAATTTGCCGAAGGACATTATTATTTGAACAGTTCAGAAATACTCGATGAAGAGCATAATTATGATCCCATTTGCGTTAGTTTTCAAACTTTATGTAAACGGAAGAAAGATATGCTTCCAGATAAGTAGTAACCTTGCCCGGCTCCGAAAAAAAACCAATAAGCAACGATTGGAAAATGGCGAGGAACCCATTCCGCCCTCTGAAAGAAGCCAGAGAGTATGGCCGGAATGGAAACGGGCCATACTAAGAAGCGCTTACAAGAAGAAGCAAACGTGGTCCAAATATGACATAAAGAAATTGGCAGTTTCTACAAAATTGACAGTCAAACAGGTAATAATCAATCTCTTGCATTCGCTGATTTTGCACTTTCAGGTGCGGGGATTCCCACAGGGACAGGCCAAACGGGATTCTGGAAAGCAAAAAGAGTATTTGCGCAGATATCGTGACAAGAAAAGACAAAAAGAAGGCAAAACAGTACGAGTGGTTATGGCTCTGCAGGGCTGGGCAAACTTCGGCCCTGGCTTTTCAAAGGCTTTTTTAGGCCTTAACTTTTGATCCATTTCTTGTAATAATCCGATCGGATCCAAACTTTGCAGGCTTCTTGGAATTGGATTGAAGTATATTGGGTCCGAGTTTCAGACCGGTCCGATTATCCAGTGTATACTGATTTGAGGCTGAAAAGGCCGGGTTTTTGCGAAACTTGCGGCCTTTTCGGCCTCACTTCCACATGCATGTCTCAGGACCAGATGATCCCAACGGTCTGAAACTGGGACCCAAGTCCAAGAAGTCTGCAAAGTCTGGACTCGATCAGATCATTGCAAGTGGGTCAAGGCAGGCCTTCAACAAGCCTGGGCCGGCCTTTTGCCCAGCCCTGTTGCTCTGAGAACTTGCCATAATTGAAACGAAAAACTTACAGAAGAAGTTCTTGATGGAGGATCAAAAGGGATTCCCGATTGTGCGCGCAGCTTTCATTCCGCGCAAGCGCTACACGAAAAAAGATTTGAAGGCGCTGGCGGAAGAAAGCAAAATTTGCTGGAACCGCGTAAGTATTGCGAAAAAGAAAACGAAAATTGACTTTAAAATTACAGATCAGAACTTGGATACATAACAATAACAGGGATAGAAGACAAAAGAAAGAATAGAAGTGAAATTATCAAAGGTATTCACTTTTTCAACAGATACATTTTCTTCCATAGTTCAACATTTCACTCTCGCATGTTTATTAACTTTCAATAATCAGATTGTCACTATATTTGTCCTTCTGAATTGTAATTATATATTGTTTTCCTATTGTCATTACATTGCCTGTCAGATTGTCATAAATTTTAGTTCATCATGTTTTCAATTTTTATGATAGAAGAGTAAAATAAACATTTTTTTGAAATGTTGTTAAACTATCACTCTGAACTTGCAGTAGTCGGATGGTAGAGCTCAGTGTTGAGCGGAATTCCGTCTTCCGTCTTCCGTCTTCCGTCTTTCGTTGTTTTTCTTGTTCCGTCTTCCGTCTTCCGTAAAAAAATTTTTCTTCCGTCTGCCGTCTTCCGGATTTCAAAATTCCATTTCCGTTCAACTCTACTAGAGCTGCAAGAAGCTTCGGAGAAGCATTGTCTGTCCTCACGAAAGGATTTTCAGAAACTTTGGAAAACTCGACGTTTTTGAACAACGGGAAGATGAGACGGAAGTCATCTGGTGTATTTAGAAAAATACAGGAGTTGGCTTATCTTTCTAGATATTAGATACATTGCATTATAACACTCAAAACTAATTTTCAGAATATTGTTGAGCTTTGTTGCAACGTTGACGTTTCAGATACGCCCATTTGTTGTCAGTTTGCCCGATGAAACTTTTAATGACATAAGAAACTCATTGGTTATTGCCACGTCATAAATAACAGATCCTAGTCCTCAACCAAACACGATCCCAAGTAGACTATTCAAAATTCCCTTATGTCCTTGACAATATTCCATTCGGTGAAAAGAGAGTGAGAGCGATGACGAAGCAAATTCGAAAAATGTATTGATCGGATCCTCCATCATTTGTTTGTTTTCATGAATCAGCTTTTATTTAAAGTCACGATGGCCTCTCAACATTAGACAGCACGAAGGTGGAAAGTCGTCAAAAACGCCGCAACTCCAACTTCTGACTACAACATCGAATTTCCCCATTATTCTGCAAGATTTTTATAACAAATGGAAGCCTGTAAGTTGTAGATTCTGAAAAAACACTTTTCAACCGATTCCTGAAAATATACAGTGGAGATTCAGCGTGGTGAAGAATGGTGCGCGCTCTGTCGCAAGTAGGGGGAGGTGGGAGATAAAAAGTGAAAGTGAAAGCAGGGGCGCTAGAGCATTGCCCGGTTATTTTTCGCTTTTGTTCTGCTTGTAGTAAGGTTTATAAAAGATTCATTTTAGATGGGCAACTCGAAGAAAACCGAACACGACACTCCCGAGGACGTACTCGAACAGGTATGGGCAATAATCAGTACTGGGTGGGAGTAGGGAAAGTTAGACCTCGTCAGAGGGAAAATTAGACCACGTCAGAGGGAAAATTAGGCCACGTCCGAGGGAAAGTTAGGCCATGACCGGGAGAAAGTCATTTGACTGCGCCCAAGCGGAAGTCTCTTTTATTTTGCATGTCTCCTCGTCGGTTTTTTCCCCTGCTCTATCTCGTTCTTTCAGATGAATTCCAACTTGGTTCTTCTTTCCCATCACTTAAACAACCTTCCATTCCAGCCGTCCATTTGTCTGTTCAACGACAGACCAGCACATTTTCATGAAAAGCACAGTAGAGGTCAGTGCAAAAAAAAGAAAATCAGTAAAGGATTCCAAAGTACTATCGTGGCTTTTCATATGCGCTCTGTTGAGAAAATTGTGATCTCAGGGGCCTTTGAAATTCCATGATAGTACTGTATATTCATGTGGAGGGTGATAAATTGAATGCTTTTCAGAAACAACACTTAAGACATCAATCTTTTGGTTTCAGGCTTGATTGAAGAAATGGGAATGACGACGCGATGGAAACGATGCGCTGGCAACAACACGAGAGCATCCGTAAGGCAACTCCTACATATACACAAGTAGTATATTCGCAAATATTTCAGTGCTCAATATGCTCGGATTTTTGCTTCAGTGCACCTATAGCTGCCCGAAACTCGACGATAAGGGAATGCGATGGGAGTACAGCTGCTACGAGATCGGCCACAGTGAGCGCATTCTTCTCTACTGGAAGAGTGCCACAAATTGTGTGGTCAACAATTTTTCAATAAAAAATTATCGTCATTATCTGATTTTGTTAACAACAAGGAAGATCTGCTGAAACAACTTGCCACGAGTTACTCCCCATCTTTTTGGAACTTCTTTCACTGTATCTTCTCATTGTTGTAATTTCACGTAGAACCTGTTGCGTGATACCATCTACAATACTTCCGAATCTGTCAGACGCTGCCGAAACTTGCCAAGGTCATGAATTTGCTATTGTTTCTTCATTTTCCATTTTCATCTATCTTCTTCTCTATTTCAAAGAAGAGAAAACGGAGAGAAGAAAGAATTACTTGAAGAAAATGAATGGGAAGAAAAAATGAAGGTCAAAAATTATCTTATGTGATGTTTATGTGATGAAAGTGGTAGCAAAATGTTAGTGTTGGCAATTTCAACTCATAATAACAGGAAACTACAGTGAACAAAGTTTCAAAATTTTTTGCAGGAGTAAAAAGCAGTTTTATTTAATTGTTTTGATGATATGGTGCGTCAAATGTCAATAACCAATTCCCCCATTTGTTCTTCCATAACCATCTTCTATCACAGTTCACGGTTATTTTCTCTTCTCTTCTCCATTTTTCCATCATTTTTCTTTTCTCTCTTCTTCAATTTCAAACGTCGCGTCAAAGATGGAAGAAGAAAAGATAAAATGCGAGTGTTTGCATTCTTTTCTTCTTCTTTTTCTCCTTTGCAAAAGGTGAAGGACGAAGGACGAATGCAATGTAGAAGGTGAAAAATAAAGGGAAGAAAGGAAGGAGAAAAGAGAGACACTGCCATTTCGTCGCCACTATCAAGCGGGAGAACAGTTTCTCCTTTTTTCTCAACGTTACTTCAATTCTGGAGCACAAACAATGAAGCTAGCAGTTCTGTGCCTCGACTGTGAACAGTCAGAAGTGTACAATAATGTTGAAGATTTGAGAGCTCACATTGCCAGCGAACATCTCAACATGTGTCCCTATGAGTGAGTTTTTTTTTTGCAGGAAGATGGGTTGGAGGTTAAAGTGCCGCAAGACATAGTCATTGAAAACAACATATTCGTCGAGCTAGACATGCATAGTCAGCGTTTTTGCGTTTAAAAACAGGCGCCTGGGGTAGGTAACGGTCACCGGTCAATGCGATTTTTTCAAAAATTAAATGAACCGGTGACCGTTATGAGTCCATGCCAATTTTAAAAAAATGGGCTGGAGGGACGGTGGTCTCTATAGAAATTCAAGGTAGGACGGGGCACTCTCTAACCTTCACGCATTAGAACACACCTAGGCACGTTTTCCGGCGACGCGAGCGAGACCGCCCGCGCAATCCTGCTTCTTAGTGTCAGCCGTCTCCATGCCAATCGGCGCTCAATCCTATTTCGAATGTTAGAGATCCGACAGAAATAAAATCAAACAGTGTATTTAAAGTAAAATTTGACCGCTCTCGACTCTCTATCAAGACACATTGAGTCTTGCCTAAGAGGTGGCTTCGGGGCTAGTGTACCTACATTATTTAAAAATTTCAGGTGCGAAAAGTGTAAGTATGCCAAGTTCCCAACAGAATTCGCCCTTGTGACTCATTGTCAGAACGTTCACGGTCTGCAGGAAATGATGGTTAGTTATTGAAAGTCTGGTTTTCAGTGATTCTGCTCATTTTTAGATCAGGTACCGATATACGCCTGAGCTGAACGCAAAAATGAACGAGCTGGCGAACAAGCTCACGCGTTGTTTGGTTTCTGATCATTCTGTAGCTGAAGAAGAGAAGCAAAGCGAGTTGGTGTCAAGTACAATGGCAAAGATGGATTGTTCCGATTCTTCCGCTTTGTTCCTGGAATCCTCGTCTTTGGAGTCATTTCAAGCATTTTTGGGTAACAATAAAAACCTAAACACTTATTCAACCAATCTTTTCAGATAACGCTCTGTCCCAACCAGCAAAGGGTAGAAAAATTAAGAAATGCAAGAAGATTCAATGCGCACTGTGCAGTGAAGTGGTATCCAAGGAAAGATCGAGTATGGTCTATCATGCGAACACCCGACATGGAAAGTACGAGCTCTATGAATGCGGATACTGCCAACGTAAATGGCAAACGATTGCCAAATCGGATGTTGTCAAGCACATCAAAAGTCATCATGAGCAGCTCAATGAAAATGTGAACATGGATATGGTGATCGATAATCGCAAGACTCTGGGTACGAAACTGAAAGAGATAACTGAACAGTGCTTTCCGGGGAGGACAAGAAGGTGATCAGGAACCCCAAAGCGGTATTTGTACCAAGCATAAACCGTTTTAAGGAATTTGCATTTGTTTTTTTGTTTTTAAAATTGAATGGTCGCGAAATAAACACAATCACTCATTATGATTCGATTATTCTTTACTTCATTTCGCTGCATATTTCTCAGTTTCTCCGCATCTTTTGTGAGTTGAAATTGAAAGAAAATGGTATCAACTGGAGTGGAACGCAACATGAAGATCCAACTTGCTACATCACTTGTCACGGATGCTGTCAAAATCTTCTTCGAAAATGATTATCATTTTGGGGCCGTGAATGCCGTTTTGCTCGTGCTTTTAATTCTCAAATGAAATGTTCACGGTATGCATGACAATTTATGGTAACATAGCATAAGGTACTTCTTTATCCCAAGTTTTTAAAATTTGATTGCTTCCTAGTGCCGCGCCGCCCGAAAAATTAATATGATCTGATGATTCTCACAATAATCAGTTTCTGTGTGGATGATCTAATTGGAAATTGGAATCCTTCATTTTCATCACGTGCAGAAAAAACTCGTGATAATGATTACATGTGTTTACATACTAATGAGCCTTTCTTTTTCTCCCGCATCTCTTTCTGCTGATCTCTCACTTCCACTGCTTTTCGCTGGTTGCCCTGGCGACCAAACGAGTATATAAAAGCAAATCAGCGGATTTCTCCTCATTCTTTCTTTTTCGACTCTCATTGAGGGTCACCTGCACTTCTGCGGGTCTTCCGCAGAGTGTATATCTTTTTTATTAACTTATTTGACTTGTATCGGGTACATTTATTATTGAAGAAAACGTTTCCAAGTAAGTCAGTAAAATTTGGGAAAAACTTGAACTCAGAAGAGAGAGAGAGAGAGAGAGAGAGAGAGAGAAATGGACTCATTAGCTTAGGCACGTAAAAAAGATGAGTAAAGGGTCGATTTATTTTGAATTCAATTTACAGAAATGGAAAAAAACGTTCATGCGATGACTTCATTCTGCCGACTCAACCAGTTCATCAATGATGACGACTGTCGGAACTTTCGGATGATCTTTCTGATGCAAACGATCAGCCAGACCGTCAGTATTCGACCGATCTGAACTAGACGGCTAATTGTGGTTTTTCAGAACTACGACGTCACTACCACTAGTTGAAAAGGAGTCTGCTCTGATATACACTCTCGTGCAGGTTCATCGATCACACCGTGGATGATTTTGAAAAGATCGTCAACATCAAATTAAAAAATTGAAATTGAACTCGGAAATGTGAATAAATAAATAAAATAATTGCAAATCAGTAGAGATGAGGAGGTGTGATAACAAGTTTTCGAGTCATAGCTCATACCAAAGCCAACTGATCGGCTTGGCCGAAGGAGACTTCAGACATTCAGATTTCAAACTTCCGGACATGTGGAGAGCGGGACACTTTGCAACTCAAACTCGGCAGTTCAAGTCTAGGCCTTATTTTTGAGGAACTTTCAGAATCGAAACATGCATTTTAACGGTGTTTTAGCATTTTTTTTTCCGAAAACTTTACAGCTGATCTGACGCGCAAAGTCAGGGTTCCTTGCATAATTTTTTGCAACATTTTGAGAAGCAATTGGCGGACAGTTGGACCCGCTCTGATGTTTAAGGATTCAGAACTCGCTCTGGTTAATTTTTTGTTCAGCCGCTTTGTTTTATGATCTTTTCTCGAAATTGTCCACAGAAATGGTATACATACATATTGCTGGGTAGCCTATGTAGATTCTAGTTAATTAGAAACTGAAGAGTGTAGTGAGGACATAGCAGGGTAGAGAAAAGAAAAGGACAGCCAATGAAGCTTATTAGTTGAAATTTGACGAGGAGTTGCGAGAAAGACCTTTTCCTCCGTTGAAAACATTTTGTCAAGAACCTGAACAATTCTCATACTGATCAATAACTTAAAAAATTTTTTGATTGTTGCCAACTTTGTGCATACTTCTAGTTCCAAAAACGTTGAATAACATCCCCTCGACATTCCCAGAAAGTTGCTGCAGAAGAAGTCTGTCAATAGAGCTGGTAGATTTACGTGAGCTTGTGGCAAAGCATCATTGGCAGTATCCTGCATCGTTGTTACCAATCCGGCACTTTTTGCGGCGCACCGACCGGCCTGTTCTCTTCATCCCTCATTAGTGGCTTTCCTTGTCTTTTCTGCTCAGCACACATGCCCTTTCTCTCATTTCTCTCAATCTAATGTTTCATCTGCGCGCTGTTGCCATGACAATATTTCTAATTTGGCGAGATTCTGTTTTGTCCTCATCTCACTTGCCCTTCCACACTCACTCCAATCAATTGTTATCTTTTATTCAAGTCAAATGGCACCGGAAACAACCGTAAAACGTAAGAGAAAAGTCGCAAGTGATGGAACACTCGAGCCTAAGCAAGCAATCAAGCTCAAGAAAGCATTCAAACCTAAGAAAGCAATAAAGATAAAGAAAGTAATGGCAAACAAGAAAGCAGTGGATGCTGAGAAAGCAGTCAATGCTAAGCAAGCAGTCGAACCGAAGAAGGACGAGAATATGGTGATAACACTCGTAGCTCAGGTACGAAAAAGTCAAGGCTTAAAAAGTGATTATGATATTTGAAGGATGGTAGAAGGTTCGTTTATCGAGTAAGACGAGAGGCAATGATGAAAGCAGTCATGGATTCGTTTGCAGCTAGGACCGACTCCCTGGTCGCGACGCTTCGGTACGTCTTGCTAGGGCAGACATTTTCACTGAAAGTACACATGTATACATTTAGATTCGTCAATTTCGGTAAGAGACTCAATGCGAACGACATCATTGGGTCCGTTGTGGAAAACGACGACGATATCGAAGTGTTCACCGAACAGATGGGTGGCTGAATATGACTCGTTTATCGCTAAACCTTATTCTTGTCTCCCTCTCTGAAATTACTCGGTAAAAGCCCGCAACTTTCACGCAAAAGTAAGGGCTCACGCAACTTTTACGCAAAAGTAGGCAGCCTCGCAAAGTTTGCACAAACTTTAAAAACTCCGCAAAGTTTGCGCAAAAGAAGGGAATCGTTCGAAATTTTTTGCGTCATGCAGCATACCTGCAGTAATTTTTCATGTTTTTCTCACGTTATACGCGTAATTTTTACATTGTTCTCGCTTATTTTTGGTTTTTCGATTGTAAAGTGCATCTAAATAGAATGTCTGCTTTTTCTAGACGGGTTGACAAATGATTTTGTCTGTTCGGATTCGAAGTCGACTAATATCCGCGGCACCGACTCGATTTCGTGAACATTTCGTGAAAAGTAACAGAAGAGTATGACTGAAACATGGTTCCGTAGACCTGCATTCGTTCGAAAAAGGCAGATTCGTGAGTTTCAATGAAACCAAAATGAAAAATGGGAAAAAGGCAATGTTTCAGAAGAATTGAGGAATTTGAGGAAGAACTGGATGCTGAGGGCCAATCACCGAGCAATGACTACATTAATCACATATTCCAGAACGGAGAAGATTAAATACTTTTTCTCTCAATTGTTCCTCATAATCATAATGTTCTGTTATTGTTTTCTTGTATGAACTCTTGTTTTTTTTCGTTATTTACTACATAAACGAGAAGATGAATCAGGGCAGTATTCAGGGGCATACATTTAATACACAACTTTGGCGCTAACTCTACGCAAACTTTGCGCTAACCTCACGCAACTTTAGCGCTAACTTCACGCAAAGTTTGCGCACTTTAAGAATAGACTTTGCGTGAAGTTAGCGCTAAAGTTGCGTAAGGTTAGCGTAAAAGTTGCGGGCTTCTACCGAGTAACTCATCGATCCTTCTAACTCAATTTTGTAAAATAAAGTTGTACGCTAAACTTCTAAAATTCCTATTTTTCAGTTTCAATAAGTCTTGCACATTGGTCAAGCTGAATAGAATGTAAGCATCTTCTTTTTTCCATAGTTCCGCTTACAGTCCCTTCGCGAAGGTTGCCACAGCCATTGCGTCGCGCACTAAAAAAAAACTGGAAAAATTAGACAATATCACGGAATTACAGAATTAAAAAGATGAGGACAAGAAAAGAATAATTTATCTCAACCGAATCAACTTATTATATCAGTCAGTCAAGCGTGTATTCGAGGAATTCGTCGAACACTTTGTGGACTTCTTTGACGCAGTTGTTTTTCCATGTGTGCACCCACATCCAGTCGTTACCGAACTTCTGGAGAGTGAGGAGCATGTCATGATGTTGTCCCAGAATTTCAAAGTGCATTTCAAAATTGAGTCCCATGATGTTCGGTTCTGCCGTTGTGGCTCTGATCAGGGCGAACTGAAAAGAATACGGTTTTTTAAAATTATATTTTTCCTTACAGTGATTTTCGTGCCAGATGGGAGTGTTTCTCGGAAGGTGAGAAGCTTTGCATAGAACGCCGTCTTATCGTACGTTTTCTGACAGTCTTCGAAGAAAAAGTTGACGTCGAATTTTTCCCATTTGGAGTAGTTTCTTTTGTTGAAATCGCGAAGCATTCTGTAGGTAACTTTAACGGCCTCTCTACCCCATTTCTCGTCTTCTTTTGGCGACCGATAGAGCTGTTGGAGAGTTTCAATGTCCGGATCCATGGAGACGAGTGGGAAGGAGAAGAGGAAGAGGTATCCAGCCAAAAGAAAAGACGGATAATCAGCCATTCTCAGAGGCTCAAAAACCGACTAGATAGGGAAAATACGAAAGTTAATGGGGTTTTATAGCGGTGAGTTCAAACGAAAAACGGTTCTCAGAGAAATTCCTGAGAATCGCAAGTCGGTTCCCAGAACTGAATTCTCCATATTTGAGAACCATCTGCCTGCCTCACATTTATTTGGAAACTAGATAACTAACAGAATTTGAACATTTGTCAAAACTTTGCAAAAAATTCCAAACAGACAATCACAGATTACTGATTTTATAGCGGATCTGGAAAAACATTATAGGGGTTGATTGAGTGGACATCTCAAAACTCACGTTGAATGAGATCTCAGAAGGAGTGGATCATGAGCATTTTTGGAGACGGCGGCCGACGGAGGTACTTCGAACGGCCCAATTGAATGAAACCTAATGAAACACAAGTAGATAAGAAAATTGGCATCACAAAATTGGCATCACAGATCGAGGACGGAAGATCCGTCGTCCGGGATCGGCTTGTTCAGAGTGTAGTAGTTTTCAAGGGCGAGAAGAGCTTCTGGAATAAAACGTTGTAAATGATAGAGCTATTAGGAAATGTTCTTACTTCTGGTGTTAAAATGGAATCCGTATCGTTTGGAATTGACCACGTCGATGACGGCGAGATGCCTCAGAATCTTGCGCGCTTTCTTCTGCGGGAACTTCTCAACGGTCTTACCTTCTGTGTGGAAGTGGCACATTATGCTGTAGTAATTGTTACGTTTCGTCAACTCTTGCTCGTCAATCGCCGCGATCGTCGCAGCGTATTCCGTGGACTCGTCGTCTTCCGGAAGAAGGTCAGCCATTGTTTCAAGAAGCGATCCGAAGACTCCGCACGGAACAAGCGACAGATTCTTCGGACAGTCCTCGTCCAAGAACACCTGCACCACCTCCTTGACTCTTTCGATCTGTCGATTCTTCTTTTCCTGCCACTTCTTCTCCGCAGCATTCTTCTGCTCGTCCGTCGTCAGACCCTCTTTCAGCTCTCTCATAGCACGTCGTCTTGCCTCTTTCTCCTCGACCGTCAAATTTTTGGCCGCGTCTATTTATTCACTAATTGGGTCAATCATAGCAAAATATGCAACATTTACTGATTGTTTCTTCAACACATCAGCAAGGTTCATGGAAAGTTTTATGGGTTGGATTGCTGCTTCCGAATTGTTTCAAATGCCCTACTGATTCTCAGACACTGATCTCCCACCACTTACAACTTCAGGGACAGTGCGTCTGTCTCGTTATAAGGCAATCTTCTTTTAATCTGTTTCAGGCTGTTTGGATTCTTTACACCTCTCATTTTCTGCTTCATTTCTCTATTGCAATGGCTTTTGCAGAATTTCGGTTTCAGCAGAGACAATTAACTTTTTCCTTCTCGCTAACCGTTTCACGAGAATGCTCGTTTTGTTTCCATCCTCAAAGTGTCATTTTTTGTTAAGCATAAGGAAAATGGAGTCTTATCAATAGACAACGCTTTGAATGATAATTTTTGCCGCTCCTGTCGTCACTTCCCTGTGGTGATAAAGAAAATTGATTGAGAAGCCTCGAAACTCAAAGATCAACTTTAAAGAAAGGTCAAAATGTTGCCCAGGCGTTGTGTCCAACTTTTTTCTTCCTAATTTTGCAAATAAATCTACTGATTTTGGCAAAACATTTATGTACATACAGACAAATTGAACCAAAGAAATGTCTTAACTTATCATTTAGACCGTCGAGTAGAACAAGATGGTGATGATAATGGTAGCGACAAAAATGAAAATCCAATCATGCATGGAAGCTGTGATTGACTGAGTCTCTGTCGTCTCTTGTTTGCTGCGATGAAACTGCACTATCTGCAAATCACTTTCGATGAAGTGTATTTCAATTCAACATGTCTGCCTGTATACCTGTGGCATGATCGACATTTCTGGAGTGTATCCCAAGTCCTTTTGAGCTTTTGCGATTGAGTACGTGTTTGTGTACAGAGTGAGAAGGAAGTCGAATCGGCTAACTATTGGCTCGCATTGGGTGAAGTCGCAAATGTTCTCATAAACCCGAATGAATTGAAGAATGAAAGGCACAAAAGGGGCCAGATTACAAACGTGAATGTTTGGAGGGTTCCGTCCGAGGCCTCTAGCCAGATCATTGAAACAAGTGTACTGCCCTTCGATTTCCGTATCAACAATGAAATATGCCTGTAAATAAACTGTAGGATATTGCGTTATTAATTTTGCAAACTAACTTGACCATTGACGTAATTCTCAGCCAGAGCTCGATCAGCCAAGAAGAACGCTTTTGCACAGTTCAACACGCTCGTGTTTGGAGCTCTCGATTCATGTGCTTCCGCCGAGAAGACAAAACGATTTATTCCCCAGTTGGTGAGATTCTGAATGCATTACAAATCATATGAAGTTACCTATGAACTAACTGCAACACGTCCGATAACCGCAATGTCCTCCGCGCCGAAAATTCCACGAAAACGGAGGGCACTTGTGTGAAAATCATTGTCAGCGGCTGCTAAAACAAATGCCTCCGCTTTAGCTTTCGTGCTACTGTAGGCGTTTATGTACTGAAATTATCATTTCTGTCCTATTTACTCTGTTCATTAAGTTTATAATGGTAGTTTCTCATCACTTCAATTGTAAGTGTACTATGACCCTGTTCAATTAAAATGGGTGGTTTTACAGTAAGACCATGCAGATATTTTTCGTAAATTTTGACCTGTCACCACAAACACTGCATATTTTAATCAGAATCAACTACTTTGAAGCAACGTCAAAGAAAACCTAACTCACTTCATGTTCTTGTGGCATTTCCTCGTCTTCCGTTTTGTTCTCAAATGCATTTCCAACATAAACGGTAGCAATGCTGGAAGCATAGACAAACCGCTTCACTCCGTGTTCTTTACACTTCCGCAGCAGAAGTTTGGTTCCTCCAACATTGAAATCGTGGACTTTGATGTGATTGTTCTGAGACTCTTCTAGCCTATGTGTTCATTAAGTGAATCACCTACCATGCCGAGTCCTCGATGGCCAATACTCGCCAAGTGAAATACTGCAATGCATTCTGGAAGAACCGAATCCAGAACTTCTTCCGAAAGGAACGACTTCTAAAGTGAAGTTAATTTTATGCGCTTTCCACGTTCTGCTAAACCGAGACTCACTTGTACATGACGGACTTTGTGACGCGGGTACTGTGCGGTCTCGAACGATGACCATTCCGAGGGATCAACAATAATGATTTCACAATTGTTCCTTGGCAGCATGTACTTAATGATGTTGGCTCCGAGATAGCCAGCTCCTCCGATTATCGCATATGTTGGGAGTTTCTCCTCGAAAATGAATGGGGACGACATTTTCTGAAAAAAATAAAAACGATTTCGAAGGAGTCTTGAAAAACACAACCTTTGTTAACTTATCAGTTGTCTTTTATACTTGTAAAAGTTCCGGTTTCATTTTCTCTCTCTCTTGAGCCCGCCTCTTTCCATCATTGAAGCCATTGGTCGTAAGTAGGAAGCTCTGTGATTGACACTTGGACGTTATCACCTATTTCTTGGTAGTTTTGAAGCGAGAGAGCATATGAACGAGAGAGATAGTTGTATCAGTTCCCTGAAAAATGTTATAGTTAAAAATGAATTGGATCATGTGATCAGGTACAAAAAGCAAAACATTTCGATGCCTCTTGCTGGAATCGAACCAGCGATCTTCAGTTTACTTGCTCTGCCACTGAGCCAATGAGGCGCATAAGGAAAGCGACCAAAAGGGCAATAAAGTAAGCGCACTTCTTGGGTGGTGTTGGCCGGCTTTGAGCACACTCTTGTCTTTTTTTTCAAGGTTTCGCTCCGGTTTAGTCAGTTTTCAGATCCCAATTTCTTAGAAATGCACGCTGAAAACATTTTCTGACTCCAAGCACCCTCGCCGCTGTTGTCGGGTTTCAGAATGGCAGTATTTTAGTTACATACGCATCAAAATCCCATTGAAGAGTAGAGATGAACATTCGACTTTGACCCGGTGGCAGAAAAGCATGATTTTCCTGTGGCGTTTTATTTGCCTAATCAACTATACGATTCCCACTTTCACAGTTATTTCTTCACAAAAAAATTTATTGCCCTCAACTGATAATGACCTCATTCAGAGGAGTCGGCACTTCGCTTGTGTCTCTGAAAAGTATACATTTGATAAGACACAAAAACCGATCAGTAGTTGGTCGAAATGAAGAGGAAAATGTGACGACTGGTGGAGTTGATGAAGAAATGCTAATAACTGACACATCAAGCTCATGCATACTTTTTGTGGACACGTTCTGAGGGTCACGAAGTTGAGTGTAGTCTCCAGCATGGATTGTGTTTATTGTAATCGAAAATGCAGTTGATAGAAACGTGGCAATGCATAGTAGGTCTCAGGGCTTACTTTCTTTGATCTCGCAGCTAGCAGGTTAAGGCAAGTAGAACAGCGGCAGAATCGCAACAACGTTTCCTTCTGAAGAAGCTGAAGGAACCGCATTTTTGCAAGTGTCTGAAAAGGCATGTATTGTTTCAAAGAGCCCGTCATTTTTTTGGAATGATAATTTAGTTGTCGAAGTTTTCTGTAATTCAACTGGAACTTTGACGCTTAAAAATAAAAAATTGTGAACGACCCACTAATCCACAAACCAACAAACGTTTGTACTGTGATAAACTTTAAATTTGTTGTTTCTATACAGTAGAAATATTCTACATTACTCTGAAATAAAAATGGAGTGACCAATCAAAAAAAGCAAAAAAGATCCGTCGAGCCGGATTCGAACCAGCGACCTAAGGATAACCACTGACTCTACAGTCCTCCGCTCTACCAACTGAGCTATCGACGGCACAAAGGAAGAGGACGCCGACGGCAAATATAAAGAATCGAGAGGACAGCGAGATGCGGGAGTAAACGTGAGAAATAGACGGAAAAAGGACGGCGGCGGTCTTGTTGCAATGGGGAAAGGGAAGAGGGGAGTCGAGAGAGTGTGAAGGAAAAGGTTCCAGTGAGAGAGAAGTGAATGGCTGATGCAGCCAGTGTTGGGCTAATAGACTGCCGAGACCTGGATAATTGGCTGCGGTATGTTCCAATAATTGGAGAACTTAGTTATCACAGGATAAAAATAAAAATTTCTTAGGTAAGTAGACAAAGTTTGTACGCAGTATTGCAAATAGAATAATTTGTTTTAGTATGTATCAGTCAATTTTGTGCATGCCTACTTGCAACAGAAAAAACAGACTAGGAATCCGAAGCTCGAGTAAAGTGAGCAAAATTGTGCTCATCTTTATTAATCAGGGCTGGGCAATTGGCCGGCCCTTGACCTGGACTTTTGAACCACTTGCAATATTCCGATCGGACCCAAACTTTGCAGGCTTCTTGGACATGGGTTGAAGCATATTGGAACCAAGTTTCAGCCAGATCGGATTATTTGTGAATCATTGGCCGAAATTGGCCGGAAGCCCGGGCTTTTTGGAAAAAATCGGCCAATGATCCACATATCTCGGGACCCGACGATCCGATCGGGCTGAAACTTGGTCCCAATGACCCTCAATCCAAGTCCAACAATCCTGCAAAGTTTGGGTCTGATCGGAATATTGCAAGTGGGGGGGGGGAGGGGGCCCAGCCCTGTTATTCGTACATAATTTCAGTCTGACTAACCTATGAGCATAACTTCTGGCTAGCTGGCATGGAAACCACCTCAAATTCTCTTCGTTGGCACTTGGCTTATATGATGAAATACCCGGAAATCCAGAACAAAGTACGGAAACAGATTATGGTTAAGGTTAAAACCTCCCGACTTCCAACAATGGCTGATAAAGCTAACATACCGTTCACCAAGGATGTGATCCACAGACTTACAAAATAAGGGCCTTTATATACCTTTATATACCCCTGTGGGCGTGGCCATTCTAATCAGTGGGCGTGGCTACTGAGTGTCGTTAGTAGGCGTGGCCACTACACCTGAATTTTTCTTTTTCCCACGGTACCATGACGTTTCGAAATCCCAATCGTACTTTCCCATCAGAGTCCTTTGTCGGCGTCCTTATCACTAATCTCCGCCGGTAATCAAGACGGCAGGTGTGGGAATTTCAGCTTTAAGCGGATTTGCGGAAAATTTCAAAGCAACCGACTTAATTACCGTTGGAGATTAGTGATAAGGACGCCGACAAAGGACTCTGATGGGAAAGAACGATTGGGATTTCGAAACGTCATGGTACCGTGGGAAGAAGAAAAATTCAGGTGTAGTGGCCACGCCTACTAACGACACTCAGTAGCCACGCCCACTGATTAGAATGGCCACGCCCACAGGGGTATATAAAGGTATATAAAGGCCCTTATTTTGCAAGTCTGTGGATCACATCCTTGGTGAACGGTATGTTAGCTTTCTCAGCCATTGTTGGAAGTCGGGAGGTTTTAACCTTAACCATAATCTGTTTCCGTACTTTGTTTTGGATTTCCGGGTATTTCATCATATAAGCCAAGTGCCAACGAAGAGAATTTGAGGTGGTTTCCATGCCAGCTAGCCAGAAGTCATGCTCATAGGTTAGTCAGACTGAAATTATGTACCAATAACAGGGCTGGGCAATTGGCCGGCCCGGGCTTTTTGTTGGCCGATCATTGACCTGGACTTTTGTACCACTTGCAATATTCTAATCAGACCCAAACTTTGCAGGATTGTTGTACTTGGATTGAGGGCCATTGGGACCAAGTTTCAGCCCGATCGGATCGTCGGGTCCCGAGATATGTGGATCATTGGCCGATTTTTTCCAAAAAGCCCGGACTTCCGGCAAATTTCGGCCAATGATTCACATTTCTCGGGACAAAATAATCCGATCGGGCTGAAACTTGGTCCCAATATGCTTCAACCCATGTGCAACAATCCTGGAAAGTTTGGGTCCGATCGGAATATTGCAAGTGGTTCAAAAGTCCAGGTCAATGATCGGCCAACGAAAAGCCCGGGCCGGCCAATTGCCCAGCCCTGGATTTCGAAACGTCACGGCACCGTCCAAGAGGATTGAGTGATAAGGAATTGAAGCATTTCCGATTTCGGATGCAAGCATTCAACACATTCCGATCGGTTTGCAATTTGGACTCATAGACCCGATTGGGCCGGCAGCCTTTGTTCCATTTCAATAAACCATTCCTATTCAAATGTTGTTTTGTTGTGCTCGTGGAATACAGAAAGAGGCCGGGAGTGGGCCAGAGGCAAGGAACTGGAACGAAAATGAAAATCATCAAGAAAGTGGACATTATCACCAGACTGCGTCTCCGTCGATGTTCCCGTCACGAGAAGTTTCTCGTCGATGCCACGCCGACCATCTTTCCGTATCTACGTCTTTACACTGTCAGTTTTTCTGAACATACAATTTTAAACATGTTCTTCCGTATTACAGATCATATCCCGCTTCTGCTACCCGAACTAAGTTTCTGCGGGCAATTGTGGCCTACGACAAGTCGCGGATCTTTGTGCTGAATGCGGAAGAAGGCGAAGATCAGAAGGAGAGGAAGGAGAATTCGATTCCATTTGAAAAGTTGGATATTGTTGGATGTCGTTGGTTGTCGGTGGATGTCGATTCCTCGGATGCAGAAGTTGTAGGATATATTGCTTCAGAATATGCAGAAGATTAAGCATTAGAATATCAAAATTTTATCCCTCCGTCTATTTTCTCACATTCATCACTTCTCTTTTTAATTTCTCTGCCATTGGATTAAAAATTGTACTTGTGAACATTTTCGTATTATATGAAGATTCACAAACTTTCATCATAACATAAGCTTTTCGATTTCTTCGGTTTGTACACTAAACCCGTCTTATATTCTTGTGTTCTTCTGCTTAATTCCTTGCATTCCTTTTTATTTCTCAGTTTTTGAACACGCGATCTCTTCTGATGCACTAGCGAATAGACTCACGGACCATAAAATGTACAAGAGTAGAGAGGCGTAGACGCGGACAGTAGCGTGCGCGAAACTGCGCACCAGCTGTCGAGTTTCTAGTGGCTACGCGCACTCCGCGCGCACTATCATACGAACCTTCTTTTTTTCTTCAGGATACTGCAAAGTTGCTTGCATATTCGCTCCCTTCCGCAGTCTGCGTCATCACCGTTTGCCACAAGATTTCTAGTGATCTACTAACTGCCGCAACCTTTTTGTCGCTTAGCAACGAGCTCCCTTCTGTGTGTTCCTCTCTCTTCTTTCACCCTTTTCCTGGAGATGCAAAAATTATGCCACATTATCGCCGCGTCGTCTGTACTAGTTAGCGTACACTTGTTTATTTGCTTACTCTCACACACACACTCTTTCTTTCGCTCCAACTAGACGGAAATGGCGCATGGGGACGAGCGCCCATAAATTTTATTGATTTGTGATTAGTTCTCTTCGAGCCGCAAGCGAGTCTCCTCAACACCCGCATTTTTTGTTGAATTCTCTGGCACTTGTTCTGATTCTTCTTTGCCTGTCAAAGAGAAGTTTTGTACATTATGCGGCGTGCGCCCAACACCTTTGTTAGTCATTTTTGAACACTTTGAGCTCCCAAATAACCTACACTAAAAGTGACTTGTGAACATTTTGCGCGACTAAACCCCTGTCTTATTTTTGAAACTGAATCGAATGGTGTCAATCTCTTGATTATTTTTTTTCTCATGTCCCACGGCGATCAGATGTTGAAAAAGGGGCGTCCTCAAATTTCACCCATTTCTTTTTAATTTTTACCGTTTGAACGCTCGAAATGATTGCGTTTACATGCTGTTTCATTTTCGGCACTTATTTTGTCGGAACTCTCCGGTTTAATTTCTAAATTGCGGCGTCAAAAGGCTGCCGAGAGCACACTGCGAAACAAGTGAAAAACGTCATGCTCCTCAAAATTATTCGTGTTACTTCTCTCTCTCTCTCTCTCTATCGGTACACTTGGTAAAAAATTGTATTTCAGCATCGATTTATCATGATGGCAGCCATCGATTGGAGATCTTTGTCGTGCGAGGAACTGTACAGTGAAGTATGCGCTCACGTCGCCAAAGGAACGTTTGCGAATCAAAGAATGCTCGGCAGTTAGTTTTTTTAATATCAGTTTTTAGTAACAGTAACATCATTTTTCAGGAGATGGAATCGCACGATTCATCAGTTACAACACCGACCCATACACCATCGACGACGGAAAATTGAGGCGAAAACATGTTTTTTACTTTCTTCTGAAAAGTGAAATGGACGGCGTCTTCGAGGAAGCCGACTACAGCCGATTGTATTCAAATAAGGAATTGAAAAGTAAGCGTCATTGCTTTATCCAACTTTTCGTATGAGAAATTCTTCAGGATTGTATAACATACTCTGTGGAGGTTCTCTTTCCGAATTTCTCCTCGACGAGATGATCAGCAACGATGTGACGATTTTGACCAGGCTCGGAAGATTCGTGGAGGAAATCGTCGAGCCATTCAGAAGAAAGCGAAACATCTTGCTGCCGCTATTATCTCTGTCCAAAACCTCGCCCTTTTTCTGTTGGGAACCTTTCCATCAGATAGTTTCGTGTAAAGTTCTGGGAGAAGGAAAATTTGCAATCTTTTTCGAAATTAAGACAAAGAGAGGAGAGCTGAAATATGTTAAAGTGAGTTTTATTGACTTCAAATAGATATGTATTCATTAAGCTCTGTCGAAAGAGTTTTAAAAACTGAATTGCAATTTTTAGCCGTATTTTTGAATATTAGTTTGTATCTGATTTTTTAAATTTCTTGCTTTTCAGACACTCAACAGTTTTAACCCAATACCGGCCACCAGGGAAGCTCGGATATGGAGTGAGGTCTCGGCGATCGAAGGATTTGCAAAACTGCAACAAATTTACGTCTCTGTCAGTCCTCGACCGGCATTATTCGACGTCGCTCGCGACGCCTATAATTCGAGCAAGTAAGTGAGGATTATTACAATCTGCTGTATAGCAGATAGAGTTCGTTTTCTTCAAAATCGATAGCCATTCGATCTCCTTCATTTCAAGAGAATTTCCCAATTCGAAAAATCGGTTCACTACATACAAAGGCAAGAAATTCTCGAAAACATGGTATTCCAGTTTTATTTTATTGTTAGAAAATAGGTTATTATTTCGATTACTGTATAATATAATTTGAAGAGGTAAGTGTGAAAGCGTTGCTTTATCGGAAATCGACCAGTGCAAACTCTAGCGCATATTATCATTAAGATTGAGTCTGAAAACAAGTCCAGGCAAATGAACGAAACATGAATATTTCAGAATGGAATCGAAACAGAGCACGCCGGGATACGGACCAGCATATGGCTCTCCGAGATACTTACCGGGCCAAGGTTCTCCACAGTACGATCAGGCCCAAGGCTCTCCGCAGTACAAACAAGCCAATGGCTCTCCGGGATACGGACTGGCCAATTGCTCTCCGCGATACAAATCGGTCCAAGGCTCTCGGCAATACTTATCGGTCCAAGGCTCTCCGCAATACGATCAGGCCCAAGGCTCTCCGCAGTACGAACAAGCCAATGACTCTCCGGGATACGGACTGGCCAATTGCTCTCCGCAATACAAACCGGTCCAAGGCTCTCCGAAATACTTACCGGTCCAAGGCTCTCCGCAATACGATCAGGCCAATTGCTCCCCGCAATACAAACCGGTCCAAGGCTCTCCGCAGTACGAACAAGCCAATGGCTCACCGGGATACGGACTGGCCAATTGCTCCCCGCGATACAAACCGGTCCAAGGCTCTCGGCAATACTTATCGGTCCAAGGCTCTCCGCAATACGATCAGGCCCAAGGCTCTCCGCAGTACGAACAAGCCAATGACTCTCCGGGATACGGACTGGCCAATTGCTCTCCGCAATACAAACCGGTCCAAGGCTCTCCGAAATACTTACCGGTCCAAGGCTCTCCGCAGTACGAACAAGCCAATGACTCTCCGGGATACGGACTGGCCAATTGCTCTCCGCAATACAAACCGGCCCAAGGCTCTCGGCAATACTTACCGGTCCAAGGCTCTCCGCAGTACGATCAGGCCAATTGCTCCCCGCAATGCAAACCGGTCCAAGGCTCTCCGCAGTACGAACAAGCCAATGGCTCACCGGGATACGGACTGGCCAATTGCTCTCCGCAATACAAACCGGCCCAAGGCTCTCGGAAATACTTACCGGTCCAAGGCTCTCCGCAGTACGATCAGGCAAATTGCTCCCCGCGATACAAACCGGTCCAAGGCTCTCCGCAATACAAACGGGCCCTAGGCTCTCCGCAATACGATCAGGCCCAAGGCTCTCCGCAATACGAACAAGCCAATGGCTCTCTGGGATACGGACTGGCCAATTGCTCTCCGCAATACAAACCGGCCCAAGGCTCTCCGCAGTACGATCAGGCCAATTGCTCCCCGCAATACAAACCGGTCCAAGGCTCTCCGCAGTACGATCAGGCCAATTGCTCCCCGCAATACAAACCGGCACAAGGCTCTCGGCAATACTTACCGGTCCAAGGCTCTCCGCAATACGAACAGGCCCAAGGTTCTCCGCAATATGATCAGGCCAATTGCTCACCGGGACACAAACCGGTGGATCGGAGGTTAGTGTGAAAACGTTGTTTCATTTCAAAATAACCTGTGGAAACTCTGACGCACATGATTGAGATTGAATCTTCACATTATGCATTCGCCGGAGTGTGCTCCTTGACGCTATTCTCGCGTGACAGGTCTCGCACGGAACAAAACTTTTAATGCTGGAGTTCTGCGTCTTTTAAAAAATTAAAAAAATTTGAAGGGAATACGGTCGATCAAAATTTTCCTTAATTTTCTGACGGAAGATTATAATCGACCGTATCCCTCCTCAAATTTAGAGCTGCAGAACTCCAATTTGAGAGGTTTCGCTCCGTGCGAGACCCGCCATCGAGAATTACGTCAAGTCGCACACTCCGGCGAATGCATAATACAAAAACAGGCAAATGAACAGAATATTTTAGAATAGAGTCTGTACACAGCTCGCCGAGACACGAACACGAGGATTACTATCATTTTCTGTTCAACTATGTGAGGTACGTGATAGGAAAGAAGAGTTTGATTTTACCGTTTTCAAAGGCAATATATCCGCGACACTCTCCGTTTCTATTCTTTTTTTTTCTCATTTCTAACGTTGCACGTCTCAGATTGATAGCAAGCGTTTGGAGTTGCATGCTTTTATGACTTCTTGACTTCATCAGCTCCTAACGTTTAACAGATTGAAAATAGCCTATCTGTGCCACTTATAGCATCAATATCACCAATAGAGGTGAAAAACGGCAAAGCCACACTGAAAACTTGAGAAAAGCACTATTTGAAATTTGAAATTTTTCTACCCAGCCTGGCCCGTGACAAGTATGTTTAACAGCCTTTGCTTTTTTCGGATGAGAGGTTAATATGAGGAATCTGCCTTTTGCTTTTTGTTCGCATGGACATTATCTAGCGCATGTCTCTTGAAACACGCCAAACCAGACCAAGAAATGACATATTATACATCAAGAACACTTTGAAAACTTCAGGAGAATTTGAAAGATTCAAAGTTGAAAAAGTAATCTGATCATCGATATTTATTCAGAAGTCTTCATCGGGCCAACCCTTCTTTGTTACCAAATCATCTTCTCCCGATCAACGGCAAAAACGATTACGAGTGAGTGAAACTCTGATTTAGCAACACTCAACATTTTCTTCCTAAGGAAATTAAGTTGGTAATCGACAGAAAAGATCGAGGAACAAGTTTCCGCTCATAATTTCTGTTTAATCTGCTAAAAGAGTCTGTCGATTTCTCTTTTTGTTTCATTTGTGCATTTGTCTGTTTTCATTTGTCTGTTTTCAAAATGAAGTCTGTGCAGTAGGCTGGTCAAACAGGCGATTTCAGGCGCCTAAAAAACAGGCACCTGAAAAGCAGGCGCCTGTTTTTTTCAGTCGCCTGTTCGACCAGCCTACTGTGCAGGGATACGCCCCCGCAGGATACCAGGTTAATTTGAAAACGTTGATTTATCTGAAAATTACAAAAGATAATCGACAGAAAAGATCAAGAATTCCAAACCAACCAACTTTTCGGCCATAATTTCTGTCTAATCTGCTAACAGAGTCTACCGATTCCCGTTTTTGTTTTTGAAGCGGGAATGTTACTATTGAGCGTTAGTTTTTTCAAAAGTTTTATAAGCGTAGGAGAGGATTGGTATAAATGAATGCGAATTCGTTAAGCGACCTTCTTCGACTGGTTCTGCGTACCCCGCCTCCGCCTCCTCCTCCTCTTCTAGTCGACAATGTTCACGACTTCCAGTGAGTGAAACTTTTGCTTAAAAACTAAATCTGAACTGAACTTCAAATATTGCACGAGAATTTGTTTATTTTGAATTTTGTTTGTAATATTTTTGAAACATCTGTAATCAATGAATACTTTTCAGAGAGCATCCTCGTTTAATTGAGCAAACTGCGCCTCCGACTGCTCCGCTTCCAGCTAACAATGAGAACAAGAGCGGGTGAGGTGAACATAATTTCGAAATCGAAAAAAAGCTTCAATCAATGTAGCTTTTCTCTAAAAACACGTTTCAACAAGTTACCGGTCAAGAACGTTGATAGAACTGTAACCAAACATTCAAACAGAAGAAATTTGCCAAGTGACTATGTTCTGTTTTCTATAATTCTTTGTGTTTTTAGGTTATCATACTTTTGCTAAGTTCTTAAAGAAAATTTTCAGCTTCCCCATTGTCACGTTTGAAACGGTTTACGCTGGACGATCCGTGGTTGATTTCGTGACCGAGAAAACCGCCGTAAGTTTGATTTACATGTTTCAACCAATAAACTGTTTTTAGGCATCCAGCAAAAATTGGAGACACATGCTCCTGCAGCTTTTTCTTTCTATCAGAGAAGCGGAAATCAGGTTCCAATTCGAACACCGCGATCTACATGGCTACAATATTCTGATTAGTGTCGAGAAAATTCCGGGAGCGAAAAGGACACACACAATCGACACAAAGGATATTCGAACAAATGCCAGATCGTGGAAAGTGTTCACGGTCTCCTGTAGTGATCTTCGGACTACGATCATCGATTTCGGTCGTTCAAGAATCACAAAAAGTTTGTTCAGCTGTTTTTCATTATTGTAAAAACTTTTTTCATTTTCAGGAGACTCTATTCTCTTCTATAACTTCGGCGAAAAACCCGCTGACCCTGTGTACCTCAACGTCGACATCGATAACAACTTGGGAAACGCAGATATCGATCTGGCTTCATTCCACGAGATGATCCGTGTGCTCAAGTGAGTTAAAGACTAAACTAAACGATTTTACAACGCACTTTCAGCGGCAGATCGGAATTATACCGTCCAGAGACAAACATGAAGTACCTGAAAGGCGTAGCTAGGAACTTCTTAAAGGAAATTGTGTTTCGTGAGGAAAACGAAGCGGCGGTGAGTTTTTGTCTACACCAAACCATGATTAACCTAATCATAAAACATTGCAGAAATGTTTCAAAATATACGATTGCATTAAAAAGGCGCACGATCTCGAAGACCTTCTAAGCAACGAATTTATTGACTTTCTCGGTGCAGACTTCATTGACGCTGTGCAAAATAAACAAGAGCTGCGTGCTCTTTATGGATGATTATGCCTGTTTTAAGTAAAATTTGAACGTCAATTTGAATGTTCTTCTATTTTGCAGTATTACTGAACGTAGTTTTCTTCCATATGTAATTTAGAATCATATATTTGTCTATTTTATTCCACTTGATCTCCTCTTTCTCTTTTTACATGTTACCTTTAACAAGTGAACGAAAAAACTTCATTCACGTTTTTGGTGTTTCCAGATCTCGTTTCCCCCATCTTTCTGCTGTTTACAATTTTTACTTTTTTATGTTAAAAAAAATTGAGGGCTTTGTTATGCAAAAGTCGAATTCTGTAAAGCGCTAACACTAGTTCGAGGCCTTTAGGGCAGTTCAATTGTTGGCACAGAAAAGTCCACTTTTCTTATCCGCATCTCGACATTGAACAAGAACAATTTGATGATGAGGTGCGCGAGAACAACGCTGAAGATGCATTGAGACAAAAGTTGTTTTGCAGCTGATTCTCTGCTTCAAACATTAAAGGAGCAATATCTCGAGCGAAAGATATTCTGTTCTCGCTCTCATCATCCTAAACAACATTCCTTCACTGTGCTCCTTCTCCCCGGTCCGTTTTTCTCTACATTTTAAGCTGAATTGAGCGGGCTTTATTGTTCTTGCTCTCAGATCAAAACTTGTTATATCCAAAACATCGGTTATATCCAAAAAACTGCTCCGCGAGGCACCAGGTAAGACAATCGTGGTCATTAAATGGAAGAATCAGAACATTTGGTGTAGCGCTGAATTATCCTAGACGAACCAAATGTTCTTTTCAAAATGGTTGATTGTAGAGTAGTTTCACAAAAAAAAATTGACGGATTGACCGAGAACCTTTTGGAGCCTGCAATCTGGTCATTAGTGACTCTAGTGCTCGTACCAAGTAATTTAGTGGGTCCAATCGAGTGAAAACTGAATGAATATGGCCAAATGAAGTAATTCAGACAGTTGGAGCAAACTGACAACTTGCCAGATTGTAGCACCCTGCAATGGTTAAAAAAAGCAGAAAACCGAAGACTTTGTCAGAATTGCTCCATTCTTGAATCGCTTGATCCGACAGACACCAAGTGGCCAAGTAAACGACGCCACCAATCATTCCATGTTCACAAGTAGAAGATCTTTACAGTTATGCCATCATGTAAAGGTAAGCGGGAGGAAACATAAAGCAAAGTTTGACGTCTAGCATATGACAAATTCTTGTTTTTAGATGCTCCCTCTCCCTGTTTCAATGTTAACTTTGTAAATTGCTTTATTTAATCAAAATTTAATTAGGTAATCGTAGGAATAGGGGAAGTGTCGAAGCGGCTTTACTGTGACGATCCAGCTTGGAATCGGATTGGAGGGATGGACGGACGGGTCGAGCGACGAAGAGGCTGAAAATTCTGTTATATAACCTGTCCTTTGTAAGACTGCATATCGCTACTCAAACCTATACTACATGCTCACATAGAAATCCTTTCCTATGTATTACTTGAGTCTTACAGAGAATGAGTAAGAATGGGAATGAATACTTTGAGTGCTCCTAAACGAATGTATTATGGTTACCGGGTTGAGCGCCTCCTGATACTCCTTCCATCGACGCTCATCTTCCTCGACTGCACGATCCCAGGCGCGAACCGCTTTCTCGTAAAGATCGCGACGGACGTGATTGACGTTACGCAGTGGCGCCATTATTCCATTCGGGTTATGTCTGTTGATAGTCGCGCGAAGTCGAAACCACTGGGCCTGAAAATGAAAATGGTTTTGACTTGTGTAAAAGTTTCATGATGGAATCCAGCAGATTGCAAAGATTTCTCAAACTATGGACGCGGCGTTCAGAGCAACAACACTCAAAGTGTGATAGGACCACTCGAAAGGTGTATAAAACTATTTGAGAAATCGAACAACTCACATCGGTAAGACTGGATTTGAAAGGTTTCGGTGCGGAAGGCATGTCTGAAAACTGTAAAAAAAAATTAGGATTATAAAATTCGCATTGATCATCAGCAAGTTGACAAAAAAAACAAAGATCAGAAATAACACAACTAGTGAGACTTTCAGAAGTTTATAAATTCTATCACCATAGCAAAGGCGCCCGCCAGGCAGCAACAAGTACAAACACATTGTGGACAAGACTTTCAGGGATCCGAGAGGATCAGCGAAAATACCAGCAAACGCATAAAAACCCGCTCGAAAGCTCTCAATTGATCTGAAATCGTGCCCTCTTGGTCGAAAAGCTTGCAAGCAAGCAACTAAGCTCAATGAAAAACTAGGTAGACAATATTAGGAATACTACCGCTGCTTTATCATCGCCATGCTCAGTCGCTACAGCAAAAAGAAAGACGGAAGTGTTTGGTTGTGATTAAATTTAACGCGCACCATTAGTCGAACAAGGAATCAATTATACAACTGCATAACGCTTCATAACTCTCAATTTGATAGAGCGTTCTTGGAGAAAACAAAAAAGACAAAAAGCGGATTGCATCAAACTTACAAACTGAACAAAGTAAAGGTAAACGCATAAGTAGCAGACTGCAAACGGGAAGTGTGTGAAGAATGAGAGTAACTGTAAGGTTTGTTGTTGTGCGGTCGAGCGCAATTGCTGACAATCGAGAGGGTTGAGACAGTGGAGCGAGAGACTGTGGCAACAGAGAGACGCAGACAGTGGAGCGAGAGACTGTGGCAACAGGGAGACGCAGACAGCAGACCGCGGGACACACGGCAAGGAGGTCAACGCGGCTGCGAACATTTGAAAACATTCATATTTTTTGACGCTTCTCAATATTCCATTTTCAAAGCAGTTTCTGTAACAACCACAACTTACCTTTTCCTTCTCCGTTCTCGCCAGAAAGAATTTCACCAAGTTTTCTACTTCTCCTCTTTTCTCTGTGCATTTTGATTGAGACACAGTCAGCGCCAACATTCTTACCGTCTGATCATCCTAATTATTTTCTTAGCTTTAGTTGACATTGGTCCATAATTCGAGACCTGGTTCTTAAAACAATGATTTTTTCCAACATTTCTCAGTCACCCAATTCACTTTTGTTTTCCATTAGATTTCGGTTACCTTTGAAGAACCAACAGGCAGTGTGTCGGCACTCCCTCTCTCTTTTTCTTTCGATACCAGAACTCAACCATGAGAAAAATGCTTGCACCAAATACATACAGTATCTGTTCACTTGTTGCTTCGCCATCCGATTTCTTTTTTTTTGTTTTGTCATCCGAAAACCATGTCACATTCAGTTTTCTCACATAAAAACAAGTACCGAACGTTAAAAGTGTCAACAAAGTCAAAGAAAATAGGAAAACGCACGTGGTATCCACAAGTTTCCATTGGATAAGGGGAGGAGTTTTGCCACACGCGCAGGTCTCGGTCTTTTTCCAACCTCCTCTTCTACTTTGATGGTGCTCTCCGACAGTCCACACGGGTTTCTCTTCCTTGTTCTATTCTTATTCTTCTTGTGAACCCACGTTGCAAAATCATAAATACCTTACCTTACCATACCACGTCTTCCTCACTTTCGGGCAGTTTTTGGGGGCTAGTGAATATCGCATTTCGAATCGATGTACCGTTCTTCAAGTGCTGGCGCTCTGCGGATATCGGTTTTTCTGTATACTAGAGATAACTGGTGGTGAACCGACTTGAGGCTGATTTTAAGTCTGTAAGTCTTTAAGGCTAGGAAGTGTAACCGAGTAATTGTAAGGGATGCCGTGACTCGCAGTTTTTTTTGACAATCATCGCTGCATTGAGCATAGTGAAAACCACATTTTCTAATACATTAGCATATTGTTGCACATCGAAGACACATATTATAGGGGCACCGGACAGAAAGGGCGCGCTGTTCGCAATCTGGCAGAATTTTTAGGCCGCGAAGTAATTTTCCACTGAAAATGTGGCCTAACTTTTCAAACTCGGCCCCGAGGTTGCTCAATTTGCACTGCAAAAAGAGTTTCTCAACAGAGCGCCATTTCTGTGCGGTGCCCCTATAATAGCGCAATCGACAACAAAACTCGCGTTTCTTTTATTTTCGTTCTTCGTTCCTCTCACCCTAACACGCTTTTGGTCGCTGTCCACAGAATTTTCCCATGAAATGATATTCTCTGTTGTTTTAAAATTCTGTCAAAAAGCGGCAGCTTCAGAAACCCAGTTTTGAAAGATCAATATTCGAATTAAAATCGGCCTGTTAGTTAGTTAGTTAGATAACTCCAAACTCAGGCAGTTGAACGTCCTGTTTTTCGTACAGTGTCAGTATTCTTTAGTTAGATACCCTTTAGTCGGCACGTCAAATTCCCAATTTTCCGGGAATACAAAACTTTTTTCTAACATTCATAATTTGTCTTCTTGTTTGATGTCCGAAATGATTTTTATTTCAGAAGTGAGAATGAGTCAAACTGCAATAAAAAAGTATTACGATGCGTTGAGCAATAATATCAATGAACTGAAAGAGCTGCTGAAGTCATTTAAAAATGAACATCTTTCGTATGATATTAAGAAGTACTTGCTGTCTGATTTTATTATTTCAGATTACCGAGTTTCTTGAAGTTCCTCATTATTTTCACCGAGTCTATTGAAGAGAAGGCGAAAACCGGCGAGAAGAGATTCGAGAAGTTTCTTGATGGCATCACCGAAACCAAGGATTTGACGCTGGCTTTTGTGGAGAGAAATAACATGGTCTCGATCCCACTTCTGGTCGAGTTGATCAATGCCTGGTTCGACTTTTTCCTAAAAATCATCAAGGAAAACAAGAGCGCGCAGGAAGAACCCGTCTCAGACAAACCAAGAGAAGAGTGGCCACTCCATTTGGAGACGAGCGAGAAATTCTATAAGTTGCGGGAGTTTATCAACACTCACGCAAAACTTCCACACCAGAGAAGGTTAGTTGATACAACTAAAAAAATAGGAAAGTGACAAAAGTATTGCAGAAAGTTCAGTAAACACGAGATCATTGAAGAAGTCCACAAATATCTGATCGGGTACCGTATCACGGAGGGGAATCAAAACTTCTTCAAAGCGGATATCGACAAAAGCCATGATATTAACGAGGCTTATCTGGAGGGACGAAAGTTTGGAAAGAAAATCGCAGATGCGATTTTTATGGTAAGCTGAAAACGCAAACATATGTATGTAGAATGCAAACGTGATTTTCCAGATCACTCCAATCGTCAAAGAATACGTTCACGAGCTACGCCATGCTCTTAACTCAGGCAACACTCGTCAAATTTTCCGCCCTTGGGAGTGAGGAATTTTGCATTTAATATTGGTTTCTTGATAGTTTTCATTCCAAATTGTGTTCCTATTTATCTATGTAAGTATGTTTTCTGGTGTTTGATTTCTGTTTTATTTCAGCGTTTCTCTTGAGTTTCTTTTTTTTATTGTTCTTCTTTATAACTAATTTTTTGTGACTAGTGCCTCATAGAGTTTTGATCCCGTTATTTTGTTCTTTGAAATACGTGTTCTTGTCCCCAATGTCAACTAGTAAGCGCCTGTACACAAGTCGATCTGAATATCTGATTTACATCATAGTCGAGAGGATAGTTTTTTTATGATAGAATGTTTATGATTATATTATTATTATTATTATTATAACAACCTAGGGAGAAAAAACGAAACGCACCTTTCCTATCCTTTTGTATTTGGAGGAGCATGGCCATGAATAACAGTTTAGGCACACCGTTCTTATTAATAAAAATCTCCCTGGGTATTTTTGTTTGTTTGTCTTTGATTGTCTTTGTCCCCATTTCTGATACGAAAAATAATTGTGACTGAAAAATAAAGGAATGAACGTGCACGTGAACTTTCCATTGATTACAGGAATCAAACAAGCAGCGAAGCGGCTTTCGAGTTAACCCGTCTGACGATTTTATATATACTGAATCCGATTTTGGAATTCCGCGAGCCCACTCCCAAATGTGATTTTCTAATCAGGTGTTCATGGGGTAAACGCACGACAAATTTCAGCCAGATCGGAAATACTTTCGGCATCTCTCTCAGTACAGTCCGTTTCATAAGTCGGAGTTGACGAATTACATTGGGATCCTCAGAAATTGCAAAAGCCAGACAGAAGGATCCCATGGAATCCAATGATGTTAACATACTCTTTTAGTTATGTTTCATTAATTTTAATTGAATTGGGTCCTTCGGAATACCTCCGTCGGCCGCCATTTCTAAAAACCTGACAGATTGCCCAAAGAAGTGACATTCATTTCGGGATCATTCCTTGTTAGTTATTTTGACGATTGATTCCTGTAGTATTGCGAAATTTCTGCCTCTAACGATCCAGCGGGTCTCGCAACGAACAGAGAGAACGCCTGGAAGCTTCGGAGACGAGAGATCATGAGTCATCATCGCCTGTCTCGACGGTTCAAGCTTTTTCATTATTTCCGTATTTTTCTTAAATTGACGTTGACACGGTGTTCTGTATTGTATGGTCAATCTGTCCTTTTATAAATTTCACTTGTCAGAAAAAAATCTTGTAACTGTTTAATTTCACAAGACTGTGAAAATTACTGAGAACTTATCAGATATCACGTGTAGCCACAAGACAGCTTTTACTCATAATTAAAATCAATCATAAGAGAATCAGCGAGATTAATTTCAAAGCAAGAGCAGGCAATATCTTAAGTGAGACAAATCTACATGTATCCTTCCTTTGACTTATTGAGTCATCCTCGCTACTCTTCTCTCGGCGTCTCTCTTTTAACCACCACCTGATAAAAACAGTCCCCCAAATAATCGCCCGTCATCTTGCTTTTTTCCTGCTCTGTTAATTCTTTTTCACTTTCGTTTTCTGTCAAGTCCACTGTTTCGTAAAAATTCAAAATTATCGGTATATTATAAGCGCAAGACTCGGCCTGCGAAAATTCAAAAATAATTGTGGATTTTGCAATAAGCGCATCGAGTACCACCACAAATTCTGACAACGTCCATAAGATTCTAATAAAACTTTTAGGACTAAAGATCATGAGTCATCGCTCTCATTCAGTCCCGTCATTAATATCCCCTAGAGCGTTTTCTCTAATTTTCTTTTTTTAAGTTTACTTCTGTGCGGTTGCCAAATTGTAATATGATATGATAGACACTTTCTCTCTTTTCCACATTCCCATCCGCTTTTAAATCTCATTTTCTAGGTAAATGATCACAGTTTGTTTTGTGATGCTCCTGATTGGAGCATCATCAATCCAGAGCAGTGCAGCGTCGAGTCTGCCTTTCAAAAACGAGATTATTCCCAACGTCACCATCTTCATAGGAGAATACATGGAACTCTCTTTCGACGGAATGACTCATCTGGAAATCGAAAACGGAAATGCGCTTCCAGCATGGATGCTGTTCGATGGCCAGCTTCTTCAGGCTCTGTCTTCTGAAACCGACGTAGGCGTGTACCCATTGAAGGTCAGTTAATCGAAAGTGAAAAAAACAGCAACGTTGCATCACTTTCGTCTTTCTTGTTAAAGTTTTCTTTAAATTTTTCCAGGCCAGTTGAGAACAAAGACGATGAGAATTAATCAGTGGTTATGAACAGTTTTATTATTCACTGTTTTCTTTTCAGGGAATCAGGGATGGAGTCAAGAAAGAATTTTTCTTCTCGATCACCGTGAAAAACGAGTTCAAGAGCCAATGCTTTCCAGAAGTCCCACACTGGATCGTCTCTTTCTCGAACAATGAACCGACGGTATGTTGAAACAACGCACTTATCTGACAATTTTTGATTGATTCTTGAAGGTTACAAACAAAATCCATGATTTGAAAGTTTTGGCGGAACGGACGATTGATTTTAATGAACTCAGGGTGTTCAACACCATTTTTTTAAACGCTGTTCTCGATGCAAAAATTGTGGTCAACGAGAATGTTCAATCGGGGACATATGCCGTCTTGTGGCTGGTGTCTTGTGAACAGGCATTCGATATGCGAGAAATCGCAGCCGAACTTGGCAGTGACGATTATTTCAATTCCGCACAAATGAGAGTGGGAGAGTTTCGACAGGCGCCCGCCCAACCGTACACAAACATTGGGCCAGTGTATTTGCCCTCTCTCGGCCTCCCCGCTTTCAATTGCGTCAAGTGAGTTTTAATTTTTTGCTGACTGTTAGACATTCAATCTGCAGTACGCCCGATATGTAATTTAAGGATTCCCACCCCTTTCGCAGTCTTGAACTACATAGAAAAGCTACAAAAAACCTGTGAATGGCATTCGATTTGAAAACAAACGATTAATTTGATTTTCTTGGTTCACAAAACATTTTCAAATCAAGCCAACACGCGCCCGGAGGTTGATTTATATAATAACACAAGTGACACTTAGAAATGTTTGATTGCTCTTCTATTTTTGTTAGAACGATTAAAATTTAGGAGTTCTAAACTTATTGGGCGCAAAAATGTCAAAATTATAGATTGAAATGTCATTATTTCAGGGGAATGGTGTGCGAACTCGATTTTACGGAAGCGATGAAAAAGCTCAAGTTCACAAGCCCTCAGTATCGGATAAATGTTTTTGGAGAGAAAAGGGACGTCTGGATGTGTGACGCGTTTGATGAGGTGATCTATGGAGTGCCAACTATAGCCGGGCTGTTCACGTATAACATGGAACTGATCAATAACGGCGAAAGCCTAGTCACTGGCTCTTTTAATGTCATTGTCTCGGATCTTCATTCATCACCACCAACCCATCAGATCGTTATTGCATTCGAGTGGCCGTCATTCGATGATTTCTCCAACGATCCTTTTCACCGCCTAAATTTGATAAATGGCCTGGAAGCTGATCTGCGTATCAAATCCGATCGTGTTCTTCTCCATCCTATCACAAGGGGACCATCAAATCACGCAATAGTCGTTCTCAGTGACCCGACGCTCAGTAACAGCTGCACCTCCAAAAAAGATTGCGATTGCCAAGCATTGGACCGGTTGGTTCAACCTATTCCAACGGATGACGAAAGGAGAAAAGTATTCTTTTCGCCGTTCCGTATTGTGCATGTCGAAATCAATTTGCCCGAACCTTGCTGGCCACTACCAAAAAGAATAATCTCGGTAGTCCAAAGGATCTGCATACCTCTCGCTCTTCTCATTATTTTTTGTCTGCTGTCGTTGAAGGTCTTGACTTATTTCAAGAAAAGAGGCGCAGTTCGAGCGGATTCGAAAGAGATGGAGCTCGGAATTATTGCCACTGCATCGAACACTGTCGCGGATGACACTTCGTCGATGAAGTCGTTCCAGTCGCTCAAATCCAACGAGAACAACGAAGTTTGATCAATGCTACTCGTAAATGTTTACTCGTCTGTGAGAACGTTACTTTTTCTATTACCTATCTCTGAACCTGGCTGAAAAAATAAAAAATTAAATGAAACGAACTCATTCAATTATTCATTTCAAGCAGAATGTGAGGTAACGAAGATTTCAAATAAATAATAACTCATTTATTCACTTTTAAGAGGGATAAGTTTATAATCATTAGTGACCCATTGGAACTTTTCGACTTTTAGTTTAAAATATAAAAAAACGTTAATAAAACATATATATTTTTCTTCTCTCAAAGAAGTCGTATCAAGATCTTCGATAAAAGAAAAACAAAGGGTAAATGAACGCGGCCACTCTCCCTTCGCATATCTTAGGCCACCGTGTCCGATGAATTTTGAATAGGCCTCACTCAGTTGGTCTTACAGCATTTGTACGTTGCAAACAAACTAGGAATTATGACTAGATTTTCCTCGGTTCAACCCTGTCGGCCGGTCAGCTGTGAATTACTTTCTTTAAAATCTTGTTTTTGACTCTGGGTGGCGGTTTCTGCTGGTTGACGAATCTTCTGCACACAATATTCTTAATCATAGAAAGTTGAGGAACAATGCATCTCTGAAAAAATCGAAATTTTGATATTTTTCTGTGCTTTATCATGATCCGAGCAGGGCTGAGCCGGGAATGTTATGACTCGAGACGGTCCAGCCCCAGATTTTAAAAATTCTTTCAACAGATATCTTAGAACAGCTGAAACGAGAAAAATCTCGATTGCCTTTCCAGATTTTAGAAGTGTCCAGATTGTGGTGTGGAAATATGGTCGGAACAATTATTCAATTCCAAAAGACGACTGATGAAAGTCAGTCACAGTCAACCAATCTAACATTCTGACCAAAGAGTGCCTTTTGAGATTGGCAGATCAAACATTGGAAATTGATGATATGTCTCTCCTCTCCATTCGATCCTTCGGTGAACTAATCGGTCACTGAAGAAATGGGAAGAATTTTTCCAAAGGGCCTCCGGGTGCCTTTTTGTTAAAGGCTCCCGTCAAATAATAATTTCGTCACGGAAACCAAAGCTTTCTATAAGCGCAAGCGCGCGAAGTTGAAATTTTAAATATAAGTTTAAGGTTTTTGCAGAATTAGCCATGAAAAATCATAAAGAAGTCAAAACCAATTCTCTATACGGAAGACTGTGTAATTTGGTCATGTCGAAATAGACATGTCCGAAATTTTTAAACATACAACAGGGAGGAAAATGAAATTAATGCTTCTTCTTGTTCTTTGACTTATCATCTCCATGAACAGCAGTGTGAATGACGGAGAGCCAAAGGTAAGCGAGGAAAACGACAAACATGCACGCAGCAATGAACAGAAGACGGAACGGAGGAGCCAGCTCTCCGAGAATTGGGTATGCCCAGAAACCGGAAGAGTAGTAGACGTAGTGGAGACTGAAAAAAAATTTTTAAGTTATTTTTTTTAACATAATCATACACTTCTCAAACTTCTGCTCAAATTCATCGTTAAAAAGCTATGTCTAGATGAGAAACAGCAGCTATTCGAGTTATCTTGACAAAAATGTATCTGACATGAAATCACTTTGCTTCTTTTTGGTTTCTTATGCGCGCGCTTTGACATGATTTAAAAAAGTTATAACCGCACTCATTCGCTCAATAAAACGCATGTTAACGTGTTGATAACTTTACCGGAAGACTTGTAAACTTAATTTTGTTTGATTTGTTGTGATTATTACGATAAAAACCAGCTGCTTCCGCATTTCTGATAAGCGCATCAAAAATCGATAACCTTCAATTCCGTTTCTTTTACTTACTCAATAAGATAAAGCGTACAGAACGTAGCAATTCCCTTCAGAATAGCACTTCTGGAGAAGCTCGAATGTTTGCAGATAAGAAGATCCAAATGAGCAGTGATTGCTGGCAGGGTATGCTGAAAATTGACTCATTTGAGTGCTCACAAGTCGACTTTAACGTACCAATCCGTGGTTGAACCAGAAAAGAGCCAATATCTTGCGTGCCATCTCATCCTTAGCAAGCGTAGCCGGATCGAAGAGGTAAAGTCCCCAGAAAAGCACGGTCATAGCCTGAAAATGTTTAAAATTGGGAAGAAAATCATCAAATATGAGCGATTTACCACTCCGACAGGTCCGACGAGCGCGCGAGCCCAGTAGTCAAAGATGACATGTCTTTTGTTCGGAGACACAATGGTCAGGATAAATCCGACAGTGTGATACAGAGTTTGCATGTACTGGAATAACAAAAATTTTAAAAATTCCGATTTTTTTTGGTTTTACCAGGTCGATAATAGTCAACCACACAAATCTGGAGAAAGTGTTGTATGGAATCGGAAGAAGGGGTCCGGACACGATGTTAGAATCCTCGTAGGCCACATATGCGTACAATGCCGCGCATGCCAAATGAAAAATTGCCTTCATCTATAAAATTTTGTGAATATAAAAAATTGGAATTAAAAGGTTCGAAAAGGAACAAAAAGATGAACGATTGTGTCGGGTGATGACAAAAAAGTGCGTCCTCCGCCGTCTGCCGAGGATCGAAGGAGTGTTTGTATGTGTGTGTGTGTGTGTGTTGGGCTGAGGTGGCAGTAGGTTATCTAGCACGCTGAATCGATGGGCGACGACCGCAAACATGTGACTAGAGTGTGGCTAATGGTCAAGACTACGCGACGGACTACACATTGCAAGAGTTATTTGGTTGAATCAGGAACATTGAGCACAAATTTCATGAGAACTTTATGATGTCAGAGTCCAGGAACTTTGTCGCCGTCACATTTTTAATAAAAGCCCAATAAATTTAATTTTCGATCACCTATCTGGCTCGAAAAAAGCGTGTCAGATGCATTGATATGAAATTTTCTGATGTAAGTGACTTCGCCCCGCTTAGTCCAATCATTTCAAATAACATACAATTGAATGTTATCATTATCCTATGCCACTCACTTCATCAAATTTAAGAGAAATTAGAGAAATTTCAAGATACTTCTTCTGGAATTTGAGCAGAAAACAAATGACATACGTTTTGTTTCTGAAAAAAGCAAGACCTCGGGATCACAAACGGAGTGTTTTCTCGGCAATGTACATTGCCTTGAAAGAAAAAGTTCCCGATATTAGCTACTGTATACCAACTAAAATTTGCGATATTAGTCAAAAATACAGGAAATTAACTTTGTTGAGTAATTTCGAAGTTTCTTACTTCCTGCTAGACCGATCTAACGGATTTTGTGTCCAGACTGAGATTCTGCAAGTACGATCTTTATCAATATTCTTCATACTGTCTAGGTCTGTTTCTAGAAATGCATCTCTACATTACAGGCACTCTTTAAACTTTTGATACCTTCAAATTTGGGCAAAAAACGGGTGGTTCCAAACAAAAATTTCAATGTTTGCCGTGAAAGTCGTCATAAACCTTTCACAATCGCTTCATAGTGATAAGGTAATACCAATTCGAATCAAAGATCAGCTTTCTTCATTTTTGTGTTAAAAATTTTTGACACGACTACTTTATTTACCAGAAAAAATGAAAAAAGAGAGACTATTTCAGACCACCACACCACAAAAGCATTGTTTTGACGTTTTGACATTTGAAAATCTTAGAAAAGATAGAAAAGTTAAAAATCTGGACAGGAAAATAATGGGAGATTGGGAAAAGCTAAAGCATAGCAAGCAAAACCAGCGGGAGAAGATGGACAAAAAATGATCACAACTGTCATTTTGCTGATGCGCAACTCCAGAAATCCTCGTAACAGATGGAAACGAGGATAGAGACTACAGTAAGCAAAGTTTGAAAAGGAAGGGCGAAAATAAGACGAAAAAGAGAATGACAAAGTATTTTTCGGTTTGCTACAGTCTTATGCGCATAATAACCAGTTGAATTGGTTAAATGATCTACTGAAGAAAAATTTGCAGAGCGGAGAAACTGAAAATGAAGGAAAAGGGGAGATCTGAACAATCATCACATAAGAACAGATTAAAGGGAAGAAACATTAGTCTCGTCTCCGTCATCCACAAGGATTCCACCTTCCGGAAGGCCAGTGGTCACTGTATGAGTGGTAGTGGTGATGGTCTCACGAACCAAGTTTCCATTCGAACCATGCCTGAAATTTTCGTATATTCTAACGATTCTAAACGGGTTTTCTGAAAAAATTCCCAAAATCTCATTCCAAATGTTTTAAGATTTTTAAAATCCCTCACTCTTCTTCCTCCTCAATCACAGATTTGATATCATGATGATCTTCTTCTTCTTCCTGGTCCTCATCATCATTGTTGTTTTTCAAATCGTCTCCTGATTTGATAACTGTCGTGGTGGTAGTGACCTGGAAAGTATAATTCGATTAAGAACAGTTAGATACGGCTATCAATTCCACTAACCGTTTCGGTGTAGTGCGTTCCGGTTTCATCGGTGTGCTCCATATTGCTGATGACCTCGTGGACGTGTTTGTTGTCCTCGTCCCATTCCTTCTCGTGGACTTCTTCGTTTGGCTCATAGATGGATTGAGTCATCTGGTAGTCAGATGGAACATGGTCGTCATGAATGATCAGGGAATCCGTGGAAATGTTATCGGCGGCTCCATTTGGTGACAACTTCTCAGATTTCGGAGATTCTTGCTGATGAATCGGGCTGTAACTTCCATTTTCATTGCCGTTGTCGGTGATAACAGTAACGGTCTCCGAAAAAGTGTGATGAACGTTTCCATCGTTGAATTCGGCATGGGTAGACGTCTCCTTGATGTGCTGGCTTCCATCATCCCACTCCTGAGTGTGACTCTCAGTTTTCGGCTCAACCGACGAGCTCCGAGATCCGTCATGATCAGAGGAAGGTTGATAGATTGAAGTCATCATGGCGTGGCCTTTTCCCGGTGATGTTTGCGGAGAGAAGCGCTCCTCGTAAGTGTTCACCATGCCAATGATAGCTGGAGCCTCGGTGAGCGCCTCTTGAATCAAATGGGAAGCTTCCTCATCAGCAGATTTATTGATGATATCCTCGAAACTTCCATCCGTCGGACTGGTGAGTTGTTCGGCAATTTGTTCAGCAGTAATCGGCACAATCGCTGGGTTGGGATTCGTGGCAACAGGACTTGTCGATTCTTTGGTTGGAGAGTTGTGATAGGCTTCCATGTCGATACGATCGGCGATGGCGATTCCATGTACACTTCCTATTCCGTTTTCCAACAAAACCGGTTCCTCGATCTCGACATCTTCTTTTACGGAAAGAGATGGGCTTGTAGGGGCAACGACTGGGCTCTTGGGAACCGCGTGTTCCGCTTCCGATTGGAGAGGGCTTTCCATATTTCCATGGGATGGATTGTAGAGATCCATAGCAGTTGGACTGTGAGCCGCCGGGGCAGGGCTCGCCTGCTTCTCCGAGTGAGCTGGGCTATGGGAAAGCGGAATATGATGCTGAACTTCGAAGGTTTCTTCTTCGTCTTGTCCGATTTCTTCAGCATCACTGGTGTGAATCGATGGAGAACGGGGAGCAATAGGATCTTTTTCGGACAGAACTGGGCTCTCCGGAGCTGTGGGATGATGATCGAAATGCTCAGAAACATGGGAAATGTTTCCTGGACTTTGTGGGGCAACAGAATTATCCTCAAATCCTGGGCTGGCGAATGTTGACTCAAGATGCTCTTTCTCAAAATGCTCCGAGACATGAGAGCTGTGCATCGATGGAGCTGGGCTTTGCGGTACATCGGATTGCTGTTCGAAATTCTCCGATGCATGAGAACTGTGCACAGAAAGCACAGGGCTGTGAGGAGCTGGAGCTGCACTCACAAGTGGTTCGACATGCTCCGACGCGTGATAACTGTGGACTGACAGCACCGGGCTGTGTGAAGCATGATCAATTTCGTCCTCCTCTCGATGCTCAGACAATCCATGGCTGCCGTGAACAGAAAGGACTGGACTTTGTGGAGTAGCATCATGTTGCTCGAAGTGCTCGACGACTTGAGTTCCGTGTACGGAAAGAATAGGGTTTTGCTCAGCTTCTCCCGCATGGTGCTCCAAAATCTGGGAGGTGTGATGATGCTCCGAGGAACGACTGCTATGAACCGAAAGCGCAGGACTCTGAGGGACCTCCGTATGATGCTCAAAGTGCTCCGAAACATTAGAGCTGTGGATTGAAGCTGCTGGACTATGAGAAACCGGTGGGAGCTCTGATTCTTGAATTGGAGAAGAACGAGAAACAAATGTATCTTTCTCGGAATTCACTGGGCTTTGTGGAGCAGCAACTTCGTGTCCAACAATTTCGGAATCATGGGTGAAAGAAGCGGCCACATCTTTCTCGGAGGGAACTGGACTGGTCAACACTTGGTCATGATGCTCCAAATGCTCCGATGCATGAGAGCTACGAATAGAAGACGCAGGGCTCTGTGGGACATCAGCTAGGCGTTCGAAGTGATCCGAAACATGAGAGCTACGAACAGAAGACGCAGGGCTCTGTGGGACATCAGCTGGGCGTTCGAAGTGATCCGAAACATGAGAGCTACGCACGGAAAGAGCTGGACTTTGTGGAACAGCAGCTTCGTGGGTGGACTCAATAAAGGATGAAGCAACGCTCTTCTCGGAGGCAGCTGGGCTTTGCATGGTTGGCTCGTGATGCTCGTGATGCTCCGATGCACGAGAGCTACGCACAGAAAGAGCAGGGCTCTGTGGAACGTCGGAAGAATGTTCAATGTGTTCCGATGCATGGGAACTGTGAACAGAGAGGACTGGACTTTGCGGACCGCTGACGGCAATAGGTTCATGTTCTGACTGAACGGATGGAGATTGAGCGGCTACCGGGCTTTGTGGAGCAGGACTTGGAAGAGCTGGAGACTTAGCGACGTCTTTCTCGGACAGAACTGGGCTTGGTGGTGCAGGTGATTGATGATCCTCTGTCTCCGAACGAGCATATGGGCTTTCAGGTTCCGAAGCAATATGCTGGTCATATCTGAGTTCGGGTGGGCTTCCAGATTTGTCCGAAATTGGTGGGCTCACATGGGCGTCGTGTGCCTGAGTTTGAACTTCCAGTGGTTCGGTTGGGCTTGGAGTAGCATTGACAATTCCAATTTCATGACGGACAAAGTGTTCCTCTGGAGTTTCACGATCTTCCTCCGCATACTCCGGCTCCGAATCGCTGTCCTCATAATCTCCATGAGAATGATTAATTGGAGCATTATCCAAGACAATTTGACGTTCAATATGGTCATCAAACTCTTGCTCATCATGTTCTGGAACTTGCTCCGACTCATGAGCCAAATGCTCAAGAATATCAGCTGGTGGCTCCTCCGTGGGCAGTCCGTCAGTTGGAGAAGAACGATCAAAGGTCTTCTGAGTTTCCAAAACTGGAGAAACTGGCGGAGAAGGCGTCGGTGTCTTTTTGGGCTCGTCCGAAATCAAATTCTCCACAGTGATGGCAGCGGTTCCAATTGCTGCAACAGTAGCAGCCGCCGCAGCTCCCGTGAAGATTCCATGTCCTGAAAATTTAAACATTAAGTCAATTTGTTGTATCATGCTGTCTTACCAGTCACAGACGGGAGTGTCGGGAATGTATTCACGCTAATAGCCGTAGGCGGGGATTTGGACACAGCAGTGATTGCAGTCGTTGTGGTTGTGGTTGTTTGTCTCTTATTCGAAGGACGTCCCCGAGACGGAGCCGGTCTGAAAATAAAACAATGGATATAAACTCTGGTCTAACTGGCTTATGACTCACTTCTTGACTGCTGGTGGAAGTTTGGTGGTTGTTTGTTGGAGAGACACCGGTGCCGGTGGCTTGGTTGGTACCCGCGCCTTTTGTGGGTTGATAGGTGGGAGACGAGTGTTCGAATCTGAAAAAAAACTCATGAAATTGCATTACATAAATCATTCGCTTTTTTGTATCGAATATTGCAGCTCTACGGTTTTATCCCAATGATTATCTCTGGTCCATTTCAAAACCGCTTACGCACCTTTCCGTTTTCGCGTAGTTGGCGGACAGCTGGTTCGATTATCATGACTCGCATTCAATTTGTTACCGGTGGTTGTTTTGCGTCCCCGCATGTTGAGCACACTTCTGAAAGTTGTTCTCCTCTTTCTCTTCTACATTTTTACTAGTTAGTCTTGCTCGAACAATGCTACACTGATGGTGAAAACGGTGATGGAGTAGGCGGACCATTTTCTCGGCTCAAACATGCGCATTTGCATAATAATAATAACAATTATTATTGTTATCATAATTTCACATTCAGCCGTGACACATAAGGCATGAGCGCGAATGGCACAAAAAAAAATGCAAGTTTATCTTTTCCGTTGTTCAAAAAATATTTGAGCCGAGTGGACTCGCATTTGCAAGTGTTCACTGGGATATTGTGATGTTGAGTAGGAAGTTTGAAAAAAGCGAAATGGGAGCAATGTGAACAGAAAGTGCCGTGCTTGAGGATAGGGTGGCCTAAAGGGAATGAATATGTGAAGCGGCAAAAATTTGCGAGAAAGGTTGGAATTGATTGTAATTCCATAAAAAGCCATTAAAAAGTGTAAAAAAAAGGAAATACACCAACAATACTGAACACAAATGGTAACTTTTCCATTTCCGTACTTTTTCTGAAACTGAAAACATTCTGCCCAGTATTGCGTGTATTGCTGTATAAACCAAAGAATAGAAAGTGAAAGGAGCACACAATCACAAGTAAAGGATAGAAGGATTTTTGGACACAGGTTCGACACTGAGAAGTAAGACGGGACTCTTTCACAAAGGCTTTTCGAAGAAGCACCCGGATGAGCGGAGGCGTCAAAAAGCGGGGATTCTCATTTCACTGGACACTGGACTGTATTAGTACCTCAACGGCTCTTTCAGGGTATTTCCGGGAGCTGAAGCAGTCAGACTAGGTAGCGATCTGAATATTATTCAACCATGTGGTGGACACGGACAACCATCGTCGTTTGGATTTTGGAAAGTCAAACGTGATAGAGAAATAATAATAAAATAAGAAAAAGAGATAGAAATTACTAAAGAAATCTAGTCTTGCTAACAGAGAAAAGTACAATTCTTTGTCTGAAGGTGCTGAAAGATTTCTAAAGAAAACTACCTGAAACCTATGATATGTGAAAGAAAGCGTGAAGGTTTGATAAGACATATGTATTTACAATGAGGTTGATAGGCAGTGACATTTCGATTAGAAGCAAATGGGTTAGTCAAAAGCCAAACTTCTTGATATTTCTACACTCTCAGCTGTCTCTCTCTCTTTCTCTCTCTCTCTCACCTTCGCCGGAAGAACCACGAAGATTGTTGTGGAGGTGGTTGACGAGCAACCGAGTGAGGTCCGAATGAGATCTCACGGAAACGCTCGAGGCGTTGCAATTGCCTTTTCAAGTTGTCTTTGTAGGCGATAAGAGTGTTATCGTCTAACTGAAAAAAACATAGTTTTCAAGTAGGTGCTTCATGGCTACAGTAAGTACCTTGTGAAGATAATTGAAGCGCTTAGCGTTTGCCGACAGTCTCTTGTACGGATCCCTGGTATCATAATCATCTGGATCCGCGTTGCGTTCCTCGATATGTTGGACAAAGTCCCTATCCTCATAGCTATTGGAGAAGCGACGTTGACGTCCTCCACTGTTTCCCTTCTGACCAGCCCGATCTAAAAATAGCGCACAGTTGTTTTATTTGTGGTCATCTAATGTAAAAGTACTTCTGCTCAGACTACGACTCGGCTTTCCGCGCCGGTACGATTCGGGGCTTTGTCCAGTCCGGATACGACGACAAATCTCCACTTTTTCGGCGGCGTCGAGCTTTTTGCGCAGCTCGGCCATCTTCAAAAGCTGAGCTTCTCTGAAATGAATGTTGTTTCGCTGGTGGTTATTTTGCTGCCAATGGCAACCTGTTCTTGAGCATCATGTCCATCATTGCGTGGTGACGCGCGTACACTTCGTCGCCATTCAAGTTGAGCGTCGACTCCAGCTGAAAAAGGGAACAATGTTTCTTTAATGACTTGAGCAGGAGAATAAAGAGATGGGGCATGTGCACTTTCGTTGATCTGTGGTTTCTAGGAAGAAGCTCAAAAATCCCAAGTTTTAGCATTTTTTTCTGAACTCTTGCATGCCCAAGATTCAATTCTTTCTAACTGGTCACATAACCTTGTTCCACTGATTACATTCCTCAACATACCTCACAATTTAATTCCCCCTTCAGGTGTAATTCGCCAGGCTAACCCCCTTCTCTTCTGCCTACCTAATACACAATTTCGAGGTCTTTCGAACCATGAAATGAGTGGAATTATAACACCCTCGCTCGTATTTTTGCAATCTGGCGCGGACAATTACCCGTACATAACCATAACACATAATCCCGTCCCGTCTGTACGCGCGCGCGCGCAAATGACCTGCCAATTGGCTTTGATTTTGGGGGTGGTCACTATGCGAACGTGTGGTAGAACAAACAAAATTTACGGTGTTGGTTTCTGTACTCTTTCAATTTGAACACGTGTACAAACATATATCGGAGGAAGTCGGTCCCCCGACAACAATGCGAGAGCCGGAAAGGATGAATGTGGCCCCGAAACGTTCAATTATGATGACAAATTCCCTGGGGTGTCACAAAAACTTGCGCGTCCCTCTATCTTTTGCGTCTTTTTGTCCGAGCCCTTTGAATAGATTGTCTGAAGCTTTCGTTTCTTTGCCAATCAAAAAAGATGAAGATTGTTCTTTCTCTCCAGTCTCTTGAGGGGATTGGATGATTGGATTAGAAGCAGAGATTAGAGTATGAATTCATATGAATAAGTGAAAGTGCACTTGAACTCTTTTTCAGTGTGCAAAAATAGCTCAGCAAGCACAAAGTTCACACTCACCAATCCCATTTTTTGCAGGTGTTTTTGCATATGGGGCAGCGCAAAGTATTGCCGCAGATGGATGTCATAAAGTGGATTGTAGTTGTCGAGAAGACTATCGGCCATGGTGACGTCACGTCTTCTTTCTCGAATTACCTACAATATCTATTTTTGGCAAGCTAATGCGGAAAAGGAAAGCAAATGAAAATGAAGAGGAAAGATGGGAATGGGAATGGGAAGAAGAAGAAGAAGAAGATGGAGAAATGGTGTAGATTTTGGAAGCGTTAATGTGTGCATCTGATGGGAGCCGAGCGAGGAGCAAAGGAACCAAACGAGCCGTCATTGGAGGAGGAGGAGAAGCACAAGGAAGGTCTCACATTTTCTCTTTTTTTCGAAAATGAAGATGGCCGATTGAATGTCTTCATTAAGGCAAAAAGGAGGCCGTTGCATTTGCAGAGTTCAAGTTTTTGGGTTCAATGTTCTATCTCTTTAATGGTTAATCTACTTATAGCTATTTCTCGAGTTCTGTGCAAATGAGTTGAAATTAGTCAGTGGAGGAGCATTAATAAGGACCCTATGACACTATACTGCCACAAAGACTGGCGCCTTGCCAGTATGAATGAGCTCCGGTTGGCTCCCTTGACTACAATACTTTGAATTTTTGAGCAAGGTGTGAATATGAATGAGAGTATGGCTCTCGCTCTGTGTCTCCGCCGGCTCGAAGCTCCCCGTCCTCGAATATATAGAATTATCGCCATTAGCAACCGTCGAATGAGTCGAGAGCTCTGAGAGCCGAAAGAGAGCCGGCTCAATGTGCCTGGCGGCGACGGCTTCTGCGTGTTCACGCAGCTGAACTTTTATCGAATTGGACTACGGTAGAATGAGCCGACGGAGCGCGCGCTCTTCTTTTTGGCGTCTTGGAAGAATAAGAAGGAAAAAGAGACAAGGACAAAGAGGACAGGGGGCGAGAAACGCAATTTCTGTTGCTCCGGAAGTCGCGCAACGTTTTGCATATTCGAAAAAGAAGCGTGCTTGGTAAAGGGAAGAAAATTCGGTTTCGCAAATGAAAAATTCATAGGTACAAACACATAAACACATGCAGAAATGTGCCAGTCACAAGGTTGAGTGGGGTGGAAGATGAAGAGTGTGTTGCACTTGAAAGTTTAGGAGGACACAAAAGTTTCGATTTTTGGAATCATTCGAAAAGTGATAAGGAACACGCGTGCCATACTCCGAATGGTGATGACAATTGCACGGAAAAGATAAGAGAAAAAGAAAAAAATTGAATGGAATAGCAAAACAAACACACATAATCGGATGAGAACTAGTGTCAGAGTGAGAGCGAGAGAGAGAGAAAAAATGCGAGATGTTTTACTGAGATTTTTTGGTACTGACTCGACTGTAATCCACACCGAATGTAATCTAATCCGCTCCGAGGACCTCTATGTAAGGACGACCGACGTTTTTGGCGCACCCTAGCAGAACAAAAAAGCGAGAAGGATAGGAGAACAATTCGGTGTAGTGTGGCCAAGAGGAGCGGAAGGGGAACGAGCGGTTCAATTAACCCATAGGGGAGGAGCCGGATTTGGTCGGCAGCGATGGAGAATCAGAGAAAGAAGACGGACGGATGAGAGCGGGGAAAGGGGGGAACGGGAGGCCTCTCATCCCCCGTCCGGCCGTCCGACCGGACAAATGTCTCTTCACGGAAAAGGACACATCGCTCCGAAAGGAGGTCCGTTTGGCTTGATATGTGTTCTAAATCAATTAATGACCAAACCAAATTGGCATGGAATGGGAAGCTTGACCGGAAGAAAGATGGAATAGCGGATTGAGAGCAAAAATATAGATTTCCGGAAATCTGGATGGTGTGTCCACTTCGCTGATACATCACTGGATCTTACCTCTTCAATTTGAAATACCTTTTTGCAATCAAGTTTTTATAACTTTCAAGCAATAACAGAGCACAAGTGGAATCGAATTTTTGTAGATAGAATTTCAGATAGATTATTACATTATCACATTTCGGCCACTTTAGCAACTGTGTGTCATAACAAATAATATGATTCACAAGTTGGAAAGAACTTGAGAAGATTCCAAAATTCTGGCGAAAATAATTAGTCAACAGAAAAAATCAGTAAGAAATTCGCTCTAAATGTATATTTCCCACACGAAATGGTAATTTCTACCCGTTCATCATTCTCCCCCATCACTCCTTTCACGTATATTTACCACAAGTGTCTTCCCCCCTCGACTGGTCAGTGTGGGGAGGATAGGCTACCAGTGCGCGCCATATACCTAATTAAAAGAAGCCCTTGTTGCCGAAAATGAGAGGTGTGGTTGGTTTTGTAGGTTAGCGGAAAAGGGACCAAAGCAGGCTATGGGACACAAACATGCGAGGAGGAATAGAAGAGAAATCGATAACTTAATTAGAGCAGTGGAGAAAAGAAAATTGAAGGGAGAGGGTCTACCGCCTGCTTCCTTTGCAAAAATAGAAGTGAGAAATGGGAAAGAAGGGGAGAAATACGAAGAACAGTGAAACGGAACTGAAAAATGAATAGAATGCACAAGGGAATCGGAAGGTAACCGGTGTGTGACGGAAAAATGAGGTGCATGCATTTCATAGGTCCCTGCGTCCCTCTTTTCCGGACCGTTTTTCATTTTCTTCCGAAGGTTTATAATTGCAGAGGGTACGTTCGGGGTTATTGGCATTGAAATTAGCTCATAAATGTGCGTTGTGGGTGAGTGGGGGAGTGGGTCCATCCGAAAATAAGAAAAGGAAAAGAGGAGTCACTTAGAAACAGCAACCCAGCTGCAGCCTTCACCAGTTGAGGGGGATAAATGAATAAGAAGGAGATGGGGATGGATTCATGGAAAGATATGAAAGAACCCCCCCCACTTTCCTTGTATGAAGGATGAGGGATGAGCGGATGGCATATACATGTACATATATTTCATTTTTCCCTAGACCACTGACTCTTTGTCCCCTTCGGCTGGTGACATTTGGCTCGGCTTGGCTTGCCACCGCAAAAATTGGCATTTTGTTGGAATTTTGAGTTGTGCTGTCAAGTAGCTATAGTCGACATTTTGGTTAAAGTTTGTATGCATTTCGATAGACCCCTAGGCAGTAATAACCAGGAATTTCATTAAGAATCACTCAAAATTATGGATTCCGTTCGAATTCTACACAATATTGAGAACCTCGGGGCCACAAGATCTTAACTTTGTAAAAAAGAACCAAAAATTGTCAATGACTTATAACGTCGATTCTTATGTTTTTTGTTCGATCCTCTCCCATGTTTTCTCACGTATGAATAATTCATTAGTGAAATAACTATATGTTTTTGACGTTTCTCCAAGCTCACCTCAACAGAGAGACTTAACTTCCGCAAAGTTTTTTCAAAAGCGTGCCGAAAGTCATAAAAGTAACGAGAAAAAGTGTGCAATTTGGTCAAAGATAAGCCAGCTGGGAAAGGGAAACGGGCGAAAAAGCAAGCATTTCCCTTCGGCGCGTAGCAAAAGATGCTGCTCCAAAGAGATTCAGAGGAAAAAGCAAGGCATGCGCGAAATGCTCATTTAGTGCTGGAAAGAGGACACAATTAAGATGAGGAAATGTGGAAAACAAGGAAAGAAGAAGAAGAGAGGCACAAAATTAATTAAGCGGTTTGTGAGCGAGAGGAAAAATGCATTTGGAGCACAAGACGAGGAATCTTTCACACTCGATACACTAAATGAATTATATATTGTTGTTGATGCGAGAAGAATTGGAAATTGGAAATTGGCAAAACAGGAGGAATTCGGAGGTTGATTGCACTTGAGCCCGTGCTCCCCCCTTATTCTTCAGAATTTTTCCTTGTTTTTTTGCTCCCCAAAAAAACGGAGCGTCATATGGAGGAGAAGAAAAGGGGATGAATGCACTGATTGATAGGATAGGAAGGGGTTTGAGGAAGAATATGTGCAAAAAAGAGGGAAAGAAGCTAGAGAAGAGTCTCTGTTTCCAACTGGAAAATGGTTTCTGGAAGATGTGTCCCCTGAGTGTCTCTTTTTTGTTCGAACCCCTTCGTTCTTGAGACAAGCGATTGTTTAGCTGACCAAAAATGTGTGCCGATTCTAACCAGGATTGTTTTGATTCAGTATCTTCAAACTGCCAGGGGGAAATTTTGGAAAATTGCTCAAAAGTCATTAAATCAAAAATTTGCTGGGTTCCCCGAGAAAAGTTATGGCCAAGTCATAAAATATCAAGGAAAAGTCGTTAAAAATGGAGGAGGAAGGAAGTAAAATCAGTAAGGGGACTAGATTTTAAAAAGAAACCAAACAATTTAGGAAATATACAAAATGGCAGCCGAACTTTAAGGGCTTCAGCTGATTTTTGGAATAACGCTGAACCATGTAAAGTACAAACATTCACGTAAAAAGCATTAAATAAGGTTCACTGAGCCTTCTGATCTCACCGCAAAACGTGCAGTTTCTTCTTTCTTTTCTCATTTTCCCCCACACACACACACACACGTTTACGCAATAAAGTCCAATACTACTAATAACTTCGCGCCTCGCCGAGCCCCTCACTCATCGTTCCGAATTATTTGTAACATCTGTGTGAAAGATGTATGAAACGAGAAAGATCCGAAAGAACAACTATCAGGTTTCATTCGAGAAACTTTGTGTCGTGCTTCCCTTTGTGAAGATGACACACAGATTGACAAGACGACAAAAAGAGACAAGGGGGAAAATGGAAAATAGAGTGACAAATCTGAGGGTGAGAGAGAGAGAGAGAGAGAGAGCAAGTCAAAGCTCAGTTTTTCACCACAAAGTATGTTTTTTTTCAAACCAGGAGGAGAGCGACGGATTTAGCCTATAGCTCGATCGCTGCTTTCGTATTTGGAAGGGCTTTCCGAACCCTGCAATTTTCAAGTTTCTGTTTGAAATACCTATCCTGAAATTGGATTATTTGATCTGGAAAGTTAAAAGACCAAAATGCAACAGCAAAAACTCCTTTTTTGGTCGTTATTCTGCTGAAATTTTATAGTAGATACTCCGAACTAGGAAAAACAATCTTACAAAGTTTGGTTTTGGCTGGATGATTGAAATTGTGTCAAAGGTCCAGACCACGGAAAGCTCTTAGAAGTCTTCTGTCTATTCAATGTTCAAACGAACAAATGTCAGGTTAGGATCAAGGATAATTCAGTCCAAAGTGAAAGCTGAAAAGTAGGAACAGCATCCTGAAAAATAGTCAAAAAAAAAGTATCTCTAGAGAATGAAGAAGTGAAGTTGGTTAGGCTTACTCTCTCCTTCTCACGACTTTCTTAGCGGGCAAAAATAACCTTTTCTCACTCGTTTTTCCTCATTTTTTTGTGCCGTAAGAATAGAAGATGAAGTGGGAGTGCAGAAAAAAAGCACACTTGAGGCGTGCGCCTTTCTTCTGAGGTTTGAGAAAAAGGGAGTGTTCAGCAGTTTTGCAACACAAAGCCGGAAGGCCACGAATTGGAGATTTAGATGCTTGCTCAAACAAGATCAAGATGTATTTGACGGCAGAAAACACTGAAATTTGATATTGAAATCCTTGAAAAAACCAACAACACCGCCGGGAGATTCTCTTTCCTATCTTCTTCACCAAACGCTCCGGATGAGAAGAAAAGAACAAGAAGCGAAGAATATGATGATTCCGAAAGGCTGAGGGGCAAAAAGAAAAGATGATGATGATGATTCTCGACGACGTCGATTACTTGAGAGGTAAATCATTGGGCGCAGTGAATAGTAGTGAATAGACTCAACCTTGTCCTCCCTCTCCTACACTTCCACACTTCCCCCATCCTCAATTGAGGTCATTTAACCACTACACCAACACCACACACCGCCTTTTCATTCATTATTCATCGCTAATACTCATAATGATGGGAAAACGGCTAAGCCATATGACGTCTATTATAAACGAACGAAATGATCACGAAATGCTTCCCAAGACTACTATAACCTGTACATTATTATAGCATTCATTTGAATGATTGGAATTGGATGGATAGATAGAGAATCGGCAAAAAACTTTCATGGAATGAAAGTAGAGGAAGAAGTAGTGAGGGACGTGAGAGGGGTAATTCGATACCTTTTTCGGTCAGCCGTGTTGTTGCGAAATTGCGCGACAAACCAAATAAATGAGTCGGAATGCACTGAAAGGCTCTCTCTCTACTACCTAGGTGTATTCAATAACCGCTGTTCAAATAATAATCCGCTCTTTCTCTCTTTCAATTTCCTTCTTTAGTCAGTGCCCTGTTTACCTCAACATGTTTCAAATGGACACATTTGTACGTTTTTGACCGGGGAAAGAGAAAGGAAATAGGAAACGAGAAAAACAGCAACTCCTCAAGTTTGTATGCAGACAGTCTCATCTTTGATCATGATTTGACGTTTTTCTCGCTGTAAGTAACCCAGGACTGGGTAAATGGCCGGGCCGCTTTTTAAGACCAGTCGAGGCCTCGAACTTCGACTCACTTGCAATGTTGTAGATATCGTTGGTATTTATCTTCGTGTACACTTTGTATTTCTACTGTGTAAGTTGAAGTATTTGCTTCTTTGGGGACCCATTTTGCGGAATTTCGATGCAATTCACTTTATTTTCTTCCGACCTTTCGCTCTCTCGACCATCATCTCTATTATAATATAGTTTCTGAAAAATCTTATTATGAGCTATGATTATTCAGGATGTTGTCGTATCTATCAAATCTTTTACATTACCGTGTCTCAAAACGGGCATTTTAATACATTTTTGATGTGTGACACAAGAAACGTTCAAATTTTGACAAATTCATTGTTTTTTGCTTCGAACACACAGAACCTTGAGTTATTGCAATGTCAAGGGAAGTAGGGGAATAAATAAGAGAATGAGGAGAAAATAAATTAGAAAGGAGAAAAAATAGAAGAAATACCTGTAGGAGTGAAAGAAAGGTTGGGGAAAAGAACAGAGGGAAAATGAAGGGAAGTGGATGAACAATTGAGATTTTATTATTCCATTTTACACAGAGGTGAGAAGGTTTCTTTCTAATTCACACTATTCTTCTTGGATTGGATTAGGATTAAAACAACATTTTTAGAGCGAACATTTTAGTTTCTTTTTTTTTTACAAAATGAGCACCATTTTTGGATGAGCAGAATTAGAGAAAAAAGGCCACAAGAGATGAGAAAACCTATTGGATTAACAGGAACAGAAACAAAAAGAAGATTGAAGAAAAAACAAAGCCGTTCTAACCATTGTGCGTCTGGAAGTTGTACAACGTTGTTCCCAAAGCGGCGAATGGTGGAGGCCTGTAGAGGGCTCCGAGGGTGTCTTGTCTTGGAGTTTGATTTGGATCTGCTTGAGGTTGGAGGTTGAATTGCGTGGGTTGTTGCCCTCCATTTATGTTTTCTCGTTGTGGAGCTTGGATGTTCACTCTTTGGAACGATTGCTGAAAAGTTAAAATCAGTTTTAATAATGTTTCCTAACTGAGCATTTTATTTGGTTTCTTTCAGCATATTTTGAGAACAAAAGCGGATTTCAAAGTAATAGTTCAAATTGCCAAATAACTTTCAAAACAAATTACCTTCCGATTCTGTTCAAACGTCAGTTGTTGTTGTTGTTGTGGTGGCGCGAAGAACTGCGGAGCAGGTGGTGCAACAAACTGTGGCATTTGAAGAGCAAACGGACTGTTCGGGTTGGTCAGCAGTGATCTCGTATAGACGTCCAAGTTATTCAACTCTCCTGGCTGCACATTTTGAACTCCTTGAAGCCCGTAGACTGGTGCTGGTTGTGGGGCCGCATTAAGTCCGTATCCGCCATACGCTGGAGGCTGTGGTGGTGGTGGTGGAGGGAACAGGCCGAATGGTTGATGATTGTATGGTTGGAGGGGAGTCAGATGAGGTGCCTGGGGAACTCCAAACATGTGTGGAGCTGGTGGCGGAGGTGGTGGTGATGGTGGAGCTGGGAATTGGAAGAGGTTCGGTTGAGGCAAAATGAATTGAGGGAATGGAGGAAGAGGGGCGAACGCGAATGGATTTGGAGGAGCTGTTACTTGGGGCATCGGTTGAACCTGCAATTAAATTATCTTTTGTAGTCAAATTATTTCAATACTTTAAAGGTTTTCTATCAATTCCAGTCAAAGGTTGGTTGTTCATTTCTTAACATCCGCATTTCTGGTTTTATCACTAAAAACGTGTTGTTGTTGCATGTTTGCCTCATTATCAGAAGAAGATAAAAACGATTCGAACGGAAATGAAACATAAACATTATGTGAGTGACGCACGCCTCTCTTAGCTGATTTCTAATGATAGGAATCCGATCAAAAAGTCAAAAGATTACCTGGACTTGTACTGGAGGAGCGATAGTTGTTGGCGCTTGTGTGGTTGTATGAATAACTCTTGGTTTTGGCGTCAGAATGCGTCTGGTGTACGGGACAGTGTTGCGAGTTAGTGGGACAGCTGTCGTCTCTTCCTCACGATTGTTATTGCTATTGTTTTCAGCGGTCGGGCTGGAAAATTATAGTCAAATATATCTTTTAAAAAACAAATGTTACTTAAAGATTGGCGCGCCGAAACTTCCGATAAACGGCTCGGATCTTCCCTTCTTTTCGCCATCTTCATGAACGCCGGCAAATGGAGATACAACACTAAAAATGTTCAATTTTTAAAAGAATCATTCACAAAAAAAAATGATATTTTACTTGTGAGTAGAAGAAGTCTTTGGCTTTCTCTTGTATGGTCTTTTCGAAACTTTCTTCTCTTGAGCTATGTGTGGATGACCTTCATGTCCAAAGTTCATGGCCGAATTGGTAGCATTACCAAGCACTCTTCTGATTTCTGGTTCCACGTCGTCATCATCTGAAAATATGTGGACTTGAAATGATACAATTATTATTGATAACTAACATGCTACTTCAAACTCTGGAGGGTCTGGCAGACAGTTCATTCGACGGACGGTAACTTCGTAGTAGGTTCTGTAAACATTTTTTGTTGTTGTCAATGGCTTTGTGGTTTTTTCGTATGGGTACAGTATCAGAAAGCTCATTACTAATGTTTTCAGTTCTGTTCAAAGAAAAACCCCTATAATTCAGCTGGCACCCTTTAACTGCGCTCTATCATTCCAAAATTTGCGGAATTTGACGAAGAATTTCTAGGCGTTGACAAACGTTATCAAAAACAACGATAAAAATATGTAATTATAATGTCCCCTCCGAAAACATACAGCGCAATCAAGCCGGCTTCTGTCCCTGTCAACGCTTCGTCGATCGCACCTTTTCATTGATGATCTCCTTATCAATAATGAATATTATTCCATATATTATCATTCTGCCGAAATCAGTCAAGTGTGTCTGTTTGTATGTATCTAGTGCCCGGTTTTTTTCCAGATTCCAAACGCTTTTTTGAGAAAGAAAAAGTTCAGAAGATGCGAGCGAGAGATGCAGATATTATCGCTCCACTGGAAATCAAATCGTAGATTATTGTCGTGTTCTATGTATTTCTTGCATTCCACACACTTGTTATGCTACGGTGCTATGTACACATCGCGCTTTTCAAGAAAAAGTGATACGGAAAATGTTCTTCTCTACTTCCCGCATCCCGAGAAGGAAGAGGAACCAATAAAACCTCCGTAAAGCCCGGGGAGGCGTAAAATGTTATCAGCTTCCTTCACCTCTTTTCTATCATCAAGAACCCATTTTCATCATTTCAAGAAAGATGATAAAACGCGAATACCGTTTCGGATCGTCTGGGTCCACCAGCTTACGGACGTTGGCGATAACATCAAACGAAATTTGGCGTCCTTCACGAACCACTTCTCCGCCGGTGACGGCTTCTCCTGAAAAAAAGTGATGAGAGTGTTCCATAAATCAAGTCGGGTGCGGGGGGAGAATGTGGAAAAGGGTAATAGTAGTTAGTACCTGCTGAGATGGTGGTCACACCGACATCCTGTGAAAAGCGGAGTCCTTCAAATGTGCAGCATTGAAGAATCAAACTGTAATGTGAAAATGAGATGCAATGTGATTTGACATGACATTTCAAGAAAATTTATGAATGTTTCTGGTTTTCCGATTCCAATTTGCAGTTCGACTTTAAAGTGCACTGATTTATCTTCTAGGACGAGAATTATTAAGAGAAGGACAACTAATTGGATAGCAGCTTTTAAAATATGACTTTCGTCAGTCTACCGTAAGAACTGTAAATGACCTGATGTACCTTTTCCGACTTTCGGATGCTTCACAGTACTTCAATTTGAAATACCGCAATCGGCAACACATAAATTATAATCATTGGATTCTTTTGATCGTGATCATTGCTTCCTAGCCGTTATTATCACTTGGGTTTGAGACTAGATGCTTACGGTTGTCTTGGATGATCGATGAAATCGATTCCACCGACCCACTGGTTCTTCTTCGTGCACGCAAAGTCCGAAAACGAACCGGGACATTCCTGAAAAAAACGTGTCCATGGCTATTATCCAAATCTTCGTTTTTCACTCATCACGTTTCATTTCAATTCTATTCCAATTAAGGAATCGATCAGAACATTTCTTCCTTCTCCTTCATTCCGTTCTTCGAATGAATTTGACCAAAAAAGATGGGAGAAAAGAAAAGAAATGACCTAATCGAATAAACGTGATACGCGATTGATCTTATCTTCTTCCAATGGGTTTTGCGGGACGGAAAGATGTGTTTCTTCTTTTTCTACTCCCCGTGTTCTATTAGGGCAACGGAAGAAAGGATACAACAGAACGCTTTTCTTATTTTGGATTGGATATATGGACAGGAACTGAACAAAAAGACGTAAAGTGGACATGGACAATGTTTGTTTGTTGTGATACATGAAGACGGCTCCACTGATTCATAACACTTACTAAAAAAATGCCACAGAACTCCAAAGTATTCAAAGATCCCACACCTTCAAATCTGTATTTTTTCCTTATTTTCTGTTTTTCTTCTCTCCCTCCTACTTGACAACTTCAAGTAGTCTGTATCCCTGTCTAATTAGGTAACACCTCCCTCAACAGTGTAACTGACTAACTAAGTAACAAGTATGGTTGGTTTCTATTACTTTCACGTCTTCTCATGAGTCACCGATGGTGTGAATGAACAAGGGGGAGAGGGGGATTACGTAAAAACAAGAATAGACTTGGACTTATCCATATCCTATCCCACCTCTTTTTCCCTCCCTGCCGCTTTTTCATTCACCAATTGGTTGGATGTTGGAGATGACAATTGGATGGACGCTGTTCGTCATGTTTGCTTTGCATTTGGCTTTGCATTGTGGTTGGAAGAGGAGGGGAGGGCTTGTCCTGTGTGCGAGCGTCGTAATATTGAAGAAGCGTGACATATTTGTCGACGTCTTCTCTCTCTCTCTCTCTCTCTACTCCTTACAGTGACGAACGGAAGCTAACAATTAGACGCCGGGCGCCTAAAACGCGTCAACTAGTTGTCAAAATGAAACTTAAAATTGGTTGTTACGTCAATTTAGCTTCTGCCTCCCTCGAGAAAGGGAGAGGAAGTACTACAGTTGGCGGGACACACGTACAAATAGCTTTTTCATCCATCATCGAATCCATTTACTTATAATAATAATACACTAGCATGTCGGAAGATTGAAATTGGATGGATGGCAACTTTTTGCGATTGGAACAAATGCAACTTTGCATGATTCCGAAATCATGGTGTTCGATCGTCTGAGAACCGTAAAAAAGACAAAGTTAATCCGATAATCGTCTTTTCTGAAGACGAGGGGGAAGGGGTTTAGACCAAAATCTTCTTATGAGTTGCAGAACATTTTAGAAGAAGGAAAGGCTAGACGAATTCAAAAGATCAAAACCATCAGTCAATCTCAATCCTAGTTAGCAAATGAAGTTTTCTTTCTGTTTCCTCCTCTCCCTTTCTTGTCTTTTCAAAATTGCAAGATCATCATCAAACCGTTCCCGACCCCTTCTCCTCAAGCGAGGGACACAATTGAGTTTGAGCGAAGACGGCGATAGAGATTGAAGCTAATGAGACAGTTGGTTGTCGTGTTTTTATTGCAAGTGTTTTCACTTGTTCATGTCCCTTTACTGTGTTCGCTCGCCCACGCGCTCCCCGCTAAGCCGCAAGCAAAGCAAGAGGAAGACAATGAGGGAAGTAGTTAGTTAGCCGCCGCTTTTTGCCTCATGAATAGATAGAATAGCCCCACCATCTTGATTAGCTGGCAACAACGGGAGACGGAGGAGACGTGGGAGAAGAAAGGGAAGCAGAGAGCGAATGATAAGGAAGGAAAGTGAAGGGGTAATCACTGGGTCAGTATGGATATGAAAATTTTGAAGGGGAACTATTGGGGTTTACTAAAACGTCAAGGAGAACAATGTCTGCTATCTTGAAACACATTTAGAACTGTTATTTTCTCAACACTTATTTCAAAAGTTTGGAAGAACTTGTTTTGCCAATCAGTTACTAAAATTTTTTGACCAAAAGAGTAAATTTGAGGTTTAGAGTGAAAATTGAGCACTTTGAGCAAATAAGTGTGTGTGAACTGTGAAAACAGGTTACTGTAGTATAACGCAAACTTACCGCTTTTGGCTTATAGCTCTGCGAGTAGCTCCTTCTCTGTCGATCACCTTCCCGGAAAAATCCATCCTCTTGTCCGGCAGAATTCGCAATAAAAGTGCTATCCTCATAATCTTCCGATGGTTCAGCCATACAAGTTGGCTGAGCGCACCCCAACACTGGTGAACCTTCAAAAGATATTCGGTCAGGAGATAAACGGCTATTGTGTCAGTTTGTGTGCAAACATACCGTCCGACAGGATCTCTAAACTGTACGGCACCCCATTCGCACCACAGTATGACGCTTCAACGGCGTGATGTTGTAGAATAGAAAAGAGAAGGAAAAGGAACGCTCGGTGGCGCGGGCGCATCCTAAAAGTGTGTGAGTGAGTGTGTATAAACTTTCTGATTCTGAACAGAAACGTTTCGAATGAAAATGAAACACTTGAGAGTCAAGGGGCTACAAGTACAAATAGTACAAAGAATATCTGGTCATTAGAAGAAGGTTATGAAGTGAGTGACCAAAAAGTTTATATGGTTCATAAGAGGCGTGATGAGGGGTCAATAGAGATGCCTAGGAAAAGTGGTGACGTCGACAAAAAAGATATGAAGGAATGGGGACGACGCACTGTGCTGCGGGGCGCAGATCAATCAATGCGTTACGAAAAAGCGGTGAGAGGCAGAGAAAAAGGGGTGAGTGGGCGGGGCTTGAAGGCTTAATCTTGATGACGACGTAGTGTTGCTTCGGGAAGATGAAAATGATGAAGGAAAAGAAGAAGAAGAAGAAGAAGAAGAAGAAGCTGGTGGCGAGGGGGAGTATACACGCATTGCGACTATTAACAAGCTTGCAACCTTCCTGTTTATCACTACCCCACCCTGTATCTTTTCCTTCCTACCGACCGCCGGCCCGCTTTATCCCCCCACAATAGCGCGATCTTTTCGCTTCCCTTCCTATCATACCCGTCATCATAACTGGGTGGAAGAAGGGGGTGGGAATTGGTCGGAATTTAATTCGGAAACTAAAAAGCTATCAAGCCCAAAAGTTTAGGTGGGAACAAAGCCCGTTTCTCATAAACAGTTCGAACTTTATTCGCAGTGAAGTTCTGATGGGAATCGGTGTTCTTCTTCATTTGAAGAATTCAGTTCTGTAGATTGAAGAGTTAGAAATAATAATGAAAATAAGAACAGAAAATATTGTTAGTGGTAGAAAAAGAGAAAAATCAGAATGAAATGTTAAAGCTCATCAGTTTGCGGTGAAACAAAAAAAAAGATGTACCAAAAAGATCAGGGTGGACTGGGGAAGGAAAGTGAGATTTGTGGAGGAAAAATAGAGGAATTACTGTGACCGAATCTAGTTCCCGTCCACTCTCCTCCTTTTCATTTCCCCTTCTGCCTACAAAATACTGGAACAAACTTTCAGATAACCAAACTAAAAATAACACTTTTGTGTTTTGGAGATTGAGGTGAAAAGGGAAGGAAACGAGAAAAGAGGAGGAAAAGGTGATTGGATCCGATAGAATGGGGTGAAATTGAACGACGACTGGGATTTGAACGACCTAGACAGAACATTGACGATGGGAAAAACCGTGTAGAGCTAGAATTGATTAGAAACCAGATGAGGGAAGATTCTTTAGAATCAGATCGACAACAGCTTGAGCATCATCATCCGTCAAAGTGGAAGCAGCGACGACATTTGTGAGTCCTGGTATGCTTGTCGCTCCTGAAAATTTAAGTATTTTTTCCAAGCTTTAGCATTATGCAACAGATTTCAACTTTCAGCTTGCCATTTTTCAAAAAATAGTTCTATTTTTGAGGGGTCCTAAAGTAAGCTTATTAGATAGCCGAAAAACAATTATTTAATGGCACGAGAGTTCCATTTTCAGATCAGCACAAATTGACCCCTGAGGTTATTTTGAATGCCAAATCAAATGTTATTCACAGATTTTTAATATCTCCTTTAGTTTTTCCAGAAAGTTTGAAATTAAGGGGTTTCTAAATTTATTGGGGGCACTGTACGGAGCAGCTTGAATTACCTCCAACTAATGCTCCGACAACGGTGACAAAATTGGTATAGTTGGTTTGGAGTGTCGTACCACCATAGGCATCGCTTTCGCTGAAAATTTTCATTTCTCTTCGTCTCTTCGAGCAAATAACTCACGCTGCAGAAATAAAAACCAAACAAGTTTGATCTTTGACTGGAGGAACCCAAACGGCTGTTTCCAAGCTGGCATCCACACTGAGACAAACCTTTCTTTAACATTTTCATCAGAAAAACCTACTCTTTCAAATCCAAACCAATATCGTCATCATCCGTAGTAATTGAATACGGAATGCTGTTGAACTCATCTAACGAGTAAGGCACGTAATTTTTATGGTCATCATCTGGTGGTCCGTAACCAAAGTTAGCAATGTACCCCGAGAAATCAGCAACAGCGGCCAATTTGTTACCAATTTTCAAAGCAAAATTGAAATACTGGAAAAAAAAATCATTGAGAGTGAAGTTGGAAAGATTACGAAAGTTCGAAATATTACAGTTCGGTAAGTTGACACCGCTTCTGATGTAATACCAGACGATTGTGCATCGAACATCATCAGGCATGTAACATTCGGTCCTAAACAATACAAAATCGTTTTTATATCATACTTATGTGAGCTCACTCGAAGCAGTGGTAGTGGGAACTGATGTACCTGAAAGAAATAACAATTAGGCAGCAGTTAACAGAACAACGATGTAATTCTGACTCTGCTTGCCCACCTCGCAAATATTTTTCCACAGAAAAGTAAAGACAGACGGGTAAAATGAGGGAAATGGGGAAGGGTGAAGTTGTCTTGTTTTGCTTCGGAGAGCTTGAACACTTCGAAGACGATTTTTTATCACGGAGTTTTATAAACTAAGTCTATGAAGAGAAAAATTCAAGTCCTGTCCTTGCGAATATTGTTGGGGAATAGGAGAAGTTTCTGGATTAAGGTGACACATAGAAGTAAAGACGATTTGAAGGCAGAAGATCACTGATGAGAAGTTACTGCTTTTCTACTGAAAACGGCACAAATAGTTGATGAGCAAAAAGTATATATTGCGCATTCACTTAGGCCCTAACAGTTTGCTTCCAGGTGAAGTGAGTAAGTTAGCAACAGTTCTCTAGAGAATCAACTGAACAAAAAATTAAATCGTGTTATCGCTTACAAACAAGATGACCAGAAAAATCTTCAAATCAGCTTCATTTACAAGTATTCTAGGCTGTGTGAGCAGAAACTTACTGGAGCTCAACGTCGAACTGATTATAAAATGAGTTGATGAAACACCAGTTGAATGGCTACTGGTGGAATCGGAAAAATAGGTTATCGTAAAACCACCAGTGGAAGAGGGGACTGGGGAAGAGGATGAAGATAGACTGCTCGATGCAGAGCTGACTGTCGTACCTTCAGAGCCTCTAGAAACCGTTGATCCGATCGTGGAAGTGAATGAGGGGGAGGTGGACGGGATGGGGCTACTCGATGCAGAGCTTACTGTCGTACCTTCAGAACCTCCAGAAACAGTTGATCCGGCCGTGGATGTAATTGAGGGGGAGGTGGACGGGATGGGGCTACTCGATGCAGAGCTTACTGTCGTACCTTCAGAACCTCCAGAAACAGTTGATCCGGCCGTGGATGTGATTGAGGGGGAGGTGGACGGGATGGGGCTACTCGATGCAGAGCTGACTGTCGTTCCTTCAGAGCCTCTAGAAACCGTTGATCCGATCGTGGAAGTGAATGAGGGGGAGGTGGACGGGATGGGGCTACTCGATGCAGAGCTTACTGTCGTACCTTCAGAACCTCCAGAAACAGTTGATCCGGCCGTGGATGTGATTGAGGGGAGGTGGACGGGATGGGGCTACTCGATGCAGAGCTTACTGTTGTACCTTCAGAACCTCCAGAAACAGTTGATCCGGCCGTGGATGTAATTGAGGGGAGGTGGACGGGATGGGGCTACTCGATGCAGAGCTTACTGTCGTACCTTCAGAACCTCCAGAAACAGTTGATCCGATCGTGGAAGTGAATGAGGGGGAGGTGGACGGGATGGGGCTACTCGATGCAGAGCTTACTGTCGTACCTTCAGAACCTCCAGAAACAGTTGATCCGGCCGTGGATGTAATTGAGGGGGAGGTGGACGGGATGGGGCTACTCGATGCAGAGCTTACTGTCGTACCTTCAGAACCTCCAGAAACAGTTGATCCGATCGTGGAAGTGAATGAGGGGGAGGTGGACGGGATGGGGCTACTCGATGCAGAGCTTACTGTCGTACCTTCAGAACCTCCAGAAACAGTTGATCCGATCGTGGAAGTGAATGAGGGGAGGTGGACGGGATGGGGCTACTCGATGCAGAGCTTACTGTCGTACCTTCAGAACCTCCAGAAACAGTTGATCCGATCGTGGAAGTAAATGAGGGGGAGGTGGACGGGATGGGGCTACTCGATGCAGAGCTTACTGTCGTACCTTCAGAGCCTCTAGAAACCGTTGATCCGATCGTGGAAGTGAATGAGGGGGAGGTGGACGGGATGGGGCTACTCGATGCAGAGCTTACTGTCGTACCTTCAGAACCTCCAGAACCAGTTGATCCGGCCGTGGATGTAATTGAGGGGGAGGTGGACGGGATGGGGCTACTCGATGCAGAGCTTACTGTCGTACCTTCAGAGCCTCTAGAAACCGTTGATCCGATCGTGGAAGTGAATGAGGGGGAGGTGGACGGGATGGGGCTACTCGATGCAGAGCTTACTGTCGTACCTTCAGAACCTCCAGAAACAGTTGATCCGGCCGTGGATGTAATTGAGGGGAGGTGGACGGGATGGGGCTACTCGATGCAGAGCTTACTGTCGTACCTTCAGAGCCTCCAGAAACAGTTGATCCGATCGTGGAAGTGAATGAGGGGAGGTGGACGGGATGGGGCTACTCGATGCAGAGCTTACTGTCGTACCTTCAGAGCCTCCAGAAACAGTTGATCCGGCCGTGGATGTGATTGAGGGGAGGTGGACGGGATGGGGCTACTCGATGCAGAGCTTACTGTCGTACCTTCAGAACCTCCAGAAACAGTTGATCCGATCGTGGAAGTGAATGAGGGGGAGGTGGACGGGATGGGGCTACTCGATGCAGAGCTTACTGTCGTACCTTCAGAACCTCCAGAAACAGTTGATCCGGCCGTGGATGTGATTGAGGGGGAGGTGGACGGGATGGGGCTACTCGATGCAGAGCTTACTGTCGTACCTTCAGAACCTCCAGAAACAGTTGATCCGATCGTGGAAGTGAATGAGGGGGAGGTGGACGGGATGGGGCTACTCGATGCAGAGCTTACTGTCGTACCTTCAGAACCTCCAGAAACAGTTGATCCGATCGTGGAAGTGAATGAGGGGAGGTGGACGGGATGGGGCTACTCGATGCAGAGCTTACTGTCGTACCTTCAGAACCTCCAGAAACAGTTGATCCGGCCGTGGATGTGATTGAGGGGGAGGTGGACGGGATGGGGCTACTCGATGCAGAGCTTACTGTCGTACCTTCAGAGCCTCCAGAAACAGTTGATCCGATCGTGGAAGTGAATGAGGGGGAGGTGGACGGGATGGGGCTACTCGATGCAGAGCTTACTGTCGTACCTTCAGAACCTCCAGAAACAGTTGATCCGATCGTGGAAGTGAATGAGGGGGAGGTGGACGGGATGGGGCTACTCGATGCAGAGCTTACTGTCGTACCTTCAGAGCCTCCAGAAACAGTTGATCCGATCGTGGAAGTGAATGAGGGGAGGTGGACGGGATGGGGCTACTCGATGCAGAGCTTACTGTCGTACCTTCAGAACCTCCAGAAACAGTTGATCCGATCGTGGAAGTGAATGAGGGGAGGTGGACGGGATGGGGCTACTCGATGCAGAGCTTACTGTCGTACCTTCAGAGCCTCCAGAAACAGTTGATCCGATCGTGGAAGTGAATGAGGGGAGGTGGACGGGATGGGGCTACTCGATGCAGAGCTTACTGTCGTACCTTCAGAGCCTCCAGAAACAGTTGATCCGATCGTGGAAGTGAATGAGGGGAGGTGGACGGGATGGGGCTACTCGATGCAGAGCTTACTGTCGTACCTTCAGAGCCTCCAGAAACAGTTGATCCGATCGTGGAAGTGAATGAGGGGAGGTGGACGGGATGGGGCTACTCGATGCAGAGCTTACTGTTGTACCTTCAGAACCTCCAGAAACAGTTGATCCGGCCGTGGATGTAATTGAGGGGGAGGTGGACGGGAAGGGGCTACTCGATGCAGAGCTTACTGTCGTACCTTCAGAGCCTCCAGAAACAGTTGATCCGATCGTGGAAGTGAATGAGGGGGAGGTGGACGGGATGGGGCTACTCGATGCAGAGCTTACTGTCGTACCTTCAGAGCCTCCAGAAACAGTTGATCCGATCGTGGAAGTGAATGAGGGGGAGGTGGACGGGATGGGGCTACTCGATGCAGAGCTTACTGTCGTACCTTCAGAACCTCCAGAAACAGTTGATCCGATCGTGGAAGTGAATGAGGGGGAGGTGGACGGGATGGGGCTACTCGATGCAGAGCTTACTGTCGTACCTTCAGAGCCTCCAGAAACAGTTGATCCGATCGTGGAAGTGAATGAGGGGGAGGTGGACGGGATGGGGCTACTCGATGCAGAGCTTACTGTCGTACCTTCAGAACCTCCAGAAACAGTTGATCCGATCGTGGAAGTGAATGAGGGGGAGGTGGACGGGATGGGGCTACTCGATGCAGAGCTTACTGTCGTACCTTCAGAACCTCCAGAAACAGTTGATCCGGCCGTGGATGTGATTGAGGGGAGGGGGACGGGATGGGGCTACTCGATGCAGAGCTGACTGTCGTTCCTTCAGAGCCTCCAGTAACAGTTGATCCGATCGTGGAAGTGAATGAGGGGGAGGTGGACGGGATGGGGCTACTCGATGCAGAGCTTACTGTCGTACCTTCAGAGCCTCCAGAAACAGTTGATCCGATCGTGGAAGTGAATGAGGGGAGGTGGACGGGATGGGGCTACTCGATGCAGAGCTTACTGTCGTACCTTCAGAGCCTCCAGAAACAGTTGATCCGATCGTGGAAGTGAATGAGGGGAGGTGGACGGGATGGGGCTACTCGATGCAGAGCTTACTGTCGTACCTTCAGAGCCTCCAGAAACAGTTGATCCGATCGTGGAAGTGAATGAGGGGGAGGTGGACGGGATGGGGCTACTCGATGCAGAGCTTACTGTCGTACCTTCAGAGCCTCCAGAAACAGTTGATCCGATCGTGGAAGTGAATGAGGGGGAGGTGGACGGGATGGGGCTACTCGATGCAGAGCTTACTGTCGTACCTTCAGAGCCTCCAGAAACAGTTGATCCGATCGTGGAAGTGAATGAGGGAGAGGTGGACGGGATGGGGCTACTCGATGCAGAGCTTACTGTCGTACCTTCAGAGCCTCCAGAAACAGTTGATCCGATCGTGGAAGTGAATGAGGGGGAGGTGGACGGGAAGGGGCTACTCGATGCAGAGCTTACTGTCGTACCTTCAGAGCCTCCAGAAACAGTTGATCCGATCGTGGAAGTGAATGAGGGGGAGGTGGACGGGATGGGGCTACTCGATGCAGAGCTTACTGTCGTACCTTCAGAACCTCCAGAAACAGTTGATCCGATCGTGGAAGTGAATGAGGGGGAGGTGGACGGGATGGGGCTACTCGATGCAGAGCTTACTGTTGTACCTTCAGAACCTCCAGAAACAGTTGATCCGGCCGTGGATGTAATTGAGGGGGAGGTGGACGGCATGGGGCTACTCGATGCAGAGCTGACTGTCGTTCCTTCAGAGCCTCCAGAAACATTTGATCCGGCCGTGGATGTGATTGAGGGGGAGGGGGACGGGATGGGGCTACTCGATGCAGAGCTGACTGTCGTACCTTCAGAGCCTCCAGTAACAGTTGATCCGGCCGTGGATGTGATTGAGGGGAGGTGGACGGCATGGGGCTACTCGATGCAGAGCTGACTGTCGTACCTTCAGAGCCTCCAGTAACAGTTGATCCGGCCGTGGATGTGATTGAGGGGAGGTGGACGGCATGGGGCTACTCGATGCAGAGCTGACTGTTGTTCCTTCAGAGCCTCCAGAAACAGTTGATCCGGCCGTGGATGTGATTGAGGGGAGGTGGACGGCATGGGGCTACTCGATGCAGAGCTGACTGTCGTTCCTTCAGAGCCTCCAGAAACAGTTGATCCGGCCGTGGATGTGATTGAGGGGAGGGGGATGGGATGGGGCTACTCGATGCAGAGCTGACTGTTGTTCTTTCAGAGCCTCCAGTAACAGTTGATCCGGCCGTGGATGTGATTGAGGGGAGGGGGATGGGATGGGGCTACTCGATGCAGAGCTGACTGTTGTTCCTTCAGAGCCTCCAGAAACAGTTGATCCGGCCGTGGATGTGATTGAGGGGAGGTGGACGGGATGGGGCTACTCGATGCAGAGCTGACTGTCGTTCCTTCAGAGCCTCCAGAAACAGTTGATCCGGCCGTGGATGTGATTGAGGGGAGGGGGACGGGATGGGGCTACTCGATGCAGAGCTTACTGTCGTACCTTCAGAACCTCCAGAAACAGTTGATCCGGCCGTGGATGTGATTGAGGGGAGGTGGACGGGATGGGGCTACTCGATGCAGAGCTTACTGTCGTACCTTCAGAGCCTCCAGTAACAGTTGATCCGGCCGTGGATGTGATTGAGGGGAGGTGGACGGGATGGGGCTACTCGATGCAGAGCTGACTGTCGTTCCTTCAGAGCCTCCAGAAACAGTTGATCCGGCCGTGGATGTGATTGAGGGGAGGTGGACGGGATGGGGCTACTCGATGCAGAGCTTACTGTCGTTCCTTCAGAGCCTCCAGTAACAGTTGATCCGGCCGTGGATGTGATTGAGGGGAGGTGGACGGGATGGGGCTACTCGATGCAGAGCTTACTGTCGTACCTTCAGAACCTCCAGAAACAGTTGATCCGGCCGTGGATGTGATTGAGGGGGAGGTGGACGGGATGGGGCTACTCGATGCAGAGCTTACTGTCGTTCCTTCAGAGCCTCCAGTAACAGTTGATCCGGCCGTGGATGTGATTGAGGGGAGGTGGACGGGATGGGGCTACTCGATGCAGAGCTGACTGTCGTTCCTTCAGAGCCTCCAGAAACAGTTGATCCGGCCGTGGATGTGATTGAGGGGGAGGTGGACGGGATGGGGCTACTCGATGCAGAGCTTACTGTCGTACCTTCAGAGCCTCCAGTAACAGTTGATCCGGCCGTGGATGTGATTGAGGGGGAGGTGGACGGGATGGGGCTACTCGATGCAGAGCTGACTGTCGTTCCTTCAGAGCCTCCAGAAACAGTTGATCCGGCCGTGGATGTGATTGAGGGGGAGGTGGACGGCATGGGGCTACTCGATGCAGAGCTTACTGTCGTACCTTCAGAGCCTCCAGTAACAGTTGATCCGGCCGTGGATGTGATTGAGGGGAGGTGGACGGGATGGGGCTACTCGATGCAGAGCTTACTGTCGTTCCTTCAGAGCCTCCAGTAACAGTTGATCCGGCCGTGGATGTGATTGAGGGGAGGTGGACGGGATGGGGCTACTCGATGCAGAGCTTACTGTCGTACCTTCAGAGCCTCCAGTAACAGTTGATCCGGCCGTGGATGTGATTGAGGGGGAGGTGGACGGGATGGGGCTACTCGATGCAGAGCTTACTGTCGTACCTTCAGAGCCTCTAGAAACCGTTGATCCGATCGTGGAAGTGAATGAGGGGGAGGTGGACGGGATGGGGCTACTCGATGCAGAGCTGACTGTCGTTCCTTCAGAGCCTCCAGAAACAGTTGATCCGGCCGTGGATGTGATTGAGGGGGAGGTGGACGGGATGGGGCTACTCGATGCAGAGCTTACTGTCGTTCCTTCAGAGCCTCCAGTAACAGTTGATCCGGCCGTGGATGTGATTGAGGGGGAGGTGGACGGGATGGGGCTACTCGATGCAGAGCTTACTGTCGTTCCTTCAGAGCCTCCAGTAACAGTTGATCCGGCCGTGGATGTGATTGAGGGGGAGGTGGACGGGATGGGGCTACTCGATGCAGAGCTGACTGTCGTTCCTTCAGAGCCTCCAGAAACAGTTGATCCGGCCGTGGATGTGATTGAGGGGGAGGTGGACGGGATGGGGCTACTCGATGCAGAGCTGACTGTCGTTCCTTCAGAGCCTCCAGAAACAGTTGATCCGGCCGTGGATGTGATTGAGGGGGAGGTGGACGGGATGGGGCTACTCGATGCAGAGCTTACTGTCGTACCTTCAGAACCTCCAGAAACAGTTGATCCGGCCGTGGATGTGATTGAGGGGGAGGTGGACGGGATGGGGCTACTCGATGCAGAGCTGACTGTCGTTCCTTCAGAGCCTCCAGTAACAGTTGATCCGGCCGTGGATGTGATTGAGGGGGAGGTGGACGGGATGGGGCTACTCGATGCAGAGCTTACTGTCGTACCTTCAGAGCCTCCAGTAACAGTTGATCCGGCCGTGGATGTGATTGAGGGGAGGTGGACGGGATGGGGCTACTCGATGCAGAGCTGACTGTCGTTCCTTCAGAGCCTCCAGAAACAGTTGATCCGGCCGTGGATGTGATTGAGGGGAGGTGGACGGCATGGGGCTACTCGATGCAGAGCTGACTGTCGTTCCTTCAGAGCCTCCAGAAACAGTTGATCCGGCCGTGGATGTGATTGAGGGGGAGGTGGACGGCATGGGGCTACTCGATGCAGAGCTGACTGTTGTTCCTTCAGAGCCTCCAGAAACAGTTGATCCGGCCGTGGATGTGATTGAGGGGGAGGTGGACGGCATGGGGCTACTCGATGCAGAGCTGACTGTCGTTCCTTCAGAGCCTCCAGAAACAGTTGATCCGGCCGTGGATGTGATTGAGGGGGAGGTGGACGGCATGGGGCTACTCGATGCAGAGCTGATTGTCGTTCCTTCAGAGCCTCCAGAAACAGTTGATCCGGCCGTGGATGTGATTGAAGGGGAGGTGGACGGCAAGGGGCTACTCGATGCAGAGCTGACTGTTGTTCCTTCAGAGCCTCCAGAAACAGTTGATCCGGCCGTGGAAGTGATTGAAGGGGAGGTGGACGGCAAGGGGCTACTCGATGCAGAGCTGACTGTTGTTCCTTCAGAGCCTCCAGAAACAGTTGATCCGGCCGTGGAAGTGAATGAGGGGGAGGTGGACGGCATGGGGCTACTCGATGCAGAGCTGACTGTTGTTCCTTCAGAGCCTCCAGAAACAGTTGATCCGGCCGTGGATGTGATTGAGGGGGAGGTGGACGGCATGGGGCTACTCGATGCAGAGCTGACTGTCGTTCCTTCCGTTCCAGGATTCGTGGAAGTACCAATAGTTGTTGCTTGAGACGATACGGATGATGCCGATGTTCCTTCAGTCACATACGATGTCGATGTTGATGTTCCAGTATTTGTTGCTGATGTTGATCCAGTTGATCCCGTTGAGGCCGTTGATCCCGAAAGAGTAGACCCAGTCGCTGCCGGAGTTGAAGATCCTGGTGTAGGGAAAGAAGTTGAACCAGAAGCTGTAGAAGCAGAAGTTCCGCTTGACGTTCCGTAGCTGACAGTGGTTTGTGCTGAACTTGGCAATGTTCCTTGTGTTGACAAACTAGTTTGCGAGCTGGGATTTGGAGAGGATCCCAGTGTCGTGACAGTTGAAGAAGACGCTGCATTAGTGGAGCTTCCGGACGGCGTGACAGTCGATGATGGATTGGGGCTGGATGATCCAAGTGAAGTGAAGGTTGTTTGTTGAGAAGTTGAACTAGAAACTACCGGAGTAGTACTAGAAACTATTGATGTACTAGCCGAGCTAGAAGGTGACGACGCTACGGAACTAGCTATTGTAGCCTGCGACGTTGACATACTTGGCCCAATGGTTGAAGTAGGATTTGTTTGAACTGACGTTGCTAAGCTGGCCACTGTTGGTGACGTCAAGGGGCTCGTAGGAACTGTTGCCGACGTTACCGGACTCGATGGAACTGTTGCAGATGTCAAAGGGCTTGTTGGTACCGTGGCTGACGTGACCGGGTTTGTAGGGACTGTAGCTGAAGTCACTGGACTTGATGGGGTTGTTGCTGACGTCACAGGATTCGTCGCAGTGGATGCTGACGTGAATGGGCTTGTTGGTACTGTGGCTGACGTTACGGGGCTCGTTGGTACTGTAGCAGATGTGACTGGACTTGATGGGACTGTAGCAGACGTGGCTGGGCTTGTTGGTACAGTAGCTGATGTCACCTCACTTGTGGCAGTTGATGCTGACGTAACTGGGCTCGTTGGAACTGTAGCGGATGTCACCGGACTTGTAGGAACCGTAGCAGAAGTGATAGGATTAGTAACTTTGGGAGTTGTCGGAGAAGTGACGGGACTCGTTGGCTGAGTTGCTTTTGGCGTTGAAGGTGTCGTTACGGTAGTCGTTGTTGTAGTAACAGAACTTGACCGAACAGGCTGCGCAGATGTAGATTGACTTGGCACCACCGACGAAGACTGAACTGCAGCAGTTGAGCTTTGAGCGTTAGCTGTAGAAGTCGGCAGAACTGTAGTGGTGGTAGTAGTTGTGGTAACTGAATACAAGGTTTTAGAGGTACAAAACAAGATGATGCTTTACTCACCTGGTATTCCAAGAATATTGTTGATTTCGTTACTAATGTCTGTGACATTCGACGCAACAGGCAAATTATGATTGGCCTCGCCATAATTTTTATACATGGTGGCATTGTCCATTGACAAAGAAACAATAACATATTTTTGTTGAAATTTGTTAAGTGTTGCTGCCACATTGCTAATGTCTTTCTCATAGTCCCTGAAATGAAAAATCAGTTGGAAACCGAAACGAACGAAATCTTGCTCACTTATAATCCTGCTTGCATGGCGCAAAGAAAACAAAGTCACTGTTGTTGTACGTAGTAGGATCATAGCTATCGATAGCACTAAAACCGATTTTCATTTAAAAAAAGTTGCAAAATTCCAATGACTTACGATGCCTGGTTAATGTTGCTACCACCATTAGCATTCAATGCTGTCACAATAGCCAGAGCGTTTGCTTTTGCTAGCACACCAGTTTTCTGTAAACTCAAAATCTGAGTCGTTTGAGCATTGAAAAATTACCGTAGGACTGTCAGAATATGACATGACAATGAATTTCACATCGGAAGCTGCACTTTGCACAAAATTTCTCACTTGGACTCTGTTCTGAAATACTCCATATTCTTTATTCCCGGAATTCCAAATAAGATTGAATTTACCTTTTCAAAATTGCATCCGTCTGATACAGCTCTCTTGAACCGTAACCCGGTAAAATCTTCACTCTTTGAATTGCACAATCCCACAGTGATAACACGTCCATCATACCCTTAATTGAGTCATTCTGATAAGGGAATGCAACAATGTTGTAAATATTGATACTTTACTCATCAGTTCGTTTCCAAAATATTTGCGTTTAAGACATTTGTTTGCACATTGATGAAAACGGAAAATTTGCAGAATTTTTCTGAGGTTAAACGTTCGGGGTTTGCGTTTTTAAACATTTTTCTGCAACGAATAAATTTTACCGTGGCAGATATCATCCGGTCTGTTGCAACTGCAGCTGGCATGAAAATACCGGAAAAGTTCTTACAAAATCGTCAAGTTCTTATTAAGTAGAATATTTTTTTGTCCAACAAACCTATTGCAACATCATTTTTTTTTTTAAATACTTACCCTCCGCTTTGTTGGGCCTACTGACAAGAACGATGGTGAGAATAAGACCGGCCAACAGTGCGGCAGCCACCGCTATCATAAATGCAAGTCCAATCCCACGTGGTACCCTCATTTCTGCAACAAAGTTTCATAATCAGAGGAAAATGTTGTAAGGAATAGGTAGGAATTTCGGTTATATAAGAGCAGAACACACTAAGAACGTGCTTAACGGGTCAGAGCCTTTCGGCAAACGAAGAATGCTGAAATTTTCAGCGGAATGGAAACGAAGAAACAGAGAGAGAACTAGAAGGAGAAAAAGAAGAAGGTTGGCCATGAAGTTGGTCTTAACGATCAAGGATGATTGTAAAAGAGCCATTATAAGAGGAGGTACACTGATAACAATTAGTATTTTTTGGCGCCAAATTGTTGAGAGTGGGTTTTTCTGCGGATGAGCGTCATACAAAAAGATTAACAGGAAAAATGACGTTCAAGAACAGGAACATTCTTCTAAATGTAAAAAAATTGTTGTATATACATATAATATCAGCGTTACGTCTTTAATGTGGGCGTTTTCCTCGAGAGTTCAAAAAACTGTCAAATGATAATCAGCTACTATGTATACTGATAATTTATCACGAATTCCTCGTGATTCCTACACTAAATGTCAGGAGTTATCAAGAAAACGTTGGCTCAAAAACTAGTCAAACTCAAAAAAGTGGTAGAAAAATGACATCGCACAATAAGACCTACAGAACATTTTATTTGCACAGAAAAGTACTCTAACACCTGATAGCCAGTACTATTAGTACATTTTTTCATTATCATACCACCGTTAAGAGCTCGGGCTCAAAAACTTGTCTATTGAATGTGAAAATGAGTCACTGTTGCAACCACCCACCACTTTTTCCCCGAAATCATTTCATTGTACACATGTCGTGTTAAGGGTGGTAGTCGTAAATTGAGGAATGTCAAACAACTATTACCAGGCTTGCACACTCATATTAAATATTTTCAGCCTGGAAATATGGGGGAGGAAGTTTAAGAAAGAGTTTAACACGACCGGAATGAAGTTGAGTTGAAATAATGATGAAATTCAGCGTAAACAAATAAGGGAGGTTTCATTTGCACCGCAATACCCAGCGATAAACGGAGGAGAGTGGAGTTTAAGAGAAAATGATAAAAATTGGCAACATCTTGAAATCGATCAGAGCTAGGAGCTGCCTACGGTACGGTTCTTTTTTCAAAGATCGCAACCGAGGTAAGACGGAAACGGTACGGTAAAGATTTTTACTGCTGGTTTTCTTTTGGCCAACTTGCCAACATTTTTCAACGACGTGTTCTCGGATGGCCCAGAAATTGTTTTTCAAGTTCGGAGCAAATTGGTCGGATAAAAACAGAAAAGTCTGCGAAGAAAAACTGAGAGACATAAACACGAACAGCCTTCAAGTCTAATTAATAGTAAAATTTTCAAACCGAATGTGCATGTAGTCCTTTCGAGCTCATGTCAAGATTTGTATGGTGTCATCTCCTGACTACTCTTCTCATCCGTCTCCCGTCCGACCAACTTTCTTGTCACTCGCCTTTTTCTTCTTCTCTTCACTTTCTCCCTCTATTCTTCTCATTTTTCTACAACTGATACGCATTCTTAGGCGAGGAGTGCGTCGTTTTTGTGTCGAGTATAATCGTGTCTTTGGAATGCTCTGCACCACCACTCAACGGAGTGAAAACGTTGCTCCAAAACCGTTATAATCCGACAGGAATTATCAAGAATCGCCCTATTCTGAGAGTGCGAGTGCCGGATGTGCTTATGACGAAATATTTGGGTAAAAATACGGTGGGGGAACAGAATAAAAAAACAAATGAGAACAAAAATGGGGATGGGGTCAAGATCCACCCATTCAATGAATTTTTTAGAAAGATGAAAGTACGTTTCTGAGAAAGGGAAACGGAATGTGAGATTGTGTGCTTTTCTTTCTACAGAACACAAGGTTAGGATCTTTCCGAAAAGTACAAGTTTAAAGGAACATCGAATACGTCTATACAGGTTTTCACCATTTCGAAAAAAAAGCTCGACCAATCTAAAAATTCAGATCAAGGTCAAAGCGAGTCACTCATTTTTAGTATCAAGCTAGCAAATATTGATAGCAACAAAGTGTTGCGGTTTGTTTTAAATACTGACGCACAAATACGAAAAAAGCAAAACGAACAGGGCGTCGACCGATCCGGGAACCTCCCAGCCTATAAAATGATAACGGGAACACGAGAGTTTGGTTGATGTACTCCGTGAGCAAGGGCGTCAACCGCAATCAGGTCAGCGGTGCACTCAGTGACGTAATGGTGGTTTTACGACGCTCGAATTCTTTTGTTGAAGGTGTCTACGTACAAGCAGAAGTTTATCAAATCGAGTAAAGATTGAATTTGGTATGGGTGATGGAGATGTTGTGAATTGATGTTTTTATCTTGTTTTTATTGTCAAGTTGGTATGTTTGGCGAAATTCGAAACTACCATGATTAGTTCTCCTGCATCTGAAATACCTACATGACATTGTTGTCCAAATGCTGGACAGCGCAAGAGCTGAGAATATATTTCTGGAGCTTTCAAATCAAAATCTCATAACAACTCAATTGACAGTTTTGAAGAATAGTTGAGAGAAGCAAGCAATGCGACTGATTTCCTCCATTCTCCTCTTGTGACGATGCTACCGTGCTCAGCTCATCAGACCCGAATATGTGTTTTTTTATCACTTCAAATGTATTTGTTGCGTCGCTCTCAAACACCTCTTTGAAACAAACATTAGACAGCTTTGTCTTTGTTGTGTTTCATTGTAGCAACATTTCAGATTTCTTCAGAAAAGTTGTCTTTAATTTTCCTTCTAATTATTACCCTGAACTCAAAAAGTTGAAAAAAATGTGTAGCATATTCGGACAAATTCCGCCCTCAGTTGTTAGTGCTAACCCAATTTTTTTTAAATAGTAAATAGTCTCTTGTCCGAAAAATCGGCATAGGTCTGAAAAAGTTGACTAAAATTTGCTTAGCTCAAAAATCCACGGATGATGTTTGAAAGGAGTACAAGTCTCCCTTGTACATGTGTAACACATGTGTATCCTTACATAGAAAATTGTGTGGTGTTAATTTTTTTATCAAATTTATGAAAACCAATTTATGGTACTTGTTCTGGTCAATGCATTCTATGCAAATTAATTTATGGTGGATGTATAATTTAAATGTGCATGTACTTGACTTTTTGAACACTTTTTGCAATATAAACCCTCAGTATTTCTCCGAACACATAAAACATTGGCTTTGTATTTTATTGGTGATAAAACATCAACATCTCGAACACCTTTCGTGTATAAAAACGGTTTGGAGAGCGGTCTTTCTCCAATATTTTCTCCTTTAACGAATTTGTCGTTCTATCTTCAAAAAGCATCAAAATTTCAGAGAAACTATCGGAAAAGGAAGGAAAAGGACTTCTCGACAAGATCCGGCGGAAACCTTGATTATTTTATTACATTTCTTCCCCTGGGCTCTAACTTTACGATTGTATGCATTTCTTTTATTGTATGTTTATTTCAACCACCATCATTCCGAGACCACACGGATCCAAGACGAATGATGAAGGCCGTGAGGCGTTTGGCGGGAAACTCTGCCATGATTAGTGGAAAAAGTATTGTTTTTCCCGACGGTCATGGCTTCTGGAGGAATTCCTGAGAACGGTACGCTTAGGTTAGTCGTTGTCTGAACTTTACCCAAAATTTCGCTCCGATCAGACAACAATTTTCTACCGTTATTCTCAGGCTCGCCGTTTAGAAGTTTCGGCTTCTCGATTGTTCTCTTTTGAATAAACTTTATTTGATCTGTCTACAGTGCATTGCAAAATTATACGGCCACCCCCGTTGTGCACTACCACGTGGCGTTCGAAAATATTTTTGACTTTAAAATCGATGCTGGAGTCAGTGCCGGAGTCAAGAGCTTAGTATAGCTCGTGAACGTATTCTGCGACGATTGGAGTGATCTGGAAAAACACGTTTGCATTGTGCATATGTTTGTGATTTGAGCTTACCGTGAAAATCGCAACTGCGACTTGCTTTCCAAACTTTTGTCCCTCCAGATAAGCCTCGTAAACATCATGGCTTTTGTCGATATCCGTTTTGATATCTGGTTTTCTTTTGGGAACATTGCAAATTTCCATGAGAAGGAAACCGCGATAAATTCAGAAAATTCCATCAAGACAAACATTTGCTCGGCGAAAAATGAAAAAGAATCTCTTAAAATGCAACATTTTTAAGTTATTCCATACTATCCCTAAATGTTCTCACTAAACATGTTGAATGCGATATCAATCTTCCAGATTTTTGAAGGCGAATTCAAAAATATGTATATTATGCCGGTTTTCTTCCAAAAAAAAAGTCTTTATGAAGTTGGCGCGCAGTCTGCGCACACAAACAAAATATGCGTCAACAGTGTCTTGTTGGCGCTGCCGCAATAGAGGGCGATCCTTCCGCCATTGCGCAATCACACACCTCCCGTCCTCTCGCCGTATTGTCTTTTCTGCGGTCGTTCGAGCGGCACTCACCTGTTTATTTCCGTTTTCTTCGATAAATTGTCAAATTACGTTCTTTTTTCGCTTGGTTCCTTGATGCGTCAATCATTTCTTGAGTGTGATCGTGTAAATAAGTGTCAATTTCAGACAATGTCCAAACTTCCGCAGTTTGGGACGTTTGTTCTACAAGCAAAGCAAAGAAATGGCGCAACATGTCACAACGGCCTTCCTCTCGCTTCGCCGTCGAGGGAAATGCTCGGACGGTTCGATGATTTTATTAACTTTCATAACAAATTATTTTTTCAGCTTTCCGTACGTTCAGAATGCTAGGCATGCTAATCTTGCCCAATATTTTCGGTTTTCCGAATCTGTCATTGGTAAGATGGTGTTTAGTCAAAAATCATTAAACAATTATGAATTTCAGCTCGGGATCTAGTTTTTCTCGTGGCCGAGCACTACAACGATACGCTCACTTCAATCCTTCGCACCAACAGTCACGAGCTGTCGCCACTATCAATCTACACAGATTTATTATATGGACTTGAATACTTGCACAATCGCAACCTTGTACACGGTCAGCTCGAACTCGATTCCGTATATGTCACGTGGACCGGAAATAAGATGATGTGCAAGATGACAGGTTTCGGTTTTCCGTAAGTTAATGTTCAAGAAAAAAAGCTATTGAAACACTTGCGCAATTTGCAAAGAAAGATGGACAATTACATACAGATTTCTAACGGATCACGGAAACTATGCCATCTCACCGAACAAATGTGATTCATTTCTTGCTCCTGAGCAATATCTCTACCCAACCTCGTGTTCATTTGACGCGACTTTTTCTATGGATGTATGGGGACTCGGGATTGTTCTTCTGCAAGTTTACCTAGTTCGTTTATTTATCCGGTTTTTCAACAAATCAACTTTTTTTTTACAGAAACTTGTGCTCAAGGAGCTGATGACGGAGGACGATTATGTCTCTCTCCTCATTCAAAACGCTGGCGACGGTGGATCTTTTCCGCGAGCTATCATCAACTTTGCTGAGCTGAAGATCGGGAAACTCACACATTCTCTCTGCTCATATGTGAGCTACTGGCTCCACTGTGAAAGTAAACATTTCTCATTCCAGACAGAAGGGATACTCGCCAATATAGTCACTGTTATTTTGGATGATAGAAAAGACATTGGTTATCTTGTACAATATGAGCTGGACTACGGAGTAAAAGAAGTTGATAGCAAACAGACGATCACTTTCAAGAGTGCGGAGGAGTTGCGCAGAGAAGTCTTGGGTGTGTAGCGTCAAGACTAACCTTATCAAAAGATGTTTATAATACAGAGGGAAAATGAAAATATATCAATAGAAAAACATTAGTAGAATGGCGTTGCGTTGTGGCACATCGACAGCGAGTTACACAATGAGCGAATATTTTAGAGCTACCCACACACACATCTTCCTTTTTTAGGTTTTTGTCGGATCACGTTTTCAACAATGTTTCGACTAAAAATATGTTTTCAAAAGGCTCTGTGTTACAAATTTGTACTGAAACGGCCTGTGTATAATTTTCTCTATATATAGCTCTTTTAAAAATGCACTTCGAATGAATTGTTTTCTGCCAGAAAGACGAAAAGTCGCACATTCTGGCAAATGCATAGAATCTAGAGATTTTGTGCCGTAATTCGTCAAGAGACTATGATTTGCATATTCACCGCAAGTTTTGTCGAGTTCATAACTCAACGCAACTAATTACTGGTTTGTTTTTCAGAGGAAAAGAAGAATCCGCCACACCTTCCACTCGAAGATGTCCTCCACATTTGGGAAATGTCCGGTTCTTCGGTGGAGACAATTCTTTTGAAAATGGGAGTAATCTCTGATGTCGCGCCCATCATTACGTGAGTTTGCACCAATGCGTTCTACTGTTTTCACCTTATCTATCTTCAGATTGCCACCTCAGTTATCGAAAAGTAGTCGCGGTTACAATTCTGAAATCACTGGAGACTTTGACTCCTCGATCATTTCTCTTCCGAACAGCCGACTTCTTTCCGTATAGTTCCTGGAATTCTTCATAATTTTGAAACATTTATTTCAGAAAGTTGCAAACCGCCAACAATTCGAGTCAGAATCCTGGTTTAGTTTGCAGTCAGATTTCAAATCGGGGAAAACGCCGACGGGCATCTCGAATACCGCCACATTGTATCATCTGTTGGACGCGCTTGGTGTTGGAACTGGAAAGGACGTTGTCGAGTTTTTGGAACACCATTCGGTGCTTTCACATCAGAGAAGTACCGGTAAGCAAGATGATTGAAAGATAATGTTTCCGTGATTTTCGGATACTAACTAGTTGAGAAAATCAAGCAAATGATACTAAATTTTATGAGTCGAACAGAGTATGTATTCAATCAGTTCAAAACTCAATTTCAGTTTGGAGATCTTTCCTCGGAATAAGTGAGACATCTCGGACAGTTATACGGGGATTGGATTTGATGTCGCCACACGAAAGTGACCGTCAACTGGATGTCGACTTGCCCAGATGTCATCAATACGATCGAAACATGACTACCCCCCATGTTCAAGATTCGTTGCGGAAGATTATCAAAGGATGGCTACTAATTCCGGGATGCGAGCACGTCTATTGGCAGGGTTGCGACAGTTTGGCCTCGCCATTCCTTCTTACCCACCTTGACGACTTGGGCAAGTAATTGACACTTTTTTGCAATCAATCAGTATTTTTTAAGAAACCGCACTGGCCTGCTTCGATGTTTTTACTCGCCGATACTGTCACAATCTATTCCTACAGGATAACAGTTCCGTCATCAAAGGTGAATAACCGTTTGAAAAAAATTCAACACCGTGTCGTGCTTTTTTCAGAGTATCTCGCGACGTTTTATCTACTTTTGGCATATGTCGACCCTGCGCTGCACAATCACTTCAAGATCACTGGTTTCGAACCGGAACTTTTCGCCATTCCCTGGTTTCTAACATGCTTCGCACACGTTCTCCCGCTCGAAAAACTCATGATCCTCTGGGATTCGGTTATGATGAATGGGGACAATTACCCGTTGTTTGTCGGACTGGCGATGCTTCATTGTCAGAGAGAAAAACTTCTGCAAATTCTTTTCAATGAAATAATAGGGGTGATACATGACACTGCCTCAATTCCTATTCAGGATGTTGTTGATCGAGCTAATCAGTACGTCAAGATTGTTCCTCAAGGATGCTCGTTTCGCTTATTTTCCAACTGTTGGTCAGGTGAGTATAAGCAAAAGTTTGTGACTTTTGTATCTGATCGTGTGAATATATGTATATATATTTAAATCACATTACATATACTGTAGAATATGTATACACTGGCTATTCAGTTCTGTTGAAATGTGATACAAATGTGATAAACATTCTCACCTCACACTCAACAGACCGGTGCTCTTCGAAGCAATCTAAGCGAAACATTTGCAGCGTTGTGAGAGACTGCAAGTGCATATTTCAAAAATAAGCAAACTTAAGAACTCAATACGAACTAGTAGAAGCATCAAAACAGTGTGTTTCATGAGTTCCACCCTCAAAATAGAACAAAGACGTAACCACAGAAAAGAACCGAGTTAAAAAATATTTTATAGCAATATACATATTTGCAGGGCAGAAACTAACCGGTCTGGAGACGTTCCGTCAGAATTTGAGTAACCTTTCTCTTGAGGAACGGCTTGTTCTCCCGTGTCCTCAAATGTCAATCGAAGAATTAACCTACTATTTGGAGAAATCACAAATTCTTGTCATTGACACCAGGTCAACTGACGGGTGAGTGGTTTTTTTTGTCGAAAACAAAAACACTGAATCATTTGCAGAATTAAAAACAATACAATTCCTCGCTCAATAAAGATGGACGAGGCGACAAGCCAGGAAGAGATTTTCTATGTTTTCCGCGGAGTCGAGTATGAGAATTATGTCTCCGATGTGTCATTGGAGAGGAAAGTGCGTATCGCGCGTGCTCTGGACGCAAATTCCCCGAAAGTATTAATCTATAATGCTGATTCCTTTGCCACTGCAACCAAAGTAAAAAAAAACCATTAAGTAACAACAAATTAACTCAATTTTTTCAGACAGCTGAGAAGTTGGTTCGCCTCGGAGTCACCAGCGTTTGCCTCCTCGCCAAGCCGTTCGAGATTGTCAATATATGATTTCCGAACATACACCTCTTTTTATTTTTTAAAATTATGATGGTTCCCCTTTTCATGTCTATGTACCTTACCCCCACCACCGATATCTTTCATCAATCTATTTGTATTCGGGTTTCTATTTTTTACCGGTTTTTTTTATTTCCCTTACATAACAACTAACCAAAAGTTAACAATCAAAATACGAACAAACCAAACTTGTTTTCATTCGATATTATGTAATGCCGCGTCCAAAGTTAAAGAAAAACCCGGAAATCTCGCAGCTTGCGCCACAGGCTACTGCTTCGAAAGATTATTATGTTAACGCATAATATCAAAAGACAGCGCCAACCGCAAAAATCTATTGAAAACTCAAATTTTGGACTGTTATCGATATTTTAGCACAGTGGGCTTGAACATATAAAATTTTTCCGGACAGCAACAATATAGAAACGTTTCATACTTAATCGCCACCCTGTAGTAGATTCTGTGAGTTTCTTCTCTCCAGATCGGAGGCACAATCTGCGCTAGCGGAGTTGTAGCCGTATTATCACTCAACGGACCGAGACGGACAATGGATCGGAGCTTTGGATCCATTCGCCAATCGAACGGAGCGCGCAAGTTGATTCCCTTGCAATTGTAATTACCATGTTAGAGATTCGTTTGTAGTCCTGACGCTCTTGTTTCCTGGAAAACGGATACTGTTGCGTTATAGGTGCTCTTCAAATGAACCACTCACGATACCTTTTTTTATTAATTAAAGATTTATTGAAGGACAACGCCGCTTATACAATAAACGAAAGAAAAAAAGAAAAGTGGAGAAAATGATAGTATACTAGGCCCACAACAGGAAGAAGGAAAAGCCAGGTGCCAATTTTCTAGGTATAAACTGTGGTCTTTTGCTTAATTGTTCGAGAGACGATACATTTTGCGAAAGTTAATTGAAAGGAACGGATAAAATGCTCATACAAATACACAAAAACATTTCTATTATGTCACAGTTCTATTATTTCGTCGTTCTGTTCTGCCCAGTTCTATTATGTCGGACCGTCGATTTATAGAGTCAGGGTTAGTTGAAAAACGTTTTAGGTGCAGGGAGAGCAGAAAAATAATACGAAAAAATGAGGATTTGTCGAGAAACAGTGAAAGGGAAGATCACATAGTGGTCAGGTACGGGTACATTAACTTGCCTTGTTTGACAATACAAAGAAAGAAGATAAAAACACAACAATTATACAATAAGTTCAGCTAGATTACAGGGAAGTTTTGAAAAACCTATTTTGACGTGATAGTTTGGGGAAAGGAAAAATGTCGGGTGGTCATTCAAACGATCCAGCAAAACGGGTGAAATTTGAGTGACTCTGCACTTCACAGAAGTAAATGGTAATGACTTTTGCAAAAAATTATCTGCTCAGATTTCTGACAATTTCTGGGCTCTGAAGCTTGTATAGGAGTCGTTCATTGGTCACAAAAAGCGAGTTTTCCATTGGATGAAGAGAAACAGAAGAGATCATTCCGTCGAGTGCGAGAATATCCACAGGTTTTCCCTGATGAAAAGCCGACCAAATAATCACGCTATTGTTAGAAAACCTGCAAAAAATATTAGTCGACCGTCATTTTCTCTCTTAAAGGACCAGGGAACCCAAAAATTTTTTGATTTTTTTGTGAAATTTTTTTGTGACTGTTTGAATTGTCTCTTATTGCCTCATACACTGGTGAAATACTGCCTCTCAAAAATGCCAATGAACGAAACGGCATGCAGTTGAAGTTGTGGCCGTGGCCTAGCGCCAATGGCCGAAAAATATATAAAAATATATGCGCTTCTCGGCCATTTTATTTTTTCCGCTTTTTTACCGGTTTTTTTTCTAAAAATTAACGGTTTCTCCCATTTTTCAGCTGATTGACATTTGTTCGGCACTTACTTATTTTTTCACTGCTAAAAAATTGTTTTCATTCAGTCGATATGAAGTGCCAAAATGGGAGAAACCGTGAATTTTTGGAAAAGAACCGGTAAAAAAAGCGGAAAAAATAAAATGCCCGAGAAGCGCATATTTTTTTATATATTTTTTTCGGCCATTGGCGCTAGGCCACGGCCACAACTTCAACTGCATGCCGTTTCGTTCATTGGCATTTTTGAGAGGCAGCATTTCACCAGTGTATGAGGCGAGGCAATAAGAGACAATTCAAACAGTCACAAAAACATTTCACAAAAAAATCAAAAAATTTTTGGGTTCCCTGGTCCTTTAAAATAACTTACAGAGCAACGAAATCGTTGTTGGCGGTGATTCGAACGTCATAACTGAAGGCAACCCACGCGACAGCTGAGAAATCGGGAATTTTGCGGATTGTCATGGTTTCTAGGTCGACGCAAGTCGGTTTTATCTGAAAATTAATTGGCTATTGTGAAAATAATATTTTCTTAATATCACCTCTGTGAATCGGTTTTGTACCTGCTGCTGCCTTGTTCCCGTGATGTATAAGTATCTGAAATGTGTTATTCCAAATATATTTACTTCAGTGAATTACAGAGAAAAACCTATCGAGTAAACTTCTTAAAGACATTTTTGGTAAAATATTTTAATGTTTTTTTTCTCACATTAGTCATTTTGTGAAACACAGTAGAAGAATAAAGTCACTAAATAATTATTGCTTCAGCTACTAATACCATTGGAAAAAACGCCAAAAGTTATATGATGTTACCGTCCATCATTTTTCTCGAGAATCACATAAGGGTCTGATTAGACGCTAAACATGATAGTGGTGTACTACAATCTTATGTTACTTTCGGCGCTCTACCTAACGGTATTAGTAAGCACTCATTTTCCTTTCTTCTTTCAAAAAAAAAATAAGTTGTCTGTATTTCGTGGTCAAGAAATGCACCTGTGATCCGGCGAGAAGCAAGCCGAATTGCTATTGAGCGACCATTCGATGTTGAATGTGTAGTCGATTGAATCGAAATCAGTGCAAGCAAACAGGGGGAAGAAGAGACGAATGTGATCTGGATGTTCATTCTCCCTGAATACTCGTATTCTGAAGTAAAGTTCCGAAAAGCGAGACTTACCCTCGGCATCTCCAAGCCTCCTTTGCATTCTCGAGCATTTTCTCTGTGATCACCTTTGCATGAACCTTATCATCATTCCCATGAAAGATGAGAAGCTTATCCGTGTTGTGATGGCATTCACACGTACATTCGGAAGAAGTGACAGCGTCATGATGAGCGTGGAGGCGGTAGCAAGGCATGCATTCATCATTTTGGTCCAATATTGTCTTCAACTCGGACATGTTGCTGATATCCACACCAGAGGCTGCACCGATTTCGAACAGTTTCTCTGTGAGAGTCTGAAAAACAAATTCATGAAGCTGACAACTTGCAAAACACCTACTTTTCCTTCCATTGTGGCTTGGTCAGCAATTTGAACAATTTTGCGAGTTCTCGGGCTCACGTGCTGGGCCACCATAATCTTGGTGATTCTTTTGTTGAAGGTGAGTATTGGATAGACCATTATATCCGCAGAGTTATCGATAGAACTGATGAAAAGTCTCATCATGTCTGGGCTGAAACATTTTTTGCCAATTATATACGGACTGTATGAAAAATTACTCACTTTCCCTCGTTATTCATGTAGATAATGTTCGAGTTGTCATACCAGGCGGCCAGCATTTGATGCTCAAGAATTACCCATGACTTCAAACTGACTCTTTCTTCTTAACAAACGCATTTATTACGATACTTAGTTCATATAACTCACCTCCAATGCGGTAAATAAGAGTTTCTCTAGTGTTTGATCCTCCAAAAAGTGGATTAACAATTCCAGTAACAAGAAGATGCTTGTCATCCGGCGAAAAAGAAACTGTCAGTACTTTTGACCACATTCTCTTCTTCGACAGGTACACGTGTAACAGCTCGATGTTGTCGCGGAAGATCTGAACACTTTACGGGTTTCAAGGAGGGATGGATCAATTGAATTGACGGAATTGTGAGTTGCACCTACCCAAAGATGGCATCCGTTTGCAAATATAGCCGTCATGGTTCCATCATTTGAGTAGGTAAGGTAGCGGAGATTTTCCTGGTTGATGGAGATGGTTCTGGAGTGCGTTTTTGGTGAGTTGTTAAGGAGAAATTTGACGTCGTCTTGGAATCGGAACTGAAAAAGTGATTGAAAAATTCAATTCCATATTCTACTATTTTTCTGATTTAACTCTAACTAACTCCACTCACAAAACGGCGTTCGGTCCACAGATTTTCGCTCATCAGATTTTTCCAAATGTGTTCATTTTCATCGAAAAACTTTTTCAGCGAAGGATGTGTCATAGTCAAACGGACCAAGTCCTGAAAAATGGTCTAATTCCCGATTCGTTTCTCATCAAAATTCGGCGTACCTTTGTTGGCAGTAATGCGCCGAGACAGTTGAAAATGACATGAGGTTGCTGAAGCAGCATCTTTCCTGCAAAAAAGGCAATAATAACTACATTATCAAAAAAAAAAGAGCAGGCAGAAAGGAGTGTTTTTTTTCAAAAACAGAGAGCGAGAGAGGCAATCACCGGTTACACACTGACCACATGATCAATGGTAGCGAAGAGAGAAAGAGCATACTTTTGGAGACGCAGCGAGTCAGAAAGTTGGGTTCGACAGCTCGCAAGTTAGAAAAGAAAAGAGAAGGGATATTGTTTTTGAGTGGAGAAAAGAGAAAAGTTCAGGTCACATGAGCGAAGCGAATAAACAAAAGTTCTCATTGAGAGGAATGGGTGCTGTTCAATAAGCCATAGAAATCACTTTAAGAAACATTACGCTGTTTAACTGTTTGGGGAGGTGGGGCATGTGTCACGGTTAGATGATAGGCGTTGTACAGTGCGTTTCATAAGTATAGGGCCACTCCAAAAATTGAATATATTGTCATTCCCGAACAAAATACAAAGACAGGACCTTAAAAATCGAAATCAGGATCACAAATAACCCCCGGGACACAATTTTGAGAGCAGTGAATAGGATAGATGGGGAATCGTGCTGAAATATCTGAAAATGTTGCAACTGCAAGCGTTTCATAAGTATAGAGCCACCCCTGAAAACACTCTGGAAGCCTCTTAAACTGATAAACATGATCTTGAATGGCGTTCTTTGCACCTTTAGGATGCCCAAAAAACCTTTTTGAAATCATGTGCACTGACGCCGACGCCACCTAGGAAAATGACAGGATTTGGGCACATGCTGGGAAACACGGAGACATTTTAAGCAAAGATTACGAATGAACAAAGATAATTTAAGGTTGGGTTATATGCAAAGTTCCGTTTATGTTTTGGAGATATGAAATGGATTTCATGATGCTACGGGCCGGGCGAGGACGTGATGGAAATTTTTACGCCTGGAAAAATATATTTTGAGCACTTAATTTAATTTTCAACGATTTTTTGTTCTTCAGATTTGGTAGATGTTCACATTATTTCAATTAGCCGAACAAACGGAAATGTGTGGTAGATCAAACCCGTGAAACGCGAGCAAGTGCGCTACACTCCATCGTACCTTTAGTGTGTGCAGACAAGACCGTGTGCAGACAAGACCGTGTGCAGACAAGACCGTGTGCAGACAAGACCGTGTGCAGACAAGACCGTGTGCAGACAAGACCGTGTGCAGAGCTTGGTGTGCTACTATCTCTAACAAACCCAAATCTTGTCATTTCTATTTCACTAACGCTCATCATTGTTACTTTATATCCATATTTTTTATTTCCTATAGGTATTCCGGCCGTGAGCACTTTTCTTAGACCAGTAGAACGTCACGTTTGCAACATCCTTCCCATATGCTGTCTTCGCATTATCACATCTACACTATGTCGGTCGAAAACCTATTATGGATGCACCTGCTCATCATTATATATAAGATTGAGTCATTTGCTCTTGTCTCGTCCACTTGTCTTCGCGATCAATCGTTTCCTCACATCTCTTCTTTCTTATTTTTCTTACTTACTTTCTTACCTACTCTTTGTCTTTACAGTTCTCGCGTAGTACAAGTATTTTTCATCATGTCAGCCGGACAAGAGAACCATATGCAGTAAGATTTTCATAGTTATACATTTTATTTCCTATTTCAAATATTGATCGACAAAATTTGCATTTAATTTTTCAGATGTACTGAAGTTGTAAAAGTTATAAGTGATGCGATGGACGGTCTAAGCGTTCAAGACGCCCCTAAAATGAAGCCGGAAGATTTTGCCATCTTGAAAGTTCTCGGCAAAGGAGGATACGGAAAGGTAAGGTTCTATTTTTTACTTTTTTAAAATTACAACGCAGCTTTTCAGGTTTACCAGGCCCGAAAAGTTACAGGCCGCGACAAGGGCACTTTGTTTGCTATGAAAGCAATTAAGAAAAATGCCATCCGAGATGATGAAAAGTTTGTCGAGCACACGATGGCCGAAAGACATATCTTGGAGAACGTCAATTCTCCATTTCTCTGTGAACTCCATTACGCATTTCAAACTGCCGACAAACTTTATTTGATAATGGAGTACATTTCCGGAGGAGATCTATTTGCGCGATTGGAAAGAGTGACCAAATGCTCGGAGAATGCGGCGAGATTTTATCTGGCAGAAGTGCTGCTGGCTATCCAACACCTGCATAGCAATGGCGTCATCTATCGAGATCTCAAGCCGGATAATGTTATGCTCGATCAATCAGGACATGTGAAATTAACCGACTTTGGTCTTTGCAAGGCGAATTTGGGCCACGATGAGCTCACGGACACTTTCTGCGGAACAATCGAGTACATGGCGCCTGAAGTTTTGGAGAAGAGACAGTACGGAAGAGCCGCCGATTATTGGGCTCTTGGTATTTTACTCTATGATATGCTATCGGGATGTTCTCCATTTTATACATCGAACCGCAAGAAGACGATGATCTTGATCAAGAAGGCAGAGTTCCCCATGATAAAAAACATCTCGCCGGAAGCGAAGAGTCTTCTGAGAAAGCTCATACATCGAAATGAGAAGACACGACTCGGAGCCTCCGGAATGAAGAGTCACTCATTTTTCGGGAAGACTAACTGGCTTAAAATGGAAGCACGAGAAGTGGAACCGCCATTCAGGCCTTGCCATATTCACGAAGAAGATGTTTCGAATTTCGATAGTGCTTTCACTGACATGGCACCGGAAGAGTCTCCATGTAAGCCAGAATGTTTTGTTCAAGACGATGATCTGTTTGCCGGCTTTGATTATGTGAGACAAGAAGATGAGACGTTCAAAGCACCGCTCATGAAGAAATGTGCTAGAAAGTAAGTTTCATGGCCCTTTGCTGGTGATTTAAATAAAAAAATTTCAGTCTGCAAGCGAGTATATCAAAGAATAATTAACTCTGTTACCTGCTCATTGTCATTACCAAGCCAGGAGTCTGTACATTTTTCATGGATCAAATCCACTTGTTTTTGTTAACCCAGTCTCACTTTCACTACATCTTGCACTTCATCTATCTTTTTTTATTATTTTTCCTGCTCGAAAATTTACAAAAACACAGATATATATCACAGATACCCACGCTCTCAAATCAATTTTTTTTTTTAACTTTTAAAGTAACTCATGAATGAATCTCGTATTTTACAAATTTTTCAACTTGTTACCACACTCATATGGACAGAAGTTCCGTAGAACATGCTTTAACTGACACTATAATAGAAGTTATGTTAGTGTTATTTCTTGTTTAATGTTTGTCCTACATGTTGAGAGAAAGTATAATTGTCTGGAATTTTTGGAAATGTTCAAACTCAAAAGTTTCGTCTAAAGGGTCAACTCACAGTTCCTAATCATTCGTTCGCCTTGAATCACTGAAAAAGCACGAAGTTTTTGTTAATTTTACGACCACAAAAAAACTTACAAGTTATGAGAGATTTCTTCGTGTCCAGAGGCATTTTGAAAGCAGCTAATGGGTCGGGGTAGTATATCGAGAAATAACTTGCAGTGTCGTCAAGAATTCTGTTATATTCCGAGCATTTGAAAGCTGGAAATAAAAAGTGAACTGAGTTTTTATGTTCAAATTAGATTATCCCTTTCACAAAATACAATAACTCGGCCAGCATTCGGCCAGCATTCGAAGAAGGTCCACGTGATGACAGAGAAACGAAAGCATATCGCAGGTGAGATTCAGAGAAGACTTGTCAGTGCAAGTTTTTTACAAGTTTCAGGCCTGATCTATTGTTGGTTATACAAAAACAACTATCCGAGAGAAACTCGCCGCGCACGGACATTACAGGATAACCGCGTGTGTTAGTTGGTTCGATTTGAGCAGAATGAAATCCTCGGCGAAGTGAGAGATACTCAGAGGAAGTGGAAAATATGATGTTTAGGTAGGCAAATGATTCGTTTTCCGCAGGCTTTGTGATGAGAAGACCATTCATTTCAGAGTGAATGAAAGATTGTTGGGTCTAGTTGCGTGTTCATGATTCAATGCGAACTATGCAATTATTTGACACGGAGGACTATTGTCTGATGATGCTAGCGGATGTCAGATGCTGAGATCTTCTTGATGAAGACCTATCCCTTTTGATTCTACTTTTTCGGTGCGAAGAAACACCGCGGTCCGGTAATCATACTTTTCAGAGTTTACTATCAGAGGTAAGTTATCACGGTTGTATATTTCTTTCAATACGGGGAAAAGAGGACTGCTGATTGACGCCATGAAGATCACTATCGTCAAGAATTGCTTCGACTATTACTGGAAAAGATGTTTTTGAGTCCCGGATATGAAGACTATTTGGTTTTTGTACTCGGAAGTGAGAGGGCTAAGCTTTTCTTCCATCTTACTATAATTATATTTCAGGTGCTTTAGCTATGAAGCTATGAAGAGTCTATGAAGGCAACAATGGTTACTCGTTTTCAAGAGACGGAGGAGCATTTTGCGCGTCAAGATTGGCAAAGAAAAGACGACGAGCAGGCAAGCAAATCATTCGTTATACAACGGATCTTATGACGGAAACACGGCTTATTACAGAAGACAAACCAGAATTCAGAGAAAAACGAGAGTTTGTCGCTACTTCTCTAATTTTGTGGAATTTCAGCAGAAAGACGGTATGCTATTGATTTGCAAAGAAAAAAATTGAGCGGGGCGCACCGAGTCCGTTTCGACCTACCGCCCGCCAAACCGCGCACTCTCTTCCTCTCTGCGTCTCTCGGCTGTGGGTCCATCTCGCCGATCTCGATCGAGTGTTCCAACGGAACAACCGCTAGGGGCTGTACTGGGGAAGGGACCGAAACGACCAAGAAAAGATAAAGTGAGTTTCCACAATCAACGTGTGTTCTCATTTCAATAATTACTAGAGACATTTTTAGACGGAAACACCCTTTATTACAGAGAAGCATCGCGAAGAATTATTTTTACTCAAAGAGTAATTATCGGAAATATCCGGAATATTGAGGGCTACGATCATCTTAATTATTAGGAGCAACCAAAGACATCAAGGT